TGGTATCAATTATTTGTCGATAAAATAAATAGATATACGATATTATCAAATAAAATATATAGGTCCCTATTGAAAGTGTTTACCTGGTAAAAAGTGAGCGTAACTTCCCCTACTTTCATCCTAATTGATTATCTCCCTATATATATGATAGATTTCAATTATTTCAATTATATATCATAATACATGATAATTAGACATGTATCAATGAGTGGAATTAAGTCATGTAAGATATTCATCCTTCAATTGCCAGTACTGTCAATTTCACACAAGTTGACTTCCTACAGTCTGAATATGGGTCTAATAATGATTATTTCAATTATATATGATTATATTTGATATTTACTACTGTATATATGAGTTTAATAAATTAGTATAGTGTTTCCATAGTATGGCTCAATATCTTGGTCAATTAAGGTAGAATGAGTACAGTATACTAAGGATATTATATATTATACTTCCAACACTTCTACAAGGTAGATATCATCATTATACATCATGTATATGAGATTGGTGATGATTCTAATAACATTCATATAATAATACAATAAATGTTGAAAAGTTAATATTTAGACATGTTGTCATTTATTCAATATACCGATTCAACAAGATTAATTCATAATATCATCTATTCATACATATATCTACAATATATCAAAAATTTCATTCTGGCCCAACTTTGAAATTTTAGACCTACTAGGGTAAAAACCTTAATATTTTAGGCAATGCCTTATAACTTTTTGGCCTCCAACTATGTTTTAATTTTTTCACCGGATTTAGTCAACTCATATATTGATCTATTGATTATGTGTAGATGGTATTTCAGATATTCCTAATTATTGAGATATGCGAAGAAAACCTAACTTTTTTTTCATCGAGTACCTATTATCTCTAGAACCACTTTGAGTTTTTATTATCATATAACAGTTTGTCGATGAAATTGTACCCTGATTAACATATATAAGATCCAAGTTTTGAATATTAGCCATTAATAAAATGGTAATGGGTTTTCGCCATACCCAAACCCAAACCCAAACCCAAACCAACACCTTCTTTTGATGTTTCACTGGATAAACCTTATTACAGAGGAAATACTTCAATAAGAACAGATATTCAAAATTTTTTTGTTGGAGATCGTGTACGCTACAGATACCCAGACAATCAATGTATCAGTCCTGATACAGCTTTCAGTTTGTACCCTAATGCTGATGCTGTTCAGAGTGTTTGTGGATGTTCAAAGTTCTTTGCGATAATGCATACCGGATTCGGATTGGTAGACAATTCTACTATTCCTGATGAGTATTATCCTTTGACAATTACTATCAAACCAAAGTTCCAAAAATATTCTACACAACAAGAGTATTTTTGCACAGCAAGTCCATTTTCTTGTTCTAGACAGCACTGTGAATGTACATCTGGAGGAGTTAATCTTGATGAAAGTAGTTTTTTTTTCCCTCCCATTAGCAATTCAATTAATAGATATGGAAGTACTAGAAGTGTTTCATCAGCCATAACAATTTCACAAAATATTTATTTAATAGTTTTATTGATTTTCTTCATTTTGTATTTACAATAAATCATACATTCTATTTGCATTAAAAATTTTTCATTTAGAAATAGTGAGATTGTGTTCAGATACTGTTTTAACTCTTAAAAAATGGCTAAATGTTAACTAATGTGAAATTTCATTCAATATTTGAATCATTTGCGAGAAGGAAGGTCTTTCCATTGGATTTGGATGCAAGTTCACAATACTTGAGCACACTCTTCATACTTTTCTCCTTCGATTGGTTTTCATGCACTGGATATAGTAATAACCATTCATTCAATTCATTTTCGTTTTCAAATGGAATACTTGGTCGTTCCCCTTTTAAAACATTTGAGATGATATCAACAATTGATCTATCCGATTGATACTTGGCTTTCTCTGATTTACAATAAGGAGAAACTTCGAAAAATAATTCCCACATTATAATAGCAAAGCTATACACGTCAACTTTGGGAGCCCTTTGAGATTTATCAGTATTACTATTACTCGTATTATCTGATCGAATTGTTTCCTATTTAAATAACAGGTAAGCTGAGAGGTAAGCTCAATCCGAAATCAACGATTTTACATGAATCAATCTCCTTCTTCCTCAATAATGACAGTCTTTTCTGAATGTGAACAATACCTTTTGTATAATATTTGAATTCAATGGAATAGTTTCAGAATCTAGTGACAGGGCAGTTACATTGACGAAAAATGTTTCTCCTGGTTTCACAACTTTCAAAACTGCTCTAATGTCAGTAAACTTAGCAGCAGCTGCCAATAAATTAGGACTGCTTTATTTCTAGTGAATAAGCAATTTTGAATGTAATTAGGATAATTATTACTGCCCAAAAGATAAATGGCACCTCCAAACTCATTTGCATATTATTTTGAAATGCAGTATTAGATATTATTCAGATATTTGTAAATTGTACATCATATCCAAGTTTAGTGCGCATCCACTGGTTTTACATACAGTATTAATAAAATTTGATTTGTAAATAATAACTTCAAACCTTGTATTATCTGACATGGATTGTATAACCAGTTTTTACGTCATTGCTGTAATGATTTTGGATTGTAACATTTACCATAGATAAATCATCTACAATATAGAAAGAAATAGGTGAACTTATTTTTCCTGAAATGGCTTGAGATTGAGCATTCCCATCAAAATCAACATTCATACTCTCAACCTTTTGTGCACTTCGTACTAAGAGAGAACCACCTGATCTTTTGAAAGATGAATCCTCAGAAAATTGAAACACAAATACAATTGCAAGTTTTGTACATTCTTCAATATGTATATTTCGTATCTTGATTTCTTTAACACTGATGGTATCCACCATTAAGTTAGATTTCATAAACTGCCCATTTTGAAATATGATAAGATTAGCTTCATAGATTGGTAAATTTACAGATGCATCTTCCATGAAATTGTTTTGAAAAACAATCCGATTATTTCCTCTCAGCTCTATATAGCATCCTTGTAATAACTTGCCAACGAGTTTACAATCTTTGAATAATGTTAGATATGTTGCTGTAGTTAAAATGTTAGAACTGATTAGTTCACTACTTTCAACAATAAAATTAACTTTTGTAGGCTTAGTGTTGAAATCTACATCATTCATATGCTGAAATAGTGAGGACGTCAATTAGCAATTAGCATAACCAAAAGAGGTACTTATAATTTTTGAAAATATTCTAAAATTCACAATTTCAATATTATTAAATATTATCCAAGCAACATCTGTTCTGTCTTTCAAATACATGTATGTGTTGCCCTTCTGGAAAGTCAAACCTCTCTTTTCAGAACTTTGAAACATGAAATAGTATGAAATTAATGAATTTGATGGTAAATCAAAATCTCCGTATGTGAATGAAAGATTACCTTCAATATTAATCACAAATAGAATATTAATACTATTATTTCTAATATTGTTTCCATGTTTTGATCCATAACTACTTTCATTGTTTTGAACAATTTACTAAAACTCTGGCAGGGATCATTCTGAATTCATGTTTCCTGCATATTTGATGTTTTTCATTTTCAAATAAAAAACTGCTCGTGAGACGGAAGAGCTGTAGAACATGTTTTGCATAGCAGTGATGCTCACATAATTGGTTTGAATTATTTCTCTTTCATTGCCAACAACATTAGGTGTATTGTAATATAAATTACTAAATATTGAAAGATTGTCTGATGAAGTATGTTGTTGGGTTGTTGTCGGAATCTATTAACCATTCCGAACAAGTTTGCAACTCTCACTACAAATTAATTTTACAAATACTATTGTTATGTTGCTTACGGAAATATATCATTGATGGTTGGAGAATGATAGGATGATGATCACTGCACCAACTTGTATTTTTCCATCAAGAAAAATAATATCCAATTTCATGATAATCTACCAATAAAAATTACTATTATTCCTACTATTTAGATCATGTTGAGATGATCATAAGGAAGTTTGGTGGAGGTTAATCATGCTGTTCATCAGACGTTACGGGTGATGAAATTTTTTTTAAAAATTTTTTAAAAAATTGAAAAAACATATTCCAATTTCTTACTATGGAGAATTTCATTATAAAATTATTATTGCACAATATAGAATAACTAGAATAACCAAGTTTTAAACTCAGAATACTATGTGCTTTAGTATTGTAAGAGTCAACCAAGACAATACCAAAAGAACTTCTCATCAACCTGTCAATTCAAACGATGTCCTTCCATTTCCGAGTGACACGACTAAATGCAACTAAATTGACACAATTTCTCACCTTCCACTTCGCTTTCATCTTTTAAAAAAAATTTCACAGACCTACCTGCCAGAAATCATGCGTTCAAAATCTCTCTTGATCGCTATCTTCTTGCTTTTGTGTTTGATCTTCACAGCTCAATCTTCATTTGCTGCTGAAGAACAATCAAACCCTCTCAAACAAGAACTTTCCCGCCTTTTAAAATTAAAAAAACAACTCAAAACCAAGTGGAACCCTAGCCGTTATTTGAATGAGCGTATTTTGCGTATTGCCAAGAGATTTAGAATTGCCATTCCTCAACGTTGCAAGAGACGTGTTATTATTGATGATGAAGTAGTTGATACTATTAGAAAATTGGCCGAGTGTGATCGTGATACTAAACCTGAATTGCCAACCAATCCTTCCACTCCATCAAATCCATCTACACCAACAACACCATCTAATCCAAGTACTCCAACAAATCCTTCCACTCCAACAACACCACAAGAACCTACAAATCCTTCTGTTCCTACTGTTCCTTCCACTCCAACAACACCATCAACACCATCCAATCCAAGTACTCCAACCACTCCATCAAATCCAACTACTCCATCTACTCCAACTCTTCCAAAATGTCCAAAGAGACTCACTTGTAGATTGTTGTGTAAGAATGGATATTATTACGATTCAAATGGATGTGTTGATACTTGTCGTTGTAAGCCATCTTCTTGTCCACAATTCAGATGTTTGAGAGCTTGTCCATATGGATATAAGGTTAATGCTCGTGGATGTACCACTTGTGATTGTAAGCCAAAACCTTCCACTCCAACTAAACCAACTAAACCAACCTTTGAATGTCCAAAGCGTAAATGTGCTCGTTTGTGTGCCCATGGCTATAAGACTGATAGAAGAGGATGTCAAACTTGTTCTTGTGTTAGAAAGCCAGTCAGACCAACACCAGTTAGACCAACTCCTGTTAGACCAACACCAGTCAGACCAACACCTCCAGTTAGACCACCAGTTATTGTCACACCAACACCTGTTAGACCAACTCCAGTTGTCACACCAACACCTGTCAGACCAACACCTCCTCCAGTGAGACCACCAGTTGTTGTCAGACCACCAGTTGTCAGACCAAGACGTAGAAGAAGACGTTTCTTCGGAAGAGGTAGAGGTGACCCACATTACAGTTTGTTGCATGCCAGCAATGCTGCCCATAAGGATGTACTTTTTAATGGATTGGGTGATTATATTTTAGCTGAAACTGTTGATAAGGAATTTATTGCTCATGTCAGAATTGGCAAGTGGCATAAGAAGGCTACTGTTAATATTGGTGCTGCCATCAAGCTTGGAACTGATGTTATTGAATTCGATTCTAAGGATGGTCAATTCTACCTTAATAAGGAAGAAGCTGAATTCAAGATTGGAAAGAAATATGAACTTGAAGGAGGTTCTCTTATTAGAAAGAGTGAAAATAGATTTATTATCAAGTCCGTTGATGGAGTTGAATTCTTTGGTGAAAGATTCACTCTCCACGATGGAAAGAGTTACATGGATGTCCAAGTTGATTCTCCAAAGGATGTTGAATTCAGACGTGGTTTGATTATCAATGGTAAGGGCAGACAAGGAAAGGGTCTTTTCAGAGTTTTAAAGGCTGCTAAGGTTAATAAGAACGCTGTTGCTGTTGTTGAAATTCCAAAGTGGGCCAAGAAGGCTTGTGCTAAGCAAGGATTGACTGGAAAGAAACTCAAGGATTGTGCCTATGATATTACCGTTACAGGTAAGGAATTCGCCAAGGAAATTGCCAAGGATGAAGCCAAGTTTGCCAAGAAGAGTAGAAAGGTTTTAAAGGCTGTTTCTAAGAAGAAATAAATAGATCCTTTTCATTTACGTATTTGGTTTATCCCAAAAATGAATCACTGAATAGTACTACTTGCATTTCGAACAGTTCAGTCCAATCTAATTGTCAAAATCATTACTTGAATTAATCACCACAACTCTTTCATTTAATAGGTAAATAAAAATGAATTACAAACTTAAACTGATACTAATTGTTATGGTTGTCTCGCTGGTGACTCTATTCGCTGAGAGAAATCTTCTGTTTTCAATCCTTAACCATTATCCACATAAGGAAACAGAAGCAATTACAAACGAAATCCATGTCGTAACGATTTATGAAAATTCAGCAAAGGTACAATCTCCTCTTCTTGCATTTCTTCCGTGTCCTTCTCAGTCTCATTCTCAATCCCTAACCATTCATCTATTCATTAATTCCAATCACACAATTGAGTGTTTACAAAACAGATTAAGCTCTTGCCAAAGGTTAACTCTCAAATTTTACAGTTCATCAGAATTGAGCATCAATACTCAATCCACTCATTACAGTGCCTCATCTGCCAAAAAGAAACTCAAATTATTACAATTTTTTCAACACAAAATTCAACGATTCTTATATTTGGACGCTGACACATTTTTAGTGCACGGATTTGAAGGATTAATTCAGGTGTGGAAGAATTTCTTATTATTCGAAAAGGATGAATTTATTGGAATGAGTAAAGAATTGAGTAATTGGTACAAGTATGATTCGTATAATTCTGGAGTCATCCTAATAGATATTCGAAAATCATTACAATATCCTTGGAAACAAATATTGGAAGAAACTATCCAAGATGTTGGAGTAACCCAACTTGCAGATCAGGATATTTTCAATGTAATTGATAGAAAAACAAGAGGAAAGTGGTTCCATCGAATAGATTGTGGACTAAACTTGCAACATGCTGGATGGAAAGAGTGTTCTACAAGTTGTGTAAGAATCATTCATTTCAATGCCATGCCAAATATTCAAAATACCACCAATCTTGCTTCCATGCTGAACTATGCCAGAAAAACCTATCAGTCAATTGGTTGTGAAACGACTATTTTCCCACATGATAATTTGTTTAATTGGATTGGTAATTCAAACATTAGCCTTATCTGTAAATAAATCAAAGATATTTGATTGATTTTTTATTGTAAACTCGTCAAACTCATTGTAAACTATTCGATTGGAACTAAAGCAAATTAAATTGATTTAATAATCATCATAGTAATCATAATCATCATCATCACTGCTGTCTTCACCACCATCGTAATCACTCCAGGATCGATGACTTGGACCTCCATCATAAAAGTGCCAAATTTTCACACCATCTTTCTTTTCAATAAAGTAGCGAATAGAAGTTTCGACTGGTTTCGTAATAAGAAAACTACAAATGAGATGGAAACTGTCATCGCATACTAAATTCAAAGGATGATTAAGTAATAATTGAGAATTTGGTGTCGCCTTAGTAGATTTTGCTTTTTCTCTAATTAGAAAAGCAGGTTTGAGATCTTTCCAAATCAATTCTTGACGTTTCTTCTTGGCGTTTAGCAGAAATTCATTTCTGACATTTGGCATAGTTGCTTGTGAGGCATAACTTTCCAATTCTAGCGGTCCTATTTCTTTACATTTTGGCAGAATCAACTTTAACATGTCAATCTTAATGTTGTCACATGACATTTTCAAAATATTATACCAATTAAAATCTGCATCCAAACAACAATGATCAAACACACTTTTAAATATCCAATAATCACCCTTTTCAATCGAAACAAGAAGTGCCTTCTTTCTACTCGATCTAATTATCTCAGTACTTGCTAACCAATTGACCAATTGTTCATTTCCACTTTTAACTGCCAATGTCAAAGGATCTTCCCCCTTCAACACAAACCTTATAGCATTCCTTCCTTTTCCAGATTTTTCATAAATTATTTTAGCAATTTCATAATTTCCATTTTCACACGCGTGAATAAATGAAGTTTTTCCATCGAAATCTTTCATGCCCATGTTACAACCGGCAGAGATTAAGCATTTGATTATTTCAGAGTCGAGATTTTCTTGTTGTGCTGCGACCATGAGTGGGGATTGACCGTTTCGTCCATGAATTCGCATATTGAATAGTTTTCTGTTGAGGGAGAAATGTTTAACTTGCCAATAGTTATTGGATTCGATGGCTGTTATTAGTTGATCAAGTTCTTGAGACTTTTTTTCATTGTTGAGTGGAATGTGGAATAATTATTTGGGATTTAGCTTGGAATGGAAATTTTCTTTAAATGAATCATAATTATGTCCAATACAAAGAAAACTAAACACTTATTCTAGAAAATTAGATGGCCAATCAACAAACAATTCATTTATCTCACATACATATTTGCTTTTGGTATTACCGAATATGAACCACTAAATGTCCATTGCTTGAAAGTTGAACCTGCACATAGATTATACACATGAGAATTCTGATTAAGAGGACCACCTCCAAAAAGACAATAATCTAAACCTGTTCCATCACATCCATTGTTTTCTATATGACCCAGTGAAAGATCTGTCAATTTAGTGCTCAATGGGACACAAATTCCCGGAGCTGTCCAAACAGAAATTAAAGAAACAGCAAAACCTGTTCCTGTTGCATCTTTCCACATGATCTCAGTTGATGCACTTCTCAACATGGCCCATTTATCATCTCTCATTGAAGCACCATCACTGGTTACATTGACTATATCAACATAATATGGAGCTAGTTGAACATTTCTTGATGAAACAAGTGCCCAACCACCTCCATTAGCAGATTGTTCACAATAGACCACAAATTCTGATTTGGTAGCATCAGGTTTAATCCAATACAAACCACTCACTGCAGAATCATTGAATTGTTTCTTATATTCAGCACAGGATTTCAAAATGCCACTTCCAAATGTGAAAATACTATTGGTGGAAGAGAGAGTTTGCACATCACAATTAGATCCTGTCCAACCACTCTTACATGTGGAACATGTGGCTCCATCCCAATTTCCTGAACAAACTGAACATTGACCTGCAGATGAGCATACAGAACATTTGACATCACATGAAGATTTTACAATATTACAATCAGGACCATCAAATGCATTACATGTAGAATTGAAAATTTGAATTTCTTCTGAAAGAGTAGCATAAGCTCTCTTTACCTTACTTAATTGAGTTTGACGAATTGAGAGCGATGTGAAATTTGCCTTACTCAATACTGCAATTACCTTTTCCAATTGAGAGACGGTTAATTCTAATGCAGATGCCTCTTTCTTTAATGAATTTAACCAATCTCTGACATTACCAGAAGTAGTGGAAGTGCTATTGGTTGTTGCCGCAGCACAAGACCATCCACCACCGTTGAGAGATGGAAAGGCATGTAACAATAGACAACATACCACTAAGCACATCATCAACAATCCGTTGGCTGTAGACATTTTTTTAACTGTGAAAATTGCACAATCTTGTCGTTATCATCTACTGAAAATGGAAATGTAATGTAGGGCTCTGTAGTTTGCTGTAGTGACAACTCCAATTTGGGAGGGTAACCTCCTCGTTAGGAAATTTAATTGTGAAATAAATAATGGCTTGTGCACTTGATTTTCAATGGTCTTTTCACAAGGAAGAAAGGATCATTCCCACCGAAATCTCACAATACAGTGCACTGTGTTACGGTGAGATTGGAGACTATTCTGGTATTTGCCATCTTTTATACATCAACAGTATAGAGAGCTTTTCCAATATTAAATTCTTTAGAAACCTTAATTAATTTTACTAGTTTAAGGTAACAGTGAATGACATCATCCTGATCACTCTAAAATGTGTGTAGCCTACAAGCAATTGATCTTGTTGAGAAAGACCAATTTTGAAAATGTTAAATTCATGGATATTCACCTAAACTTTTTAGGTAGTGGAAATGGTATGTGGAAGGGATAACTAGAACTACTTTTGTAAATTACAACATTCCAATTCCAGAATATCTCCAGATGGCTATTTAACCCACTTGGACTAGATTTATTTCTTTTTCATGGATGGACATCTATCATCACACTTATTCAAACTAGCATCATGGAATAAAAAGTGCATGGTTGAGAATACTCTAAATGAACTCTCCTTTTCCATGCAATTATCTGAACAGAAATTCTTACAAAACAATGATGGAATGAATGGACCTTCCCATTGCCCAACTGGCCACAATTCTTGTAATTGATGAGTATAGAATAGGATTGCACTGACGAAACCATCATGGTACATTGGAATGACTGGCATTAGAGTGTAACTGTAACCTGACAAGTTTGGATGTTCAACCAAGTCAAAACCCCAATGTGTACTTTAATTTTTTTTTTTAAAAAAAATAATTAAAAAATTTAAAAATATAAATAATGTTAATAATTAAATATAAATAATGTTAATAATAATGTAAATATAAATATTCAAAATTACCCCATGCCCGTAATGCACCCTCCTTTGGTAAATTGTGCCTTATCTGCTTCAGCTTCTGTTAATGGAACTGAAATTGGAAATTTACTATTTGGAGCTACCAATAATCGATCTCCTAAAACTCCTCCTTTTGTATCCAATTGCCCAGAGCATGCAAAAGCTGGATCACGAGTAGAAACTTCAATTTGATAAACATCAGGTGAAACTCTCTTCCAGAAACTAGCTTGTTCCAATTGACTTAAAACTCCATGAACTCTAACACCAAAACCACCCAGTTGACCAGCTTTTGTATAATAAACAACAATTCTATCATTAATGAAGCCATATCCAAGATTTGGAATGCATGCCCCATTTTCAATTGGTGTATTCCAATCGGATGAATTTCTGGCTTGTGTAATGTTTAAAGGCATTGGAGTTTTACTAAAAAATGTATGAAGTAAACGATCTCCAAGTCCAATCCATGGTTGTTGTTTGTGTGGTGAAAGACCTCGGAGAGGAACATTTGCATGCACAAAGGTGAGAATTAGAAACAATGCAGAGATGAGCAAAATGAATTTTGACATTTTTTTTTGATGATGAGAATCTTGTATGGTGGAATATCTTGTCCTCCCTTCCTTATGATATTGGATCCAAATTAGTTCATGTTTGTTGATCATTCAAATCCAGTCCGTCCTTAGTGGAAGAGTGTGTTTGGCAACTCCTGTATGTTAGTATTAATAATCAATTAATCTTTAATTTTTGCAGAGATTTGAAGTGGTGAATGTTCAAATTTTTAATTGATGATATGATAAGCTCCATCTCCACAACTGTTCCGAATAATTTATACAATTAAATATAAAAATTATTAATCCCTCCTCCGATCCATATATCTTTCTACAGTCTCACAATTTAGCTACATTAATTTTATTTTTTATTTAAAATTATTTAAAATTATTTAACGGTTGTTGGTGGCGTGAGCTTTTTAATGTTCAACAAATTTCTCAACACACCAAACAAAATCATCAATAATTTAACAATAAAAAAATGACTCAACAAGAAGTATCATCATCAACAACAACTACGGAATCAGTCCCAACAACAACATTATCATCGGAAGAAACCAAGATGGAAACTCAACAAATGGACACAACAAGCGATGAAAAGAAGAGAGAAAAACGACCACCTCTCACTGAAGAAGAACAATTAGCCTTGGATGAAAAGAAGAAGAGAAAGAGAATGGAAGCAAACAAGAAGAGAAAAAAGAAAAAGGTTGAAAAGTTTAAAAAAAAGAAAGCTCCAGCTGTTTTCCAAGTATTGAATGTTCACTTGATGGATTCAAGCAAGATACATACCATTACAAAGGAAGATATCAAGAAGTGCTTCCCTGAATGTGTACAAATGTCGAGACCTTGTGAGAATATATTTCGAATTCAATTTAGTAAGGAACAAGATTGTTTGAAATATTTCAAAAAGGAGGAAAAGAAGAGGAAGAAGCAATTGAGAAAGAGAGATATTGAAAAGAAGAAGGAAGAAAAGGAAGAAAAAGAAGAAACACCAAAGGAAGAAAAGGAAGAAACAGAAGAAACACCAAAGGAGGAAGAATCAAAGGAAGATACACCAATGGAAGAATCAACAACAACTAATACTGAAACATCCGAATCAACATCAAGTAAGGAAACAGCTGATAGTAGAGAAGAACGTATTCTTGCATACAAGATTCAAGAAGTTATCAATGGATTCAAATTTACCTTACGAGCAGAAGCAGCCAAATTTATTGCCAAACCAGAATGGAAAGAAGTCACCAAACAAAAGAAGAAGGATCCAAGAGTTCTTGTCTTTTTACTTCCAAAAGAAGTTGATATTTCACATGAAAAGTTTAAGGAATTATTCCCAGATTGTGTCAAGGCCATCAGAAATAATAGAGATATCTATGGTCTCTTCTCATCTGAAAAGCAAGTTGCAAATTACCTTAATCAATCAAAGTATAGAAAATTGGAAAGGGGTGGAATTTCATTCGTTTTGAGAGTTGGTCCTGAAAATCTCTCACTCAAACCATGTAATTGGAATCCAGAAGAGAAATTCCTCAGAGATGAAGATAAGGAAAAACAAGTTGTCAAGGAAAAGAAGGAAGAAAAGAAACAAAAGAGAAAGGAAAAGAAGGAAGAGAAGGAAAAGAACAAGTCAACCGAAACAACTACAGAACCAGGTGAAAAGACTGAAAAGAAAGAAAAGAAAAAGAATAAGAAAGATAAGAAGGAAAAGAAGGATAAGAAGCAATCAGACGAAACAACAACAGAAATTAAAGATAAAAAGAAGGACAGAAAGAAGATTAAAGCTAGCAAGAAACAGAAAGAAGAACCAAATGGAAATAGTGCATCCAAGATGAGTGACGAATAAAACATAAATTAACAGAATGGATATAATTGTCCAAACTATCCCAAATTAGACGTGCACCATGAAATTACCAACACTATTCTAACAGTCTGCTTTCCACTCTAGAACAATACATGAAGAATTTCATCATCACCAAATAATTTATTTAACAAATTCATTCTCCATCATCATTTTCCTCTCATCTCTTTGAAAAAAATTCAAATCTCTGAACCATTGCCTCTCTTGCTGGTTTGGTTCTTGGATCTTTGCATCATCATCACGAAATTAAATATTCATCATCACGAATTTATTCTTCCCGCGTTATCATCCATCATAGGCTGCTTCCTCTTTAAAAAAATAACACCATAGAAAAAAAACGCAAGACATCACACACTAGTGTTGTATTACTACAATTTTGTTGTTGTACTCTGACCTGGTTTTTTGAAAAATTGAAACTCTTGAAATTATCTGCTACTTTTGATTTTGTTTAGTCAAATATTGTGGTGGTAGAATCATTATATATTTAGGATTTTCGGAATCGAATAGGTTTTTTTGTATTTTCTCTACGAAAGGAGGAAATTCAGTTGATTTGAAATTATTGGTGTTATCTCTACTTGTGTTGAAAGCATAACATCAACAATTAATCAGTAATAACAAAAATAACAACAGCAAACACGTTACTAAACATTAGTTTCAATATCGGACTATTTCTAAATTGTCAACCACAACAACTACTAGTAGTTGAAATATTCATCAATAATAATAATAACAACAAATATATTAACATATTAACACATCAATACAATGGTACTTCACGTAACAATACTTGAAATAACTAACTTGGATAACAAACATACTGATCCGAATTATACATCTGATCCATATGTGGTCGTTTCAATAGATCACAAACAATTTGCAAATACAGATGATCACTTTAGGACGAATATACAAAAAGATACACTAAATCCAAAATATAACGAAACGTTTCAATTCGAGATACCCAAGCAATCTACGTTTGAAAATATTGATATAGTATTTGAGGTTTATGATTGGCGTGTGATTGGTAAGAATGCATCAATGGGTCAAGCACAAACTAGTTTAGCATGTTTGAGGAATCAATTTGTGGATTGTGATTCCTCAATGCAATCAGAAAAGAAAGGAGAAGAAGTTCACGAACAAGAAAACTCAACATCTAGGAAACGAAAGCTCTACAAGAAGGAACCCCAGAGATTAAAATTAGAGTTATCAAGGAATAGAAATGCATTTATTGAAATTGAAATGATGGTAGATGAAACTGATCGGCGACATTATTGATTTTATAAACTACCTAATTGGATTCTTTCTAATACTTTAGGTTTAATCAGTTATTATTTCTACACCAAAACCTTCTGGTATCTGTTTTCAGATTTTCATCCCTTTCTATATTCTTCTAATTTCGCAAATATTGGGTATCTCTGTTCCTGATGTGAACAGGAGATTGTTAAACTGTTTAGAATCTAAACCAATCTAAGATCTGACATCAATGTCAATAGAGTTTTCTCTTCACAGATGATATGATACTCGATTTTTTAAATCAAAGATCTAGTCTTTTACCATCTCCTCTCCAAGCATTGCTTGAATACCATTTTGCAAATCGTTACGAGTACATGGCTTGCAAATCACTGCATCCACTACACTTGCATAATATTCAGCATTTGTTAGTGCATCTGCAGTCAACATGATTATCTTAATGTCCTTATATTTGGTCTTGATTATTTTAGATGCCTCAATACCACTCATGAAGGGCATGTGCTATAATGTAAAATTAATTCATTCAAAATTTAAAACAACTCAGTAAACATACCATATCTGTAATAACTAGTTTGTGTCGAGTTGGGTCAATTTTCTCTACCAACTGGCGACCGTCCACTGCTACATCCACCTCAAATCCCAAACTTCTCAACATTTTGGTAAGCACTTTTCGATTGATTGCATTATCTTCGGCAATAATAATTTGAATATTGTCTGTGTTTGGTTTGGAGGTTTCAGCATTCTTAACATAAGAGTCTGCCTTTTCAAATTGATCCAAATAATTGTTTTGAATGTCAATCTGTCTCTTGATTGAAAAATCGACAGTTTGCTCCTCTGCTGAAAGAACAACCTCCTTTGCATCCAAGGTATTCATGTTGTAAATTTGTATAGGTATTTGAATAGTAAAAGTGCTGCCATGATTTTCCTCTGACTCGAGAGTAATGCATCCATTCATGGAACGTACAATATTAAGGCAAGTAGATAAACCTAAACCACTGCTTGGGAAAATACTTTCATTAAGGTTATGGAGCTGAATAAAATCATTAATATATGGAAACAATTATTACTTACCTGACCAAATGGTTGAAAGATAAATTCTTGCTTCGACTTGGGAATACCAACACCATAATCAACAACCTTAAACTCAAACCATTGGTGAGAATTTTCCGTAATGACATTTGGAGGATTTGGTATTGTTTTGCAGTGAAGTTCTACAACTTGAGATGGATGAGAAGCTTTCACGGCATTAGTTAATAAATTAACTAGAATTTGACTCATTCTTGCCTGATTCATCTTGACAAAAACATTGGCCTCCAAATTTTGAGTAAATATCTGCACATCCACAACAAACTTTTTGGCATAGCTCTTCATAATTTCCTGTACACTTTGAAGGCAATTCCTCAGACAAAAAACTTGTTTGGTATTGGTTTGAACTTTGCTCTTGGTTTCATGTTCCGATTTTACAAAAAGTAAAATATCCTCAATGAGAGTCAATAGAATATTTTCGGCACTCTCAATGGTTTCTATGTGTTCTCGTTGTTCCTTAGTCAGATTTGTTTCCTTAATTAATTCTATCGATCCTAAACTACTCAGGGTTGGTGTTCTAAATTCGTGTGAAAGATGGCTGACAAAATTTGATTTGGCTTCCAAAGCCAATTTGAGTCTGTCTGTTGTTTCTTGAAGTTGATCACACTCTGATGATAATTGAACATTTCCGAACACTATAAATAATCCAAAAATTAGAATAGTATAAATGGCTGGTGAATACTCGAAAATTACATCCAATGTGTAGGTCCATCCCATTGCATTGATTTTGAGCAGTCCAGCTAGAAAGTAGTGAAAAGCCATGGAAACTGTTGGAAGCATTGACCAAAATGGATCTCCCTTACTATGAGCTGTTTTCAATGAAATTATTCCAATAGTAATATTAATAATAATAATAACAATAATTGAAAATTCCAATATGCAATTTTACATTCCACAACAATAAATATTAAGAATTAAAAGAAATTGATAAAAACTCACCTGTGTTTTTAGACATGACTGCAATAGTTGCCAGTGAATTGCTCAACATTAAAACTCTGTGCTTTTGCATTACAAAGAAACGAATTGAAAAGCTAACAACATTAAAAAGAATGATAACCTTTGATTCGTAAGTATTTTCTGCCTTATCCATCCTAATAAGACGTCCACTATTTACAAGTATCGTCAGTGCTCCCAGAATAAACATCCAAAAAGTTGCATTAATATCATGACTCTGTTCTCGAAAGACATACATGGTCTGTATCAGATATCCTGTATAAACTGTGAATAAAATCGTAGAAGCTTGAATTTTCAGCAGTGAATGCCAAGCTTTCGGAATGGATGTTCCCTCAAGTGGCAAATTGAAAAAGTTTAAAGAGTAGTGAGCATTGGCTGAATAGGGTACATTTGTATGAGGTGTTGGTGAGTTGGAAAAATTCATTTCTGTTGTTGTTGTTATATTCTCATCAGATGAAATGATTTTTGTGATTTTATCTTCCTTATCACTTGATGATGATGATGGTACTGATTCAATATTGTTTGAATCTATTAGATTCTTATTGCTAGATGATTTAGATATTTCTTCTCGTGAATTCTTCCTCAAATTGTTATCCAATACCTGTTTTTTAGTATTAATGATCGGATTTAGGTGGTATATCCTAGATGATAGGGTTTTCAAATAATCCTCTTCTTTTTCAGCACCTCCGCACTGTATCTTCTTTTCCGTATCACTATTATTAGTACTAAGGTTATTATTGTCTATTTGTACTTCTCCTCCCTCTTCACAATTATTATTATTCTTACGAGTGGTAGATGCCTTTTTCAATTCTGATGATGATGATAAGGAAGAAGTAAACGGTTGTTGCTTTTTTTCTGTAAGGTCCAAATTTGTTTGCTGCCTTACTAATTTTTGTTCTTGGGCGCAAAATAATGTCGTTGCATTCTCCTCCGCCACAGAGGAGTTGACTTGTTCTTCTTCTTCTTGATGAGCAGTAAAAGAAGAGGAAGAAGAAGAATTTGATGATGATGAATGATGGCAAGTTGATGAAAAAGTATCGGAGGGAGAATTAGAAAGTTTTGATAGGGTTGTTGTGATATTGTTGGAGTGATGAAGATTGTTTAATTCTTCTGATGCTACTTCTTGTTGAAGAGGCATGTCATTTGTTGATGGAAGTGCTTGGTTTTTGGGTTCCAACATGTTAGTAGAGAGGGAAGTGAGATGTTTTTTTGTGGAAAGGATTCGAATACCTTCATCATGTGTTGACAGCTAATTTCGAATAAAAAAATGACCATAAAAGTAGCTTGGTTTTGATTTTTGGTAAATACGCATCTTGATATTCGGCAATTTTCAAATAGTTGACCAAAATCTCCAAACTAACCAATAATTGATATATCAATACTATCTCAATAACATGTGAATTTTTAGTTTAAATATTTATTCGAAATCATATGACAGTCAAACAATCGACAAATTAAGAACTATCCCCGTCCTTTCCTACCATTATTTTTACAATTTTATCCTTCATCATATTTCTTCAACAATTATATCGATTATCGAAATCCTTACCACATCATAAAACACGAAAAAATAACAATTATCAAATTTATCACCAGCAAACACTGATTTTAAATTTTAATTTATTTTAAAAATAAATTAAAAAATAATTTATGAAAAGAGAAGCTTTGGAATCAATAACAACAAAAACAACTCGCGTTAAAGAGGAAAAGGAGGATAAATCATCTACTTTATCAAATTCTTTAGGTGTTATTGATCCTAGTAATAATAATAATGATGAAGGATTGCAACCAGCATTGAAGAAGGTAAAGACGGAATCGTCATCATCTTCTAATCAAATTAAAGGAAATATTAGTACTAGTAATAATAATAATGGATTATTAACGAGCACACCAAGTAGAATTGCCTCTTCTTCATCAGCATCAAATAATAATAACAATTTAAATATTATTATTAATACTTCTACTACTAGTAGTACTCCTACAAACATAATCATGACATCAACTAACAACAACAACAATACTAACAATAATTTAAAGTGGAGCGTGGTCAACTTTACAAATAATAACACTAATAACAATGCTTCTGCTAGTAGTGCCACCATCAATAATAATAATAACAATAATAGAATTAGAATTGCATATAATCCTGATGACATTCAAGTTTATCTAATTTGGAGACATGTTAATGATACAAGTGATGATACAAAGGAAAGTAATTGGAAGAAGGTAGAATCTACTTTTATTCCTTCATTCTCTTCATCAGTTCACAAGCAATACATGTCTCATTTGGAAGAATTGAACAAATCGTCAACAGAATCTATTCGAATTGGAGTCATGTGTAAAAATAAGACACATTTAAATATTGCCTTAAAGTTTGAATTGGATGGAAAGGATTACGCTTTTATGAGTACAACACTTAAACCTGGAGAGGATCGTCTCATAAGAAGACTCATTCACAAAGTTACAAAAGCTTCACAAACAGTTCAAGTGAAGAAGAATCAAGTTGTGGAAAATTCATCTGGAGCAACTAGTGAACAGAGTTTAATTGAAAAATTGGGAACTATCAAGATTAAAGCGTTTAGAATTCAAGTTGCTTCGGAACAAACATCATCATCTTCTGTTGCTACTGCCCAAAACTCTATCAAAGCTCCAGATGTTAAAATTAAAGAAGGAATGACCAAAATGAAGGATTTATCTGTTGGTTTTGGAGCTACTACTAAAGCTCCCTCATTCCAACAAACTGGATTTGCTTATAAAGAGGAAATCAAAGCTTTGGAATTTGTTTATCATACAAGATTGGGTTACTTGTTTGAATTGAGAAAGGCTGGTATTGATATTAGTAATAAGTAATTTTGGATCATTGTCTCATTTTTTCGAGACATCTATGATTGAAACAAGACTGTCACATTTTGATTAATTGACTCAACTCAGAAAGAGGAAGAATTATTGTTTTGGAGCTGAAAAACGACTGAATCGATATTATTTAATTGAATGAAATTAGAATAAGAAAATAAACAGTTATTCCCAATTTTTAATTAAAATGTCAGAGCATGGAACAACCCCTGATGAATGTTGAGATTCCATTACAGAATACAAGTACATTTTGTGTAAATTAATCAATAAGAGTATCTGTTGTCGAGGAGATCCCATCAATACTCCAATGATATTACTTCCACAATGCACATCCAGAACATCATGACTGTCAATGTACTGAGATAGATCAGAATGGTCAGTCTTGATTTTTTCTAATATATTGTAAGGTACTGAAGGAGCATTACTCGTAGATCCAACTGCCATCAGTTGCTTCTTTCTATTATTACAAATTACAACAGTTGTAAATCCTCCATATGGCTCAATGTCCCATCCATTTACTGTTTGTGAAGAATGATATTCTTTTTCTTTTACGTAATCTCCTAAGGGTGTATTTCCAATATATCCATAAACATCCAATCGATTTGGAGTCACCTTACATGTTAAGTGACTCAATCGTAGAGCTTTGAGATTTAATATTTGCTCGTCTTTTAAATCCAGTTTCTCAAACTTGAACTTGCTAACGTGTGAGAATAATTGTCCATATTCATTCTCTCCAAAAATATAGTACGTTCCATCCACAGTCTTGACAATCAAGTGGTCGTATCCAACTGAAAGTGATGATATCATTGGGTCTGATTCAATTGAAATCTTTTGAAAATCAATTCTGGATTCTCTCATTCTCCCTGTCAAATATATTTCTCTATTGTCTTTTGAATAAATAAGAGAATTAGATGGTTCACAATGTTAATGCTTGCAAAAATATTCGAAACTTACTGAGTACAAGAATTGTGCAATTAGTTCCACAAACAGCATGAGTAATTTCAGATTTCTCTCCTATGAAATGGTGAGTTTTAACCTGAGATAGTCTCTTCTTTGCAGAGTTAGAATCACCTATCAAAATTCCAATCTCACCACTATCAGAACTGACCTCATCTATTCAATAATTATTTTTCAAATATTCGAAACTAAAACCTTTGAAAAAACTCACCTGAAAATGCATAAACATTATTACTCTCCTTCACAACCATTATATGATAAAATCCAGCTATCAAAAACTATTCCAATACATAATAATTCAATTCCAAATTATTCCAAATTAGTCCACTTTAGTATATCCAAAAATTCTCCTCCTAAAAAACAAACCTTTATCCTCGAGCGATCTTGTTTAAATTCTTCACAACTCTCCAACTCTACAAATGTATTTTCCTTCTTCCTATCATCAATACAATAAACTTTTCCCTTCACCGTCGAAACTAGACACAAATAGCCTGAGCAAATCATGTGCTCGAAAGGATCATTAATTTCCTTCGGAGCAAATGGGCGAAATTTCTGCTCTGCAAATGAGACAAATATACGATTTTCCCAACAACATGGAGTTACTCCGTGAATTCGGTTTGGATATTGGTGTGTCATCATGATGTGTTTCCTCTTCCTATTAATTAATTTGTTGCGTTTTTAATTATTTACAATTAGATGATCAAAAAAAATTGATGAAATTTTGCTGTTTGTTTTAATTTTTCTTATTTTTTTTTTCTATTTTTAAATGTAGAATGTTATTGTAAAGTTTGTTGATTTTGTTGAAATATTGCATGGGACGCTATCTCCCAGAAATTTAGCCTTAACAAGATTCGTTTCCCTCCTGATATCTCAGAATCCTCTCAACTTAGGATAGAATTTGATGGTCGTTGCTCCCGTAATGACTGGCTTAACTGGTCTAAGCGCAAAAGAATACCTAAGAATGTGGCCCTAGAAGTCTAGAAAGCACTAGCTATTTATTTGGAAAATTGCTACAAGAACTCAGTGTGGTACAACCGTCCCAATGCAAGCTTCACTATTAACAGGAAATACCTCTCTGCCTACCACAGGCAAGCTCAGTCTAACCAACCACTTAGCATCAACCCATAACACTTAAACGCTGAACCGAAACTTACTGGTTGTAGACCTCGTCTCTCAGGTCTTTACGATACAAGAGACGTTAATAAATATTACAATTTATATTTATTGAAATATTGATTGGATACTAATAGCACAAATGTCATCAACATCAAGGTTAGAGAATCCTCTCGCTTTCCATTAAAAAAAATGAGTCAACTTGCTATCAAAAAGATTGTCAAACCAATTGTCTTTTTCGATGGAGAATGCATTCTCTGCAATCGTGGAGTTCAGTTCATTATCAAACGAGATGCAACATCTGCTTCCACTGCTAACAAGATTGAATTTTGTCGTGTGCAATCCATGACCGGAAAAAACTTGTTGGAAAAATATGGAAAAACTCAACAAGAAGTTTTGGATCGTTTCGTAATTCTTGATACGAATGATAAGATTTATTCTGCTTCGACTGCTGCATTGCGTTTGGCTAAGTATCTTCCATTTCCATATCCGTTATTGTATGGATTTATTATTGTTCCACCATTTATTCGAAATGCCATTTATGATTTTGTGGCTACGAATAGATATGGATGGTTTGGAAAGTATGAGACTTGTATGATGTATAGGAAGGATTTGATGCAGAGGTTTGTGGATCAGGAAGAAATTGATCAATCTTCTAAGAATAAGGGAGCTCCAAGTTTCGAATAACAAATATTGGAAATGAGTATTCGAAAGGGTTTAGACTGTTGATTTTGGGAATAAATATTTGTGATTCTTCTTGATAAATCTTTGATAGGATATTAAGGTTGTGCAAATGGAGGCAGTGCTCAGAAGGAAAAAGAATAGTAAGTTAATGATAGGATTCGAATAGATCATTAGATTCTCTTGAGTTTGAATGTCCATTTCACTGCCCACAAATGGTGGTTTTACAAACGGAATATCCACATTCTCATAACTATTGTAATCATTCATCACTGTTTCGAATAAATTTTGATAGAATCGACTTTGAGAAAATTCGACACAACTCTCACCCAACAAGACTAAACATGCAATAGTCAATCCAAACATGCAAGCCATCCAATGGAGAGCACCCATGACAATCGTATGGTTTCGTTCAAGAAATTCTTTTTTTCTTGACTTGCAAGCCGAAATTCCCAAACATCCAACCAAAATAACAAACAAATCCAATCCAAACAATAAAATTATATTCGAAACTGCATTTCTTATAATGTAGCCACAAAATAACCAAGCTACTGTCAATCCTAAATGAACGGCTAACATGAAAACTCCCAAACTTATTAACAATACATTCGAATGAAACATTCGTATTTTGGAGATTTTGTGATGAAGGTTCTCCTGATGAGAATCACCATTTTCTATCGCATTTTCAAATGCCCTCGAATTGGTAACAGACGAAGAGTCATTATTCGAGTTCCCTTCGCTACTGATGTTACTGCCACTCGAACAACTTTCGTCTAAAGATCTTATAAGAATTGTCATGCTGTTTTTTTGTGTTTGTCCAACAAACTATTGTAACTAGATAAGAGGCGAAAATCTACGATCAGTTCACGTAGAACTGTGCACACCACTAAATCTGGAAGGTAAGTGCCACATGGTTGAGTAGAAGCATTTTTATTGGAACTAACTTCCACTGAGATATTTGTATAGTTTACAATGGAAAGTGTGCTGTTAGGTAATTATGAATATCAATTTAAAAAAACATCATTTAAATTGCCAAACAACTTGGTGAACGAAGTCGGATAAATGAATTAGAGGTGATTGTACTTTGATTTCACACATTGATAAATTGTCTCGCATATTTATTCAAACCTAGAGTATCCCAAGTGGGATGTTTATTTGGATGGAGAAAAGAAAGGAAAGACAAATTGGTTCAGTCTTGCTTTCAGTTGGACCTTATCGAGAGAATCACATGCATTTTCATCCAACAGCATAGAAGAGAGAGGTACTGTATCTTCATTATGTGATGATGCTGGTTCAATTACTTGCATGGAAAGAGTTTTTTCCATCTTGTTGTGGGTACCAGTATTCGAAACATTGGATAATGATGGAGAAGAAGTTGGGTGTAATGCTTGGTGGATAATCTCAGCTAATTCATTGGCTACACGCTCAATAATTGCATCAATGTCCATTAGTGGTATATCGAAGAGTGAGGACTTTCGTCTATCTTGCTGTAACGAAAGGGAAATGTTCAAATCATCACTTGGAGAGGATGTCAAACGGAAATCATTATTGCCATCACTATGTCTTCTATTGGTGGCTATGTGAGGTGATGTCGAATAAATGGAAGTATCTACTTCAAAATAAACAATGGATGATGTCAAGAATTGAAAACTGCTCCATCCTAGCTCTACAATAATCTTTCCAAGTCCAATAACCAAGTGGAAGGTCATCACCAACAAATCATATAATTGAGCGAACATTATCGATTCTAAACTATCTAACATTTCAATGCCGCCATATGAATAGTCCACTATCTGAGATGAAGCGCTCGATTTTCTACGTTCATTATGGTGATGTACTGAGTTAAACTCTTGACTAACTAGTGCTGAGAGAGAGATTGGACCTCTAATTGTTCCTGTCATCTTTTGTATTGATACGCGCTCAGTAGTGAAAGGCTATGTTCTTGTTTTTTTTCTGTTTGTTTGTAGTGCGTATTGAGGGAATATTTGACCTGTTTGGCCATTGATGTAAAATCTCTGCATTTGAGGAGGATGGAGGGGGACCAATTCGACTTTGTTTGTATTCTTGTAACCCCAAATAAAGCAAGAATAATTGCATCGAATATTCATACTATTAATAACAATTTGCTGAAACTGATTCTCGTCATCCAAAATCATAATTACGGAAACTTTGTTTGTATCATATGCTAATTTCGACAAGAATAGCAATTAATAGGTACAAAAGCGGTAATTTATAAAATTACACACTTCTTCTTGTTGGAAGTTGTATGTGGTTGTTCTTGTTGTTCTTGTTTGGAAGGAGAGCTACTTTTGACAGTACTCTTTCTTGAAACTTGTGATGATCCACCAGGTGAAGTTGGATCTGTTTGTTGTTGTTGATTATTGCTGCCAAAATTGAATAATAGAGAAGAACTCCTCCCTACTGTTGTTGTTGGTGAGGAAACTTTTTCTAAGGATGTTTTCTTTGATACTTGTTCAGCAGAGGAGGATGAATCTGCTCCGAAAGTTGAAATGGTAGCAAATTGACCATCAACTTCTCCCGATGGAGTTGTACTCGATAAAATCTTCTCCCCGAATGGATTCAAAGTAATTCCCTTATGTTGGAGAGTATAACGTGCAGCTCTCTGAAAAGCCACCTTTATATTTCTTCCCGATAAGGCTGAACATTCGAAATAATCAATTCCCTTAGGTGTAATGGTTGAGACATTTTTTTTTCGCGCCCATTCCTCTACTGTTGATTTTTCAACCTTTCTATTTAATTCGGGATTTTCTTCGGCCAAATCTACCTTATTGCCCTAAATTAAATATATTATAAATATTATATTATTAACAATAGAATTGTTGTTGATCAAGTTGTGATTTCGATATTTGAAATCAAATATTATTATTTCATTCCAAAAAGAAAAATGCAAAAGAGAGTAATTCGGATCAATTAAATTAAATAATATTAAATTATCAATTATTAACGTAATAACCTACCAATAGAACAATGGCTGGCCAATCATCAACATCTTTAACTCGTAATATTTGTTCGTAGAGTTCTTCTATATTTTCGTAGGACTTTTTATCATTGAGAGCAAAAACCAATAGGAAACCATCGGCTTGCTTCATCCAATTTTCCCTAAGGCTTGAAAATTCTTCCTATTATTATCATCAATATTTTGTTTTTAAATTAATATCATCAATCATCAGAGAATTACAAATAATATTAGAGTTTGTCAAGCTTGATAATACAAACCTGTCCGGCTGTGTCCAAGATGGAAAAACCACATGATTGACCATTTTCTAATTCGGTTACTTTATAATAACTATCATCATTGTTGTGGTGTATTAGAATTAAACAAGAAGATAACTACATACGAATCTTCAATGGTTGGGTCATAGTTTTCCGAGTAGCTATCAGATATGAATCTACATGTAACACACGACTTTCCAACACCACCTATCCGAAACAATGATTATAATAACACTGTCTAGAGAATCAACATACCTGAACCAATAATTGCTAGTTTAACTTCCATAGCGAACTGTTTATTGTTTCTTTTTTTCAGTGATTATGTAAAAGATGTTGACATGTATTATTGCCAAGTGATGTATTGGGAAGGATGAAGACAATTTAAGAAGAATTGTAACCTTTTTGGATTGATAGCAAGACCTTACATATTGAGGATGTTTCACATGCTAGCCATGGTAGCAATTGAAAACTCTGGACAACAAAACCAAGCCGTTCCAAATGTGATCAACTCTGTCTGTAAGGATTTGAAAATAAGAACAAAGTACGCTTCACCAAGTATCGACTGAAGAATACAATTAATCGAAATTAAGGCATGATGTTTCTGCTCATTATTTCCTCTATGTTGAGCATCATTTAATTTAAAAAAAAATGTTCTCATCTTTGGCTAGTAGACTGGTTTCTGCTGTAGGATCTCTTTTGGGTAAGAGAAATCCCGAAGAAGTACACGACCCATTGGAACCAGAAAAGAAAAAGAAAGCTTCTGGTCGATATGATACACATACAGATCACAAAGACTTTATTACCATGATATGTGAAATGAGATTAGCTCTTGCAAAGAGTGTAAGAAAATTGATACGGGATGAACTTGAGGATTGGCATGATAAGATTACTGTACTTGGAATCACAACAGATTCAAGAAATAGTTACCTTTACTCTATGCACTGTTCTATTGAGAAGAATTCTTCAAACAACAAATTTGCGATCACAAACTATTTTCTTAATTACATTGGAGCCTTTTCTCATTTTGATGAAAAAGATAGAATTCGACTAATGTCGAAAATTATTGTTGCGTTGACAACTCCAATTTTTGGATCAGTTGAACAATATTTTCAAACTCATCAAAGTGCTTTAGATACCGCTAAACAATCAGTTGACTTCCCAACACACTTCTGCTTCACAAATCCACAACCAAACAATGTAATTGTTACTTATAACAAAGAACGAGAGTATGTAGCAACAGGAAAAGTGATCAAAAGAGCCACAGTTTCAAATTCAACCTCCATTTATGTGAAACGTAACAAAAGTGCAAATGAGAATGAGATTGCACGTACACTAATGTTTGCATCCCTTTATATCATAGCAGAAAAATCCAAATATTGTCTTTCCTTAGCTGGAACTCCACTATCTCATTTTTTTAATAGCAGAAATAATCTCCCTTCTAACTCTATACTCAACTTCACTCTAGACTTGCTTGCTCAATTGTACATGCTAGAACAACAAAGTCACATTCACAATGATGTAAAACCAGAAAAGTTGTTTACTTAGTTTTTAGGATATAGAGCTCCAGAGAGAAAAGATAATGATCTTGTCTCCCCAAAAAGTGACATTTATTCCCTAGGTTTGGTAATTCTCGGAATACTTGGAGGTAACAGATATAAAAATTGGGAATCAAAAGACGAGAAGGAAATCTTTAAGAAATGTGATGGATTCAAAGACTCTGCAGTACACAAGTTTATTAAGAGAATGTTATACACAGATACAGGGCAAAGAGGCTCTCCATTAAATTTAGTGGAATTATTGGCATCAGATATCGAGATTAAACCTAAATTGATTGAAACTTTGGATTATTTTAAGAAGAGGGATAGATTTTGGAATTTATTTGAGATCAACGATATTGATGTTGCTCGTACTTTGTACTTTGAATGATTTCTCAACCAAAATTCCAAGAATATTTAGTAGTGAGGCAATTGAAATTGCTCTCAATTTTGTACTATGAGCCCAATTTGAGGAATGAGGATTAGTTTTTAGATGGTTGTTAAAACTGGAATTTTGCTCAACCTTAGTTATTGAAAGAGAAACATCTATGTAATCCAATCATTATTGAAGAAGATGAAAATAATACAAAAACAGATAATGAAGAAATTGAAGTAGAGAAGAAAACATCATATCATCAACGCTGACTATTCTCTCAATAATTCCTTCGTACATTTCTCCAAATGGTTTTGTTTTGAGGACATGCGTGGAAAATTCCGTAAATACCCACCAACAAGACAACACCAACCAATACTAGCAATATTATTTCTCATGAAACATTCAAGAAACCATCAATTGGTAAAAAGTCAAAACGAAATCCTAGTTAAATGAGATCATTTCAATCTTGCGAAAATGGGCCTACATTTTAACACGTTGGAAACGTAAGGGTCTTTTATAGTATATTGACTTGACCAATTTTGAAATAAGGCGCAATATTTTCGGTCCAACATGACCACCAAAACCTAAACCAAGTCACAAATTATGAAGACACCAACTAGCTCCTCCTCACTGCTGCGCAACACCCAAAGAAAAGCAATTTCCTTAGAAGAGCCTTAATGATTTTTCTTAGGTAACAAGTTTCCCTAAGAAAAACCACACCGAATCAACAGCAATTGAAGTCAGTGATTTCTTCCCACGTTCATCTACTAGCTGACAGTATTATTAATTGTATAGTATAACCAAAGTAGAAGAAAATGTCTGCTGAGAATAATCCTCTGCCCAACAATGAGCAACACTATAAGGGAACTCCACACAATAGCAATGCGAATAATAACATGTGGGGTTTGTTGGATAATCCACCACATGTCAATCTCTCGACACAACTCCTTCATGGCAGTGTGAATTTTAATAATAGCACTAATAATGTGACCACCAATACAATACAACAACAGGACAATTCTTCATCAATTATTAGTTCACCCACTTCAGCATCAGCAGCCAACAATTCAGTCTCAATTATGAGATTTGTCAAGGATAACATGTGGCAATTCTTCTCCGTGATTCAACACAGGTATGCTGTTAAGGGAAGGAAAATTTATATACTTTTCACATTATTACACATTTACTATTCGTATGTGGTGATGATTTTACCAACATTGAGTTCACAAATTAATTCTCCTGCCTTCTCTGCAACAACTACCACGACAACTAATTCTAATAGTGGAACAATCAACAGAGACACAACACTTCACAATTATCCTTATGGTTTCTATGGGACTTGGCTGTTTAAAGCAATGAATTATCCTATAACATTATCATTGGATTGGATTCCCTATGAGGCTGCTATTGCCGTTACAATTTTTGGTTTATCAGTTGCCTTAGTTCATATAACGATTCTATTTCTCACATTCAAGACTAATTTCGGTCGATTACAAGAGAAACTCAAGAATATTTCCTTCATGTTGGCCATCTTTATTCTTTTCATTGGACCACCAACAGCATTTGTAATGACTTCCTTTATTGACTGCAATTATCAGCAATTAATTTTTTCAGTCATTGACAAGATGTACTCTGCCTCTCTGTGGAGATATCCCAATGTAATTTGTTCGAGTAGTATGAACGTGAGCATGATTGTTGTGTCCATCATTTCAATAGTCTTGTTTAGTTTTGGTTGGCTCTTTTCCTTATTCATTTTACCAATGGCCAATCCAAAGAGTCAAATTCCCTTCCTCATTTCCTACAAACTACCAATGTGTGTCATTTACACATCAACTGGATTCAGAATTCTGGTTCATTTCGCCATTCCATCTCAATACTCGTATGCCAGAGCCGCATTCCACATTGTGGCCTCGATTGGATTTATTCTCTTCTTTACAGATACAGTTCCACTGTATCGACGTGTGGAGAATAGTATATTCTTTTCAGTCTTGTGCACTTATTGTGCATTTGCTGTTGGTTTGTTAGTTTCATCAATTGTGAACTCGTCAACAGCTATCATGAATTATGATCTTCTAGGAATTGGATTAGGAGCTGGTTTGACAGTTGGTTTACCAATTGTTGTTTGGATACTTTCATTCACAGGTTTTGAAATTTACACACGAGTAGTATTTAAAAACATCCAAAAGATTGTGAGAAGAAAATTGGAACATGATTCTCAACATGATAATTTTGAAACAGCTCAATCATCAATTTACATGATGTGCGAAGAGTATTCCATGAGAAATTTGAAATTCTATCTTCAATTCGTGAGTCAAATGCCAAAATCACAAGAAATGGTTCAAGCTTTGAGTTTTGTGAAATCTGAATCTCCACAAAAGTTTTTCACATCACCTTCCATTTTAATGATGGCAAGTGATCTTGTCGCTAGATGTTGGGGAGATGAAAATAGATTGAACTTTGCATTGTTCCTCCTTAAGAAGGCATTGAAACATAATGAAGGTCCTTGGCTTGCCATGCAAATTAAATTCAAATTGAGAGATGTTGAGAGTGAATTGTTTGAAAATGCAAATTATGGAAAATTTGGATATGCTGTGAAAAATGTTTTGATGGAAATTGAAAAGAAACAAGATCAAATCAAATCAATTCACAAACTATTTTGGAAGGAATTATTGAGTGATATTCCAAATAATGAAAAACTTGAAAGAATCAATGCAACAGCCACACATTTGACCCATTACTGTGAAGAACAATTTGAACACTTGTTGGCAAACTTTGCACACGACAAGACTGTATTGAGATATTATGCCAACTTTTTAGAAACTATCAAACAAGATAAGGAATCAGCAGTAACTTATTATGAAGAAGCGGCCTCCTTGGAAGAAGAAGATTCCAAGAATAAGTTTACCATGAAACGTTTCAGAAATAAGGTCATTCCAGAGTTGGCCGAGTCACAATCTTGGAATTTTATGAGAAGTTCCAGTAGAAAGGAGTTCAACAATGAAGATGTTGAGAAGGATTCGTTTGATGGAGTTGAGAAACAACTCGAAAAGAAACAAAATATTTATAGAAATTCATTGAATACTCCATTCAAATCTCGTTCTAGATTGATTAGCTTTTGTGCGTTGAATATGATTGGATTGGGTTTGTTGTTTGTGGCGTTTGTCCTGTCATTGGTTTATGGAGATTATTTATCAAAGACTGATTTGGTAAAAGTGTCAAGTTTACCAATTTTAACACCTGGAGCATTGTTGAGAGATATTAGAATGAGACAAATTGTTTATGAATTATTCAATGTTGAAAATAAGACCTATCCCTCAAATGGTACTTCCGAATTTAGTTCACTTTCTTTCTTTTTATCAAACTATAAGGATAGAATTAGACGTCAGAGAGAAATCTTATTGGACTTGAGTAGTAAATCAAGATCTGGGGAATTTACAAGCAAAATGTATGCTGACTTTATTAGGGAAGATAATGTAATTTCGATTCCTGTTGCAAGTGAAAGTGGAAAAGTAGAGTTCAAGTCAACCTTTCCAAAGAATACTTCAATTAGTGATGTAGTTCATGAACTTATTCAACATTCCACTTATTTTAATTTGGCCTCTGATTCTGAATTTAACAAGACAACAACTTCTTATCCATTCATGTATATTTACCATAATAGGAGAACTGCACCTGATGTGACCTTTGCATTTTTCAAGAATTTTCAAGAGAGCCAAAAGTTCGTCGTTGATTATGTGAATGAATTGTTGTGGAATTACATTTTAATTTCAGCACTGGTCTATATTGGAATCTTTTCCGGATTTATCATCATGTCCAGAGTTGAAATGCAAAGAATTTCATTCATCCTAGCTCTATACAGAAAGCTGCCAAAAGACATGATTGGTGTCATTTATCATGAAATTGATAAGAAGGGAGAAGATGTCAAGTATGAGAAGAGTAATATCTTTTTAAGACCAAAGGAATTTTCACTTGTTGTTGCATTTTGCATTATTTTCATTATTGCCGCCTATTCTGGAATTATTTACTTTGAAATTTCAGAGAATGTTAGCACTTCTACTGATAATTTGACTACTGTTAATCAATTATCAATTTTGATTAGAGCTGCCCACAGGTTGACCATTCGATTGGGTGAATTATTTGCCTACTTTGGATGTCCTACTGGAAGTCCAGTCAATATTGTAGTTTCACCTAGCTATGTGGCTCAATATAGACAAGATGCAAGAGGTTTCGTCAGTTTAATTACATCCAGTTACAATGAAGTTGTTTATGGAAATAATAACAGTCAACCATTAATTGGAAGATTCTCCAAGATTGATAACATCATTAATGGACCATCCAATTGTACAGCTGATTCACCAGTTGAAGAATGTTCCAGTTTACAAACCTTCATTTCAGCGTTTACAATTTCAAGTTCTCAAATGACTGAAGAATTTTTCAATCCAACTTATCAAAAATCTGATTCACTTTTTTATCAAGTTTTGAAAATTTACAATATGAATGATGTTCTTTATGAAAGATTAATGGATTTGATGAATTTATTGTTCATTTCCACTTCAGAATCATTCAAAGTTTTGACTATTACCTTTTTTATCTTTGGAGTTATACTTTATTTATTGTTTAGTTCATTGTTATTGTATAGTTTCTTGATTTATGATAGACAGATCACTAATTTGAGATCTTTCTTGAATTATTTACCTGTTGATTATATAGATTCAAGTGAAGCTATGAGAAATTTCATTTATTTCAACTCACTCACAATATTCAAAAAGAAAATTAAGGAAGCAAATGATGATTCATTGAGAAATGTGTTGAGTTCAATGGTAGATGGTGCTCTTCTTGTTAATGAAAAATCAGAAATTATGTTATTCAACTTGACAGCTCAGAAAATGTTTGGAAAAGCTCCAGAAGAAGTTATTGGTTTGAAATTTTACAACTTGTTCGAACCAAGTCAAAGTGAAAAATTGACATCTGTGGTCAAACAAGTGAAATCATCGTTGACAGATCCAAACTCAAAACATGGTGAAACTTTGGAATTGGATTGTATCAGAAAGAATCAATCTAAATTTCCAGCCATTGTAAACATTTTTGCAACACGTGAAAGAGGAGTTGTCATTTATGCCTTCTTTATTAAGGACATTACATCAGAAAAGAAACAAAATGCATTATTGAACGAGGAAAAGAAGAATTCTGAAAATTTATTGAGAAACATCTTGCCAGATTCTGTTGCCTTCAAATTGAAAGCAGGTGAAACATTAATTGCTGACAAGTTTTCTGATATCACCTGTTTCTTTTCAGATATGGTCGGTTTTACCAAGTTTAGTTCTGGAATGAATCCAAATGAATTGGTAATCATGTTGAATACAGTGGTTAACGGCTTTGATGATTTAACAGACAAGTATCAATTGGAGAAAATTAAAACAATTGGAGATGCATACTTTTGTGTAGGTGGATTGCACGGATTAAATGCTCAATCAGATCACCCTGAAAGATGTGTTAAATTCGCAATTGACACTCTCCAAGTAATCAAAGATTACAACATTCAAAATCCACATGCACAAATCAATATTCGTGTTGGATTGAATACTGGAAGTGTTGTTGCAGGTGTGATTGGAAGAAAGAAATTTGCCTATGATTTATGGGGTGATACCATTAATATTGCCTCAAGAATGGAATCAAATTCATTGTCAGGAAGAATTCAATTATCGAGATCAAGTTATGAAAGGGTTTATGATATTTTCGAATTTGAGGAACGTAAAATTGAAGTGAAAGGAAAAGGAATGACTCTTGCTTATTTATTGAAAGAAAAACATCATTGCAATCCAATCATTACCATTCAATCACATGATGATGAAGATGATGTGAATACTGATAATGATGAAATTGAGGTAGAGAAGAAACCATCCATGCAAAACCTGACTGCTCACTCTCCAAATAGTGGCATTCCAAATATCACTAGAGAACACAGTTTGAATCAACATGGCAACAATAGTACACCAAATGTTATGAGTGACACTATGGTATTCTAATGAGCTGAATAAATAATGATCTTAATCTAAATACATAGGAAAATACCAAAAAAATATTTCAAAAATATTGGCAACAACCAGTCCCTCACAACGCTCTTGATTCCTTCTTGGAGTAGTTTCACATCTATTAACTCAAAGAATTTCACCACATCATCTCATAGTAATAATTTTTGGAATTTAATCCTTCGCCATGTGATTTGGAAATTATTTTATTGTTCTATTAGGAATAATTCAAATTGGTAAATAATCATCCACAACCATCATGTGATAGTAGTATACATGGGTATTGTAAGACCATACTTCTCCGTCACTTCTCAAGTATATTTAATACAAGTTATGTTTTACAACATGAAACATTGTATTTGGTGGTATGATGAAAATCTATTAATGATGGGATTGATAAACCAAAATACTTTTTTGGGGTTGTGAATTCCCAACCTTCCTTGCTTCTTTCTAATCACAACGAAGTTTCTAACGAAAAAAACCACACAGAAAAAAAACATGTCAACCCAAACAACAAAACCCTCCATTGTTCTCTTCATTAGGACCTCAAATTCATCAAAGAAGCAATCAATAATTTGTGATCATATTAGAAAGATGACTTTTGGCAAGCCCCATGAAGGTAATGCTCTATTAGTATTACAAGTTGGTTCAGAGCCAATTCTACTTGATGATCTTGTTATTAAATTGAAAGGATGGAAGATCGGACAACATGTTTCACAAGAACAACAACCTCCTCACTTTGTACATACTAACAAGTTGCGAGATTGTTTGCAGTATTCGAAAGGTTCAACTCTTAAAAATTCTTCATGTACATTCAATGCATTGGATGTGAATGCATGCAATCAACTTGAGAAAGGACAGCACTATGCTATTCGATTGAGTGATGTTAAATTGGCCTTTCTTCCACCTTCACTAGATTTTGATCAAGTGCAAGTTGAAATTTTCAAGAAGGATCAACTTGTTGGTGCAATTTCACATTCAAAACAAGAGGCCATCGACAGTCATATCGAAATGAGTGCAAAGAGTCTTGTTAGTAAATGGAAAACAAAATCAAGATACGAACATTTGGATTTGATAGATGGAGTTGGAGCTGCAGATTTCATTGTAATTAATGTAGACGCTCTTATTTCAATGGCTTTAAAAAAGAGTAATGGATTGGATTGGAAAGAGCACGGTGGACAATGGTTGCATCTTGTATGGTTATGTGAAAAGATGCTCTCACTTCTAAAGTCCAGAAATGTGAATTTTGATCTAATTTGTTTTAAGAATTCAATTATTATGGATGGCAATTTCAGCTTTTTTGTTGCGAGAATGATAGTTTTCAATCATTTGAAAAAGTATTGTACCTTTCCATGTTACTTGTTTGATTCATTATTATCAAAAGAGTGGGAGGAATATATCAGACAAGCCAATCCATCTGCAGTTATTTCAAGTGATTGCAATTACACAAATGCTTATTTGAATTTGATGTCTAATATTTCCTATATTGTAACAAATGTTGAAGAAGGTGCTAAATCTGTACTAGGTGATGTTTATTCAAGTGCTTACCTATCATGGGTTAGGTCTGTAGAGCCAGAGCTAGACAATTTGTCAAAATTTTTACAAAATTCTTCAATTTCTAGCACTTTGAAGATTAGAGAATTTCACCAATTAGAAAATGTTATGAAACAAGTTAATGAATTACAATTACATAGTAATTTTACAAGACTTGAGGTATTTTTAAGCTCTTTCCTATTATTTATTGAAAATTGTAAACAAGACAAAGTTATGGAAAGCTTGTTTTATGGTATTTCAATGATTTATTCAGTTGTCTTGTTGGATTACCTACCAATTGAAGCTAGACATTGTAATTTGAAAGAGACAATCAATGAATTGACACAATTCATGCAAGAGTTATACAAGTATTGCTCTATGGTACTATTTGAAATTGATAATTTCCAAGATATTTCATGTGATTTATTGGATTGTAGATTGATTCATTGGCTGATTTTGAATTTCAAACCAAACAATCCATTTACACTAAATCAATGGATAGAGATTATATGTGAATTATCACCACAGCCTGTAAAAGATAGCTTGAATAAGATAGTACTATTGTTGAAAGAAAGAGTGTCATTCGATTTTGACTCTGACTTTGAATTTTCATCTATTGTCAGCCCTTACATTAGAAATTATGCCTACGACTACAGTAATAGCAAAAACAGATGCACAGTATTAGAAGTTAAAAATAATTTCATTAACACATTCTGTAATTTACAATCTAGCTCAGTGATCCAAGAAGATTCCTTTAAAAAACCTTTATTTTATGATATTTATCACTTTCACTCCACAAGATTGATAACAGACACTGCAGAACATTTAGAAAGGAACAAGTATTCAACAGTTGACAAAACAAGAGAAAAGTTGAACGGAATGGTTGAATTATTTAAGAAAGTGAATAAGTGCAAAGAAATAGCAACTGAACAAGTACCAAAAGATTTAAAATTCACTGAGCATGTCAATGAAAAGAATATTATGAAAATAGTTTCTGAAAATTATGAAAAATCACAGAAACCACTGAATGCCATTAAGGAAATTATTAGAAAACAAGAAAGTCTTGTTAAGAAAAAAGAAGACGAAGAAGAAACCTTTTCAATTTCAGAATTAGTATCAATTTCACTTACTATCCAGGAAAATATTCAACAATTTATACCTATTATGGGCAAATACAGTCCAAAGAATAACACCACAATGGTTTTTGGCAAGAAATTGTACATTCAATTATTAGATTCCTTCAAATATCAACTTCCAAAATCAAGAAAACCTATAGAATCTAAATTATTACAAAGAACAGTAGAGGGTCCCACATCTAAAATTTCATTGAACGAATTGGAAGAGCAAAAAGCCATGTACAGATTGTACCACGTTAATAGTTGGATAAGATTTATTTATTCATACTTGATGGAACTAAACAGTCTATGTCTCTATTTCACTGAGAAGGAAATTGCCAAAGAATTGGAAAATCTTGCCACCTCTGCCAGAATGTTTGGATTTTGTCAAACGGCACAATTAATTGAAAATGAAATTAGTCCAAAGAAAATTTCCAAACACGAGGAGGATATTATTGATCCAAATTATTTATTTTTATATCATTTTGAAAAAACAGCACCAACAACACCTCCATTAGAAAGATTTACAAAGAAGAAACATAACCAAATTTTAAATGAACTAGTTCAAGAAAAGGTTCTTCTAATAGAGAAACTTAAAAAAGACTCCTCAACTAAATCTAGAGAAGAAATTTCACATGAAATCAAGAAAGTGAATGTAAATATCAAATTGAGAGAGAGTTTAACATTTACACCTGATGATTGGCAAAATCAACTTATTTCTTATGTAAATAGAGATGAATCTGTGTTAGTCTCAGTGCCAACTTCAAATGGTAAAACATTTATTGTATTTTATTTGATTGAAAAGGTGTTAAGAGAAAGTGAGAATGGTGTAGTATTATTTGTTGTGCCAAATAAGGCATTAGTCAATCAAGTTTATTGTGAAATCCAATCAAGATTGAAAAAGAATCAAAATAATATGGCCACAGCTGGTATGGCTACAGCAAATACAAGATTGGATGTATTTAATTCTCAATTACTTGTCATAGTACCTGCAATGTTGGAGATTTATTTAATGAGCTCAGCTCCAAAGGTTCTTGAGTGGAGAAAGAGAATTAAATATCTTGTCCTTGATGAAATACATTGTATAACAAGTGATGATCAAGGTGAATACTATGAACATTGTATTCAATTATTAGATTGTCCTGTCATTGGATTATCTGCTACTTTGGGTAATTCTGAAAAATTTGCAAAATGGATGACTCATGGATCGAGAGATAATGTACATTTAATTTATGAACCTGATTATAAAAGGTTCAATCCATTAGAATATCATAACTTTAATGGAACAGAAATTTCTCATTCACATCCATGTGAATTATTTAATCCAAAATATCTAAATGAAAAGGAAATACAAAAATGTAGAATGATGACAATAGATGAATGTTTCCAATTAAAGAGAATGCTATTGGAAATAGATCAATCCGATGAGATGAAGGAAATAATCGAAACTCATGTTGGCTATCATTTATTGAATCGCAATAACCAATTGTCATGCATAACTTGGAATGATCACATTCAGTACAAGCTTGGCTATAAACAATTAATGATCTACCTAGTGAATCATCCAACCAAACACAAAGTACTTTCCACTGTAGTGAGCTCATTACAAATGTCATACGCAGACGAAAATATTAAGCCAGTTGAATTTGTAGATGATATGATACACTTGATCATCAAAATGAAGAAGGAAAAGATGCTTCCCTCCATAGTATTCATTTTAGATAGGAGGATGATTGATCTTATGGTTAGAACCTTACTGCATAGAAATGTCTATTTATATGAAAATGAGGAAGATTGTCCGAGAGCTGATATTTTGAGACTAAATATTGATGATAATGATAGCGAAAAGACTATCAATAGGTATTATATTGATGCACTATCTCATGGAATTGGAGCTCACTATGCTGGTATGAACGATGGCTATTTAATTGAAATTGAAAGACTCTTTAGAGAGAAGAAATTACCACTCATATTTACAACCTCCACTCTAGCTCTTGGTATTCATCTTCCTTGTAAAACAGTAGTTATGGCTGGAAGTTCCATTTATTTAACCAATTCACTTTTTAAACAATGTTGTGGAAGAGTTGGAAGAAGAGGAATAGATCAGAAAGGTAAAGTTATTCTATATGGACTGAGTAAACCAAGAATTAGAAGATATTTACTGTCAGAACCTATTTCCATCAATGGAACAGTTGGCTTAAAACCAAGCTTCATTCTTAAAATGTTTACATCTCTTAATCAAGCTGAACAGGATTTAAAATCTGGTGAAAAAAATCCATTCCAAGATGCATTCCAAAGAGTATTAGAAAAACCATTATTTTCCATTAATGAAAATACAATGATTGCAACACAATCACAAATGTCATACTTTATCAGATTCCATACAGAATTTTTGAGACAAGCAATGTTCCTTAATAAGAAATGTAATCCTCTTCAATTGAGTGGATTAATTGGACATCTCCATTATAGAGAACCTTTCAACTTTTTAATGGCACACTTTTTACAAACTCGAATTTTTGAAATGTTGGATATTAACAAGATTAGGGAACACGAATTTGATAAGATTATTTTAACCATTTTTACTTTGCTCTTTGCCAGATATAGAGTTGGCAAACACATGTCGCAAAATACGTTGGACACTGACTTTACGAAAAACATGTCCAATATTTATAGGAAAATGATTGAGAAAAATGTTGAATTCAATAATGAAACATTGGGAATTTATTCCAATTATGCTATTGCCTATTGTTTGAGTGAAAAATTGAAAGATGAAACCCTTCCACTTTCTGATTATTCAACAATTATTTTAAAGGAATGTGAAAGTGAGTGCAAACTATTTACCGAATTGAAAAAGAGTCGATCTACAAATACTCACTCAATTTCTTCATTTTCTGCATTAAGTGGAAATGAAGATGGTAAATATCTAACAGAAGATCATTTCTTTTCCACTCTAAAGCATACAATTTCAATTAATAAGGCACACGTACCATTTACTAGTGCTTTGTCTGATGAAGACCATCCAATAAGTTGTTTCCTTTTGGATTACTATGGACATGGATCTTTGAAGATTCTCACAGAAGATCATCAATTTATCAACATTGGTGCAAGCTCTAAACTTATCAGTGAAGCCATTAGAGATTTGAAGAAATTGAGAGCTAGTTTGATTAATGAAGAAATATTTTCATTTTCAATTTCAGATTATGAACGAAAATTGGATAGTGGAGTTGTTTCTGAATGGTTAGTTAAGGAGTGTCCTTGGTTGAAGAATAATCCCAATTTAGAATTGATAACATTTGAAAAACTCTATAATTGGTTAACAAAAAACGTGCTAGAGATAGAGGTATCTGCACTGTTTCCTATTAGGGGAAATGGATTGAAGATGTTGAAAAGAAAAATTGAAAATAGATTTGCTCATCCAATTATTCAAAGTCTTGATAGAATCTTATCTAAACTTGAGGAAGGTGAAAGAAGAGAAAGACAACAATCTTTTAATGAAAGAAAAGAAATCAAACAAAAGAAACAATCATTGCGGAATGATTTGGATTCAGTTGAGAGTTTTAAGGGTATCAAGCATGCAAAATCAAATTTCATGTGAGATCACTGCTTTCTCTATGTACTTTGATAATTCTTGATTTTTTAGTGAAATAATTGGAATTTGCCATGGTAGATACTTTAAAAAATTCAATAAATTACAATATTATTTACTTCTTACACATCCCTGAAGGATTTGTGTTGCCAGTTCCTTTTCAGATGAAGAGTAAAAATCAGCCAAAATGATCTTAATGTCATTCTTCGAGTCTAGGTAAATAAAATCCTTCAACTTTTCAATCATTTTGAGTTTGGAACTACAAGTGATAAGGTCTACCATTGTGAAAATCTTGAGAAGATCCATTGCATTCATCTTTTGAATGTTTCCACTTGAAATCAAAAGATCAAGGAATTCCTTCTTACTGAACGAATATTTGAGAATTCCACTAATAGCTTCAATTTGAGGAATGGTTAACACTTCTGTTGAATTCCATACAATTCGTTGCAATTGTGATGATAAATTCCACTTATCTTTAGCTCCTTGATGCACTATCTCAGCAAACAGTGTACTTGATCCTCCCACTTTTTTCACCATTGCATTGGTAAATGATCTAAGTTCCAAATAATTTTGAATATTTCCTTTCACCGCAAATGCTGTTATGACATAAGCAATTCTAAACATCCATTTTTGACCTGTGGATAGATCAGATGGTTTGAATCCAAAGACTTCTAATAAGTGGTTTCCAACAGCTACGAACGGCATCTTGGCAACATTCCAACAGAGTTTCATGATTGAGTTTTTGGATTTTACAATCTTTTCTCTTTCCTCTTTAAATTTAGTAATTTTAGATTGAATGAAATTAACATCTTCTTCCTTTTGATTGAATGAAATGGTTGACTTGAGAATTTGTGAGTCTGCTCTCGTGATACCATACTTTCCAATGTCATCTCTCAATAATTGTAAAAATTCAAAACAATTTTGTAACTTTTGATCTCCAAAAAGTGGAATTTCACTACTATCAATGAATAGAATATTTCCAACAGAAGCAGATCCAATCTTGTAATTATAAACAATTTCAGGTCTCTGAACAGTGAATTGATTTGAAATGTATTCACTAATTAGAGGATAGGTTGATGGAAATTGTGTCACGAAAAACTTGGAAAGAATGTTTGAATGAGTCTCCAAATCTGGAATTTTGAAAAACACAGTGGAAGAGAATGAATTTTGGTCAAAGGTTGGAACTGCCATCAAGGTAACTTCCTCAGATTGGAAAACATGAATTTCATCATCACTCATCAATGGATTCAACACATCAAATGGAATATTCAATCTCATGTAAGCATAATTTGATGGAGATTGAGAAACTGACAAGCTTGAATTAAAACTACTCAATAATGATCTCAGAACGAAACTCTTTCTCTCACAATCAATAATCATTTGTGAGAGAATTTCTTCTTGATTTCCTTCCTTGGTGATATATTTGAGAGATGGCAATTTCTGGTCTTGACTATTCTTAATTTCCATTTGTTCGTCAAAGCATTCCAATCGCATTTCAACATTTGGACTTGTTTGTGAAAGAAAGTCCACAATTGCTCTCTTCAAATCGCTCACTTTAATCAAGGCCTTTCTTTCATTAATAGCTGATAATTCTCTCTTATTGTCCAACATGATATTCACAGAATATCCCTTCAAATTCCTATAAGAAACCTTTCCTTTCAACAAGTGCCAATCAATTAACTTTCCCAAACTTGCAGTTCCCTCAACATCCAAAAACAACACATCATTACTATTTCCCGATTCAAATGATGAAGTCAATATAAACTTTTGCATTGGATATTCCCTTGCCAAAAACAAGGTAATTAAATGTGCAGTCAATGAACATTCACTTCTTCCTGCATTAATAATGATCGGATTCTCACACCCGATGTGTTTTCCATTTGATGATGATGATGATGAAGAACTCGAAGCAGCAGCAGTACTTGATACGGTCATTTCTTCTCCCAATTTTAAAATATTATGAAATTTAATTATTTAATTATTTGATGATGAGAAATCTTTGTTTTTTTTTGTAAGTTTTGAAAAATTTTGTCTAAAAAAAGAATTTTTGTTCAGTAAAAGTTCTTCTTTCAGCCAATTGATTTGATATTTCAATCAAAATGATTCAAATCCAATACAAATCCAATAGATTGGATGGCTTTCACACTTTCCGTATGATCCTTTTACAATAGAATACACTTTTCAAAGTTCATCAATAATCGAACCATAAAAACTGGAAAAAATGTCGTATTTCAATGATGATGATCATAAACCTAGCCGTTATCATACAAAGTGCACAGGAGAAATTGAGAAATCAGAGAAGGTACTACCTTGGTTGGACATGAAGAGGAGTGATTTGCAGATGAAGGAAATTGCCACTCTGATTAGACAAACAAGAAGAAATCAATTGCTGAAGATGATTAATACGACTAATTCCGAAGCAAATTGTTACATTCCCAAAATTCGAAATTTAATTAATCAAATTCCTGATGAAGTGTATACAATACACATCTTTCCGTACTTGAAAGTTGAGAGCTTGGCTGGAAAGTGCTCATTGGTATGCAAAAAGTGGTTTTCCAATGTTCAATTAGCTCACGTTTCGATCAATAACTTTGATAAACTTGGATGGAAAAGAGAAAAGCATCTCTCCAATATTGTGAAATCATTTAAATGTCTTGAAAGTTTAGTGGCATTTCATGGAGGAAATGAGGATTATAGTTTGATTAGATTCCTTAGTGAGAATGCAACTAGTTTGAGAAAATTAGAATTGAGTGGAAACTCGTTTAATCAAGGTCATATTGTGACTAGATATATAACGAATGGGAAATTGAACAATTTGGAAGAATTGGCATTCAAAGACTATGAATTGGAAGAGAGGGGAATACTGCATCTCACTAAACATGAATCTTGCTTGAAGAACTTAACGAGTCTGGAAATTTCGGATAAGAATATTGGAAAGCACTTGGCACATTTGAGTGTTTTGGAAAATTTAAAATCACTAACAATTTCATATTGCATTAGTGATGAGAAGGTAATTGAAACATTGTGCAATGGTTTGAAGAATTTGGAGAAACTTTCTCTTTCCTTTAACACACCAACAGTTGATCCAAAATGTTTCAAGCACATTGCCAATCTTTCCAATTTGAAATATTTTCACACCACTTCAATGAGCAATGAATCTGCTCAATATCTATCGAGTGGAAAGTTGACAAACCTCAAGACCCTTTCATTACTATTTGTAACAATGGAAGAGGGAGTGTTGGAAAGTTTATTCTCTGGAAATTTAAATGAAATAACCTGTCTACACTTGAAATATTGTACATTTGCAAGCATGAAACCAATTGCAACCAATCTCCACTCTCTCACAACATTAGAAATTTCTACTGGTAATGATTCTCCACTCCTATTACACGAACTTTCAGTGGCAAATTGTAAACTTTTAAATTTTCAATGTTATGCTCACTCTGGTTTTACACCACTTTACAATTTCAATTCTCCTACATTTTCATCTCTGAAAGTTTTAAATTTAAGCCAAACTTCAAGTATTGGCAATCAGTTGAATGAGTTATTGCAAGGTAAACTCATCCACTTGCAAGATTTGAATTTGAAATTAACAGGAATCACAGACGAGGATTTGAAAAGTATTCGGAATGCCATTAATCAAACTCCAGAAACAGAAGAGCAATCATTTGGTCAACTAACTCGATTGAATCTTTCACTGAATAAGATTGGAGATGAAGGTTGTAGATACCTCAGTGAGTGTCGTGGCTTGTACAATCTAAGGAAGCTGCAATTGAAGAATAATAGAATTGGAGAGGAGGGAAGTAAATACTTGATAGTATTTGCTTTGGCCAGACCAAAGTTTACCAATTTGCAAGGTTATTCTCTCCTTGCCAATGATGATGATTAATATCCCTTCAAAGCGGGATCACTTTCTTTGCTGGTTATTCAATGATGAATAGCATGCTCTTCCTATTGTTGATTTTTTTTGATGATTTTTTTTAAAATATGTAACGGCTAGTCTAGCGGTTTCTTTGGCTGTACTTAAAGCAATAAGAACATCCTTCCATGATGATGGTGGTAGTACTACCATAATATCCTTCACCTTCATCCAACAAATTCAATTTTTTCATGAAGATGACAATCAACAACAACTCCATACTTCGCAAGTCCTTCCACTTCAATCCAATCTCATCAAAAGAATCCCATGATCATCAATTCATTAGAAAAAAAGTAACAACAACAACAATAATTGATATAACAAACTCAACAGTAAATTAAAAGAGAGTAAATCACACAATGCTCAATACTAGTAGTAATTATTTAAAAACCAAGCACTTTGCTCATCTCTTTGAAAATCTCTCCTTTGCCAATACATTTTGCAAGGAAACTCTTGCTGATCCCTTAGGGCAATTAAACAAGACTCGACAAGTGCTGGGCTCCATGTATTCATATGTGGATTCTACACCATTGGAGAAGGCTAAATATGCCTTTGATCCTAGTAGTGGACGTTTACTTCCCACTCGACAACAAGTTTCCGAAGACTTTGATGATCAAGATGAAGAGAGAAATAATAGAAGTAATATATTGTCATCTTCATCATCATCATCTGTGGGTATATTGAAATCTGCAACATCTGATAAGGGAGTAACATCTGATTTTATTAATTTAATTGATTATAACAGGTATTCTCGTTTTGAATTTGTGATGGCTTCGAATAGTGTTGCAAAGGAATGTTTGAATGGAGACTTGTTGTCGAGTGAAAGTGGTGATGAGAGAGGAGTGAATGGAGTGAATGACTTGATTACTGTGGAACATTTGATGAAACAACAGGAGAAGGAACATGATTTGGATAATTTTGTAAATATACTATCTGGATATGATCTTGTAAATAGTACTAAATATTATGCACATTGTTATGGTGGTTTTCAGTTTGGAAATTGGGCTGGTCAATTGGGTGATGGAAGAGCTATTAGTATGGGACAAGTTGAAACACCATTCACAGATATGGATTCGTCTGGTTTCGAGTTTAACAATAGTAGAAATTCCTACAATTATATCAAACCAAAGAGATTGTGGGAGTTGCAATTCAAGGGAGCTGGTCACACACCATTCTCTAGACATGCAGATGGAAGAGCAGTATTGAGATCTTCTATTAGAGAATTTTTGGGTAGTGAATTTATGGACAGTTTGGGAATTGCTACAACGAGAGCATTCTCACTTGTGAGAAGTAAGGAAAAGGCAGTCCTCAGAGATGAATTCTATGATAACAATCCAAAATATGAATATGGAGCTATTGTATTGAGAGTTGCTCCAACTTTTGTCAGATTTGGATCCTTTGATATTTTCAATTACAGATATCATCCTATCAATGAAAAGGAAAAGGCATTGGAAGAGAAGAAGAATATCGAAGTATTGGCTCGTTATGTCATTAAGAATCACTTCCCTCATTTGTGGATTAATGGTGATCTCACTTTGGAATTGAAGGAAAAGTTTTCAAAGGAGATTGTTAGAAGAACTGCCAAATTATGTGCTGATTGGATGTCTGTTGGCTTTGTTCACGGAGTTCTCAATACGGATAACATGAGTATTCTAGGATTGACTATTGATTATGGTCCATTTGGATTTGTTGATTATTTTTCTGAAGATTTCGTACCAAATAACAGTGATAGTGACGGTAGATATCGTTACAAGAATCAACCAGCTATTGTCTTTTGGAATTTACAAAAGTTGATGAGAGCTTTCACACCAACACTCCTTCCAGAGGAATACTTTGCCAAAGTTTTGAATGTTTATGCTCCACACTTTGAACATTACTACTTGATGAATTTTAGAAAGAAACTTGGTTTGATTTCTTCCAGTACAATTATTGACACTTCTGAAGATGTTACCAACTTTGACATGTTTGATGGCGATTCTGAGAATTTAAGAAATGAAGATTGGGAGCTTATTGAGGGATTTTTGGCTTGGATGAATGAGAACAGAGCTGATTTTACCAACTTTTTCAGATTATTGTCAAATGTAAAGAAGGGAGCAGAAGTTTCTCAAGAGTTACTCGATAATTTACTTCAAACAAGAATGCACGCTGATCACACTCCATCTGAAACAACTGTATCAGAGCTCAAGAATTGGCTCTCCATTTATACCAAGAGACTTGAATCTGTTCCACTCTCCGATGAGGAAAGAAAGACTCAAATGGACAAGACTAATCCAAGATACATCTTGAGAAATTACATTGCCCAAAAGGTAATCAAATCAGCTGAAGAATTTGACTATGGTCCACTCTATGAATATTACAATGTTCTGAGAAATCCATATGATAATCATTCTACAGAGTTTGAAGAAAAGTTTGGTGGTAATGCACCACTTTCTTCTCGTTGTTTGAAATTGAGCTGTAGTTCTTAATAAACTTTTTATTTACATTTCTCTAGAATTTTATCGAATATTTGTGAGAGCTTTGGTACCAGATCTTCTGTGTCCAATGAATTTGTTATAATGATTTCGCAAACTCTATTTCCTAAATCCACTTCCTTGAATTTGTTAGTAATTGAGGTCAAGTAAAAATCCGCATCTAGGTTGTTATTATCATTTCCTATGGAAAGTAACGAGTTCAAAATTGTAACCTTATTTGGTGAGTCTAACTTTTTCTTGAATCTATCAACATTAGTTAATACGAGAAACACTGGTTGATTCTTGATCGATTCATTCGTAATCCAATCTTTAAATGTTGTCAAATCCTCAATAAATCTATTAGTAGTAATATCTTCCCAACAAACTAGGTCAAACTCTGAAAGAGATGCCACATAAACAAGTGCTTGGCAGCATTTCATTACTGCAGACCATTTTTTCCTTTCGGTACGAACGCCTGCTAAGTCCATCAGAGTTATTGACTTGTCCTTGTAGGTATAAATTCGAGAAATGACTCCAGTTGTTCGTTGTTGGAATACAATGTAGTCTCTCTCGGTAGCTCTGTATTCTGAACTTGTTAATCGTTCATATTCTGAAATATAATACTCAATACAATTTCCAATCGAATAATTCAAATTCTTATAGTCGTGAATGTTATCCAAAATTTCTTTAACTCTTGAATCATGTAAAATATCATACCATGTTGCAGCATCTATCACCTTGTCACCAATTAATTTTTCAGAAGCGTGCTTTGAGATGAAATTTTTCATTTTCTGACAAGTTGCCCAATCGAGAGCAACATCACCATTTGATTCCTGTTCTTTGAGTATTCCTTCAAAGAGAGCTCTCAATACTTCCACCAAATTTTGTTGTATGAATGTGGCTGAAAGATTAACAGCCTTCTCAGCATATTTTCCTCCAATAATCTTTTCGCATTGTTTGAATAGAGTACTCTTTCCACTTCCTTCACATCCAAACAAGGCAATCTTGAGGTCGGAATCTTTTGGCACTTCATTGGCCTTCCTTCCAGAGAGCCATTGCAACAAGTTACTTCTCGGAGATGATGGTGGAGACATTGTTGGAGGAGTTTTTGATTTCTTATTGTTGAATGGAATATTTCTTGGCGAAGTACTTCCAGAAGATGACGATGAGCCTTCATCCATTATACCACTATTCGGAACAAGCAAATAATTAGCACTCTTAATCCCCTCGTCTGATGATGACGAAGAGGATGCTGGAGAAGCAGAGGAGTGACCCATCAATCGATTCCCAGCCGAAGTTGTCCTTCCAAAACTGACGAGACTTTCATTATTATTACTACTACTGGAAGCAGCGTTGTTGTTTGTATTTTTTCGTTGCTGTAAATTTCCAAGCGAGGGAGAAGTTGGAATGGCGGGAGAAGTGTTGGTAGAGCTTGGAATGAGAAATTCTTGGACATCTTGTTTGGTGGTTCGACTCTTGAATGATGGAAGGGAAAATTTACGTTTAGTTTTGGACATTTTTTTGCATTGAGAGTGATGAACTATTTTTTTGAAAGGGAACTTTAAATGCAATCTGTCAAAAGTCATCGCTTTGAATGTGCTCTTGGACTTTGAAATAATTGAGGCGAGAAGTTATTCGCCATTTATTATTTTCGTCTTCATTAAAAGTAATCCAACCAACATACAAACATCAATTAAAAATTGAAATATGAAAGAGTGAATGACTAAAATATCATTTTTAAAGTCAGTCAATGGAGCACACTAATTTTGGTCAGCAACTTAGTTAAGAAGGCTAGAAACTAGCTTAGCTTGTCATCAGCAATTTTCATTGATAAAATTCAAATACAAATTGGCGCCAAATATTAAAAAAAAAATTGATATTTTGGTTTTCTTTAAAGAAAATTTAATACATGTAACCAATTATGATTCCAATAAACGTTGTGATTTGATTACGTGGATAGCGAGATCAAAAAATTGTCATCACACAAGATCACCACAACATTGCACATGATGGAATCAACAAAACCATCATCCGAGATGAAAATGTTCATGGAAAAGGTTGGTCTGGATGTTTTTCAATTCATCCTTTCCTTCTTGCCTCCTGTTCCGTATTTATTTCAACTTCAGAGAGTGAGCAAACATTATTCACAATTGTGTCAATCATGTATGGAAGAAGATTGTAGTGAATTGTATTGGGATGAAGAAGCTGTCGCTCAAATGAATGATCAGATGAAAAAATCGTCATCAAACAATATTCCGAATACTTTGTCGAAATTATTGAAACAAGTTAGACCAGCACATAAAGATTGGGTCTTGTTCTTTAGGGATATCCTACATAAATTCAAAAAGTTGGATCGTCTGGTTTTGAAGAATATGGAATTTTCGAATGTGATCATGTATTTAATTTTTGTAGATTGGAAAGGAGATTTGAAAGAATTGAAACTCATTGAATGTGATTTCAAGGTACAAATACCATGTAGTTTTTCAAGCATGTCTCAAGGTCAAGTTGTAACACTGAGAGAAATATATTTTCAAGTGGAGAGCTTTTTGGATTGTACTTTAGACTTGGGTGACCATACAGGATTCATGACAGATATTCAGAAGTCAACAAATATTGGAAAAATTGAAAAGATCAAAATTGTATCCAAATCGAACGGTTATAATAACGATGCTAAATATCCAAATAATGGATATGGGTTGATTCCATTTGTGAAATGTTTCCCCTCACTCAAGAATATATTCTGCTTAGTTTTCAGAAACAAATCACCTGTATGGGAATCGGTTCTTTTAATGTTTCCAGATATTGTTTTTGAACCCTTACCTAGAGAATTAACCAATAATGAAACAAACTTGGGCGAATTTTATATTGATTACCTGTGTAAGGAATTCAATTTGAGGAAAAACAGACTAGAATTGATTCAACACGAATTTACATCTTCCAGAACTAGAGAGAATATTCATAGTTTCTTTAGTACAATTATTGATTTCTTGGAGGTGCATACACCATTTGGTCTTGATAGTTTGATAAAGGATGTTCGTGGTAATAATATCATTCAATTGGCTATCCTATTTACAAACTATGAAACAGTTCGATTCTTTGTCAAATACCTTACAGCACTTGAGGATAAGGATCATGCTGCTAAAGAACTCTCCCAACTCTTCTCTGCTAATAACCGACTCGATGGAAGAAATGCTCTATTTAAATGTATTTCCTCATCCTCACTTACTTATTTCGATCTGCTTTTAGAGTATGGAGTTTCATTCAATTTTCCAGATAGTGATGGAAATACAATACTTCACAGCTTGTGTATGTTTGGACAATTAGCTAAATTACAAACCTTGTGGGATAATACTTTGGGTAAAAAGCAATTGAAAGAAAAAATGTACTATTTGAATTTTAATACAAAGAATAAGAATGGTGAAACACCACTCTATCTATGTAAAAAGAATAGAATGAATAATATGGCAAACCAATTACAAACCCAATTTGAACATTATGGCATTGATTTGAGTGTTACTGATCCAGTGCCACCAGTAGCAAGCAGCAACCCAACACCAATAAGAAATGACACACCAAGCTCAGCCACGAAATGTGATATTTTGTAGAGATCTATTAAATTAAGTGTAAATACAGTTAGATTTTTAATTCGTGAACGAAAATGTTACATCATGAAAACAATTAGACATTAATCCACATTGCTCATTTAAGGAATGCTTGAAATGCTTTCTAATTTTCCTATTCTTATGACAGGTATCCAAACTAAAATCACGTAGAAACCTCACAATCTCCTTATGACCATAACGTTGAGCAGTTTCAACAGGTAACTCATCCAGACACTTTTGATATTGATTGGCTCCATTTTTCATTAGAAACTTGACCGTACTCAAACAACCAATGATACAAGCAGTGGTTAATGGCATGAATTTTCGTTTCGTTCTCTTTGATCCAACATAATTAATTACTTCTCTGATGAGCTTTTGACCACCTCCAACATGTCCATATAGTGCAATACCATAATTCTTTACATCTTTTCTAATGAACTCTTTGATTTGAGACAGATTTTTTGAATTGACAAGAACTACCAGTTTGTTAGCCAAGTCCAAAATCATGAGCATCCTCATACTCATTCGTATAGAGTAATTGTGCTTGTGTAACATTTCACAAAATGATAGGTGAAGTGTTGGTTCAATTGGAGCCAAACCCACTTCACCTTCATGTGGTACTACTGGTAGGTGTTGTTGCTGTTGACCTTCACTAGAAATAATTGCATCACCACTCTTTTCATTCACAAGCCCATCACCATCACCACATTGAGAACCATCATTCAAACATTCATTCAATACTATTGTTGTACATGTACCATTATTACTTGTATTCGCCTGTGAAGAAGCATTCAATACTGTAATATCGGATGATGGCAATGATGACAATTGTGGACTAGTACTAATAACAGAATTTGATATTGTTGGTTCCTGATGTAAAAGTGCAGAATTTGTTGTTGGTTGTTGGACTATTGAATTAGAGGATGAAATGGAAGAGGTACTATAATTATTTTGTATCAAAACATTTGATGATGAACTATACGAAGGAGTAGAAGAATAATCATCAGACGCCTTGTTGGTATACAGAGATGAATTCATCATCGATGCTGTTGATGGAGATGACTGAGAAGAATTGAATGAAGAGGAGTTATTTGACTGTGTCATGACTAGTGACAGCATTTTTTGTCTGTTGGTTTCGAATCAGAAGAACCTTTCGCGACGATTGGTGAATGAATGACATATTCTGTATTTGGACTCTTCAGTTTCACATGTGTTTTGATTTGTCAAATTTGGGGTTTTGCTTGCCGAGGAGAAGTATTGAATTGTTAAGGTTTGATAATTTGTAAGTTGTTTTCAAATCTACTTATCTAAACACATAAATTGCATCTCCTTAATTGTGTCCTTAGAGATGCACTAGTTTGTCTCCTTCCCATTCATCGACATGTTCATGCAAAAATTACCTCGTATTTGATCTATACAAATTAATATTCCATGCGCAACAATGGTCAAACTAGCAGTTTTTCAATTTGTAAAGAGTGCATCTTCCTTACTGAACTCAAACTGAGAACTTGATAATGCCTCCTTAATAACCAGTGTACAACAGCACAATTCACATCTCTCCAACAAATACTGTTCATCCTTATTAACAAATAGTAAGAAAAAAACAAACGACAACAAGAACGCATTCACTGTATTCTCTCGAGTGTTTTTGAAGATCATTAAGGCGTACCTTTGTGTATTATATAACCAATCAAGCAAAACTAATCTATACACAACTAACTAGTAATTGTACATAATAGTATTTAACAATGCCAACTAAAATTCAACCATTCAATTTGCAACCAACAAGTTCAGAAACCAAGATTCGTTCCACAGCACAACTCTCCACACAAACATCGTGCTTTGAATTTACAAAGGAAGGAGGAGGAATTGCATCTTCTGATTATGATCCAGATCATGATTTGGAAGAACCACTCAATGGAGTGGAAATGACACAAACTACATGTGCTCAATGTATTTCTATTCGGTTATTTATTATCATTCTGATGACTTCCTTGTTATTGGTGTGCTCTATTTTAATTTGGCTCACTGGATTTGTCATGTCCCAGCAAGCTCTTAATTCCATGTCGAGTGAATTAATGGCCACCTATGGACAATCTATCATTCGCTTCATGGATGGTCAAGTAAGACCTTACATTGCAGCCACACACTCAGTAGCCGACGATTACAACATTGGACTTGTTGGAAGAGCTCCACCATTGTCCTATCTCTACAAAAAGTACTCGACCTTCAAACCATACGGTATTGGTTTGGTATTTGATGATGAGTTGAATACTTTCAATACTTTTGGTGTTCCACCGAATGAAGTAGCAGCTTACTACCAAACTCCAAAGGGACAACCAATTTTGAATACATGGAGTGTGAATACTACCAGCCCCAATGTCACAATCAATGGATTGTACAAGATTACCAGCAATTATCTCACCACAAAGCAAAGTTATTGGATTACCGCCTTTGGTTTATTTGAAAAACATCCAGAAATGGAGGGCGTCTTTGGCTCTTCAATTTATTACGTGCCAGGGGGTGGTTACACCATGTATTATTGTGCAAAATTGTATGATCCTTCTATTTATTTCAATACTGGTAATAAGGTGGTTGTTGGTGTGGCCAAGACCAATTTGGCTGTAAATATCATTCAGAGATTCCTCTCAAAAGTAACCTTATTCGGTACAGGTTACTTACTTGTTGCAGAGGATAATGATTTAGTCATTGGAGGTAATATCAATACCACTGCTTTGGATAAGGTCTCCCGTGTATCCATGTTTGATTTGGAAGATCGTGATTCTGGCAAGTTGATGCAAAAGATTTCGATCACATACGGAGATTTGAACATGGCCCCAGCTCACTTTGAAATGAACAGTGTGGGAGTTGATTATTTCATATCGAGATTTGAATTTCAATTATTGAACTTGCAATGGCATGTGTTCATGGTTCTGAAAAGGGATGAAGTTCAAGAAGCACTCAATATAAGTTCTGGTGTTTCGGTAGCTGTCACATTTATCATTATAATATTTGGTGTGGCAATCAGTTTTGCTATTGGTGTCATTATCACAAGACCATTCAAAGTTCTGGAACGTGAATTTGGAAAAATCAAAACAATGGACCTTGAACATGTAATGATTTCACAAAGCAAACTCAAGGAAGTAGACATTATATATGGATATCTCTTTGAAATGACAGCATGGCTCAATGAAATTAAGAGTTTCATCCCAGAGAGCGTCTTTCTCCAGCTAAAGAATGCCAAGCATGAGGAAACCAAACGAGTTCAACTTTTTGAAAAGAAGCAAATCAGTGTAACTGAGCTGCAATCCAAGAATAGTAGAAATTTCTCTGCTATTGGTTCACACTTTTCTGGTTTCTCTAGAAATTGTCCAGATCCAGGTGCATCCAACTTGTTCAAGATGGGTCTCAATGTGAAAAAGACTGCAGTGATTAGAATTACACTTCCTGGGTTTTCCAAATCCTATTCGGCAGCTATCATTTCACACGTCTTTTCAAAGATTGTTTCTGGTCTATCTACCATTTCTAAGGCTATCCAAGCCGATTTTTCAATTAGCTCTGTTGAGGAATTCCAAATCATTGTGAGTGCTGATGAATCACCAAACAAAAAGACTATTAACATTCAAAGTTTGGATGCCGCATTGAAATTCTCTAAATTGATTCAAACCATCAATGATACTTCCCAACTCAATATCAAGTGCTGTATTGGTGTGAGTGTTGGTAAGGCCAATGTTGGTAATTTGGGTTGTGCCAGTTTTAGATCATTTAGTGTGGTTGGTGGTATTTTAGAAAATGCCAAGCGCCTCAGTAAGCTGGCTAACTTGCTTAATTGTAAGATTTTGACAGACCCTGGATGTTTGGACTCTCAAACAAGACAATACTTTGTTTCCAGACCAGTCGAAAGATTACTTATGGAACCACCAATTTATGAAAACTGTCAAGCAACAGTTTCTGGATGCATTTCAACAGTATTCGAAGTTGAAAAGGAAAGATCAGTAGAAAGTGATGAATGGATGTATGAATTGCAACAACACAAGGCCAACGAAAAGTTCTCTGATTTTTGCAAGTACTTTGTCTTTGATCAGGATTATTCACAATTAGGAAATTCATTACTGGTCGAAACTTTAAAGCAAACTGAACAACAACTCAAAGATGAAGTGGAAATCCAATTGTCAGGTGATGTGATTGCTCTTCGGTTATTGAGAAGTATTCAAACATTTATTGGAAGATCTCACGATTTAGAAAAGCACCACGTGAAACTTTCAGATGCCTTGTTGAATTATTATACTAAACTTGATACTTCCATGTTAGAAGTATTTCCATAAAATTGATTGATTTTAATGAGGCAACCTTTGAACGAAAAATAACAAGAAAAATTGTGTATTTTTTGCTTGGTGTTTGTGCCACAATTTTTCTTGTTTTACCTGAGAACACACTTGCTCTATGACCGAAGAAAATTGAAAAATCAATAGAAAAAAATGAATACAACCTTTCCCTTCGAAATAAATTACACATCTTGTGGCAAAGATCATGTTTTTAAATTGGGCAAAAAGTCAAATGTTCTAATAGATCTGCAAGATTTTCCCAGCTCGATGAATTTCCAACTCAGAGTCATCAATTTCACTGGTGGCTCCTCTCTTGGTCAAGTAATTTTTGGTGAACGAGAGTTTCATGATGCTGGTTTTCACTTGGTTTTGGATTTTGAAAAGATTTACAGAGTTTGGGTAGAGAACAGTGAGGTGAAGGTCGAGTTGGTGCTTATTTCAGAGGAAGGAGAGCAAAGAGTGGTTTCTGAGTTTTTGGGAGAGTTGAATGGAAGGGGTGGGATTAGAAAGTGGTGTTGTGGAAAGTGGCTGTGAGTTTAGTTTTGTGAAAAAGATTGAGAAATTATTCGAAATTATTCAAAACAATCACCAATATTGAAATCGAATAGATTTAATGTAAAATACAAAATATCTTGCAAGCATTGATTTAAACATGCCTTAACAAGAAACCAAAACGAAACTTGCTAGTTTTAGAAATAAGGCGCCAAATTTTGCATTTTCAAATTTAAAAAAAAATATAACAAAAATCTCGCCCTCGATGAACAACAATTCCATCATTCAAAGTGATGATGTGGTGATGGAAAAACAACTCGATAATAACAACAAAAATCTTCGGAATGAACAACAACAACAAGTAATAATTTCTCCTTCCGATAAAGATGATTGTGTTGTTGCTTCTTCTTCTTCTGTATCATCTGATAATAATACAACAACAATAGTTATTGGAAAATTGGAGGGAACACCTTGTGTGAATAATAGTAATAATAATAGTGGAAATATTGTGGTTGATCCGAATAGATTGTCACCTCATACATCATCACATCTCTCGATAGAATCGAGTCTTGAACAAAATATGGATGATTATATTGCGGATGATGATGGAAATGCATCGAATAATAACAAAACGAAAAAACATCATCCAGTCGAATTTTTGACAAAACGAATGAAGAGTTTTTCAAATTCTGATGTTTTGAGCTTTTTCAAAAAACCATCACCGAGAAGTGCTTCACCAAATAATGTGCATGAAACTAATAGTTCGGAACTCTTATCTTCTCCCAGTGAAACAGAAAAGATTTCAACAACTCAACTATCAAAACAGGAAAATACAATGTCAATTTCCTCTTCTTCTGTATCCTATCCTACTACCACCAAATTGATTCCACCAAAAGTGAAAAGAGAAAAATCAACAGGAAATATCTACACTTCTTCATCTGATGATGAAATAACATCAACAATTCAACACCAGCTTCAGGAAAAGAAGAGAAAGAGTAGACAAATTCCACCACTACCTCTCAACGAGACTAAGATAAAGAGAATTGCATTGAAAACCATTTACAACATGATGGTTCTTCAACCGAGTATTACAGATAGGGTTCTTCCTCTAATTTTGATAGATGTCAGATCTTCTGAGAAGGACTACATTTCAAAAGTTAGCCCAACCATTGGTCCCCAACACAATAGTCACAATAGTTTTTCTGTATCAGAAATGAGTAGCATCCTTTCTTCCCAAATTGAAAGTGAACTTATATTCGATCAAATGAGGCCTCGATCAAGAAGTTCAGCTACTCCACCCACTCAACCAATAATTTCACCAGGTACTCCCCTCGGTACAAAGGTGCCACTCCTCAATATTAGCTCTATCTCTCCAGACCAAAAATTTAAAGGTATTATGGGTAGCCCTAAATCAGGTTACAACACTCCAGTGGCCAGTCCACTAATGAGTCCAAGAACTTCTTCACTCGGAATTTCTCAACATGTCCAATGGTCAATTCATTTCTATTTACCAGATCATATCATTGATCATATACCAATTGATGATTTGAACAAGGAAAATGTAGCTAGTATAATTCACATGATTGAAACATCTAACACATGCATTGAGAAGGATTTGTACAAAGCCAGATTTGCTTGGAGGAAAATGTCAAATGTTGTTGTAATGGCTGGTAGCTCGAGAGATGAACACAGAGCCAAATGGCTCCTTAGAGTTTTACAATTGGAGGGGAAGTCCTATAATCTATACTCACTCCCACATGGTCTTAATTTCACTCATTTCGAAGCTAAATATCCCTTCTCCATTACTTCTTTCGATTTTGTTGAATTTCAATTACCAACCCATATTTTCAAGAATATTTATTTGGCAAGTTATAGAGTTTTAACACAGGAACGAGGAATAGAAGTGCTCATAGCAAAGAGGTTGAACATTAAGAGGGTTTTGAATTGTGCAAAGGAATGTAAATGTGTAATACCCAACAAATTTCTCTCAGAGGACTCTCCAACAAAGCCAGTCCAAAATAGCTCTCAAACTCTCTCAAGATCAGAGAGCTTTTCCAAGACTGGAATTTCCACCTCTCAAACCCCAAAGATTTCCTATCTCCATCTTCTTCTTGATGATTTTGATCCAAAGCACTGTTACTTTACCGCAGAACAAATGAAGGAAAGTGTCCTCTTCATTAATCAATCATTGAAAAACAATGAAAACATCTTGATTCACTGCCAAGAAGGTAGATCTAGATCAGTAACTATCATTTGCCTCTACATGATGATTAATATTGGATGGAAATTGTCATACTCATTGGAATTTATGAGATCTCAAAAGCCCACCATTTCTGTCCATCCAACCTTCCTTCTTGAACTTCAAGCCATTGAGGATTACATTAGTGACAAGATTGAAAAAATCAAAGGAAACAGCACTATTTCCAGTGATTCTCTCGACAACATGGAAGGAATGATAAAAGTTGATAGTATTCTCACCATAACAGACGATCCTGAACCTCCTGAAAGATACCTCCTCAAATTCACACCACTGTACGAATATTCCTCCACCGATGATCTTTCCTCGGTCAGCACCAATGCATCCCCAAGAGTTTCACCTCGTCTCATCAGCAATAGAAAATTAAAGAAAAGCTCGGTAGACAAATTGAATGTCTCTTTAATTTTCAATAGGGCCAAAAGTGCCACACTATCCTTACCTGATTCTCCACTCCTTCTAGACCCCTCTACCTTATATCTTGATGATTCAGTATTGAGCACATTCTTGGATGAAATTGGACACAATGTCATTCGCCCATTCATTGAAAATTTATATTCATCCAATGACCAATTACAGCAATTACGATAACAGTATCATGTACAAACGAATATATTGTATTAATTTAACAATTATCACTCTCTGAAATACAATATTCATACATTAGAAAATACTCTTCTCTCTTTTCCAAACGTCATCAACTGTCTCCAATCATCACTGCACACAAATTATTATAATTTCATTACCAACAACTAACAAAATCATCATCAATAAAAAATGTTTGGAATCTTCTCAGCATCATCTTCCATCAGTAGTGCTGCTACTGCTGCTGTTGCGGGAAGAAGATCCTACTATAAACAACATCAGGAACAAATTCATCGTCATCATCAACGTGGCAAATTCCTTCCAACAAGAACAACAACAATTTGTCTCCTCCTTCTCATAATACTTCTCCAATTACTTTCAGAGGCAAATGTTGTTCATTCCTTGACCTTTTCTAAACGTTTTTGGAATGCCAATTGTACATCGGAGACGTATCTTCGTGATTGTGGTGAAGAATTAATTTGTGATACAAGTATTGGAAAGTGTTCCTTCTGTGCCAATACAACACAATGTTCAACAGTATTTGGATCAATGAGACAATGTAGAAGATCAATATTGGCAGATCAGTTGCAGGATTTATATCCAAGTTTGATCACCGATCCGAGAGCTCCTATCCATGGAGGTGTTTGTTATCATAAGGATTTATTTCCACAATTTTCATATTTGGATGCTATTGCAACTGTGATTTCATTCCTCGGAAGTGTCTTGTCAACAATGGCTGGAATTGGTGGAGGTGGTTTGATTGTTCCATTGATGGAAACTGCAGGTCAATTTCCTCCTCAAATGGCTGTTGGTATTTCAAAGACAATGATTTTTGGTGCTTGTAAGTACAGTGTTTGAATGATTTGTATTCGAGTTGAGTTGTGCGAATATTTATGATGATAATGATTGTGTGTGAAATAGCCATTTCAAATTTCATTGCTCTTTCATTGAAGAGACATCCACACGCTGATAGACCACTTATTAATTATGATGTGGCACTTTTACTTCAACCTACTTCATTGGTGGGTGTCTTGGTTGGTGTTTTATTGAATAGTATGACTCCTAATTGGCTCATTGTCTTGTTGAGTGCTATTATTTTGACAATTGTCAGTTTGACAACATTTGTCAGAGCTGGTAGAATGTGGAGGGCCGAAAGTGCAGCCAAATTAGTTGGTTCAAACAATGGTTCATCTGCAAACTATCATCAAATTACAGATAATGGAGTAAATAATGATACTATTATTTCAGATGACGAAGACGAAACATTTGACAGACCAAAAAATACCAACAATGAAAATGTATTGGAAACTTCCCTATTAGGAGAAGATGAATTGGAACAAATGGAACAGGAAAATATTGAAAAGGAGGAAAAGAAACAAATTGCCAGAAAAGTCTTACACAATGAAAAATCCACTCCATTCACAAAGCTTTTCGTTTTGGTTTTATGTTGGGTTATTGTATTTATTTTGACAATTGTCAGAGGTGGCCATGGTGCTCCAAGTGTTTTCCACATTGATCACTGTTCTGTTTGGCATTGGGTCTTATTTGCTGCCATGTTTCCAATAATGATTGCTGTTTCATATATGGTTGGTGTCTATCTTGTTAGAAAACACAAAGAAAGATCAGCACTCGTTAGCCATGGATACAGATTCGTAGCTGGAGATCCTCACTGGAGTGTTGGAACTGTAATTCTCTATCCAGTTTTTTCTGCTCTTTCAGGAGTAATTGCTGGTATGCTTGGTGTTGGAGGTGGAATGATTAAATCACCAATGCTTCTCTATCTAGGATTGGATCCACTTGTTGCAGCAGCTACTGCTTCATTCATGATGTTGTTCACATCCTCAATTTCATCCATTCAGTTCGTTATTTTGGGAACTGTTCCATTTGATTATGGTCGTAAGTATTATTGTGTGCATAATTAATATTTATTCATTTATTATCATAATAATTTATTGCTACTTTAGTATGGTATTTCGTTTTTGGATTATTGTAAGTAGAAATTGTAATGTTTTGTAATATTAATTGATTTTAGTGCTGGTATGGTTGGTCAGATATTGATGCATTTCGTATTCCAGAAAGGAAGAAAATCAGTGCTTGTCTTTATTGTGGCCTTTATCATTATTGTTTCAACATTATGCATGACTGGTTTTGGTATTTACAATGCTGTCATTATGTTGCAAAACAATATGTATATGGGTTTCCACTCAATTTGTTAGATAAATCTGTTTTTCTTGTTCATATTTTCTTAATTGAAAAATTATTAAATTTATAAAAGTTGAAATTAAATGTTAAAGGCATAATTGAGCTTGGCCCTTTCTAAGCAGGAATTATAGAGCAAAGATGATTCCTTTGCGTTCGAAACCAACTTACTAACCATTGGAATTGGAGAGGAAATATTGACAGGAGTTTCAGGAATAAATGGTGATTGGACAGTGTTTGTTGTTGTGTTGTTGGAAGAATCAATATCCTCCAATAAGGCATTTGGTATTATGTGTGATTGAACATCAAATTTCCATTTAGCAATTGTCTGTAAATTTTGATTCAATTGACCGAACCGTTTGTTAATTCTTTTGTATCTTTTCGAGAATTCATTCATCATTTTCAAACTATGAACAATTCCATTGAAATACTTTTGAAATTTCTCCAAGCAAAATATCGAACGAATGTCCATTCCATTAAGAATATGGTGATGAAATTCTGCAAGAATATTCCCAAATCGGTTCACTCTATAGGTCATATAGATGGAGAGGTGAGGAAAGACAGCTATTGGGAATAGCAATGGGTCAAATATTTGCATGAGTTCATCAGCTCTATCAACTAGTGCATCAACCATTTCTCCCTCCAATCCAAGTGAAAAGAACACTGATGAAATACCAGATAAGAAAACAAGTTCATGGAGTACGTGCTTCATCCTGGTATATTCCTCAGTGTACTTGTTTGGAAAGTTACGTAAGATTGAATTCATCATATCATTAACTTGCTGTACAACTGTGATGGCAAGACCAGCATTTTGAGGATTAATTTCTTCTTCAATGCTTTTCAAATCAAAAGTATGATTTTCTCGATTGTATAAAGAAAATATGAATACAATACTTGACATTACTCCATTACAACCTCTATCTTCCAATGTACATGCTTTCTGAGCCCTTATAAGTAAATGCTCAAAATCTTGAGCACCATCTCCCAAAATTCTATTCAAATGATTCAAATACGATTGAGCAACTTCGTCCTCGCCTTCTCCACCGTAATAATCACTCAATACTGCATAACTAATCTTTGTATAAATATTGTAATCACTCTTTGTCAAGTATCTTCTAGATTCATGAGCTGCCAATTCGGCTCCTTTTGAATTAGCCAATCTCTGCTCACATAATGCTTGAATAGAGTACATCATTGACAGAAATCCAGTATTATCTCTCGAATCATCTTCATTCATCTCTTTCAACTTTAGTTTCATTTCCACATTGGTAATCAAAGAAAATCCAGGATCCACCACTTTATAAAAGAAATCAATAGTTCCAATTTACAATTATTTCTAATCAAATTATCATCCACTCCCACCAATTCTCTTCCTTTCAATATATTTACAATTTCATTCTTTGCATTCATATAGGGATGATACTTTCTAGATTCATTTGATTTCTTTACATTCTCATCATCACCATTAGTCAATTGAAATGTTAACGCTTTTCTCTTTACTTTCTTATTTACTTCAGTATTTCCACCACTGCTACTACTGCTACAACTATTAGAAGAGGTGGAAACAGCGCAATCATTACTATTATTCGATTCTGGTGAAGACTTGACAGAAGAGATTGGTCGTCCCCTCCTCTTTGGCTTCTCATAACAACAGGTTTTACCTCTCTGAGAACATTCGGAGCATGATGGTAATGTCTTATCACAAAACAAATGCAAATGTCGACACGATTTACATGCTATGGAGTGATATTGTTGTTGGGCACTGGAAAGGCTTGTTGTATTATTATTGATTGAGACTATTTGATTATTATTTAAAGTAGTGTTCCTCCTCGATTGTTGTTGACTTTCTGTTATTGTGGATGGAGATGAAAATTGCAAGTTAGTCATGTTGTTATCTATTACTTGAGAAAAATTAGTTAATAATTGAATGGTTTTTTTTTGCTTTGTTTTACTTAGTGCTGGAAGAGATGGAATGTGCCAATGGCTTTGATGTGGTGAGGAAGAATTTGTGCGTGCGAGCATGATTACTTTATTTGTATTCAAGAGGACAAATATGTGAAAATTGAAGAAATTTGTTGTTATTTGTAAAATTGGATTGCTGTGAATGCTTTATTACCAGTGTCTCTTTCAAATATTTTGTGTTTCGAACGTACATTATTGTTCCCATCTCTTGTTTTAAATTATTTGGTTTAAACCAATGCAAAAACAAAATGATTCTCCCATGCCGGGAATTGAACCCGGACCTCCTGGGTGAAAGCCAGGTATCCTAGCCATTGGACTACACGGGAATCTTGTTCATTATGAAAATAGTTCTCTTATAATATTTACAATATTTCTGTAAACAACAAATGACAAGACGCTATCTCAAGATTTTACAAACAATAGCCAGACACATTCGAATAAGTTTCCATGTGCGATTAATGAACGCTTTCTTTTATCACCAACTTTGTCTCTCAATCCTGAATAGAATTTGTTTCGATACTTCTCCCTTCCAATGAGCATCAAATTTAACCTCTAAAAAAAATAATTACGACTTCAAAGCACCAACCGATTTTTTATTGATTTGTGTCTCTTTGAATAACAGAATCTTTTTATACAAACAAACAACATAACAACAAATGTCTAATAACCCATACGGATCCACTGATGTTGATCCATACGATTATGATTATCAAGTAAGTAGTGATTGTTTTCAACAAGAAGAAAATTTAATGTTCATGTTTGTTATTTTCCGTACTAAATGCTACTTTTGATATTCAAATAATATTCTACCAATAACGACAATTTATAACAACCCAAAACTGATCGTATTGTATTTTGAAATTGTTCATCACCATCAAATTTAAATGTCCTACACCTCTACTATTATTTTACTATTATTATACTCTTTGTGATGATAATTGTACATACTTGCGATGATTTTATTTGATAATGTGATAATAATGAATAATGTCATTTACATAATAGCCAAACTATGGTAATCCAACTCAAGGATATGTCCCACCACAAGTTGGAGCAATGAGTCAACCTGCTCAAATCAACATTGAACCTGTTGGTTCTATGGATAATGAAGCTCTCAGACTTAAGGCTATGGAACTTGCTCGTAGAGAAGCTGAATTGGAAAAGAGAGAACAAGAAGTTACAAATCTTGATAATGCCAATACTGCCAAGAAGAATTTCCCAAGATGTTACCCTCTTGTTTATCACAACATTGCTGATGTTCCTAATGAATTCCTCCGAAGGAAGATTGCCTACTGGGGATTCATCTCTGCAATTGTTTTCCAAGTTGTGGTCTTCTTGAACTGTGTTTCTGCCTATATTACTGCCTTCTCTACTACACCAAATGCCTTCCCTAAGGATGTTTCTCTCATGAATCTTATTCAATTTTGCATTGTTTCTACAATCCTCTTCTTAATTTCTGGTATTGCTCACTTCTTCCTTGGATATTGGCCATTGTACAAGGCTATGGATACTGGTGCCATTCCAAGATTCATCATTTTCTTCATTGCCTATGCTGTTTCAATTATTTTCTGTGCTCTTGGTGTTGCTGGTTATTTGACTTATGGTTTCAGTGGTATTGTCACTGCTATTTACTATTTCCCAACTGGTACATATGGAAGTATTGCTGGATTTGTTTGTAACTTGATCATGGCTGTCATTTGGTTCGCTTTGATGATCAATTATATCATCATTTTTATTATGGTTATTAAGGTCTTTAGAGCTCTTAAGGGATCTCTTAACAAGATTAAGGAATATGGTGCTGGTTTGGTTCAAAGTGGTGCTGCTACTGCTATCAGCTCAGCTGTCAAAAATACTATCAGTGGTGGTGGTAGTCAACAAGTTTAAATGTATTTATCTGTTTGAAAAATACATTAACAATCTATATACTCTGTAAATTTTCCAAATAATTAAATAACTTTTCTGTTTCTCTATAAATTATCGAAATGGTTTCTTGATGGAAGGAAATTTCTGGGGACAATTTGGCTAATATGGAAGGTAGGGAAACACAAAAACGCAAGAAATGTGGTAAACCGTAAACCTGTGATGCTGGCTCTTTTACCTTATTTTTGAATGTAGAATTTTCAGTAAGGTACAAAATTGAAAAGGGCTTCTCAAAACAGCCATCAAAAAACTGTAACAGACCGTCCATGGAATATTTTAAAGCACCAAAATCATCCTTTGAACTTTCCTCATTTGCCTTCACATAGGCACAAATAATGCCTCTCACTGACTTGCTCTCGTCCTCAATTAATGAATGTTCCTTTTCCTCTTTTGAGACTTGACAATAATCCTTGTATAGATATTCTTTAATCCATTGAGGAATTTTAAGTGATGGTGTTGATGGCTCGATATCATTCTGTGATGATGGGGAGGACTCGGTTGTTGTTTCTGTTTTGGAGCTTTCTGTCTTTTCTGTTGTTTTTCTCTTTCGTTTCAAATCCTTCTTTTCAGATGTCTTTTCTTCATTTTTTTCTTTTGCTTCCTCTGTTTGCATGTCAGTATTAGAAGAAGGTGTTTTTTCTGAACTATTATCATGATTCTTTAATTCAGAGCTTGATGGCTCTGAAACAGTTGTGCTACTTGTTTCTTCTGATGTATCTGTTGGCACTAAATTATCATCCGCATCAGGTACATATTTCTCACATGTTGATTCCAATGAAGCAATGTAGGTTTTAATTTTTCCATTTTTACCTCCCAGTAACTTGTCTTTAAATATTTTAATTTCATTCTCCTTTGTCAATTCTTTAAATTCACAATCTTGAATTTTAATTTCAAATTTATCACTCGTTCTGAAAATCACTGCCTCATATCCTCCATCTATTTTACCAGTAATCTATAAATATTATCATGAAAGAAGATCATGTTTAAAAAGTTTAATGAAGAAATCAAAAAATTCTTTCCGAAATTTAAATTCCATCATTCATACCTACCTTTATAAGAAAATATAAATTCTTATCCTTCACTGTTGGGATTGGTCTACAAAAAACCTTGTCATTTGGTGATAAAGTTGCCGGATCAAAAGAAGACATTTTTTTAAATATTAATTTTTATGTTTTTTATAATAATCTTCCATTGACGATGTTAATGAGCCTTTAGAGTCTTAGAGACACCCCTTCGTGGTTTAAAATTTAATCAATATATCTTTGCTTGAAGGCCTTTCCAGTTTCGTAATCTTCAGGAGAAACTCTGAAGAATGGAAGGAAGTCTTCTCTCTTCAAGTTTTCAGAATCAAGTTCTTCCATTTCGGAACGAACCCACAAAACGTATGGACGCAAGTAGGCAACGTCATCTTCTGGCTTAGTCCATTGTTCTCTTGGCAGTCTCTTTTGGTTAACAGACAAGTCAAAAGCACGAGCAAGACGCTTTTCACGAGCACGACGAACTTCTTCTGGCAATCTGTTGAGAGCTTCAATAATCATTGGATCTTCATCGTTGAGGATATCATCATATAAGAGACCAAAAGTTTGATAACGCATAGAGCTTCTGTAGGCCAAAGTGACGAAACGATCAGCCTTTTCCCACATTGAGAGATCAGTGTATGGGATTTCAGTGTATTTGGTCCATGGGTTTTGAATTGGGAAACTAAATGTTGATGTATTTAGTGTTTTTTGTTTTTCATATTGTTGTTTTTATAATTTCCAAAATATTGATGATGGTCAAGTGATAATTGTTTGCGCGGTATTCCAATATGACAAGAAAGTGTACATCAAGATGATATGTTGACGATGAAATTAATTTCCAACAATAAAACACGACCGTGATGATGATTAAAAATTTTCTCTTCTTGGCTTTTTCTACTTACGCTTCATAAACGTTGAATTCACCTCTCTTATCAGCAACAGCAACAGTGTCGACAACATCTGGAACAACTGAAGCAGGTAAAATTCCTTTAGGGAAGAAGTTCTTGTTGAGGACGAGCATTTCGTTGACGAAACGATAGCCGGTAGCGGCAAGACCACGGAGCATTTTTTTTGAGTTGAAGCGATTTTACAATAGTGAGCATTTATGGTTTTAATAGAGAACATAACAGCTGCTAAAGCTAGTAAGAACAATATTATGGCAATCACAACAACAATTGTTTTTCAATAATTTCCAATATTCAATGATGACAAGAAAGTGAGAGGGAGTTTTTATTCATATTTTGTTTTAATTAAAACAAAATTGATGAGAGGCTTTCGTTCCGAATTTTTTTTTACGTTAGGTTTGTGATTGAATTCCTACAAACACTGGAAGCCTCTAAAAAACAAACAAAAAAAATGTCTTCACGTTATCAAAATGCTGGTGGAGGAGGTAATTACAATAATAGACAAGGACCACACCAGAAAGTGTTATGTGTAGCTGAAAAACCAGAGGCTGCCAAACAAATTGCCACAATTTTAAGTGCAGGAAAATTTCAGAGGAGAGAAGGAAAATCCAAGTTTAACAAGATATTTGAATTTGAATATAGAATGAATGGTGTTGTTGTAACAATGTCAGTCACATCGGTTTTAGGTCATTTGATGGAGTTGGGTTTTGATCCGAAATTAAAATCGTGGACATCTTGTGATCCGATTACTTTGATGGATCCTGCAACACCTGTATTTCGGAATGTGCCAGAGAAGAATTTAGAAATTCAACAAAACCTAGAACAAGAAGCAAGATATGCCACAAAATTATTGCTGTGGCTCGATTGTGATAGAGAAGGAGAAAATATTGCATTTGAAGTGATTGAAGTTTGCAAGAAGGTAAATCGAAGCCTTTCCATTGAAAATGATTCAATTCTCAGGGCAAGATTTTCAGAGTTTACAGCTGCAGCAATCAATAGGGCAATTAGAAATTTGGAAAGACCAAATGTATTGGATAGTATGGCTGTAGATACGAGACAGGAATTGGATTTGAGAATTGGAGCCTCTTTTACTCGTTTTCAGTCACTCAGACTCAAAAAGAAGTTTCAAGGAATTACAGCAGATTATATTAGTTATGGACCATGCCAATTTCCAACATTGGGATTTGTGGTAAAGAGAGATTTAATTATCAAGAACTTTGAATCGGAATCATTTTGGACTTTAAATTGTACACACGATATGGGAGAGGAAGGCAAGGCTCAATTTCTATGGAAGAGAGGTAGGCTTTTTGACCAATTGACTTGCTTGGTCATTTACGAGTTGTGTGTTGAAGCTCAAAGGGCTAGAGTGGTCAATGTGGAAAAAAAAAGAAGATACAAATACAGACCAGATCCATTGAATACAATTGAATTGCAAAAATTGGCATCTCAGAAATTGAAAATGGGTTCACACGAAACTATGAAGGTTGCTGAATCATTGTATAATAAGGGTTTTATCAGTTATCCTAGAACAGAAACTAACAATTACAATCAATTCCAGGATGATGATTTGAAACGACTTGTAAATGAACACACATCAAATCCAACATGGGGTGGTTATGCTTCAGATCTATTGAATGGAGGTTATCAAAAGCCACCTAGTGGAAAGCAAGATGATAAGGCGCATCCTCCAATTCACCCTCTCAAAGGTGATTGTAATTCCAATGATTCAAAGGAACAAGCTCTCTATGAATTGATTGCAAGACACTTTTTAGCATGTTGTTCAAAGGATGCTGTCGGTGCCGAGACTAAGGTTATCATTTCAATTGCCAACGAAGAGTTTACTTGCTCTGGATTGATGGTTGAACAAAAGAACTTTTTGGAAATTTGGAAGTATGATAGATGGTCGGATAAGAGTATTCCAGTTTTCAATGCAGGTCAAGAGTTTATCCCAACCTCATTATTGATGGATCATGGTGAAACTCGTCCACCTCCTCATCTTTCTGAATCAGATTTGATTTCTGCTATGGATTCTAATGGTATCGGTACTGATGCCACTGTTGCTCAACACATTAAAACCATCCAGGAGAGAGGCTATGTCATCAAGAAAGGAAATAGATTTGAAGCCACCAACTTGGGAATGGCACTCTTGCAAGGATATGATCTCATTGGATACGAATTATCAACTCCTAATTTGAGATCAAAGATGGAAAAGGATATGCTTAGTATTTCAAAAGGAGAACAATCCAAGGAAGCAGTCATTCACCAAAGCTTGTCCATGTACAAACATGTATATATTCAAATTTGTAAATCAGCTTATTTATTGGATAAGGCGGTACAACAACATTTTCCAACTCTTGGTGAAGGACAGAGCAGAGTTTTAGGAAGAGGATTTTCACTATGTTCCTGTAAGAATCCAATGGACTTGAAGGAGCAGGATGGAAATAATTTCCTTCATTGTAAAAATTGTAGTGATTCATATCCTCTTCCTTCTAAATCAGAATATGAAAGTATTGAAGATGTTTGCCCAATTTGTAATTTCCAGATACTTAACATTATCACACAAAAGAACACTTCATACAAGCTGTGTCCTCACTGTTTCAATAATCCCCCAGAAATTGAAAATTCAAATGAATCTTTTGCTAATGGATTCAAATGCTTTAACTGTACATTTACTGGTTGTAAATATTCGAGAAAGAAGGATGCCGTAGTAAGGAAATGTCAGAAATGTTCCAACAATTTAGTAGTAAGGCAACGAAAGAATGATACCTCCCTTTATATTGGATGTAAGGGGTTCCCAAATTGTAAATCTGCAGTGTGGCTTCCAAAGTCAATCGAAAAGGCTGATTTGACAACTGAAAAGTGCAACAGGTGTAGTACTCGTTCGGATACTGTGTATAGATTGAAATTTACATTTGCCCAAGGAACACTTCTACCTCCAGGTGTTAATAGAGAACATACAACTTGTGTATTTTGTGATCAGGACTTTGATGAGGCTTTCAATATTAATTTGAATTCCCTTAATGGTGATTCAGGTGGTGCTTCTTCCCATGGAGTGCTTGTACACAACTCTACATCGAATAATAGAAACATGCCAAATAGAAGTCCAACAATTGCTGGTGGTGGTTATGGAAATAGAACAAGTCCAGTTGGGGCAACAGGGAGAAATATTGCTGCAAGACAGAATAATACACCACCACCTAATCAAATGACTTTGGATAGAATGTTGGGCAAGAGAACAAGAGTTGATAATAATAATGGAAATAATAATAGCAACCCACCTCCTCAAAATTCTTACCAAAGAAACAATACATCTCCAAGAAATCAATTCGGAAACAATCATGGCGGTAGTGGATCTGGTGATGTTGTATGTACAAATTGTAGCTCTGCACCAGAAATTTTCACTTGTAAGCAGGGAGAAAACCAAGGGAGACAATTTTACAAATGTCCAAATAAGGATAAGGACGAGGCTTGTAAAAAGTTTTTCAAATGGGTTGATTAATTTATTTCAATACGAACCTATTGTTTCACATTGTCTTAATACCTTCTTGAAAGTGTTTACAAATAACCCAGACAATTATAATGCAATTTAATCAAACCACCGTGAAATTAGAACTTTGATCAGAAACAACGAGTAGAAAAAATGTCATCATGTACACAATTCACATCACTTCCCTATGAAATTCTTCTTCATATTTTATCGTTCGGCGTTGATAAATGCTCATTAAATCACAAAGTTATTCAATTTATTGCTAATTTTCAATCATTGAACAAGAAAATTTCATCAATATTTTGATAATTTCTGGTTGGACATATTCGAAAATTGTTATGGAATTTCGCTTCAATCCAACCAGGTGCAATTATTAAAAGAAGAAATGTTACAAAAGAAAACTCTGGGAAGGAAAATATTGTTGGCGAAGTATATCAAATATAATATTTGGAAAAGTGCTAAATTAAATGAAGATGATCGAATTAGAGTTGTAATGATAGGGGATGGAGCAGTTGGTAAGTATAGTTGAGGAATTTTGTTTGACTTTAGAATAGGAAAAAGTGCAATAACAACTTATTTCATTCAAGGAAAGTTCAATACAGAGTACGATCCAACAATAGGTATTGTATAATTGAAATTCATAAGTTTATTCAAATTTAAAGATGATTTTTATAGAAAGGAAATACAAGTGAATAATTTCAAGTCAATTATTGAAGTGATTGACTTGGCTGGTCCTGAAGAATATTATTCAGTTAGAGAATCGCATTGGAGGAGTGGAGATTGTTTCATTATTGTATGTGACGTGAATAACAGAGATTCTTTGGAGGAAGCTAAAATTTTATTACATCAATTGGTTGTTGTAAAAAATTCAACTAATTTTCCAGTTGTTTTTGCATTGAATAAGATTGATTTATTGGAATATTTGGAAAAAGAGAAAATAGTGGAAGAATACAAAAGAGATATTGAATCAACCACTTGTCTATATTTGGGAAATAGTTCAATACTTGATTGTAGTGCAAGAACAGGAGAAAATATTAATTATTTATTTGATGAATGTGTTAGGCGAACGAGGTTTAATTCAATTGGTAACTTAAAGCTTCTGAAAGATGTAATCAAATATGATTCAAATTTTATTGAAATTTGCCTTAATGGTAATGATGATGTGGAAAATAATAAGAAAAAAGCAAAGAAATGTTTTATTATGTGATTATGGAAAACATGAATAACAACATTGTTACGAAAAATAAGAAGGTTTACTCTATACTTGGGCGCATACAGAATAATTGTAATGTTAACTGTTTTCCGTTGGATTTCCATCTACAGTAATTCAACCTTGTTGCACAATCAACTACAGTAACAACATTCACTCACACCAACACACAGAATTCCGCTTCAAAAAAACCACCTCAATTCTCACTCAAAAACAACACAAAGAAAATGGGTAACATAATGGCTTTATCTGTTGTTGCTATGCAACAAGGAATGGTCTCCAAGAATGTAACACCAGTATTATTCGCCTTTGGATTTACATCCTTGGTTTTCCTTATCAAATACTTGGTACAGGAGGTAATCATGTTGGTCATTCAAGGTACAAAAGAGGCCGAACCAAAAACATTTGACGACATTAAGAAGGTTAACTTGGATGAGCTTCCTAAGGAATTGGCCAATAACAAACGTTCAATTTATGAGAGGCTGAGAAGAATTAAGAAGGAAGACTTTGAATTTATTGTCATGTTCGTTTTTATTGCTGCTTCGTATCTTATATCCACAAGTGGTGCTTCCAATTACACCTTTACATCAACTTCAAAATCCACCGAATCAAATGTTAATACATTAATAGTTTGGAGTGATCTTTCAATTGCCAATTCAGTAATTGGATGCCTATTCATTGTTGCATTCTTTGTGTTGAGAGTTATCAGTCTCGTGATGATATTTGTACAATCTAAAACCCTCATTCAGAACATTATTAGAATAGTGACCTTTGTTTACCTTGCACTTTTTGGATTGTTTGTACTTATTATGATATTCATGTTTAATTTTTATGTTCAGGTCATTGTACCTAGCAAAGTTAATGCTTAATGGTTGTTTTATATTTTAAATCTAAACTAAAAACTAGTTTTTCACTTGGTTTACAATAATTTTAAATATTATTAAATATTCAAGTTTTTTATTAAAAACAATAAAAAAAACAAGCACACGATATGATGTACGGAATACGGTTCATGAATAGAAATCAATCTCCAAGCCATAAGGAAGATCGTGCCCAATATAACCAACCATCAAATGAGAGTTTGATCACGGAGAAGAAATTATTCATGATTGAGTGCAAGATTGAACTTCTAAATATTTTGCAATCGTCATCAATTGATCATCAACCGACAAATGGGAATTTATTAACAAATAATTGTAATAGTAATACTAATAATAATAATTCATCATCATTGTCATTATCAGCTGAAGGGAGAATTAAATATTATTCGGATCAGTTGGAGGAGGCTAAGAAGATTGTGCAAGATTTAAAGTTTATCCAATTGGTTATGAATGAAAGTAATTTGGATGTATTGGAACGATTAAAGATTCAAGTTGTGGATCCAGAGGAAGAAGAAATGCAGAAAATCTAAATTAAATTTTAGCATATTGAAAGAATTATTTGTAAACTCAGTAATATTAACTCCTTTTGCCAACTATCTCTTTTAACAAAATGCTAAAATTTCTATTGGAACTTGGTAACCAAGTGGCCATTAAGGGATTATTTTCATTCTGAATGTATTCCCGTGTAGTCCAATGGCTAGGATACCTGGCTTTCACCCAGGAGGTCCGGGTTCAATTCCCGGCATGGGAGAATCATTTTGTTTTTGAATTGTTTTGAATTGGTATTCATTTAGAGATAAACAGAACTCTCTTAAAAAATGTCTAGATCTACTTGTTCACCCTCTCTTGCATTCTCTCTCAATTTTAATCAGCTTGATGAAATTCTTGTGGATCAACAACCTGAAACAGTGGAAGATGTAGAAAATTATGAACAACCTCCAATCAGTGGATTTTCAATTCATGTTCCGAGTGATAGTTATGTTTTTGTATGGAATGATTGTCTTTGCCTTATGAATAGAACAACACGAAAAGTATTCAAACAGATGGAGAGTCCGTTGGTCCAATAGTTAATTTAATATTGCATAATGACCAGATTATTGTGATGCATTTGGATGGAGTAATCACCTTACTAGATGTGAAGCAATTAATTGAATCTGATGAATTTGATAAAGCCAAGATATGGACAAGCCACACTTCCTGTCATGACGCACTAATGGCAGCAATTATGGGTGATCATGTCTATATACCAGATAAGAAATTGGGAGTTGTAGTTTTGAATTTAAGTAATGGAGCAAGAAATGAAGTAATGGAACAATTGGTACCACAAATTGAGGATGGTATTGGAATTGTGTTTGCTTCAGAAACTGAAATGATTCTCTCCAGGAGTGGATCTTTGGAATTGTGGACTAGGCCATCGTATGATATTTCTGAAAAGTGGAGTTTGCAGGTGAAGAGAGAGGCTGCCAAGGAGAGGGGTTACTTGTTCCTATTCAATATGGCCTATGAGAGGAGTAGTGAGCTACTCTATGTATTGGATTGTGATATAATGAGAGTGAGTGTCATTGGTAAGAATACTCTGGATATTATCAAGACATTTGGAGAGGATTTGAATTTGACTTCTATTTGTATTGATGAAGAGAAGGGTCATCTTTACTGTTGTTATAATAACATTGTAATTTACAATTAATACTTTGATAATAAAATCAAAATAATACCATGTACAATAAATATTCAAAATTTACATTTGAAATACTGTTAATTTTTTATTAATCACGAATTTCTACGCAACTAACCACAAATTGCTACACATCAAAACGCAATTTTAAAAATATTCTAAACCGCAAATTCCTATGGAAATCAAGCTAAACAATTCGCTGTTTGCAGAACAGAATTTGCGATTTAAAAAGAGGAAAATTTGCGGTTAGTTCCGTAACAATTCGTACTTTATAAAGAATTAACAGTAAGCCTTAATCAGAAAAATGAAAGAAGACATCTGCAATCTTCCAAGCATTCCTAAAATTGAAATATTTAGAAATATTATGTTGATGAATTGCAATAATCAATGTATCGCTTGTTAATCCAACTTTCAAAACTGAGGTGGATGCATCAATATTAGGAAAGAGCTGTCTCCACTTGAATTCAGTATATCTACCATCTGAGCTCAGCAAATTATTATCTCCTCCAATAAATACTGAATTGTCTCTAGTTAAAATTAGAGAATTGTATCCTCCACAGACAATATCCTGGATATTATTCAAATTAAATGAGTCTAGTATTTTGGGGCCTCTATTCACATCATATGTAAAATTAGGTGATATTCCAAATTGTTTAAAATTGAAATAGCCAAAAACGTAAATTTTTTGTGATTGTGTTAAAACTGCTACAAAAAACAATCCTGGTCTAACATCTGTCACAATTTCATGATCTAGATTTGGAACGCGAGTCCAATGGAAAGAATCGCTGGCCTCAATCAAACCATTCGCACCATAAGATCTATCTCCAACTCCATAAAGATGGCCATTCTCAGTCAATATAAAGCTAGTATTATATGTACAATAAACTCTCTTAATCTTGTTTGGAATGTGATCGATATTGGAGACAACCCATGAATCCGAATAATTATTAGTATTCACTCCCAGTTGACCATCTATAAACCAATCTAAATAATCCAATAATTTGTAAACCACTTACAATTCTGTCCATATCCATACACCTTCCCCTTGTCAGTCAGCATTAAATTATGAGTTGATCCACAGGAAACATCCACAATTTTCTCTTCTTTAGTATCGAATGGTAAGGTTGTAATCTTTTTCAAATCATTTGGAATTTCACTCGTCGAGTCTGACATGTAAACAGCTCCACTACTAGTCCTGACTAATAAAAACCTTCTAAATCCAACCATATCCACCTCCTCATCAAACACCAATTTGTACAATACACATCCATCTGATATATACTTCCATACATATAACGTCCTTCTCGATTTACCAACCAACACAATAGAATCACCACACGAAATCTGCGTTACACGTTCATCAATTTCAAAAACCCAATATTGTGGAGTTTTTATCATCACTACAAGGCTTGATTCTCCATTTGTTGTTATTGGTCTTGAATATTCTTTTAAAACTTTTACATTCTCCAGATGATGATGATTAATATCATTGCTAATCATGTTGGTAATTGTTGTAGAATGATCAACTTCCATTCCTTTCATCAATCCATTATTATCGGTATTGATCACGAATTCTTTTTGTTCGAGCTGGAAGATTTGATAGCCAGGTTTTGATGCTAAAAGATTGTCGTGCTCTTTTTCGTTGCATGGATTGCTGGCTGATCGTGTGAGCATTTTTTTTTTCTTTATTTTAAATACTTTACAATTTATTAATAATAGTATTTTTTATTTATTATAAAATGGAATTTATTAAAAGAGAAGAGAAATGAGCATTATGATAAATGTCAAGAAGGCAACTGGTGTTACTGAGATGGCACTTGAAACAGTTGAAGGAAGAGCAGCTCTGGTCAATCTGCATTGGAACTTTACTGGTTGACATTGGAAGAAGAGATGAACCACATTCCACACTCATTCTTTGACAGAAAGATTTACAAATATTCATCGTACTTGTGGTTGAATTATAATACTTTTGAGAAATAGATGGCACACACTTTCCACACTGAGTAGCAGCCAAATATTTACGACAGAGGGTAGAGGCAGATTGACTTAACATAGTGCTCATAGCAGAAATCTGACTCACTTCAAAATCAGTACAACAAGAGGAAGAACGGATGTTAATACCACAAGTAATATCACAATTAGGACAAGCAAATGAACTAGTACCACCCTTATTTGGGCATGTTTCAGCCATGATGAAAGTGACAAAGAGGAATGTGCAAGCTAACGCACACAATAGTTTGAACATGCTGCTGTTGTTGTTGTTTTGTTTTTTTCAATTCTTGTTAGGGCTTAAAATATTGACTGAATTTAAGGCACAATTCAGTAAGAGTAACTTTTTTGGATTTCTTGTTTACAAGCATCCGACCAATCATTGAATTTAGCTCCCGTATTCAAAAAGTGAATACGGGGGCTTTGTTAATTTTCACCAAACATGTGCATGCAAATTTTTCACACACTTATTTATTTGGTGGTCCTTGCTTTACTGTACAAGATGCAAAAGGTTGTTGAGGGTGCTTACTTGTGCTTGCATGTGCATTCGGAATCACGCATTACATTAATCGTTATTGACAAGTGCTCATTTCAATAAGAGCTTGAATTTGTTTGGTGATTTGGCTAATGTTGGATTCCAAAGCAGTTCTGCAGCATTGTGAAATGCACATGTCTCCGAATTGATGCTTCAACTTGCTAATAATTGCTCGTAAATTGAGGTCCTCAAATAATTCATTGGGCATGCTGATCAACAGAATTGCAATCACTATGGATTTGTTTCTATCCTTTTCAAATTCCATAATTTCCCTAAATAATTGGTATTCCTTTAAATTAGTATATATAGTAGTAATCTTGTCGTTCCATAAAGTCTTAATCAATTCATACTCTTCAGATTTAATATCTTTGTCTTCGTTGATTAATAAAGGCTCTACCAAGTCAAAGATGACAGGACTCAGTACTTGGACAATACTTTCAAAGAGAATCGTTTGAGTGAGGGATTCATTATTGACCTGATTCATTTTGGTAAAGTACACCTCAGTAATATTCCTAGTGAGGGTCATCAACTTGACAAGAGTTTCAGACCATTTTTCCTTGACAACAACTCTATAACAAATGGCATTTTCTGGCTTTTTAACTGCTTCTTTTTTAATTACAACAAATCCTCTAGATAATCCTGTTGAAGAATCTATAGGATACAATGCCTTCCACAATAAATCAAGTTTCACCCAATGAGGTGGATATTTAAATCTTGCAACATCTAGAACTAGGACCATATCATTTTCTGCATTATAGGCAGCCAAAGGAGAAAAATGTCCACTGCAATATACATTATTTCAATGTAAATTTCAATGAAAAATAAAACCTACGTTCCAGTTTGTCCCAAAGTAGATCGATCATAGCTCACAACAATAAATGATGGATCATTATCAATTTTTGACAAATCATTTGATTCTATTGAATCAATAATGAATTTCCTAAATTCCTCCAATGAAGAATCCTGAGGTCTATAAACATGACAATCAGCTCCATTACATTTAGCCAAACAAGCAAATTGTCTCAAAGTAATTCCCTCCTTCTTTACAACTTCCAATGGAACACAACAATCAAAAAACTCCTCAGTAAACCATCTCCAAGGATATTTCCAAACTCTCTTCGGATCAATTTTCAAAGCATTCATAACATTTACAAGTGTTCCCAATCCACAATCTTTAAAATCATCAATCATTACCAATTAATATTATTAATAATACCATTAAATCATCAAACATACAAGAAGGCTCAGCTTGTGTATGAAATTGTTCAATTAGCGGAAAGAACGAATGAGTATTTCCTTCCATCAAACTCTGGGAAAATAATTTCCTTCCTTCGAGTGAGGAAAAGGCGACCAAATGCGAAGGTAATTCTCTTTGATAAAAGCCTTGTTCTCTCTTTTCCGATTGTTTTGAATCCGATAATACTAATGATGAAGATGTTGTTGTATTTAATGATAAAGTTGTTGTTGAAGGAGATAATGATGATGAACAACCCTTTTTCTTACATGACGATCCACATTGTGCGCTCATTTTTTTTGATTTGATTTTTCCTTTCAACAACTCCGTTTAATTCTTCCTTTTTCGTCACTCATTTTGACTCAAGTTATTCTAAAGTTTGAAAATCTATATTACTTGAATGGAAGAAAATTAAATTTTAATTATTATTTAAAAGGTTTTTGTGCTTGTCTAATAATCATGTATAAATGTGAATCTTGGAATGAATCATTCCTATCATAGATTGATAACAATTTTTCAATTAATTGAATTGGATCAAAATTGCATTGAGATGGTGGTTTTAACAGTGAGTGATAATATTTTGAATTGTAAACAATTTTTCCATTTTCATCAATATCACCTCTTCCAAAGGCTTCCATTTCTATTATATTATGAGGTTTTGGGGCCACGGATAAGAAATTGCAAATAATTGATTGTTCCCATTCATTCTTGAAATATAATGAACATGAAAGAATGAATAAATCTGGAAGGAATCTATTAAGTTTTGCAATTCTAGTCACTCTATCAAATTGTGAATTCACAGAAGGGATAGAAAGTGAAAGATTATCATATAATAGTTCATCACTGATATGAATTCTTCTACTGAATCTATTCAATGTGAAATTAATTCCTTTTCCATTTTCATTAATAAATTTAAATATTTGATTGGCTTCGTATGGACATATTAAAATTATATAATTATCATTCAAGGAGTGAACAAACCAATCTATTGGTCTCTTGTAATAATCAATTTTAGAGTCAATTGTTGAAATGACAACATTTTTCATACTTTTGGTTGCATAAATGTTACCATTCCAAATATTAGGGAGATTGTAAAGTGCAAAAGTATCAGATAATAATTCTTTAACATTTAACATGGTGGAGATATTTGGCTTGAATCCCATAATTAGCAATTTCAAATTAGTGTCCAATTCAGGAATACAGGGTTCTAATTGAGGAGGTCTAAATACTTGCTTTTCTTCTTCTAATTCATTTTCCAATTCTCTTTCTTGTTCTTCATTCAGTGTTTGTGAGAATATTTCCATAGTATTGGTTGACAGTTTTTCAATAATTTTTGAAATATTACTCTCAAATATTGTACAAAGATTCTTTGTGTGTAACGATCTAAAATGTAATTCTTTCAATTTAAATATTTGTGATAATAATTGCTTCTTTCGTTCTAATCCATAAAATGATTGTAATTCAAGTATTTCATCTTCAATATATTTGTCATAGTATTGTTGAATAAGTATTGATTTTCCTAATTCTTGATTTAACCATAGTTTATGACTGTAAATCAATCCTTGGACAGCCCATTGTAATAAATGATCCATTTCCATTTGTTTTGTATTGAAATGTGTCCAGTTAATTATTTCTCTTGTATTGACAGTATTATTCTCTGATAATTTCTTAATATGTGAATCAACTTCTTTGGATGCCCAGAATGAAACGGTGTGTCCATTCACAGAACATAATTGTCTCATTCTCATGCATGCTTGAACGAACCTTTCATTTGAAAGACCATTTCCTAAAGTAACAGCAGCTCTTGTACTTTCTGGAAATTTAATATCCGTCCCTCTTGTATGTACGTCATCTATGTATGTAACACATTGTTCTAACTTGTTTTTATATGGAGACAAATCAAAATTAGTAACATGATTATATCTATCTATGACAGTGAGTTCATCATTATCATTAAAATATATTGCAGCATGGATTTCGTTTGGATTTGAAATTTCTAACCAATATTGTGCCAATTCTTCATTTGTCATTTCTAACATTAGTGCTCCAACGTCTAGTAATACTCTTGTTGTTTTTTGTGAATTAGCAATAGATTGAATAATGTCTTTGCATGATTGTTCATTTGAAATAACGTGATATTCTTCATTCCTCAAAATGAATGATTCAACATTTTTAGAAGTATCTAGTAATTCTTCTAATTCATTTGATTGAATCGAAATTGGTAATAAAAATGATTTTGTGCCACTGAAACCGCTTGATTGATGATTCTTTTGATTACTTAAATTCCAAGATGAGGAAGTCAACTTTTTAGGAAATTGTTTGCATTCTTTTGGAAATACACACTTATTTAAATAAAAGTCAATAGCTGCCATTGAATATTTAAAAAATGGAAAAACTACTTCCATTTTTTGATGATAATCGGATAAGTTAATATTTGATAAAGATTTCAATTGTTCAGGTATTTGATTCTGACCTTCTTCGACCCATTTACAATATTCCTTTTCTGGGTCATCCAATGATAGCAATTCTTCGAATATATATTCAAGTTGAGAATTATCTAATCCACTATAATAATAGCTTAATAATGTTAATAAAATTGCGATATCTGGATGACCATATTCAGATCTTTCAGATGGTACGTCTTTGGCTCTAAATGGAACGGCAATTGATCTGTTAAAACCAACTCCATAATTAACTCTCCATCTTCTTTCTAATACAAGCTCCAAGGTTCCATACGCTAATAATCCTCTTAGTATTAATAATGATTCCCACTGGCTTTCTTTAGAATATTGTCTAATTAATTTCAATGTAGAATCATTAATTTCTTCACATGTCAAAAATTGTTTAAATAAAAGTCTATGTTCTGGCTTGATAGAAATGAAAATTCCTTTCAAGTTTCCATCAAGAATATCATTAACAATATTTTCTACAAGCAATTCAAAAGCTTTTGAATCTAAAATTCTCAAATGAGGAAATGAATGTTCAAAATTATTCATTTCCCTAAGTTCGACACAAGACGACCCAAATGAATCGAATAAACCTTTAGAATGTTTCTTAATTGATCTAAATACTTTTTGTAAAACATTCCAACGTTGATCTCTACCATCAATTTTTAATTGATTTCCAATTGTATAAATTAGTTGATACCTGGCATGAAGGATTTCATCTGATTCATCTAATAAATCTCTACAATTATTTTCTAACCAATCTTGAACTTTAAATAATTGTTGAAAAAGGTCCGATTTAGATTTGATAGATTCAATACATTTCAATTCAAATGATAATCTATATTCGGGAACTGTGATGAGAACGCCTCTAGCTTTCATACAATTCGAATATAATGTTTGCAGTAACTCACAATCTAGTACTTGATGATCTCTATTAAATGGTGTTACTAGTACTGGTTTATCCAATATTCCACCCAATTTGAATCTTAGTGAGTTATAATTTGATGACAGTAGAGATTTTAAAACAGTTAATCTAACTAATTGATTTTTGTTCTTTCCAAGTTCTAATATTAACATTGGAATGATTACAGATGATTTACCCTCTCCCATATTAAATTGCTGCAATATATATGATTAAATGAAAGAAATTAATAAATTATACATACCATTACCATATTATTATGTGAATGAATCATATGATTTGCAACTCTAACTTGAACTGGTCTAATCATTATATTCATTTCTATTTCTAATATTAACCAATATGGATGGTCAGATGGCTTCCAATTTTCATGACCCTTGTTTTCTAATTCTCTTGAATGAAGTGTTGTCATTTTGGAATACTCTAAAGCTTTTAATCTTTCAGCTCTTTGCAATAATGTTATTAAAACTCCATAACAACCAACTAAATTTTTCAATTTTTGATTAGTTTGGTCATCTAATAGTAATTTTAAAATATTGGTCTTTGTTACTCGTGGCCATAAGCCAGCAATATAGAGTGCTTGATTGGTGGTATTATCATTTGGATGTAACACTTTTTGTATTAAATCTTCCATTTCCATATAAAGAATTTCAACATTATCATCAACTTGGCCAGTTTCAAAGACTCTAGTTGAGAATTCAATAATATTACTACTCAAATTATTTAGTTGATCAAAATAATCAACCAAAAAGGTCCATTTAGGTTTGCATGGACAATCTTGAATTTGTTTGAAAATTAAAGGGAATCTACTTGGTATGGTGTATGATGGCAAGTTATTCACCATAACTTGCAACTTTTCAAGGTAAGTATGGAGTTGATAATTTGCTTTCCTTTCCTCAAATATAGTTCTCATCTTTTCCTTGTACGTATCCAGAATTAGACTGGATGATTCGAATGAAATATAAATACTATTAGAAGTTTTAAATGTTGAATAGGTATTAAGTAAATTATTGCTCATTTTTAACTTTTCCTCTGCGATTCTGTTATCATATTTATCTTGATTTTCTCTTGATAGTGTAACATATAAATCTCTGAATGACCTTTTATGGTTGTCCAATATTTCTTGTATAGTATATGCATATACATCACATTCCTTGATATTCCTTTCCTTCTCAGAATGTGGATATGAGTACATGATTTTATCCTTATTAAGATAAATTAACCCTAATAAATTAACTAGCGTCTCATCAAATTCAAAATACATCAGCATTGTTAAAAAAATTATTAATTTTCTTTTAGAAAATTGTTGAATTTCATCGGTCAGTTTTGAAAAACACGACTTGATATCAACTGTCATCCAACCTTCAATAGTTTTCAAATCTGTTTTGCAATTCTGTGTTGAATTGATAATAGATTTTATACTATTCAAAGGTCCAAACATATTGTTCTTCAAAGAGTAACATAATTGTCTGCACTTATTGATTTCTTTGGCGTCGGAGTGAGTTTTCATCCAAAAACTAGAATCAGAGGATTCACTGTCTATTTCACAATCTTTAGAGTAATAGTGAATATCTTTAAAATACGCCTTCCAATAGAGTAAATTTAGTATTATTTTTACTCTTTTCAATACTAATAGCTGAAAATAATTTTGAATTTTCTTTCTTAATTCGTTCGCATAATATCATATAGGAGTCTAATTGTACAATAGACGATAAATTATTATTCCATGTCGTTACTTGCATATCAGTTAAATGTTCTGGATAATAAGATCTCTGTGGAGATAATGTCGATATTAATTCAAGTAATTCAATCTCAAACTCTTTCATTGGAATATGTAATTGATAACAACGTTTAGATTTCAAGATAGATATTGCAGCTTCATATCCACACAATTTGGTGAATGGATCAGGTAAGAAGTAAGAAGTACATCCATGCAAATATGCTAAATACAACCAACTTGCTAAACTTTGCTCTGCTTCCAATCTTTCCAGTTGTGCATTGACAGTATAGGTGAAGAAGGGAGGAGATGAAACAGAATTTAAATCAATATCTACTTTTACATGACCACTAATGTCTCTAGCTACTTGAATATCTCCATTAGGAATTACTAATACTGTATTTTTCGAATAGTTATCAACTAATTTGAGCCCTTTTTGCAATCCAATTAATGTTCCTATTTCAAAGTTAGTGGATACTGTCATTCCAAATTGTTTACAAATAAATTGTGAGTAATTATTGGACAGAATAAATATTAATCCTTTTCTAGGTAATTCAACAAAAAGAGTATTATCTTGATAGTAAGAATGTACATGTTCATCTTTTTCAATTCTGCTCATAATTTTCATTATTTCTGTAAATATTTTACTTCTATTGTCTATAAAATATTTCTTATCCTTCATATCTAATAACAATCTACTATTCAAATTCAAAGTATAATGAACCTTTGAGAAATTGGTATCTAAGAAAAACATTGGTCTAAATAAAATACAATTAGATTCCTTATCAATCCAATGACCATATTTTTCTTTGAGTTGAAAAGGTAAATCTTTTGCAAAATATTCATGCGGAAAATAAACTTTTTCCTTATTGTCCTTGGTTATTTCACTGATAATTAAAATTTCTTGCTCGATTTGTGATATTAATTTAAATTTGAAAAAGCTTCCACCAAATGTGTTCTTAGTCACAAAGGACTTGAATTCTGATCCTGGTTGTACATCAAGGACTATTTAGTGTCAATACATCAACATTCTTCATATACTTACCCATATTTTGAAAAATTCTTTGATATTCATTGCTTTTTGTAATTATTTCTGGTAGCCGTCCAATAGGAGCATGATTTATCAATAATGTTCCGTTAATAATGTTAACTTGGATGAGAACTTCGTTAAATTTAACATAATACCAATTTTCAGATTCTGCATATTGATGCCATTTCAAATTCAATTCTTCTAAATTTCTAACTTCACTCCATTTTTCTTTCAGGAAAATGTTTAATTCAGAGCTATCTTTTAACGAATCATGAATTGAATCTTGAATTAATTGTGATGTCTTGATTGTTTCTCTGAACAATAACTTTCTAAATTGAGGGAGTGTATTTAAACCAATATTATTCAAAAGTAAATTTTCGTAAATTATTGATCTCGCAAGCAACCATTTAGAAAAATCTCCTAGTAATCTCTGGGAAGAAAAAGGATGAAAAGTTAAACAGCAGCAACAAGCTGTTTCAGTTTGCAAGTTTCGAATGTTTGTGCACTCGATCGGATTGTCAATAATTTTGAGCAATACTTGTTCACTTTTAGATAACCACACAAGGCAGAGTTCTCTAATATCAAGTAATAATTTCTCAACTCTGTTATGCAATCTAGTATTTTCACACATTTCCAAAAATTTTTTGGCACAAAATACAATGATTACTAATTGATTAATAGATTTCCAATTATTTTCAATTTTTTTCAATAATTTCTGAAGTAGTGAAACAAGCTCATTTGAAAAATTCAAATCTCGAACAGGATCATTTGTTTCTCTCCACCAATCTCCTTTGGAAGGGCATGATTGTAATAAACTTTGGAGAATTAAAAAACAAACATCTTGTTCATCAAAAGAGAGTACGTTATTTGAAAGAACTTTGGCTAAATTATGCATTTGAAGACGATAGCCAGCCCTAAATGATCCAAATTCTATAAATTCTGTAAGAGGAAGTTTAGGATGACAATTAATTTGAGAGGATAAAACATCATTCTGGTTGTGGCAATAATTTCTAAGGAAAGGAATCAAGCTATTATACCTTCCATTCTTGTCTAGTAAAAATGAGCATTCTTCAACAATACTGGATTTTGAGAAATGTACGTACTTTCCATCGATAGAAATTCGAAGATTCAGAGCGTTTCTTTTTATAAATTCATCTTCAGAATTCCTTGGGTGGTGTTGCTCTTTAGAGTAATGGGATCTCAAATAAGATTTTTGAGAGCTTGTTAAACTAACTCTATTGTGTTTAGTGTTAGAGTTGTGGTTTCTTAAATACTCTTTCCAAATTTCAGTGCAACCATTAGCTTTTTGCCTTGGATTGTAGTAGTTTACAATTTCAAAGAACTCAATCAATACATTGCTCAAGCATCTAAACTCATCAGGAATTAGTAATTCAAAAATAACAGCATTTTTCAAATAATCCTCTTCTGGTAGAACTTTTTCGTATGGCGTAACACTCATTTCACTTGCCCGGTTCTGGTAGTAACATTTCGAACAATGAGATCTGCATTTGTAACGGCGATGGTATTCACTATAATATTCATCATGGGAAATTTTGCTAGCTTGTTCCAGGTATTCCTGATACGTTTGTTTTGCTTTTCTAACTTCATCTTTTTTAGCTTGGATTTTCTCTTGAATTTCTTTTTCAATATTTTCTCTCAACCGGATCATAGTTGGATTTCTGTTTGCATATCTGACAGAAAATGAATTTCGGCTTATTTCTGAAAGAAAATCAGGTTGATAAATAGCTGACTGTTCGAAATTATTGAAATAGGTTTCAAGTTCGAATAGATATTTCCATTCATCTTTTCTATTGAGGTTAATATAATTGAAAATTGAGGTATCAATACCAGTCTTGTACTCTTTAACCATAGATGATTGTTTTTGTGCAAATTCTATTAACTTTCTAATGATATTTAGACAAGTGAGAATCATTCTACTGAATCCCATTGGATCAGTGGCATAAACTGTTTTTGCCACTACTACGTATTGTGTAAATAGGTTATTTAAATTATTAGGTGTACAGTGATAGTCTGTTATCATGTTCTTTCTAACCCATTCTTCAATAATAAATAATTCAGATAAAGATGCTTCACCACCGTCTGTTTGACTAATCGTAAATTGAGAAATACTAAAAGATCTATTGAATGATTTTGGAACAATTTCACTTTCGTCAACTGTTTGTTGTTCTATTTCTCTGTAAAGGTTAATGACTTTTTCAGACTCAACCAATTGTTGATAAATATTATCAGACTTGTTGGCTGCTGAACCTAAAGTCAAATTAATTTTGGAGGTATCACTGCAAATAATATTCCAATTATTATCCAGATATTTTCTTTGTTCAGCAATAAACTTGTAGGCATAAGTCAAAATATGCTTGGTTTTAGGATCGTGCAAATCATCCAACTTTTTAAGTCTAATTGCTAGTTTTGAAATAACTTGTAATTTTACCTCATCACTCATTTCATGGAAGTGCTTGTTAGCAATATGAATGAAATATTTCATCAATACTGCCTTATAATAAACTTTTCCATCATTCTCGCCATACTTCCAAACAAGTAACAATTGCAAAATAATTTTGATGGACATCCACAATCCAGATCTCCTGTAAGGATGCATGGCATTGCTCCATTCAATTGAATTTCTAATCTTTTTGTTGATCATCTTCTCGTGAGCTAATTCACCACCAAGAAGAGCAACCAACCACTCTGTGATAATTACTGAAGAAACTACATCACGCCCTTCATCTTCTTTACTGCCAGCTTTTGTTGATTTTGGTCTTATTTGACCTATTTGATTCGAAAACAAATCTTGCAACAAAGTGGCAAGCTCATCAGAGCAAAGCATTGAGAGATTCTCATCCTTGACACTGATAGTAACCTCAGGATAAAGTGTTACAAGATCGCCACACCTAGACATAATCTCCTTGTTGTTTGGATGCACTGTAAATACTGAAACTTTAGCAGATTGTCCCTTCTCCTTACGAATGATCAAACATGCATTACAGTTTTGAATATAGAGAGGAAGTATAACATTAGCATTGGTATCAAGTAAACTTTGTACTTGGCCACCGTCTAAACCAAGTTTGGAGTCAATCTCATCCACATCTTCTTGAACAGACATCCAATTTGTAAATGCCTTCTGAACATCTGCAAATTCAACGGCTAATTCATCCATTTTCAAAAATTGGACAAACTCTAAAAGATGAAGTAAATCATAGCCAACAGTCTCTTGTGATGGCAATTTTTTCAATAAAAACAAGTCACACAAGAATGTGTCTAGAAATTGTGTTGACATTTTTTTGATTATTGACTTCTGACTACTCGCCTACAACACTCTTATTGATAATTAGGAGGTTGTGAATTCCCAACCTCTTCTGTTTATGTTTTCCGAAGGGTTGGGAAGTCTAACAAATTTTTTCCGAAGGTTGGGAAGTCTGAACATTTTTTTAATTTTTCGGAGTGCAATATTGGCGGCTTTGAAAGATTGTTGGTGTTAAAATAATCCATCCTCAATCCATTGAATGGCTGTACGTCGATCTTCTGTGAAAACCACTCTAGTAATTGCCTCTCCTTCTTTTTCATGAACAGTGAGATAACCAGATCCTCTATCCCTCAGAATGGCTTCACTCTTCTGTTTCTGAAAGGTGTTTGCAGTGTTAACAGAGTAGCATAAATCCTTGCAATAAGTATCGCATCCATAAAACGATTCCTGCTGACACACGTTGGAAATCATGCTGTCGTCACTGTAGTAAGTGCTATCGGATGAGTGAATGCTTTCACCATCGTAATCAGGATCCATTTCTTCTTCCGTTTCATCATCTAAATAAACAGATTCAAATTGATCTTCAATAACATCGACTAGGGTTTTGAGAATTGTGTCGTCTTGAATGAAATTTCTCAATTGTTCATGAACTTGCTCTGGTTGTAAATTCAAATTTTCCACAAACTCATCTCTGAACCTCTGGAGATTATAAGTTTTCCTAGAGTTCATAAAAGAAAAGTACTCTTGAATTAGCTCTGTTTTAGACGCTACCAAAATGTGGGCCAAAGTGATATCACTTGCAATAACATAATCTCTTCCAGAAAACTCTGCAATATCTTGAGCTAGTTTGAAATTATTGGCTAAAAATTGCTCACTTGCTTGTTGGATGAGCATCTTGCCATTTGGAAGTACATTTGTATCATTTTTGTAATCCATGAGAACTTCTTCAATTAATAAATTAATACGTGCTTTAGGAAGAATTAAATCTTTTCTTGTTATGAATTCTGGACCAAGACCTTGTGAGATTGAATCTTCCTTTTCATCATCTATAGTTTCATTCTCGTCCTGAATTTCATCCTCTTCAGCAGGTGGTTTTGAATTTGGTCTTCTTTTTAATATTTTAATAAGTGGCCAGTTGTCTTCGTCATAGGGTAGCTCACTAAAAGAGTTTGTTTCCTCTAAATACTCTCCTTGATAGGGATTCCATCTTACTAGTTCGAGTTCTTCGAGGGGTTTTCTAATTTTTCTCAAATTTTCATTATATATATAATCCGTATATGGATTTCTCTTTCGCTTCAAAGAGGTTTGATTTTTGACCTGACTTTCAAGCCATTCATAAGACAAGCCGTACTCACTTTCAGATTCGTCAGAAATATAATCATCGTATTCATATGATCTTTCGAGCCATGTTTCCACAGTAACAAACTCTTTCAAAGGTTCATGCTCTTCTTTTTCTCTCCATTGCACCGAAGTGGAATATTCATCTCCACCATCAAACCAAACATCTGCATCCATTTTCTCCAAAGAAAGTTTGTGAATATCATTCAGTCTATCTACTTCCTTAATTTTTTCATTGATTTTGATAGCTACTTTGATATCTCCATACTTTTCTTGAAGAAGCCTATATATTTTTTCCTTTTCAGAGCTTTCATCAATTTGAGATAGAATACAAGGTGTAAGTCTCTTACCATTATAAATAATTCTTGATTGTACAAAAGGGTTCGCAAAATACTTGTTAATTAACAAGTCGGAGATTTCAACATTTCCTCTTTGGATGGAATAATGAAGAGCTGTCAGACCAGCTGCATCATGAATGTATGTTTTCACATGCGCTTCAAGAGGAACATTTAAACTTGGATTATTAGAAATATTGGCAAGATTAGAATGGAATTTAGTGCCCACATTCAGACACCACTCTAATAGAGTCGAACTACTGATCCAAACAGCCAAGTGTTGTAAATAAAAGCTCTTTGACATTGGAGGTATCAAGAACTCTAAGGACTCTGTTCTCTTAAAATTCATCTTAATGCCAACATCACAAAATCTCATTCTTTCCACCTTGATTCCACAATCTCTAAGTCTTTTCATAATTTGGGTTACCATACAAGTGCTGCTACCATCAATCAAAGTATTGATACCATTAAACTTTTCTACAATATATAACAAGTACTTTCTTGGAATACAAGAGGAAATACCATCCAATTCATTCCAACATGTTGTGATATCGTCAAATAGACTTGGTGTTTCAATAACATTCAATAGATTTGTATTGAACACAATCTGATCATTCCACTCAATTTCATTTGGTTTCTCCTCCCAAGAATTCACCAATTTAACAGCAGGTTCCAATAATTTCTCAAAAAACATTTCAATCATAACATTAACTTGATTCGATCCAAGATGAGCCAGCATCTCTCTTCCAATACATACCTGAATCAAAGCTTTCAACATTAGAATATTTTCTTCTGTTGATGAATATGCATCAAGCCACTCTGCAAATTTTTCAAATAAATTGCCTTGCTCATCATCATCCGATTCATAACAAATCAACTCATCATTACCTTTGTAATAGACAACCAACTGATCATCATGTTTAGTAAAGTCCTTGAATTTGTTTCTTTGTGTTCGGAACAATAATTTATCAATGAAGGCATGAGTTGGAAAGTACATTCCTACAATATCAAAATATTCCTTGTTTCTAAATTGACTCAAAAAGGGCTGCCAAAAACCTTCCCGATCCTCACTTATTACTCGGAAGGTTTTATTGATATGTCTAAAGGTGAGAATTTGACGAAATAATTGATAGGGATCGCATTGCAAGTAAAAGATGTTTTGCAAAATTTCACAGGGAAGATCGTCAAGGTTGGGTGAAACCATTTTTTTTCAAAGTTGACTCATAATATCAATCCACTTTACATACAGATATTCCATTGTAAACTTCACCAATGCATTATTGATTTCTTATTGTTTCAATTTTTACCGCCATTTTTCTGAATGACTATTTAGATTGGAGCGATTAGATCACACCAAAAATCAGCGCTGAAAATTCACTTTGAAAAAAAATGTTCCCGCTGCAATCTAGGTTATCTTTCAAGGCATCCTTGTCGAGAATCGCAAGTAGTGGCTTGTTGTTGTTCTTATTGTTTGCTGTTGTTTTGGAATGCTCCTGCTTGATGAGTGTTGTATTGGCTGCTGCTAATCGTGGAAAGATCAATATTTTACAACAATCAAAGATGATCAAGAATAATAACAAGGCTCCTTCTGTTATTGTTGGAAAAGAAGCTGGATTTATTGTTCCACCATTGGAATCGTATGGTGCTGCTCCGTATCCAGAATATGCTCATCACCATTTGGTGTGGATTAATGGAGAGAAACAAAGTCAACAGGGAATTATTAATTTGGTAAATTCTTACCTTGCTAATGGTATTCCTGTTGGATCAGTGGATTTGGAGGCTGGTTGGAGTACTGGCATTAATAATTTTGTGCCAAATCAGTAAGTTTTGTATTGTTGGAATAATGTGAAATATTCTATAATTCATTCTGATTCAACAGAAGTAAATTCCCAAACCTTTACCAATTGGTCAAGCAATTACACAAGATGAATGTAAAGGTATTTTGTTGGGCTACACCATTGGTCAATACTGATTCTCCAAATTATAAGGATGGATACAATCGTGGATATTATTTGAATGGAGGAAGAGAAATTGAATGGTGGAAAGGACGCGGAAGTTTCATTGATTATAGTAATCCTGATGCTGTTAATTGGTGGCATAATCAATTGGATAATGTATTGATTTTGAACAAGACTGATGGAGAAGGAATTGATGGATGGGTAGGTTTGAATATTTCAATTTACAATAGTTAACAAAAATCTTAAAGAAAACTGACGGTACTGATCCATATCTCTATGAATTGTTACCTTACATCTACGGTAAAAAAGGAAAAATTTCAGAATCTGATTATTCCAGCATGTATTACAATGATTACTTGTCTTATTCTCAAAAAGTTAGAGGACTTGATAATGCCTTGCTTGTTTCTAGAGCAACTGATTCATTCCTTGGAGCTGCCTTCTTTAAATTCGCCCCAAGAGATGTTGTTTTTAATGGATGGGTTGGTAACAAGTATGCAAACTATTTCGGCTTGAAGGAAACTGTGAAAAACATGTTCCACTCTTCGTGGGATAATTATGTTGGATTCACCACTGAAATTGCTGGTTATTCTGGAATGAGAGCTGATGATAAGGTATTATATATTAGATGGTTCCAATTGGCAGCCTTTACAAGTGCAATGCACAATGGAGGGTATGATCTTCATGAACGTAAGTACTGAATTATTTGCAAGATCTGACATTGAATTTTATCTAGCTTGGCTTTTCAATGATGCCAACGTAACTGCTCTCTACAGAAAATTCACTCAAGCTCACATGGAAATTGTTCCTTATTTATACACAACTGGTATTTCAGCATATGCTTCTAAAACTAGTATGATTTCTCCGCTCAAGTAAGTTTGAAATTCTTTTTCTTTATACTAACTCTCAAAAGTTCACATACAATTTTGGATCCAAGTATTTGGACATTCTACCTTGGAACAGATATGCTCGTCAATCCAATCTTTGATTTCCCGGGAGAAGTAAATGTGTTCTTCCCATTTGGAACATGGGTTGATTACTTTGATCATGACATGTCATTTGGAGGTGGTGTTGTCCCAATGTTCAATATCACTTTCAATTACACTCTCACATTAACTGATTTCCCAGCCTATTACAGAGCTGGTAGTATTTTACCATTGAATATTACTACAAATCATGTCAATGTGTTTGGTAATGCTAAAAGAAATGCTGGATATTTAACCTTGGCCATTCACTATCCAATTGTTGACCAAGTCCAAGAAAAGGTAATCTATTCTCACGGTATTAAAGTTACCTATTTGAGAAAGACAATTGACAATACAATGATTATTGAAATATCAGCTCCAAATGGTTTCAGAGGAGAACATGCTGATAGAAATCTCAAATACTTGTTGGATATTCGTGGATTACTTCCATCTCACTTTGAAGGATACACAGTTTCTCAATACTCAATGGATGCTGACAAGTTTGTCGAGATGAGCAAACACAAATTATCCAATGATTTTAACAATTCAAAAGAAAGCTCATTCCACCACAATGAAAATCCATCCTTCTACACTCTTCGTAAACCAAACGGAAAGCGTTTGAAATTGAAACAACAACACTTGTGGATTAAGGTTCATGATGTCAGTAAGGGTGTTAGAATTTTGATTAAATAAATCCCAAACAGTTACAATCAAGTTTAATCATATAATTCTAATACAACAAACACTTTATGTGGGATCTAATACAACAAACAATTAGAATTCCATATTGTTATGGAATAAATTTGTCAGTTGTTAGAAATCGTTACAATGAAACTGAAGTTCTTTGTCAAGTGAAATCACTGACGCAGAACCGTCTTCATTGTCGCTTCAGGACTTCACACGTCAAACAAAAAACAGAAACTTTTAAAAAAAATCCATAACACCTACCAGTTGAATCTGCAAGAAACAACATTCACACCAACAAAACAACAAATGTCAAAATCACCAAGAGAATACAAGCCACTAATCAGAGGAGACACCATCCAGCTTAGAATCATCAACGGTTTTGATCTGGAAGCAGCCGATGCGAATGGACTGAGTGATCCATTTATTATAGGAGAAACTGTTGATCCACAATTATTAAAATTCGATAAATTCAAGACGAAAATAATGAAAAAGACATTGTCACCTGTTTGGAATGAAACTTTTGATTTGGGGAGTGTAAAGTTGACTTGTGGAAAGATTTTAGTTAAATTAACAGTGATGGATTGGGATAGATTTTCAAAAGATGTAGGTTTTAATAGTTTCCTTTTTGGGAAATATAGTAATTTCTAATTTTGGAAAATTTAGGATTTTATTGGAGAAACAATTATCGAAATTGATGGAAGTTTGCAAATCAATAGAGAAACAATTAGGGATTATCAATTAGAAAAAGTCAGTACTGGAACTGTCAAAATTGGAATTACCGTCACTCGTCCAGAAGACACTGCTCAAATTTTATCAATTGCCCAAAAAATACTTAGAGATACAACTCATTATCATGAATTATTGTCAAATCAGAATTTTATTTTATCATGTACCATTCCTGGTTGTTTCTCATCTGCTGAAGTTAAGGCAGATCGAGTGACATCTGTCATTGCAAAAAATCATGAAACATTTTCATTACAAATTTACAATTTATCATTAATGAGCTATGATCAGGAAAGAGTAAAGATGGTTCATGAGGAGGTTTTTAAAGTAGGAAAGGATTTGACAGTTATTGAAAAAGATTCGGATATTACACCAATTTTTGCAACCTTATTTGCTGCTCCAATATTTGAGAAAGTTCACCTTTCGATTTTCAAATACGAAAGGGATACCATTGGAAAGACATTGTATGTCTATGCACTGAAACCAAAACAATTTCACATGATGATTGCTATGGTTTATTCAACTTCAGAATCTCACATTTCAACTGAGAGAGAATTGCTATTACAATATGTGGCAACTAAAATGAATATTACTGAATTACAACACACAACCAATCAATAAATGATTGTTTTAATTAATGCATACTTTATATTTATTTATTTTGTTATTTACAGTGATTACTACCTTGAGGCAAAGAAATAGATATATGTGTTCAATAAATATTGAAGAGACATATTACAGACTCTATGCTTGATTCTCTTCCACAATTAGTGATTATTTCTCATTCAATTTCTGTTCCATGAACAGGTTTTCGTTTTCGATCAGTTCCTGCTCCTCCAGGGAATAACTTTCTTTAAGCTCCAAATAAATTTCATAAAAAGCTCCAAACCATGAGAGGACAGAACATGCCACATTCTTGAAATGTTCAACATTATGACCACAATGAACACCTACTATTCTGCTGGAAAATTTGTGTGACTGGATATAGTCTTTGAAAGCAGTTTTGTTCTTTTGCAAAATATCAGATGTTCTATAAAGATCCATAAACTCATTGACTTGATGGTTTCCTATAAATATTGGCCCACCAGAGCTAGATTCGGTCGTTGTAGCATTGTGGAAGATCTTATTTTCCTTAATATCAGTGATCCACCCAAGTGAAAATTCTACCGCTTCCTTTGGTATCATTCTACTCAGTGTTAAAAAATCAATGCCTATTTCTTTTGCTTTCATTTCTATTGACTTTAAAGATGGAGAACATAAACCAACAAGTAAAATGTTGTAAACATCATCCTCGCCTGTAGATTCATTAGCTGCAAGCGAGGGTGAGGGTATAACATTTCCTCCAAATTGATCTTTAGAAATGCTACAATCTGATCCCTCAAACGAAAGCAAAGCCCAATCTTGCGAAACATTGTTCCTCTCATATTTTCCACATTTTACAACCTTGCACGAGATGGAATCTGTTCTCTCAAATAAATCTCTGACATTAGTAAAACTAACAACTAGATTTTTCACTTCAAAATCTACTCCATCTTTGCTCTGGTGAGACACAACACAATGAGCACAAGTTATCAAGTAATTAATTGAATTCTCTCTAAATGGTGATATTAGAAAGGCTGTTCCTGTGGTAATTACTTGTTGCAAGGGTTTGTTTGGTTGAGTCAGTTCCATCTCGGCAACAATGGTGCACGTTCTTTGTTTTAAATACTTTAAATGTTGATTGCAATTGTAGCATCTAATATACTTTGGAAGAATGTATTGATGGTGGACTGTATCATCACATTCATCATTAGTACCTGATTTCCAATTTGGGTCCTTCTTAAAAATTAGAGTTTCAGAAGAACAATCCTCATCACCAGCTGGTTGATTGTTTAGGTGTGAATTACTAACAACAAAATTAAGATTCAAAATTTCCAACTCTTCAACAAAATCCTCCTCTGTTGAATGCATTTTTTAGGTTGAGATCACAACCAATTTTGATCTTAGAGGTCGCCTTAATACTGAGTGAAAGAACCTAAATTTTGCAAGCTAACCCACGCACACAGTTGTCGGACCAGCAAAGACGTAATGTGCAAACTAACAATAATTGTTTTCCTATTTTTTATTGGAATGGAGAAACTGATGACCTAGGGGATGATGTTGCAGGAGAATCTGGAGTGTTATTGCCAGCAGAAGTACGGGAAGTTAAAGGAGCATCCGAGGTACGAATATCTGTCATTCTGGATCTTCTGTGTTGTAACTCTCTGAAGGAGACTTCTGATTGAATGACATCTTCAGAGGAGGTGGAAACGAATAGTGGACTCACAGATTTACGAGGTGTATCAATTTCTATATTCATTTCTTCTCTCAATACTTCCACAACTTGTTTGTAATGATTACTAGTGACAAATCTTTCATAAGTGTCGATCATTAGGAGGGAAATTACTCTTTGAATAGGGTCGAAAATGTCAGCTCTAATGCTGTCGTCATTTTCATTTAAAAGCTCCACTTCAATTTCCTTTACCATTCTTCGAGAGAGGTTTAGTTCTCTCTCAGATCCTAAGCGTAAGTACTCGTCATAGATCTTTCTTCCTTCCTCGAGTTGTTTTGAAGAATCCATTAGGGCTTTATATTCCTCAACACGTGCCCAGAAAAGAATATTCTCCTCAGAGTGTTCCAGCTCACAATAGGAAACAAAATAGGGTCTCAGTTTTTCGCTCGATCTAATAACTTCCAACTCTACATTAACTTCCTTATTGTCATCATTGCTAATATTGGAAGGAATATTGAGTGAGGAATTGTACTTGTACTCAATTGTTATATCATCAACATCACGTTGCTTTAGAATACAAATCTTATTTGATACATTGGTATCCAGATATTTGAACAGGTATTCCATTAGATCTTTTTGTGAACCAAAATCATCTTTGAACCACTCGAAAATCTTGGATACATAAATGGTGTTGGTCTCCAAATCAATTCTAGTCTCTCTTTGGATGTATTCTCTGGTGGCCTTATCAATTTCACTTTCCATATTTTCCAAGGTGAAGAGATTAAACTTTGGAGAACCCATATCGGCTCTGAAAAGACAAAAATGGATTCTTGGATCAAATTCTGGAATTCTCAAATTACTGATAGCGTTGAGAAGTGGATTGTCATCCTCACTTGATGTCTTGAATAACTTTTCCCTAAACGATGAGGATATCGAGTCCTTACCAACATTGATATTTCCACTAGACTTTCTTTGATATTTTTCTCCTCTAAGAATACCATGAGCAATCATGTCCAAGCTCAATTTGTATCTTCCAATCATGTACTTTTTTTTTCTGAAGAACCTCTTTCTCAGTAAAAAGTTGGTAGGTTTACCACAAGTTATCAGAGCATGCAATACCATAATGTTGTGAATATTGATAAAGAAGCACTTTCTAAAAGTAGGATCAAGCATTGTTGTCGTGTCAATCTTTTGCAGCTTTCTCATTTCATTGAGAATTGTAACAAAATGTTCACTGAAAGCAAAACCTTGATAGTCGAAAATTGGCAGATCGTTATACTTTGAGCTTTGATCATATTTCATCATAATTTCCTTTCCTACTTGTTTAATGACTCGGTAAATGGACATGAAGGATGATTGTGGCTCGAAAACACCAATCATGTTTGGATCTATATTGAGTGTATTGGAATTTTCATATTCATCAGTGAAAATGTAGAGAACATTTGGATCATCTTCAAACTTGGAGGTAAACTTGTCCATATTGATAAAAACCATTCTGTCCATCATTTGTTGAGCAAACCAGGCTGCGTCTAATCGCAAAAACTTGTCATGACTATTTTCTTTAATCCAATCGACTATATCAGAACCACTGAATGATTTGGCATGCATTCTATTGAATTTAGACCGAATCAAGTTCTTTTGTCTCGATATTCCTGCCTTCAATCTTTGCACAAAGGACTTTTCATCCTCCTCAAAGTTATATATACAGAGTGTTAAATCCTCAGTTGGATCAAAGAGTGGATTTGTTGTAATGTACTCCTCATCGTAGAGAGGATTAATGAATGATATTTCTTGCTCGTATAAACTATTTACAATTCTTTCACCTTCCTCGAATAATCCACAATTGAACACTTCTTCAAATTCTTCATCATCGAGCTCATCCTCGTCCGTGTAGGTTTTTGGAGAAGTGAAATCCTCAAAACCTTTACTTCCCAGGGTGTGGAAGATTTGCTTGTGAACCCATTGTTGCTTTCTATAATCATCAATTATCCTCTTGATTTTATGAGAAATGAGTTGGGATTCCAATATTTTCTTTACCACTGATTTGGATCTTCGCTTCTCACCATCCAACATGGAATTAATATTTTCCTGGTACGTGTTGTAATTAGTCTTTCTAAAGTATTTGGCGTAATCTTCATTCTTTTCAATTTCTACATCTTTAAAAACACTTCCAATATTGAATGAAATGGTACTAGAGGAACTGAGAGCTTCAGCAAAATGACCACTCTTGCTTTCCATCTGGTTTCTGGTTTCAGCAATAGATTTGAGACTGTGTGAGCTCATAATATCCATTCCACTAAAAGAATTGACAACAACAGGAGAGGATGTTTCTTCCTCATCATTACAAGTAGCATCATCGTCACTACTGGCATCATTAATTGAAGAAGTGTGGCCAGACTCTGTCAAGTCTCCATTATTCATTTCCGTATCTACAGTGTCAATTGATGTCAGAATATTATCAGTAGAGTCGGTACTAAAGGTACTAGTGTTTCCTTCCTGTTTATCTGACTGAGGAGAGACAATTTCTATGGTTATGTTATTACTTTCTCTAACTTTTTGCAAAATTGACTCTACAATTGTTTTGATGACTTGTTTTGTTTCTTCTTTGATGTTATTTTCCTTTTCTTCTTGTTGATTGATTTGATTAATAGCTGTTGTTTCCACAATAATTGGAGTTATTGTTGGAATTGTTTCAGTAATTTGTTCGTTCTCTTCCTCAGGTTTGGAGATTGGAAATGATTCTGTTAAAGTAATTGCTGATGTTTCTTCTATTGATGAATCAATAGTAGTTATTGTTGAAGGTTGTTGTTGTTGTTCTACTTCTTGTTGAACTAATTCATGGTTAATTTCAAGAGTTTCAATTGAAGAAATCTCATTGATTTCTTCTGAAATTGGCTTGATTTCTACACAAATCTCTTCTTTTTCTTTTGGAGAAGGCAATTGTTGCTCTTGTTCTGATTTGTGTAAATTTTCAGACTGTACAGATTGTTCTTGTTGTTTAGAAAGTATTTCATTTGATTTGTGAATCTTATTAGTAGTAGCATTAGAGGTTGTTTTTTGTATGAGTTGAGTAAATTTCAAAATGGTTTGACTCACTCGGGATGGTTTACTACTATTAGCACTAATTGAAACTACTTCTAATTCCTTCTTATTTGATGATGATGATTTATCCACATTGAATTCAGGTAGGGATGATGTTGTTTTCCTTGTTTCACTTGTTGCTGCTGGTATGGTATTGTTACTACTTTGTATGGATAGGGATTTTGATGGAGTTGTATAATTATTACTTGTTGTTGATGTGATTTCATGTTGTTGTTGTTTATCAGAAGATGATGACGAAGATGATGGTGAAGATTGAAAATAGGCAGAAAGGTTCTTATTGATGGAAGTAATACTCTTTACAGGGGATATAAAACTATTGTTATTATTACTAGTAGTAGTAGAAGAGGTTACAGGTGTGGTTGCAGTCGTGACTGGTAAATAATCAATCTAAAATCAAGTCAAGTCAATATATATAATTATAATCAATTCGTTCAAAATTGTATTATATTATATGGATGATAATTAATATGATGAAATCAGCAATGATAATGATTATTCAGCACAATGACAAATATCGTGTTGATGATGATGAACAAAAAACACAAAAATTCAACAAAATACAAAAAACACAATATAACCTACCCGCACAGAATGTCTCGTCTTGACTGGATTTCGTGGTGTTGTTGAAGGACTATTCAAGGTAGCATTCTCCTCTTTTTTAATATTTTCTTCCCAGAGTTGTTTTAGCTGTGAGACTCTACTAGAGAGTGGAGTGGATAAAGAAGTAGATGAAGAAGATGATAATGGAGAAGTGGTGATATTGGAAATGTTGTTGTTGTTTAGAGCAGATAGGTTGAGAGAGGGCGTACTTGTTGCACCACCTTCTTGTGTCATTTTGTTCTTGAGTGTTGATTAATTGCACTTGACGTTTGATCAATCTACTCGAAAGTTCTTTGTGGTGTTGTGTTCATGATAATCCCGACTTGGAAAGTTGAAGCTCTGTATGTTGGTGGATTTTCTGTTTAAGAAGAAACAATTGATTTGATTTAAGCGATAGATTAACAAAATATGACTTTCTAATGTAAAGATATATAGTAACAATAATTTAACATTCATTAGATTTGAACAGTCTATGATAAAATCATGATAGAAACCCAAACCTTGAAATTCTGGAATATTACTGCACAAATTTTAATTGTGTACTAAGAAGCCACATACCACAAGGTAATAAGTGCGTTTTGTGAAGTTACAATCTTAATATATTAATGTATTTCCTTATACCTTTGCGCTTATTGCCAAAGAATCTTTGGGTGACGCTGTAGTTGGTTACAAGTGTTTGGATTCATTTCAGTTGAGATGTATCCTTGCCACCATGAGGAAAATGTAGAGAAACAATATGGAAGAATATGCTGCTTGACATGAGGGTGTGTTGCTAGAAACTTTTGTTTATTTGACATTTCTTATTCCAAATCGCTTATTTATTATTCAACAATCACAGTTAAAAACACAAGCATATACGGAGGAGTACCATTCCTTTAAGACAACATAGATGACGGTATTGTGCGAGTTTTTATGAAGTTCCAATCTCAATATAATTTCGTAATGCCTTAATGAAGGAAAAAGCATCTTATTCATATGCCTTATTGAACATTTTTCACGCAAGAATCTCTTTCAATGACGATATATTATTATCTCCATCTCCATTTGAGTAAGTGCCGCCTTACTTTGTGGACGTTTTTCAAACTCACCTTAATAGAAAACCAAAAAATTAAAACAACAATAAACACCGATACACTCTCTCAGAGGTATAATTCATCTCTCATCTGCGCTCGTGGAGTGTGTACTCGCATACTTGAAGAACTTGATACAAACAACAAATAACAACAACAATTTATAAGAAGATAATATAGCATTCTTAACAACATGACAATGAATAATAAGGTAATTCCCTCAGTGGACGAGAGTATAACCATTAAGGGTGGTTTTAAAAGTGCATATGCTGTTGATTCGACGGCCCAAGAGAATGAACAAACAAATAAGGACTTTGATGTTGAGGAAGATATATACCAAGCACCATTCCTATCTATCAAGTGCTTGCTAATCTTTGTAATCGTGTGTCTGGTCATTTGTACAGTCCTGTTATTGACCACAATTTGGGTCTCTGCTTATAGTACCAATGTTACACAGATGGGAAGCTCACTTCTTAAAGAACAAATTGAAAAATCGATAGCCTTTACAGATGAAACCATTTCAAAAGTTTTGACCGTTTCTCAGACAACAAAGAATATTATGTGGAAGGATTTTGATTACTCAGATATTGATACAGTCTATTCTTTAACTTACCGTATTTACAAGTCGTCCTATGAATTCTTGAGCTCTTTAATTGTGACGATATACTTTGGTGATACAATTGGTGGAAATATTGGTGTTCTAGTAATGGGTGGCGAACCTACTCAGATGTATATTAACGAAACAGGTCAATACTATTGGTATTGTAGGGATATTTTCAATAACGAGAATTGTAACATGTCGTCACCTTCTGAACCAGATATCGTGTTGGGTCCTTTTGACATGTCCAAGATTATGGGAGTAGCCCATAAATCTCCAAACAAACCAGGATATTCATTATCTTTCACTGATCCAACTTTACCTTCCATAACTTTTATGAGTTGTGTGAATTCACATCCAGCTGTAAATACTTCCTTAACAAATGGAGAAGTTTATGATTGGTATTTTGGAATTGATATTAGTGTATCGTCCATCTCTAAATATCTGGAAGATGTTGCCAAACATGTTTCTGGAGCTGTTTCTTTTGCTATTGAAGTTGAAACTAACTATATTGTTGTTTGTAAGTTTACAATAATATTTTCAAGATTACATTAACAATTCAAGCGAGCTTTCCGGAAATTCCTGTTTCTGAATGGAGTGCAGATGGAGTGGAAACAAGAATGACACCTCTAACTTTCAAACAAGACAAGGTTAACATGATTGGACAATTTATCTATTCAGAATTTTCCAATAATTTGAAATCACAACCTTGCGGAACTTACAGGTATTACTCATTGGATACAATCTTTGTGTCGTCCCATAGATTCTGTAAGGCTGGAGTTGATTGGTTCTTTGTCTTTTCAGAGCCCAAAATGAATTATATTGGTGACATGATTATTGCAATTATTGTTGGATTGAGTGCCAGTTTGCTTATTGTCATTGTTGGTGTGATATTGGGAGTAGTGTCATCAATTAGAATTGTCAAACCATTGAATAATTTGATTGAACAATTTTCATCTGTTTCTGATATGAATTTGGAGAATATTAACATTTCTCATTCGAATTTTAAGGAAATTTCACTGTTGCAACATCACTTTGAAAGTATGGTCGCTAAAGTCAAACATTATAGAAGTTTTATTCCATCCTACCTGATTGACCAATTGGATAAAGGTCAAGCCAGTGCTGCTCCTGCATTCCATAAGCATAGTAGCAGATTTAGAAAGGCAGGTGTCACTGATTCTGTCGATGGAAAGGGTTCATTCTCTTCAATATTTGATCAATCTGGAAGAAAGAAGAGTTCAAGATCTGGTAAGGGAGTTCCAAAATCATTATTTAGATTAGGTCTTGAAAAGAAAACAGTGTCCTTTTCCTTAATTTATTTTGAAGGTCTTTCCAATTATATTACCAATGAATCCATTATTGATGAAGTTGTTTCTCTAATTGGTGACTTGATGCTTATCGTACAGAAAACCACAAAAGCTACCAATGGATTTACCAGTAATTTTGAACATAATTCAATTATATTATCATGGAACTCAACTTCCGATTTGAGAAACCATGAAGAGACATGTCTACTTGCCACGATTCAAATCTTGGATCGATTAAATTCATCAATAGAGAATAAGTGGAAAGATAGAGGTTATTCCATGTCTTTCAGAACTGCAACAGTTTCACAAGATGTGTTTTGTGGAAACTTGGGAACAGATGAGGCTAAAACCTTTGCAGCTGTTGGAAGTCAGATCTATAACTTGCAACTATTGTTGAAACAGGCAACCAAGTTAAATATTCCATCCATTGTCACTCAAGAAATCTATGAAAAAACCAACAATGTATATTGTTACAGATTTGTTGGTATTAAGAAATTACTCAATCATCATGAGACAGATACATACATGCAATGTACAATTCAACAAGATCACATTCTTCACACTCCAAATCGTCTCTATCAATTAGGAGAGACAGTTTCAGATAAGGTTGAGGATGAAGAGTGGATGTACTCACTTTCTAAACAAAATGTAAAGAATGATCGTTGGAAACATCACATTGATGGAGCCAATTCTCTTTTACAAGGAGATTACCAAGAGGCGATTGAACATTTCAACAATCATTTGCATTACCATTCAGATACAAATTATGGACAAGTGGATAAAGCAACAGCATATTTACTTAAAAAGTGTTTGAAATTGAGTAAACAAGAATAATTATGGAAATAGCTTTACAACACAGTGTTGTAAACGTTTAATTGGTTCAAAAATGTTAATAAATTTTTTCGTCAATCATCAACTGAGTTGGAATTTATTCTCGGATTAATCAACAACAGCAAGAACAACAAGAAGATTTTGAAGATGATCCAGATAATCTCTTTCTTCTCGCTCTTAACACTAAAGCAATGACCACGACAATAATGATGACTACTGTTACAATGATAATGAATGAACCACCCAAAGTAGTTGCCAGAATGATAATTTGTTCATTGTTGAGTGAAATTAAATCATTTCTCAATTGTGAAGGTTGCGGCATTCCCTTATATTCCGAATTTGCCTTCTTATAATTCTTGTCAATTACTGAAAAGGAAGTCAAGTGAGAAGTTTTGCAAGTAATTAATTGAACATAATATAAAATACCATCCACTACTTCCTCATTGTAATATTCAAAAGTGGTAGAAAGTCCTTCACTATTCCACAATTGCATGGAATTATCATAGAATGAACATGTCAAATTGAAAAGTGTCAAGTTGACTTTGGGAATGTAAACTTTTCCAAATGAAATTTGAATTGGCTCGTTTAGTTGTGAAATTTTCAAAGCTTGATTACTAGAAACGAAGCTCAATGTTATTACACTAGAAAGGACTTGACCTTTGGTTTCGTCCTTAGACACGGAGGCAATAATGGAAATGTCAGATTTTGGCACTTGATTAGTTTCATTTAGGTAGGATGATAATGAGCTTGGTAACTTGATAGAAAGCCCATCAAACTTCGTAAAGTTTACCACACGAGAATTCAAATCTTCAACTGTTCCAATAGTTTGAACAATAATTTCCCTATTCGAATCTTGAATTGGAGCTAGGCATGTGAAATTCTGTTGTTGAGAGAATGATCCTACACAGAACGGAGTAGAACAATCCTTTCCCAACCAACCTGCTCTACAAGTACATTGATTAGGTGCAGAACAAGTTCCATTTCCATAATTACAAACTTGCGGAGAATTAGCTGGTTGACCAAAACAAAGATCAATTTCACAATTTAAACCAGTTGAACCAACAGCACAGTTACAAGCATCATAATTTTGGCAATCACCTCTTCCAGAACAAACACTTGCATTTTCAAAGTGAATTCCAAAACAATTAAAATCTTGACAATACTTTCCATAATATCCAAAAGTACAATTGCATGTTTCTGAAGCAATGCATTGACCTCTTGAATTACAGACATTCACATCGGTATTTTCCAAATCGTTACAATAGGTAATATTACAATTGAAACCTGAAAAACCTGGCTTACAAGAGCATGAATTGAGATTCGTACAGTTTCCATTACGATTATTACAAACTTGTGGAGAATTACTGGCATAACCATAGCAATAAGTAGCACCACAAGCACTTCCATAGAAACCACTATTACACAAACACAAATCCTGTTGTAAACAAATTCCATTTCCAGAACAAACATTCAACTGATCTGCCTGCACACCGAAACATGACATGTTTCTTACTTCACAATAAGCTCCACCAAATCCATTTTCACATAGGCACGACCGAGAAGCTTGGCATTGACCTCTTCCATTACAAACCTTTGGATCATCTGACATGACATCATTACAAATACTCAACTCACAATTTGGACCTCCAAATCCTGGATTACAGGTGCAAAAATTGTAAAACCAACAAGAGCCATGTCCTGAACAAATCTTCTGATCATTAGCCTGCACTCCATAGCATGTTTGGTTCAATTCTCTAGTGAGTGTGAAAATATTTCCTCTTGAGGCGAAGGAAATTTCCAAAAATGTCGATTCTTTCACATAAATTGCTTTTGGATTATCAAGTTGAGAGAAGGGTGGATTGTTCAGTCCCTCCTCTACGTATAGTATTGGAGTAATGAGACCATTAGTCATTGAGATTCTAATTGTTGATTCTTCTCCAATGATAAATTCTTTTGTTTTGGTCACGAAGAAACTTGTTGGATATTTTAATTGGGCATTAATGGATTGAATGACAGTATCTCCTGTATCAGTTCCTCCACCAATGATTCTAATGGCATAGGTCTTGTTCATAACTTGATGGATGGCCATAGTTGTACTTCCTAAAAAGTAAATCATGCCATCAGAACTCACAAATAAGGAAGTGATATCTTCCGTTCCAATGAATGCAGTATCAATGGTCAAATTTTGATAAATAATTCTAATTCTATTCTGTGAAGACACATAGATATCATTGTTATACAGAGCTATTCCAGATGGATTAGGAACCGATGAAGATCGACCATTGACACCATCTTTGACATTACTGATCATTCCATCACCTGCCAACGTTTGAACTATTGAATTATTGTACTTGTTAACAAGATGATTTGCTGGTAGTATGTAAAACAAAGCCCCACTTTCATCTGCAACCATTCCACCAACTTGTTCATCCGAAACAAGTGAAACTATTCCATTTTCTAGACGATTCATTCTTCTGAAAGGTGAATACTCGGCATATTCACTGAAAAACAATCTATTACTAGAGAATGTGAATGCATCAATTCTATTAAATGAAGAAAGCAATGGTGGTTGATTACTTGTTGCTACCAAAGTTCCAACAATAGTTGAGATTATTCCATTCTTACTGATCTTTCGAATTCTTTGATTGTCGACATCGGCAAAGATGAGTTCATCATTCTCATTGACAACCATATCACCCACTGATGAAGTTTTACTATTAATGGCCAAACCTCCATCACCTCCAAAACCATTTTCCATTCCTGCAATTTGCTCAAATTGTCCGCTTGTGTTAAATCTGAAAATTTTGTAAACTTCACATGCAAAATAAACATTTCCATTCGAATCAACATCAAAATAAGGATTCAATGAATCTTTCCTGAATAGAGTCAATGCAGTTCCATTCTTGAAAACTTTGTAAAATGTACCCATTTCCTGATCGAGAGCATAAAGAGTTTCGTTTACATATTTGGTTGAGTGACTATATTGTGGAAGATTCATAAAGAAAGTAGTATTGGAGGTTCGAATATCTAGTTTACGATATGAGCGGGTTGCTGATGATGAGGAGTAGAGTAATTCTCTTTCGTTTAGAATGTGAAGAGAATAGGCTGAACCTTGTAGAAAGTAAACATTGGAGACAAGTCCAGTTTTGAAGGAAATTCTTCTGATCATTGCATTTCCACCATCGAGAATATATAAATATTCATTGTTTGGATCAACTGCTAATGAAGGTATGTATGATCTATTCGAAACATGTTAGTTTCATTTCAAACTAAACCATCCTAAACTTGTAAAACTTACGAAAAGAAAGCATATGTAGCCATAACAGAATCTCCACTATACGGTATCAAACTGTTTACTCTAGAATTCCCACCAATCGTATACACATTTCCATTCTTATCAACCTTCTTGATTAGGGGACCTTCTGTGAAGAATAATTGACCATCTTTCCAAGCCAATGAACCAAGCTGATCAGAAACTCCATAACTAGTGGCTGGAATTCCATTCGTATAGTTGGAACCAACGATGGTTTTTAGACGATAGGTTGGAGTTTCGAATAGTGCACTCACATGAGATACACACATGCAACTGATTAGCAATAGTGATAAAACCACAGCCACGCACCACAAGAAACCAAAAGGAACTTTAGGATTTCTTGACATTTTTTATGTAGATGTTGATCCACAAGTTTCTGATTTTTTTTATCCGAATGAGAAAGCTCCAACGAAGGATACAAGGCGAAACTGATTTATCTAAATTAGATCAAGAGGAACACCTCTCCAATCAGTGAGGATCAAGCTAATCATGAGATGATGGTTACAAATCAAAGGTTTGATTTAACTTTTGAGATTTTCATGATCAGTTTTCAGTAATGTGGATTTTTGAGTTTGGATTTTGTGGATAAATTAACAAATATGAAAGTGGGTCAGAGTATATTTGATCTATACACTTTACTGTAATTAAAATATTGTAAGTGGATTAAATGTTCAAGAATCTTAATAGTTTAAGTATTTAAATTTTGGCGCCAAAATAAATGAAAAATGTCTTATAATGCGTTTTCCTATCTGTTCCTTAATCTCTCTTGAATAAGATTATAGCATGAAATAATCTGCACTTGATGTTTTTTGTAATTTATTGAAAGATTACAACAGTATTAACATTTAATATTATTTAAATAAATATTTAAAAAAAAATGCGCAAACAACAAGTTCTCTACGTGAGTTGAAAATCCGATGATTCAAATTCATCAATTTTTTTTTCATGATGATAACCATTGACAGAGTTACGGATCAAATGAATATTCCCTCGTTGGACATAAGGATCGGTTATTTGAGGAGTGTTTTGTATTGGGAGATGCAACACATATTAAGAGAATGGCTTGCGGAAGATCACACATTCTCTTTGAGAGTATGTTTGTGTAATGATTGAAAATTAATTTATCTATATATTTAATATTTAATATTTAAAATATTGTGATTTTAATGATTTAATCTGCTGATGATGAATTATATAAAAGCCTTTAATGGAGAAGTATTGTCTATTGGAAGAAATGATTATTCTCAATGTGCTATAAGAAAGGCTTCCGGAGGAGAATTAATTAGTAAACCAATGAATTGTCTTTACAAAGATGTTGGATGTGATGCCAAACCTCTCATCAAGCCTTTTAAATTTACAACTGGATGGTTTCATTCAACATTTATCTCAAACGATCAGAAGAGAATTTACTTTACTGGATATTATTCTGCCTATTCATCAATGGGACAGACAAAGGATACTTGTTTTTATGATATTACTGATACAGTATTGGAAAAGGATATGCTTGCTGATGATAGTTACAAAATTACTGATATTGGCAGTGGAGATCACTTTTTTGCATTTGTTGTAAATAACGAGTTTATTGTAGTTGTGGATCAAACAAGAAAAGTTTTTCACATTCCAGATTTGAAGGAATTCTTGGTGTTCAAGTCAGGAGTTGCCTTCACAAGAGGAAATGGAAATTTATACTTGGCCAAGAATTATCCAGACAGTGTAAGCGAGTATGATGGAAAATTTGTGAAAAATCTTCGTTCTACATCTGTTGCCGATTCATTCTCATTCGTATTAAATGGACAAAATCTAAGATTTGGTCACAGTAATCAACATGGATCAATTGAGATTTACGAGTCGTTCTGTACTGCCTATCTATATGATTCAAAGGAACGTAAATTCCCAGATGAAAGATTTAAGAAAATCAATGACGAATTAGAAAAGCACAAAGATTGGGAAATTCTCCAATTCATTACAGGTTCTGACAGTGTTCATATATTGTTGGGAATTAGAGAAACTAAGGAAGAGCAACGATTCTTTGAGAAATTGAGCAATATTAGACAAGGCACTCATTACACTGATATGCTTGTCAGCTACACTTTCAATTAGTAATCCTTCCAAATAATCTTAATCTTGCATGACAAAGCGAGAAATGGTTACACCATTTCAAACTCCGCTTCCCGTTTCTCTTGTTTGGAAATGTTTTACTAGTGAAATTACCCAATCACCTTCATCAATCATTGAAAAGTGAAATGTGAAAATATCAAACAGAAAAAAAATACAACAATGAAAAGACCATCCAAACAGCATACCAAGTTGGTGGTCCTGTTTGTTTTTCTAGTTCTATTGTTAATAGAATGTTGTTTATCGTCGAATCCGACGTTATCGTTTCTCACGAGCACTCCGTTCGAACAGTCAAATGTATTGACAGCCATCAATCACAGAAATAATCATAATTCAGAAATTTACTATACCAATAACGTGCAAGAAACCACACAATCATCAAGCAAATGTGAAATTTTCGATTTGATGGATCAAGCAGTTGCAGTTCCGTCCGATAGTGCTGCCAATGTGACTAACTATTACTCAACCAAGTCATGTAATTTCGTCAAGTTATTCGCAAGTGCAGGAGACTATATTCAATTGCAAGGAATTGATTTATTTTACGGACCTAAAGGAGTTTCTCTCTGTGGCATTAGTGATCCAAGTTTAATTTCCACAATCTATCCAAGTTTTTCGTGTATGGATTTTTTAAATGACACCTTCACAAAGGAAGAAGGAATTTTGGAAGATCTCTCTGCAATTTCATCTCTATTGGAAGCAAGATTTAATAATTCTAGTCCTGATCTGATTCAATGGCCATTCAAGGCCATGTCCAAAGCATTGGAACTTCAATTTGTGAACAAGACATCAACCACCAAAATTTCAGAATTATTGGATTTATACAATTATTGTAATTTCTGTTCTCATCCTAATTTTGCTTCGTTCCATGCAAAGAAGGCAGTTACACCAGCCCTTCAAATGCCAATGTTACAAAAAGCATTCACAAATTCACACTGTGGCTCTGGTATTCCAACATTGAATGCCATTGTAACCAATGAATATGATGGCTACTTTGTCACCAATGTTGTCATTCAATGTACTTGTAGAGGTGGAGTGGTAACAAATGAGTGTGGAATTTTCTCTGAATTTTTATATCCAATGTTTTCTGGACCAGGTCTTCATTCAATTTCATTGATTTTCTATACTTCCATTGGTGTTGTTTCCTTCTTTGTCAATTTCATTCCAATTTTAATGTTGTGTGTTAGAAGATTCCAAAAATCATCACATGGTATCAGATCATTCTTTTATCACTTTTTGGATTTGAGATTGCAAGCTGCTGTTTTGTTCTTGTGTTCTGTGATTACTGCCATTACTTCAAGTTGTCTTGGTTTGGCAGAAAATTCATATGTTGTCTTGTTGATGACTATTGCTGCCTGTTTACAATTTATTTCAACTGTTCCAATTTTGTTCTGTTGGATTGATGTCATTTATAGAACTGAAATGAATATGAAAGAAGCTTCATCCCTTGTTGTGTAAGTTAATTTTTAGAGCTTTTCTTATAATAATTTATTTGAAATAGTTCACTTTCATTTGGTTTATCTTCAGCTTTGGTGTTTGCATTGGCATTGTATATTGTTGGTTATTCAATCCTTTCAACAGTTAGTGGATACAGAGTCTTGTTCATCATTGTTCAAGTTTTCTTGATTGTTGTCATTATGGCTGCTGTCATGATTGCCATTATTTTGACAATTACAGCTGCCAGATTATTGTTCATTATTTCCAAAACAAAGAAGATTCAAATTTTCAGTTTCAGATTTACCAGATTCTTGTTATATGCAACAATTTGTGGTTCTCCATTCCTTTTGCAAGCAGCTTATTATATTGTAATCATTATCGATACGTAAGTAGTTTCAATTTTCAATGAATTTCCAGCATTTTCTCAATAATAATTTGCACAATTCCCAATAATATGATAATAATAATTTGAAATTACAGTAAGATGATTTGCAGATTCTATCTCATGTTTTCATACTATTTGGCATCCCTATGTGTCACTTTCATTTCATTTGGTTACATGTACATTCTCTTTAACTCTGATGATGTCATGAAATGTTATCCATTCTTGGAGAAACTTTCAAAGAAGAAGTAATACTATAATTTCCATTTCATCATTAAACTACTAAATTATCAAAAATTGCAACTTTATTTGCAACGCCTCTATTAACAAATTGCCAATTGTTTTGTTAATCATTTCAGTTTGTTTTCGAATATGTACAACCAATGTTCTATTCTCTTGTCAAAAATTCATATGAGCTTGCTGTCAAATCCACTTAAGTATTTGACCAAGCATATTGACATTCTAACGTTTAAATGATGAACTTTCCAACCAATCCATAAAGATGTACTCTACAGCTTCCTTGCTCAAATGTTGAGAGAGATGATTTGAAGAAATATGAGGAGTGGTAGAGAAGAGGATATTCGGTCTTGGAGATGATAATTTAACCGTAAGAGTTGGAGAAGCTCTCTTCTTTGATTGTTTACTTTCAGCAGGGTCAGTTCCTTGAGTCATGGTATAGCTAGGTATTTAGTTATTTTGTTGAGTTGGTAAATTTAATAAGTATTAGTCGTTGATTATTTTAGCAGATATTTGTAGTGTGCTAAATTTATAAGATTCTTATAGTGATACTATTATTATATTGTATGCAATATTGTAGATGATGATACAACTGCAGCACGAATACAATTTGATATAGGCTTTATATTTGTAATGATGATAAAGGATGATGCGCACCAAGCTAATCAACAACAACTCGTACTTAATCAGCACCACCTCGATATTCGCTGCTGATAATGATGATGGTGGACAATCAATCCGAAAAGCAACACACACTGCTTGTTTTTTTCAAAAATGTGTTTGTGGTAGATACCTTTGGATGCTGAACCATCATGAATCAATTATTTCCGGAATGTCACCGTTGTTGAAAGGATCGTTGATCGTTTTATCGGATTTTAAATTTTACGGTCGCTTTAAAAATAATTTTAAAAATTTAATTTTTGAAATACGTTTTGGGAGGGAAGGACTAATTTGGACTGGTAGTAAGTAGAGCTAAGGAAATCACTGTAGTCAAGGGAACAAATTTTTTGGTCCCTAGTTGATTTGGGTATTAAATTTATTGAGAATTTTGAATTTCAAATATTAGAGAGTTGACCAAAATGACAAATTCAGAATTTTACATGAAAACCAATGAAAATAATGAAGAAATAATTGTATTCATTGTATATTCATTAGGGGAGATCATCTTGTTTAATTTTGGAAGGAAACATTCATATATTTGATTGTTTCAAAAAGGAAAATCTCTCTCCTGAAAATAATTTAGGAAAATTGAATTATTTATCACAGTGAGATATAATCCCAATGGGAACAGGCACAAGTTGTATAAAACAGAATCATGTATAATAACATACAATAGAGCACTCATTGTGATATTCTTCAATTTTGTAATAAATATTCAAAATTTACATTTCCAAATTGAAAAACACTTTTGAAATCAAAGGACCTTGTGTTTCATTTCCAAATGAAACTTTTCAAAAAAATGATTCAACATCAACCTACTCTTCATGAAGACGATGAATCAATCACTTATTCGAATGATCATTTATTTGATTCACTCGGTGTTGATGTCATGATTGGAGAAATATTTCCACATTTTGAAGTTGAAACTCTACACTCAATTTTCACACTAGTATCCAAGTTTTGGTATGTGTGTGTTTGTTTGTATAGAGTGGAGTTTCTATCATTGAGAGGAGAATCGAATATTTTAGCTCTTTGTTCGAATTCTCCAAGAATGGTGGAAGTCAACAGTTTGGAGTTGATGCAATTGAGAGGTGAAACCTTGGTGATGAAAAGGATATTTCTTTCGGATAAGTGTTTTCCTAATAGATTTTCTTCACTTACTAGTCTTTCGTTTTATGGATCGAAAATTGGAGATTCTTCTCTCAAATATTTAACACATTCGGCTATCTTACCTAATTTAACTGAATTGGATCTGTATCACAATAACATTACTGATAAAGGAATGAAATCCATTTGTGAAGGAAATTTGAAACTTTCCATTCTGAAACTCAATTTAAATCGTGTAGGAGATTTAGGTTTTGAATTTCTCAAAAATTCTCAAATTTTGAAAGAAAATTTAAAAGAACTTTACATGACCTACAATGAAGTTACATCAAAAGGATTGGAAATTCTGAGCGGAATGGAAAATTCACGTCTCGAAACCTTAGTTCTAGTGAGCAACCGAATAGAATCGAATATTACAAACTTCTGTGCTAGCTCTCTTGCATCTCAATTGAAACATTTAAATTTGTCAAATAACTTATTGGGAAATAGTGGAGTCTTGGACATTTGTTCGGGAAATTTTCAATCCTTAGAAACCTTAATATTATCAAAGAATGCAATTCCAAAGGAATCCATTAGTATGCTATTTGAAAGTAGTAATGGATTAAATTTGAAGAAATTGAAACATTTGGATTTGTATGGAAATGATTATATTCAAGTTGACGAGTTGGCAATTCCAACTTTCAATTCCTTAGAAACTCTAATCTTTTCACATAGCTATAGGAACCCTTATTACCACCTATTCTGGCAAACCAAACAATTTTCAGCAAATTAATAAGGAATATTAATTTTAAACCAAAAATGATTTGAATTATTAAAAGAAAATTCACAAATATAGTTAGTGGGAAGATTGCAGATTTGTGGGTGAATAGTTTAATTGGGAGAACGTAGCCGTTGCACTAGAAGCTAAGGCGGTAGATCGAACCTACCTTCACCTACGCTTAGCTTTTTCCCCACCAATTCTTAATAATTATTTAATAATACTATATAAATAATATTTAAAGAAATCATATCATACATTAATATTTAGGGTGAATATTTAAAGATATGATGTTAAATTATGATTTTTCCTTTTCACTATTCTCTTCGTTCATCATAACCAATATTTGTTGAATAATTTCACATAAGGCAGTATCTTGGTCAGAATGCATCATTTCTTCGAGAGTATCCCTTATTCCACACTTATTCATTTCCTCTCTGAAATTATTGTTTTTCAATAGACTCAAAAGAGTACTCAAACAAATTTGGTTAACAGCTACTAATGACAATCCTTGATGAAGTATTGGTACAACTCCAATCTTAATTAAATAATCAATAATATCGTCCGTTGCCGTAGTACATAAATTGTAGATAACATAGTAAGGTTCCTCTTTCACTATTAATTCGGTATTTTGTTTGACAGCTTCAATCACTAATTCAATAATTCCAGACTCAACAGCCGCTCTAATATGATCAATGGTTCCAGCAGTAATATTTGAAACGATAAAAATTGCTTCTTTCTTTAGAAAAGCATTCTCATTTAAAATGAAGGATGATAATGCAGATAATAATCGAATATTCAACATGTGGTCTGTATGAGAATTATTTCTTGTAACTATATATCCAACTAATTGAAGACAACCACTGAAAATATGAATATATTAACGTGAAATATTAAAGAATAATTTGAGAATAGATACTTACACTTGTATACTTGTACATTCAGAGGAAAGCAGCAAAATAACTTTTTCGATAATATTACCATAAGCTTGAATAAGTATTTCGATATGATCATCACTTATTGCTATTTGAATAAGTGCCCAACAAACATTATTGACAACATCCTCATCAGAAGTATTAATTAATTTGGAGAGAACTGGCAGAACCATTTTGACATATTTGATAGATACATATGGTATTCCTCTCATCAAATTTACTAAGCACCATGAACCTAAATTAATCATAAGCCAATCATATCAAATAATATAGACCTACCCGTTCTTAGTAAATTTACGAGAAATGTTTCATTTAAAAGATCTAATAAAGGCGTTAATACATCCCACTCCAGGACGAAATCTCTGAACCTGATAGAATCTCCACAAATATTTCCCAAAGCCCAAATGGCTTGTTCTCTCACGTTACAATCTGTCGAGTTTTTCAGTAGATTGATAAATGTAGGAACACATCCCAGCTCTACAACATGTGCTGTATCATATGGTGATCCACTAGCAATATTTGTCAATGACAATACTGATTCAAAAATCAATTTGTCAACCTGCACTTTTGTAATTGGATTTTCAGATTGATTATTCCCATTTTCAATAGTGTAATATTTTGTAATATTCTCATGATCAAGAAAGTTTACCAACATTTTTGTACTACCGGCTTCAATGACCTTTCGAATATTGGCCGGTCGGTTATCCTCTCTCACTAATAGGCTTCTAATTGTCGTTACAGTTTCCAATACAGTTTTAAAGGAATTACATTGCATATCCAAATAATAATTTAAAATTCCGAGTTGATCAAGAGACAAGACTATTTCTCTTCTCTTGAGATGACGATTGCAAAATTTGGTTCGGGATTTATCAGAAATGCTTTTTCTAATTTTTTGTTTTTCTTTCCAAATGATTGCATTGGCGTGGAAAGATGATGAAATTGTTGCTGATTGTTGTTCACGCATTTTTTTTTAAAAATTTGCTTGGAAATGAAAAATTCCATAAATATTTATGCAATCATTGTAAACTAAAAGATACAACAGCAATGATTGAAAATTTATTGAATGAAACCAAATATTTGCATAAATAGCATACAAGTTTTATCAATTTTTCGATAATGTTATTAATTTTAAACCAAAAACTGTTGGAAATTTCCAAATAAAATTTCTCGAAAAAGGTTAATTATGAAATTGATTTTTTGTGGGTGAATAGTTTAGTGGGAGAACATAGAAGGTACGGTAGATTCTAAGGCGGTAGATCGAAACTACCTTCACCTACACAAAACTTTTAAATTTTTGAGTTTACAATAAATGTTTATTTTCTTTAAATAGGCATTTTCAATGCAATTTAAAAAGAATAATTGTAAACCAAAAGATTGATTGACATATTTTGAGAACTTTTACAATAATGATTGGTTCGAATTTCTGATTAGTAGGTGAATAGTTTAATTGGGAGAATGCAGTGGTCTATGTTGAATCTGCGGTGGTAGATCGAAACTACCTTCGCCTACTCTTTTTCCCTCCAAAATATGAGATAAATCATTTGATGCCTAGAAGACAAAGTACTGTTGAGATATATGATAAAGATCAAGTTTAAAAAATATGTGGAAATGTCATCATCTCTTTGAATATAGAAAATTAATTGTAAACCAAAAATTGAATTACAATATTTTTAGAAATTTCACAATTAGGGTTGAGATCATAATTGGTCGTTGTTAGGTGAATGGTTTAATTGGGAGAACGCAGAGGTCCAGAGTAGAATCTGAGGTGGCAGATCGAAACTGCCTTCACCTAACTTTTTACAACAATATTAAATTTTTTTAAATATTGTAAAGTTTTATTATAAATATACACAGTTTCCACTAATCTTCAAATTGAGGTGGTCTTTCATGATCTGCAGAAGGTTCTCCTTTAAAAACTTTTGAAGTTCCCTTTCCAACAGTTTCCTTGTCGATGGAGGACGAAACTCCTCTTTGCATATTAACTTCTGGATTGTAATTAGTTGAGATTGGATCAAATCTCGATTCTGGAATGTGTTCTGATGAATGGTGAGGATGACTAGTTTCGAATAATTCTGAATCTCTTCCAACAAGATTACCTGAATGATGTTGTTGTTGGGAATTGTTTAGGATAGGTTGTTTATCATCTTGGCCAACTGATAATGAAGATGATCTGCCAGTGGAGGGAAGTGGTGGAGAGCCACCAAGAGATGGTCGATTTGGAAACATTTTTTTATATTCGAAACTTGGTAATTTCCAACTTTAAAGAATTTTAAAAAAGGAAAGTTTACTTTTGGGATGTTAAAAATCGTACATGCTTCCCACCAATCATCAAACTGTGCTGGAAGATTCTAGTTGTTGGCATCAGAAAGTAGACGAAAGAAAGGGAACCATTAGAAAAAAAAAATGGTAAAGCTCTGGTATTTTCTGACAGTTTTATTGTCAATATTGATACTAGTGAGCCATTCATGTCAAGCAAAAGTCATTGATCCAAATTCTCTCAACGCGGCAGTTGCTACTCATCTATACGAAAGAAAATTTCTGGGAGCTTTATGTGATGGAACTACTGGACTTGCATGTTATACTGGATATGTAAAACAAACCTTTCTCTACAATGAAACAGAATTGTATTTTACTAATAGTTTTACCAAGTCCATTAACAAGTATAATCTTCAGACGAAAGTGGTGGAAACTATTGTTGGAACAGGTTCTTATCACAGAGCTCCTTTAACGCTCAGCGATTTGTATGCAACTCCAAAGGAAACTAATATTGGAGAACCTAATAGCGTTGCTGTTTATCAAGGATTCGTCTACTTTACAACAATTGAAAATACTGACGTGATTTTCAGAGTCAAAAGTGAAGGTAGTGGACTTGTTACAATCTTTGCTGGTGTTTCTGGGTCAACTGGTTATAATCCTTTGGTAATTTCAAGAACCTCTTCACCACTTTCTGGTCCAACTTATCTGAATTTCTATTCGAATGGTAATTTAATCTTGTATGAGAGTGAAATTTGTACCATTCGATTAATTTCTGGTAATAATATTACAACACTCGCAGGAAATGGCCTATGCAACTATGCCTATGTAAACAACACACTTTCGAATGGAATTTCGGCCATGACAATTTCCACCGATCAAATACTCTACATTTCCACACCTAGTGGAGTTATAATGAAATGGAATGGTGCAGATTTCGTAACTGTCTATGACACCCAAGCTTTTGTCAGCAGTTTGGCAGCAAACTCTGCAAATATTTACTTTACAACAGATACGAATGAGTTAAGCTCAGTTTCTATTGATGGTTCGAATAGAGTTGTGTTGATGGGACCTAATCTAGGTTTCATGAGTGATGGCCAAGTTCTTTCTGGTGGAAAGACTGCCTCTCCAATGGCATTGTCCATTAGTAAGGCAAGTTCAACATTATTCTTTTCCGAAAATGGAAATGCCAGAATTAGAACTTATTTAAATGCCAATGTTAAAACCCTTATTGGATTTAGCTCATCAGGTTCAGCAGCTACTACTCTTGTCAATCCAACAAAGATGGCTCTCGTTGGATCCAATCTCTATGTTTTAGAGACCATGTCCGGCAGCATCCTCAATTATGATGTTAGTGGAAACGCTCCTGCTGGAGGTGGTGGTTACAAATTAGTGACATCCATTGCAGGATGTTCCAGTATTGTTGCCATTAATAATACAGTCTATGTTGGCTCAACTCTATATAATTCAGTGTATAAGATTGAGGGAACTAAGGCGATAAGAATTGCTGGAAATGGAACTAATTTATCTAGTGGAGATGGAAAGTATGCGAATGCTTCAACCATTTCAAATCCATTGGCGTTGGCTTCTGATTCGAGTGGAAGTTTATACATTCTTTCTACAAATATTATTAGAAAGGTCGATAAGAATGGAATCATTTCCACTCTATACAATTATTTTAGCACTGGATTGAATGATATTTACATTAGTGAAAAGGATGAAATATTAATCAGTGATTTGAAAGGTTATGTTTATCAATTGACCTGTACAACAGATTTATTTCAATTTTGTGGCTATATCCAAATTGCTGGTGTTTCTAATGGATTAGCCAGAAGTGTTGGTTTTAATAATGCATTAGAAGTGCCAATTAAGCCACTCACCATCTCTGCAGTGTCAAATTTCAAAACTGGTTACTGGAATACTTTGTTAATTTCTGAATCGACAAGTATTTCAGTAGTTTCAGAAGGACTTATTTCTGGATTAGTCTACAATCCAAAGAATAGCCCAACAGTTAGTTTTCAAACCCTTCAAGTGACTGGCTTTGCAGTCAACCAAACCAATGGAGTCATTTACGTTTCAGGTCCTTACGGAATTTCAACATTAACTCCTTACAAATTACCAAGGGAAGCTTGTCCATGTTCTGGAAATGGAATTTGCTATTCGAATAATCCAAATCTCTGTCTTTGTGATCAAGGATGGAGTGGAACCAAATGTGCACTTCCATTGTGTAATGGAATTCTTTCTACAAATCCACAAGTTTGTACGAATGGTCAAGGAGTTTGTAGTGCTCCAGATAGTTGTGTTTGTAAATCTGGATTTGTTGGAACTCAATGTCAAATTCCATTCTGTGTAGGATCAACTCTGAATGAAAACTTTACTTGTTCTGAAAGTCAGTCAAATTCGGGAAGCAATTCATCGACAAGTACAAAACAGGAAATTATTGTTGAGGTTGTTGAGACAGTGACTGATCTAAATTCCAAGAATTTGACATTTACTACTGTTGACACTATTGAAGTTGTCTTTCCTTCAAACTTTTCAAGTTATCTTTCACAAACCATTTCACAAATTGCCAATAATCCAATTACACTAGTTTCGTCTGTGGTTGACTCTACAAATTCAAGCACTAATCCAAGTGAAAATCCTGTCAAACCTCAACTCGTAGTCAGTCCAGTAATCACTCTCTCACTATTTACCAATTCTTCCATGATAATTTCTGTGAAAAACTTGGAGAAACCAATCGAATTACTCTTCACAAATATTCAACTCTCAAAAATTGAATCTTCCTCCAATCTTACATGCATGTTTTTCGATACCTCAATCAATGATTGGAGCGACGAAGGAATTTCCTCAAAAATCATTTCCATTCAACAAGCCGATTCTCAATTCGTAATTTCCATGAAATGTGAAACGAAACATTTAACTTCCTTTGCAGTAATTGATAAGAATTATAAGAAACAAGTTTCGTCTCCCAATGAAGGAGGAAACAAAATACCAGCAACTGTTTCTGAATGGAAAAGTCAATTGGAAGGATTGAGTGAAAGTGAAATTATTGCAATTTCAGTTTCGATTGGTGGATCATGTTTGATTATTGCAACTTTGGCGATTTTAATTAGTGTAGTTTGTATCATTGTCATGAAGAGAAAGAAAAATCGTTGTTTAACCATTTAATTCATTGTAAAATATATAATACTATTTAATACAAGTTACAAAAAAAATTATTTAAAAAAATATTAAAAAAAATGCAGCAACATCACAATCAACCTTTCCCGTCCAATTCATCATCATCATCATCACTACCACATCACCATCATCATCAAAATAATAATATTCACCAAATAGTTAATCATCAACATTACATGGAAAATCCGCTTTCCCGAATAAATTTCCGAGCAGAAAAACAATTTCTCGAAAGGCGGGAATTTTATGGCAAGTGTAGGAACGTGGAAGAGTTTGAAAAGTTGGAGAAGATATTTGAGAATGTGTACAAGGCAAGGGATTTGAAGAGTAATGAGATTGTGGCGTTGAAGAGATTAGATTTTAGTTCGAGATATGAGGAGGGAATTTCGTTGGCTTATTTGAGAGAAATTTCATATTTGCAACAATTTTGTCAAGAATTGAAACATGGAAATATTTTGGGATTGAGGGAGATGGTGGTTGGAAGTAAATTGGATAGTGTATTTATTGTGATGGATTTTATAGAGAATGATTTGACGACTGTGATTGATAAATCAAAGAGATTTGCATTGCTTGAATCGGAAATTAAGTGTATAATGTTACAAATTTTAGAGGGTGTGAATTATTTACATGAAAATTTGATTATTCATAGGTAAATATTCGATTTTGAATGATTCAAAACCTTTGAGTAGAGATTTAAAACCCTCTAACATTTTATATGATAGAGGAATTATTAAGATTATTGATTTTGGATTGGCAAGGAGTGACACAAAGTTTTTGGATGGAGATCTCGCCTATGGAAGTAGTCATCAAAAGGACTCTATCATTGAAATGTTCAAGAAAAAGACGCCAAATCTCATAACCCTCTGGTATAGACCTTTAGAACTCTTGTTGGGGACATTGGACTATGACAAGTCGATTGATATGTGGAGTGTTGGATGTATTTTTGCTGAAATACTATTGAGGAGGCCATTATTTGGAGCTGATACTGAAATTCAAGCATTTGATATGATATTCAAACTGTTAGGAGCACCAAGTGAATCATGGCTCAAGTCAGGGAATTTCCCTTCTGCCTCCAAATACCTTTCCCCTAATTTACTGAAAAAGTATGAAAATGTGAATGCCCGTGAAAATATTAGAAGAACATTCTCTCAAGCTAATGTAGATCCGAAATGTATTGACCTCATTGAAAAGCTTCTCGTTATTGATCCAAAGAAACGACTCACATGTAAGGAAGCACTCAATCATGACTATTTCAAGACTTATCCACTTGCATGCTCACCCAAACAATTACCCTCCTTTATTGAGAGAGATTTTGTGCAATATAAACGATCATCACACAATCATCGTCATTTATACGATGATGACAATTATGAGAGAGATGGTTATCAGCATCAGCAGCACCACCATCAGCACAATAATTATTCCACACATAACGATCAGCACAACGAATATCAGCAACACAACAAACGAGGAAGAAATGATTACAATTCCGAAAGAAATGATCAGTGGAAGAAACGAAAGTAACAATATTCGCCAATCCATCCAATAATGAGCTCATTCAAGAAATCAAAAAACCAATATTACAAAATTCAATTAAATATTAATATATAATAGTTTAAATAAAAGTAAACACAAAAATTGTGATTATTTTCCAATAACAATCACACACATATTAGAGATTCTTTGAAAGCCAATCCAGACCTTCCTTCAATCCATCACCACTCACAGCACTACACAATTGCAAATTCCACACTTGTTTAATTTCCTTCAATCCCAAAAACGATTCCAATTTTTCTCTGGACTTGTTTGCTTCATCCAGATCTTGTTTGTTGGCAAATATCAGAATTTTAGCTTTGGCCAACAAGGGATCATTAATTACGGAAAATAATTCTTCTTTACATTCTTCCATTCTGTCACTATCCGCAGAATCTACAACAAAGACAAGAGCTTGTGATTTGGAAAAGTAATGTTTCCAAAGTGTTCTCACTTGTTTTTGTCCACCTAGTGAAATTAAAGTGACATTTTTGAAATTATTGAATCAAAATTAAAATCATCATTAGATGTAGTACATACCTAAATCCCACATACACAATTTAGTTCCGTTGTAATCCAACTCTTCTACATTGAAACCAATAGTTGGAATCGTCTGTATTGTTTGATTAATTTGAAGTTTATAGAGAATGCTTGTTTTACCAGCGCCATCAAGACCTAAAAATTTAATGGGATGATGACAGAGATACTACATACCTAGAAGAAGTATTCTTGGTGGCGAGAGAGCGAATAATGGTTTTATAAAATTGCCCATGTTTGACAGTTGGCAGGTAGAGGTTGAATGATGGTAATACTCCTTTTGGCGTTTTTTTTGTTGTTTTTTGCGCTTATTCCGGTTTGTTTTCCACTACGATATTTGTTGAACACAAGCATCAAAATAACAAATTCAATATTCTTAACTTTAAATATCTATTCGAATCTAATGAATCTTATTATCTGAAACTGTAGAACATATCGAACTGTCCTTTGTTACAAATGAATTGTCTGGTGGAACATAGGTAGAGTCTCGGTTATCTTTAAAGGAATCATCTTTTCCAATGAAAGGTTCTTCATTTTCTGCAGAATGTTCATTTAGGATAATCTTCTTACTCTTCTCCAATGTTGAAAAGATCTTTCTCACAACGTTGCAATTGTAGCACTCTTTAACGTGTTCCTTGTCAAACATGGTTGACATGGTATTGAGAAATGCACAAAATGCAAAAAGTGGCGAGATGAAATCAAAATAGTATACAATGCTGAATTCTAATGAACTAGTTCCTTTTAACGTAAGAATATAACTTGCTGTACTCAACAAAAGGGGAATTGCAAGTGTCAAGGTAAGAAGAACGAATCTTTTAAAATACTATACTCATTGTAATGAATTAGAAGCCATTGCTACTTACTGTTGTTTTGAAAAAGTTGACATTTGTTACAGTTCTCAATGCTTTCACCAATCTTATTGAAAGAATGATAAAGAGTGTTGAGGTAACCACAAGTGGGACATACCACGCCACAATGACACTGATAATACCGTTCGGTATTAAACTCTCGCCGATCATTATGAATAAACTTGTTGTAATTACTGATAAAAAACAACAAGCGTAAATAACACCAGCCCCAAAGGTTAAAATCTTGAAAATCTTACTGTTTGCCTGTTCCTTTGTTGTTAAGAACATGTAAATTCTGTCAAAAACCAAAAACGCTGGCAACATTGCATAGTAAATAGAGAATAGAGCTATGGCTGAGAATATCGTTCCCATTCCATACAGTATCAGATTATCAGAGAATGGAGGAGATATTGAATAGCATGTGACCAGAATCTCTCCAATTGTTGAAGTTATCAAGAGGAATAGAGTTGACAACTCAACAGATCTAAACTTTCTTCTTTTAACAATATGAACAAAATAAGGAATCACAACAAGGAAGAAACTCAGCACAACTGTTGGAATGCCAAACAAGAAAACGACAACTATTCTCGAAACGACTGGTGAATTTGAAAATTCTACAAAACAATCACTCGAAAAGGCATTGAGAGAAGAACAATAGCAAATAAATGGAGTCAATAAACTGAGATATCTGTCATTGGCAAAATAAATGGGTATTCCTTTCGAAAATCCTCCACAAAGAAAGGTCGAAGGATATTCCACCATTGTTGAATTGTCCAGACTCATCTTCCAATCAATAATTTTCAAGTGATGTTGCAGATAGTTCTTGGCACTCGAACAATACTGACAATAATTAATTGCCATATAATCGGAAGTGTTTCTTCTCTGATACAACTCAAGACAATCCAAATCCTTGAATAATGAACATAAATCCTCTCTTTCCCTACTAGCAACCACAGGAGAATATTGAAATTTGTTGCTGCTTGCATCTCCAAAGTATATCGATCGGATCGTTAAGGGAATCATTACTTTCTCACAACCAAAAGCGAAGGGTAATTCAGGAAACTTGTCCATGAATTCAGAATTCCATTCCACTTTTTCAAATACATACTCTCTTCCCGGTTTAATAAAGAAGGAACAATTCTTCCACTCCCCATCGACATAATCATTCTTATTAAATTGTATATTATTTCTTTCCGTACTTAGTCCATTCACCATTAAGGCACTACTCATCAAACAAAACCACATCATTGTTATTATCATCATCATCATGTACATTAATAAATTATTCTTCCTTCCATTTCCCTTACACTTTCTATAAGCACATCGCCCGAGTGCTCTAGAAAAAAACGCACAAAAACTCGCAGCTGTTTTCATCCTCCTGTTTTTTTAATTGATTAAATATCTAAACACAATACGTAAGGAAAAAGAAAGCCGCTTTCAAGTGTATTAATAGCTTTGCCTTATCTGTTTGAAGATCTTCAATTATGATAATAAGGAAAGCGTAGCAGGCACTATTAAGGATATTGTCCAATATTATAAATATAAAATCGCCTATATTATAAATAATGGACGTATACAACAACCTTCCATTACAAAACCAAATAACTTTCATTCAAGCAAATATAATACATTTAAAAAATGGCGTTCCTTCTTGGTCGTATGAAGATGAACTTTGGGAGACTCACTTCATCATCTTCATCACCCACAAATGTATCCACAACGATAGCAGCAAATTCAGCCGCCGATTTTCAGTCAAATGCAAATTCAATATCATCACCATCTTTATCATCGTCGTCATCATTGTTTTTTCCATCGGGTGATGAATTAATAATTGTGAATATTTTAGAGTTTTTAAATTCGGGTGTGGTGGATATTATTGCGTGTGCTAATGTTTGTTCGGATTGGAGGAGAGTGTGTGAGTCTGCTTTGGTTGATTTGCAATTTTCTAATCATGTGTATAGTAGAAAGATATTAGGAAAGGTTTATAGAGAAATTGAGAATCCAGACAAGTATCGTTTCTTTGATTATTTCTCATCGATAAAGATTACATTGCCAAATAGTGAAGTATCTCAGAATATTATACAGAGATTGCTGAAAACAAAAAAGTGTGAAAAATTGGGATTGAGGAATTTCAAAGTCAAGTTTAGTGAAATTTATAAGAAAAATATCGTTGCTGCGAGGATAAAGTTTATAGAGCTGAGCAAGTGTGAAGTGGATTCATTGGAATATTTCGATAAAATATTTCCCAACTTGAAGAGTTTCAAATTTAGTGGAACAATACAAAAGTCATCTATTGAGAGCTTTGTAAAAACAACATTTACTAATTTGGAGTCTATTAATTTGGAAATTCAGACAGAGGAACAATTTACCTGTTTGGTTTGTCCAAAAAATCCGTGTGTAAATATGAAAGAATTTCAGCTCTACTCCAAATTGCAAAACTGTGGTGATTATCAAGTCAAGTTCAATAGAGAATTCTTCCCAAATATGAAATCTCTATTCTTTTCCATGCATTCAGCTTACAATGAAAAGGTATTACAAAATTGTGATTTGGAAGTTGACTCTTTACGGATAAGGGCAAGAGTTTCATCTGTGGCTCTCTCAAAGTTGACCAGTCTCGTCCATTTGGAAGTCAAGACACTTTCAAGTTTGGATAATTTACGACTACCAAATTTAAAAACCCTCACACTAGATAGTAATTATGATTCGAAATCTCACACAGTCAAGCTTCCATACATGCACTTGCCAAACCTTGAGAGCTTGACCATTTCGGATAGAAAAGGCATTGTGGAACTTTCTAACTTGATTCAGTTTACAAAATTGAAAACTCTCGATATTGATTGCGATTCACTGAAAGAGGTTAAAACCGTTCGAGAATTAAAAACATTGGAAGATATTTCAATTGGTTGTCATTTCAAAGAAGGAGGCATTGAACATTTGGCAGATTTGAAAATTACCAAGTTGAGAATATTTTCAGGTCAAGTAGAAAACGAGAATATGTATGTCATTTCCCAATTGGAGCATTTGAAACACTTGGAAATTACAATTGAAACTATTGGACAATTGGTGCTCCTTTCAGAAGGAAAACTTTCAAATCTAACCTATATCAAATTCTACAAGACGAAGAAGCGTCTGGATTTATATGGAGCATTGGCTCAAGCTAACTGTAAAAACCTTGTACAAATCAAATTCCAGAGTTTGGATATTCGCTCGGCAAGTGAATTATTACTCAATAATCCATTTCCAAAGTTGAGAATTTTAAAATTAAGGAAATCATTTGACTTGAAAACAGCAAAGCACTTGGATTTGTTGAAAGTACTTTTAACTACTGATAGCTCTGAATCTCCACTACAGGAAATTCACATAAAATGCAAAGGAGACTATACTAACAATAAGGAAATTCAACAAATGATTGAAAAATCATCAAGAATCTTATACATTCAACCAAGAAATAGCAAGAAATGATTTTTTCTCAATGAATAGCATTGTCAACAACCTCAATGAGAAACTCGTCCACCTGGGAAATAATGAATCATGAGACAATTCGCACAAGGTGCTTCTTTTTTCCAACCACCTTTTGCGTATCCTAAACTTTGCCGAGAGTTTCTTTTTGGATGAAGCTTTCTGTCGTACATATTACTTTCTGGTGATACTGACTTTATAATATTGAAATGTACGACACCTTCTCCTTCTAGAATCTAATTGCAGGTCTCCAACATTATAGACGACACCTCACAACATTATCAACTCTAAAAACCTGGCCATTATTTTGAATTTTCAACGAAATTATAATGAAGAAAATCTTACAACTGTTTTCTCATTAAGGATTCAATCCCTTCAAATCCAACAACAATAATTTCGGTATTACAAGAGTGAAGAATCATCTGTTACTCACTACCAAAAAACCAACTTCTCAATTTGAAACAAATTGGAAATGGAAAATTTTCGTAAATGGATGGAGCATTTATAGTTAAGAAGTTTGAAACAACACAATTTGACCGTTGTTCCCTTCTTGTTGAAAAGTTATCAGAAAAAAAGAACGAATCACAAACTCATTTAGACGATTAAAAATGTTGAATGTTAATTACTGTTGGTTGAATCATCAACAGAGGACAATTATGAAGAATCATGTGAGGAAGATTATTTTAAATGACAAATCGAAAAGATTGAACATGTTGGCAATGTTTGTTTGGTTTTGCTTGGTGCTGTGTTTGGTGTTAATAGCTTTTAGAGTGGCATTACTTCAATTCGATCAGTCATTCTTTAATAATAATATTCAATTTCACACAACTCCATTGATACATTCATCTTCAATTAGATCATCAGCAAAAACATTGATAAGGAGGAATTTGGAAGGTAGCAATTCACAGAAGAGATTACCACTTTCATCTTCATTGGAAATTCGACCTCAGCTTGATAAGTCAACGTTGGATTTCTCAAAGAAATCATCAATAGCAACACTTGATGATTTGGAAAAGTTTGTCAATTCGCCACTGCAGGTGAATCCTCGTCAAGTGGAGAGAGCATTTGCTGCCTTTCTGTCAGTTTCGTCTAATGACAGAAAAGCTTTCGATTACATGATTGGAGTTTTATCTCTTTTTCAGAGTATCAAGATGAATACACAAGACATTCAACAAAATCCATTCATTCTCGTCCTAGTTCCACCAAGAATGAATGTTGAAAAGTCATCAGTCGAAAAGACACTATACTTTATGGAACAAATTGTAAATAATTTAAGTGAACAAGATCGACAATATTTTCACTTTTTCATTGCTAGATATATTGACAATCCAACGAATGGCAAGCACTCAGCTTCAAATTCAGTAGAGAGGAGATACATGGACACGTTCAATAAGATTCACATGTGGAGATTGGATGAATTTGGTTACAAAAAGGTTATCTATTTGGATGCGGATGTGGTGATTCTGAGACCAGAGATTGATCATTTGTTTAAATGTGGACACTTTTGTGCTGTTAGTGATTTGTGTGTACCAGATTATTTCAATGGTGGATTGATGGTTTTGAAACCTGATACGAAAGTTTTTCTTGACATGAAGGAGAAAATGGGATTGAAAGAATATCAGAGTTATGATGGTGGAGAACAGGGTTTTATTAACAAGTACTTTAATTTTCAGAAGGATAGCAAGTTTTGGCCTTTGGAAAAGCTTGCAAGAGAATCTGAATTGGCCAATCCTGTGGGTGGTTCAATTGACTTGCAAGAAAGTGTCAAGGATGATGTTTACAGACTTCCATTCAATTACAATGGTCAAGTTCCTTTGATTTTCATCTCAAAATTAGGTTGGAACAAAAAGTTTGGTGACAAATTCGTGGCTGTTCACATAACTCTTCCTCTGAAACCCTGGGAATTTATTTCCTTTCCAATATTTGATGTTTCTTATTATTGGTATGCTTACTTTAGATTTACAAATGTTTATAGAACCTTTCCATGGACCCTCTTCACTGTTAATATCATGCTGGTTTTGAGTGGTTTTGTAATTCTTGACAGAGTGTTGAATAGTAAGAGAAAGCTCACTTCAATATATGGCATGCAGTGGATGGTGTCATCTATTGAAGATAGAATTAACAAGTTGAGTGGAATGAATGATAGTAGAGAATCCATGTTTACAACAATGGTATTGAATTTCGTCCCAATATTTCTCATAATCCCAACAACTGTAATTCCTGTCATTATCTACATGACTCAGTTATTTGTACAACATTATGATCCACACATGATTTGGTTGAACTTGATTATTAGTGTTGGCGCTGGTGCTTTCATTGCATTGGGGTTGTTTTCATTGCTGGTTTCGTCTTGCACTCCCTCGAATATTTCCTTAATGAAATCACCTTCCACAATTGTTGATTATGAACAATTAGAGAATAGACTTGGAGTTTCCAATGGCACTGGATTGAATTATTGTTTTTGGATTATGATATTTGTGAGCTATATGTTTTTAGGATTCTTTTCACTCTTCTTGCTTCCATCATTCCTGTTTGGTTATATTTCCATCAACATTGCATGCACAATATTGTACAGTACCATCTTGTTGGCATTGGTGATATTTAAGGTTATTACTCCATTGGCTAACCAGGTAATTTTGCATTCTATCCGTGGAGGAGATTTGTCAGTCAAGAAGTCTTGTGAAATTGATGATAGGAATGAAAAGCAACTATTGGCTCAATCTTCCAGTGCATAAATTATGAATACAGTAGATAAAGTAGCACTGTTAGGTAATTAAATCCAACGATATTGAATCAAATTCTATAAGACGATAATTATGAAAATTGCAAAATTCTTTAATTTTGTAATAATCCTTCCAAAATGGCAATGTAATGAACAATAGAATCCAAATACACATTTTCATCCAAATATTCGTTGTGGTCATGAAGCAAAACCTTGGTATTTGGCATGTAACTGTATCCGATCATGTTGACACCGGCAGCTCTTGGGAACTAATAAAGAATTAATAAATATAATGCAAAATAACTTACTCTGGCATCAGTGGCAGCTGGGAAAATTCTCAATTCTGTCTTCATTCTTGAAGAGACAATATCTAAGAATTTCTTAACAGTTTCATCATTAAGATCAGCAACTGGATTGATCTTTGGTTGTTCAATAAACTTGATGGTACCATTAACAAAATCAGCCCATGAACGAAGCATAATTTCAATTTCCTTCAAGTCAATATGTGGTGGAATTCTCATATCAAACAAGGCAGTAGCTGTTCTTGGAATAACATTAGGACTAGAGAATTCTCCAGTTTCCTTGTTGGTATGTCCTGCTCTGAGACCTGTCAAATTGATAGTAATAACAGTACTACATTGTGTCTTTTCTCTTGGATTGTTGGTTTGCAATCTCATTTGAACTTGTTGTTGTTCTCTGAATGGGAAAACCTTTTCATTGAGCAATTTGTAAATCTTTTCAGTGGCTGTTTGAGGAATGAATTGAGAGCCGTGTCCAACATTACCTGTGGCAGTAATTTCAAACCAGTGAGCAACATTTTCACCATAATAAATTGGGATTATATCTTCATCCAATCCACTTGCCAAACCTTCATCAATACCAAAACTAACATTCAATTCCTTCCACAATTCGTTTTGAATCAAACATTCCCATCCATCATCACCTCCAATTTCTTCATCAGCAATAAAAACAACTTGAAGATTTCTCTCTGGTTTGAATCCAGATTCCACAAGAGCAACAAGAGCTTCCATGTAACCAGTTCCGATATTCTTCATATCTTGAGATCCTCTCGAGTAAACTCTTCTGCCCTTTCCTGTATTTTCATCAACCATTGTTGCATCAAATGGTGGATACTTCCATTGATCCTTATCAACAGGAACTACATCAGTATGACTATTAATCATGATACTTCCCTTCGAAGCATCTCTTCCTTTCCATGTAAATATAAAACTTGGTTTAGCAGGATTGCAATGGAAAATATAATACTTGAGAATGGAATTTTCTCCAGTCTTTAAATTAGCATTCACTTGCACTTCCTTGATCGGATCAGTACTATCATCAATATGGAAAACACTTCTTGTCCATTTCAACAGAAAATCAATAGCAGTGGCATAATCAGGCTTTGGATGTTGAGTAGGTAATCTCAAATAGTCTTGGAATCGTTTCATGATATCATCACGAAGGCTTTGATCCGAGTAGATTTTACTCTTGTATTGATCGGCTAAAGTTGTTGTTGTTGTTGTTGGAATGTGGATATCTACAATGGGATCTGCATTAATTTGTTGTTGTTGTTGATCCGATCCAAATACAACATTGATGAACAATACACAACACAATACAATTATTAAAATTGATGGTGATGAATTGTAAAAATTAAATCTTTTCATTTTTTGTGGTTATATTATTTTTATTGATATAAATATTACAATCAATTGGGAAATGGAATATTCGATCATGTTTGAATAAAGAGGTATTGTATTTTACATTAACATCGTAATAACCAAAAATTACTTAACCTGCTTGAAAGGATATGGATCTTTATTGGCAGGTCATTAGAATTCCAACAAAGTCTCAAATTGTAAAGCTTGTGGAAGAGATGATTTAAAGTAATTGAAATTTGTTTTGATGAAGACGGAATAACGAAATTTTTGCTTTAATGAACAAGAAATCAACAAGAAACGAAAAAGTTTGTCCTCTAGGTTGGGAATTCGGAAGTTTCGAATTAAAATAATGGAATTACCAACCGAAAAAATGTCTCAACCAGATCTATCAACATTACCACCAAGACCTCACCATATCAAGATTCTAGGACCACCCTGTGATTGCAAACCAGTGAAACTAACCGTACTAAAACAAGTGGAAGAAAGTACAACAAATTTTGGAGCTTTCTACTACAAGTGCGCAACATGTCGATACTTTAAATGGGCAACAGATTCTGGTAATTCCATTGATTATGGTGACTTGTGGGCTCCATGTTGTCTTCTTCATCCCAACCGAAAGTGTAAATTATTGCAAATTGCAAGAAACAGCATTAATAGAGGAAAATTATTTTGGATTTGTGGAGTTTTGGATACTCCTTGTACCCATTTTCAATTATTCGAAGGAAATATTGATGATTACAAAGAGTTTGTACCGAATTTTGATGAATCGTTATTGGAAAGTCAAGAACTAGAGAGTTCTCAATCAAGTCAAATTGTAATGTCTCAGGCAAATTCAAGAAACATGATCGTTAGTCAATTACCAGAGGAAATCATGGCAGAAATTTTGAAATACTTGGACATGATTCCTAATTGGGTGAAAATTATTGGAGTCTGTAAAGAATGGAAGAGAATGATTGATAATGTGATCGACCAGAAAGTGAATGATGGCTTAATTGAGCTTAATCTTGGTTTTTTACATTCAAAAAGTCCATTTTGGTATTTTTGTGAAATTTTCAAAAGATTTTACAAAGTAAGAAAGATTACAATTTGTAACTTTGAATTGTATAGCGAATTAATGAGATTATTGGAATGGGTTGGTGTCGAAACTCTGGTATTATATAATTGCACAACCAAAATGTCCTGTAATCAGAAAGATCAAGTTGATGACTCAGATAAGGTCTTAAATGAATGTTTTTCATTTAGGTCTAAATGCACTGAAATGTCATTCTTTCACATTCATGGAGAAACTCTATTATACAATTTCAATCATAATCATGTGGTACCTCATTTGAATGCTATTAATTCGGACATTTACTTTGAGTTTGTTAAAGAAATGGAAAGAAAAGTTGACATTACCCATAGAAGGCAGTTTCAAGAGTTGTCTCAGATTATTGCAATTAATTGCCCAGAGGATCTGAATTTTGTTTGGCTTAATGGTCCAGATGCTAGATCCTACCACAAACATGAGCAAGTAGACGCAAACTATGGAGATTTACTCGATTTACCTTTCGAACAAGAAGAATTGGAAAATATTGGAAAGTGTCATGTTAATGTGTATTCTCTGCCTACAGATATTGACGTTGGTTTTCTAAACCTATCTCTATTGGGACATCATAGAACACCAAAGATTTATGTGAAAAATGGAAAAAAGTACAGCTTTCCTACCGTTGTTGATAATCAAGTAATTTCACATCCAGAAATTCAAAAGCAATTCATTCTAAACTGTGGAATTTCCAAGTATTTCAATGTTAACATGCTTGAGATTGTCAACAAGGAACATTTCGATATTGCAGTAGAGAGTGGAATTGTACATTTTGAAAATGTTCACAAGCATGCATCCTTCAAAATATGTTTGGAAATATTGGCAAAGAATTTACTTGAAGATATACTTAAGGTTAATGGGAATGAAAGACTATTTTCCTTATGGAAAGGAACGTGTGTTTATAGACTTGTGTACTGGATATACACTTTGCATTCGAAAGGTTTAGTCAAACCAATTCCTTCTTCAATTATTCAAATAGCCAAATCTATTGATTCAGAATGGAAGCAACGAAAACTTCTCTACTCTCCTGTTTCAAAATTTTACGTAGATTATTCGAGAAATATTGGTGCTATTAGAGTTCCATTCTCATGGGAAGCTTTTGTTAATTATGGCGAATTGAGATATCTTTTTGATGAATCATCTGAAAATTCAAATACAGAAATGGTGGAAAAGAATGCAAATAGAAGAACTTCCAATCAATTCGATTCTCTTAACCAACCAAAGAAGAGGAAACTAGAATAAACCGTAGACAAGTATTGTAAAATTGATAAAATCTATTCGTTAATCCAATACTGACAAGTAAATCCAAACTTGGACAAATTGTTTGTATCATCATTACCATCCATCAAATGTCTTTACAGCTTCCAATTTGCCTTCCTTTTTCTACAGTTTTTTCCACACATTCAGTCAACCAGATCAGAACCGTTCATCTCACTCAAAAAAAATGAAACCATTCTTCGCCCTTCTCATTCTCCTCCTCATCCAACAACTTGTTTCCTGCCAATCCATCACCAAACAAACCTATTACACTGAAGTCAATTGTGTTGGTGATATTTACACGACCATGTTCCTCGATAGTGGTTCAGCTTGCACATCGAAAGGATCAACTACTTGTAATGTGATTACAATTTCTGGTCGTCAAGTTTACTTTACACAGGAATGTACCTCTGAAGTTCCACCTACACCAACCACTTTCACTGATGTCATTGCTTACACATACAAGAATGGTTCTTCTTGTAATGGGCAACTGAGATCTGCACAGGTCATTCCAATGGGAAAATGCATTATCGAATATGGTACCACTTATTATGCTTATTATGATGCAACTGGATTCAAGACTTATTATTATGATAATGCTTGCAAAAGCAAAATGTTCACCACATCATTGTTTTTGAATACTTGTTTGAATGGTAATGTAAAGTACTCTTCTTTGGGAGGAAGAAATGCAGCCTCTTTGGAAACAAGTGCATCTTTGGGTGTGATTGTGCTAAGTGTATTGTTTAGTTTGGTTTCTTTCTAGTTAGTTTAATAAAACTAAATATTTCCAAATATGAGCTCTTTGAAATTCATAAAAACAACAAAAAAAAATGTCTCAACAATCACAACAAGATTCATCATGGTTGGACTCTATGTTTATGGATCCTTTTTTAGGTGAGTATCAAAGGCTACCATTATTTACTGATTATCATCATCATTCCATAATTTTCGGAATTTGTTTAAATTTCTATGATCACAACTTGTATTCGGAATTCATGATTTGAAAAACAAAATATGATTGATATTATTTGTAGGCTGTGCATATGAACCTGAAACTTCAATTGAAAACAAACCACCTCCAAGAAAATTACCACCTCTCAATGAACCAAATCAAAAGCCTCATCTTTCCATCTCTCACACCAATGAAGTGGTGAATATTTACTTTGATTTTAATGATACTGAGTGGACTAAACATGATGTTCATATTGATATTGATGATTTACATCACATCTTGTCCATTTCAAATATTAACAAGGCTAAACCAAGCTTTCAACGAAAACTTCATCTTCCTAAATATTTGAATACTAAAGAATCAAAGGCTAAATTTGCTGATGGATTTGTTGTCATTACATTCAAGAAGACTATCAACTTGGAGCAGGCAACACCTAGAAAGGTTCCTTTGGAATAATTGTAAATCTTTCTTTTTGTAAATATTAAATTATAATTTATACAATAATTGTAACACAACATATTAGACTGACAAGAGTAATTGAGAGTAGCTCATTAACATGATAAAACAAGCAAAAAAAAATGTCTCTAAAAGAACTTTATCCTGACCTTCTGATAGATCAAGTTCTTCCCTTTCTCCCTGCGAGGTTCATACTAGATTATAAAATGGCTCCGATCTGGTTTAAAATTCTACCAGATGATTATCAACGCATCCTAACACAACGATCAAATGATTGGCTATTTACTAAAAGGTATGAAAAGCAGAAATCAAGTGTAGTGGATATTCTGTTGAAAATCATTATCAAATACAAGTCTGAATGCTATGGAAAATTTGAAAATATTGTCCCAACTGAATTTGGTTATCTTGTTGATAAATTGGAGGAAGGGAAGAGTAAGAATTACAAATCGATCAGGGAAGAACTAACATTCAGAGATGTGCAATTTATATTCGAGTTTGTGAGTCGATATAATTTCATATATTTGGGGTCCAAGTTTAATAGTATTATGAATAAGAGTACAGAACCTTTCGAGTTTAGCTGGGTTTATGCTCTTGATCCCTATTACCAAACTAATCAACAATTATTATTGAGAAGATTCAGAAAAAGTTACGATCCTTTAAGATATATCCACACAGATCTGAACTCGATTGAAGGATGTAAACGAATTCGAGGTCAATTCTATTTCAAGAATGGACACTATTGTTGCGAGCTTTACCATGAATTATTCGTTAACATTGAAAAATTGGACAAGATTGAAGTTGACGCCACTTGGTCACTAATAATTTTGCATTCCTTGTCGTTTGATGACCTACATCCTGTCACTGACGAATACTTTTTGCAGAGATTCTTTTTACCTGTCATTGAATCTCGTCTGGTTTTCCAAAGTGAACGAGATCCCACGCCAACTTGTACCTTCGGTTCTGATAATGCTATATATTCACGTTTCAATGTTTCACTAATTCCCTCTCAAAACAAAATGGAAGTAGATGCCAAGATCAATAGACAGACTCTATCAACCTTATTTTACATTGCTGTATGGTCTTTATTAATCTATTTTAAGCTGCTTTGGCCATTCAGTGATTATTTTGTTTTTCAACCTTACTTTGGAGAAAACCCATTCCATTGGAAATCAATACTATTTATTATTTCAGATTTTTTTATACCAATCTATCCGGATTTTTTTATTCTAATCTATCTTATGAGAAGTATTCTTGTTTATTATTGGGGATTTTGGACAATTCATCATATTACCATATTGGAAACTCTGGTATTCATGTTCTTGTTCTCTGAACTCTGCAATTACATTACAATGTACTATTTGCAACACGGAGCTGAGACACATCATGTTAGAACAATACCATGGATAAGGAAGAAAAAGAAGAATTAAACTCAAAGAAGATTCCACTCCCCTCACATCAAAGATTGAACCCTTAATCCAGCTTCCTAAACACTTGATACAAAGATGGATGCCCAAATTCTTGCTCTATTATTAGGACAAATAAAAAAGGCGCGAAACTTAATTTAACAGCAAAAAAAAATGCCTCCCCATTCTTCCCTCTTTCAAACAATCCAGTCACATTCCGATGAAACTCTTCGGAACAGAAGTACCACCAGAAAAACAACAACATCTCGGGAAAGGGAAAGTAGGAAGTGTCCACTTTGTATGAGATCACGTCTAGGGAGTTCATCTGAAGGTTGTGTTCATGCAAAGGCTTTGATTCAGAAAACTAATCTAAAGGCTCCATTCATAGGTTTACATAATAGTAGGCTATTAGATAGATGCCCTACCTCTAGTGTTAAATTTCCAGAGTTTAAGGCTTTAATTGAAAAGACAATCGAAGAGTTTACAGACTTGGTTCCAGCCAATGATTTTACAATCGATAAGAAGCCTTATAGAGAAATGCTTAATAGGCACTTTTATCAAAAGATTAATGATTTGGCTATTATCAGAGGAATATTTCCAAGAGATTCAAATGATAAGCAATCATGGAGTGATGATGCAATTGAATATGATGACGAAAATGATGAAATTACTATTGTAAATAAGAACAATACCAGAATTGACCAACCATCAATCCCTCCTGCTAGACCTTTAAATCAACAATCACCATCCAACACACAAGCAATCATTCCAACCAAACAACCAAAGATCAAACCTGCCAGCAAACCGAAAACACCTAAGCAAACCACTGTAACACCACCCCTTACAACACCTGTTTCATTCACCAATACGCAACCAAAATCCCAACCATCCATAACAACCCCAAGCAATTGTACAAAGCAATTAATCCTAGATGTAGATAGTCCAATCATAACAACACCAAAGATAACATATCCAACAATCAAGCCAGAGAAAGTCCTAACAACAACTCAATCCACTCCAAATCTAAAGAAATCTGATGATTCATTCCTCAAACCATCCCCCATTAGTCCCGTTTCTGTAAGAAAGACTCCCACCATAACAACACCTGCCAGAAGGTCTTCTATCCCTTCCACTAAACAACCAACGTATCTTCCAAGTACTCCTCAAAAGATTCAAAAGCAAAAGATAATGCTCAAGAACAATAGAACTAAAAAGAGAGAATTAATGATGCTCTCCCAATCTGATTTTAATTCTCTACAATCTCTGGGTGAAGCACTTGTCCAAAACTGGGAAGAAAAACCACCAATCAACCAAATCAAATTTAAATACCCAGAGAATGGTAAGAAAATTCATGTCAATACTACCGGGCTTGAAGTTATAAAGGACATGTTTGGAAAGTATGACTTGTTAGAATTTTCAATTGGTAAGAAACAAAGATACCTCACAACTCCCAATAAAGTTCACAATATGTAAAACTGTCAACAACACTCTTGAAAATCGAGCTCAGACGAGACCAAGCAAACAAAAGAATTGGGCAAGCAAACAGAAGAAACGTAATCATACACCCACCTCCCTTTTATGTGCACATAAAAGTAAGTCTGTATTACCAAATAAGAACAATAAATGCATGCTTAGTATACATAGGGACATCCATTTGTGCAGCCTTATTCCCTGTATAGTCTTTGAGTATATTATATTCGTATCTAGTTTGTTGTTGACAGTAAACAAAATTTGCATCGTCTTTCGCTTGCAAAGAAAACTCGGTAAAACATACAACAAAAAAACAAACATTCCACTACAACATGTCGTGCTCTCACTAATTACTACTCCTCTACTAATAATATCGGTACCAACACATCCATAGCGAAACATTGTGTTTTTCTGATTCAACAATAGCACACACAATAAATATTGCGCAGCAGCATCATTGGCCATTAATCTCCTTACTACTTTTTACTACTTTTTTGAAGCGAACTTTTTTAAAGCAGTATTATTAATAGGTTTTTTCTAGGAACAATGCCTGGGAAATTTCAGCAATGCCCAACAACAATAAGAAATGGAATATTGTAGGTGAGGTGAAATGGGATAATCTACCAACAAACAAGTAAAAAAAGAGAAAGCTCAACAGCAAGAAGAAAACTAAAGCCAACAAGAAATCAAAATCAAAAGTTTAGCAAACAAGAATGCATGTCGTTGGTGACCATCAACAAACAGCACAAACACATGCCATGGAAGGAAACAACATGTTAGTAATGCAACAACATGCACCAATGTTGCAACATGCAAGTGACATGTCTTTGATGCATCATCCTGACATGCATGAATGTGATTCGAACAGTAATGCATCACATGCAACTAGTATTTCTTCTCAACATGGACTCAATAGAAAACAGCAGCATGGAAAAACACCAATGAAATTTGTAGATGAAACAGTGAATGTAAGGAAGAAAATCAAAAAGAAACAAGACGAAAGCTGTTTTAAACGATCAAAATTGAGAAAATCACTCAGTAACGAAACATTCTTGGAAAATTACTTTGAATATGATAATATCAATGGAACTAATCAATTGAAAAAATTCAAATTAATTGAATGTTCCCAGAGCAAAATTGTTACATCTGAAATAATCCCAAATTCTAATGTACATTCAATGCATGTCAAGACATCTGAAAGCAAAACACTTGATGATGGTTCTACTTCTCACCATGTTGGATGTTCTCAAGCTCATGCACCTGTTAGCAACTCAAATGTATTGGAAAGTGAGCAAAATAACGAGTCAAATGATAACACTAATCTTCTCTTAGCACTGCTTTATGTACTGACCGCAGATTCTCAAACTCAAAATGTCTCAATTTGAGTTTTACAATTATTCGAAAGAAGCGAATTAATTTTTTTGGACAAAATCATATTTAGAATTTTTGTCAACTGTTACTCAATAGTTCTAACTTGTTGTAAAATTACAATAGTAGCCATTAACTGTTCAATTTTTTCATAACATGATAACAGCCTTTTTCAGTAAAGGAATCGATTCTATCAATATTTTTACATTATGCTTCATTGGTTGGAATTTATCTGACTCGCTCTTTGCTACTAGATATTTCATTGTTTTTGGACCAATATGTATCAAAGTCTATCTAATGAATAATTGAAAGTCTCGGTAATCCATTTGGTAGTTTTGCATGAATGGAACAACTATTGTTAACACAAATATATTCCACGGAAAAAAAGATAAAAAGACTACAGCACCACAGGTTCCCAAGTTGTCTCCAACCTCAGTACTGATGTGGCTCGACGATGCTTAACTTCTCAAATCGGACGGGATGAGGTGCATTCATCGTGATATGGCCGTAGCCATCAATAATATAAATTCTTAGTATTTAATCAGCTTCACAAATTGTGATGATGATATAGAGTAACAGTGGATTACTAAGTATCAACTAGAACAAGACCTCTAAGATATAGAACTCATAAACTACTATCAAAAAAGAATAAAAGAAGATTGGAAATTTGAAATCACATTATACAAAAATCCACACCTAAGGATGATTGTCCTCGTAACGTTTCAATTATTATTTTGGACGGGAAGCCTGCCAGGAATATGGCGACAATCCCGCTACAGTCTTTGACTGTATGAACAGTGAAGGCAACGAAGACAGAATCTTGTTGGTTCAGTAAGGTTTGTTAAAGAAATTGACAGAGTTGGATCACCTTCTATTTATTGCACATTATCGAAGCTAAATTGATGGATGCAAATTTTGGTACCATATTTTCTTTATCAATTCAAAATTGAAACTTCATCTATATATTTACTTACTGATAAATCTCTTTTAAATTGAATTTTTCAAAGATTCTGAGTAATGGCAGGTTATGAATCTACTAATATCCAAACTCCTTCGAGTTCTAGCGTTTACTGGAACAGTAACATATCGAAGAAAATTCTTCCTCACAAAATAGATTCCAAATTAAATCATAAAAAATAATGAGACAAAAACTGAACCTCATCACACTTGGTGTGGAAAATCTGCAAAAATCAATCAAGTTTTATTGTGATGGTTTAGGATGGAAACCATCAGAGAAGAGCAATGATAATTTAATTCTATTTCCTTTAGGTGTTGGAATGACTTTGGCTCTATATGACAGGAAACGCTTGGCTGAGGATACAACACTTCAAGATTGTGGACATGTTGGACATTTTCATGGGTTGACACTTGCTTTTAATGCTAAATCTGAAGAAGAGGTTGATCAAGTATTGAAACAAGTTGAAAATAGTGGTGGCAAGATTGTGAAAACTGCTCAGAAGGTGTTTTGGGGAGGTTACTCTGGTTATTTTACTGATTTAGATGGTCATGTGTTTGAAGTTGCCTTCAATCCTTTCTGGAATATGGATGAGAATGATAATCTCGTTCTTTAAAATGATAAGTAAACAAATACGGTGTGTATATCATATATCAAAAAATTGGAGTCATAGGGAATCGAACCCTAGACCTTCTGCATGCAAAGCAGACGCTCTACCAACTGAGCTATAACCCCTTCTCGTTAATTTCTTGAAAATCATCTATTTATTGATAATCTGAGGTGTTGTTTTAATAAGAGGAAAAATTACCTGAATCAATAATCTGCCACTCCATGTTCAGACACAATTTTGATTGTGCAAATTGCCATGCAAGAAAGAAACAGTTAAACTTTCCTTAATACTTTCTTTGCGATTATTAATCCGCGTGCATTTTTCCAATTGTAAAAAAAATTCCAAAATCACACCAAATGTCCTCCTCTCAGTCTCCACCACCATCAGATAACACCAAGAAGGGATCCACCATTTCCCGAATCTTTTCAGTCTCTGATCAATTTGCAAATTATTACTTTTATCACCAAAGTAAAACCAATCAGATTATTCACTTTATATTTGTACCTGTGATTGCATTTTCACTGATCATGTTGATTTTCCGAGTTGATTTGCAACATGTAGGAATTATTAAGAATATTTTGGTTGATGTTTTAGGCTTGGGAGCTGAATGGTGCAATTTGGCAACTGTTGCTTTTTGTTTTCTTGCTGTATATTATTTGATTTTGGATTTGATTGCAGGAGTAGGTTTTTATTTTTTGATCAACCTTGCTGACCTTTTGTGTTTGATTTCACTTTAATTTTCATTTAATTTCGAATTTTGAAAATGACAGGCCTTGTTGAATGCCGAATTGTTTGCCATGCTTGTTATTTCTCGTCATCTCTTCTTAAAGTATAGTGAAGATCCAACACTTTATTTTGTTATTGCTGCTGTTTGTCAAGTTGTTGGTTGGGGTACTCAATTCTATGGCCATTATTTAGGTAAGTTTTCAAGAAGAAATTCTAAACTGAACTATTCGAATCTAATAACCAATCGGATTAATAATTACATGAAATTTATTAATCAACTCGGTTTACAGAGGGTAAAAGACCTGCACTCATTGACAATGTTTTCCAAATCTTTATTGCTCCTCTCTTTGTCTTGTTCGAATTATTATTCATGTTGGGTCTTCGTTTGGATTTGAAGGAAATTGCTGAAAAGAAGTTGAAGGAAAAGAACCTTGCTGCTACCTATTCTAAACGTAACAAACAACAATAAACCACACTCTCGATTGTACTTTAATAAATTCTTTCATCAATTTTTTCATCATCCAACAAGAGAAAGTCAATAATCAAAAAATATCAAAACAATCGGATTAAGATAGAACACTCCAATCATCTAAACTCTCCCCAGATAAGACAAACAAAAAGAAGAGCTGCTACTTTCACTTTCTATTCTTCCCCTCTCTATCAAAATAAACCACATCACTAGTAACGGTTATAAATTCTAGAAATCAAAAAATGCCAAGGAAAAGGAGTGTCTCTAGGAAGAAGAAAGCTCCAACAACAATAACGGACAATGATATTGATGACAATCCAGAAGAAGAAGAACAACAACAAAGGGATACAGCCTCATCATCATCATCTTCGGAGGAGAATAATAAGGAATCAAGTGCGGAAGAGACTGACAAGGAAAAATCAACAAGTAATATCTTGAAGCAACAAGTGGACGATAATACAATGCTGACTGATGAAGACGGAGCAAGCACAGCTAATAACACTTCTGTTGTCTTAGATCCAAATGATCACGATTTATCGAGTAGTGATGAAGGGAAGGAAGATGAGATTAATCATCCCACAACAACCTCTCCTCTTTTCAGAAGAAGAACCTCAACGGCCAATAAGAACAATAATCATCGACAATCATCATCATCTTCACCACCAGAGGAAACAGATCCAACCTCTCCGTCTAGTCCCTCCACTCTACAGATAGCAAACCATTCCCCCTCTAAAACCAACACGACTACATTAGCCTCCAATACAATAACAGCAGCAACTTCTGAAGGTAATAACCACAATTCACAAGATGTTCTCATTAAAAAGACAAGAACAACACGAAGAAAACCTCTACAATCGCCCATCACTAAGAAACAAGACGACAACAATACTTCAGACAATGATGAAGACAAAACAACAACAATAGAACAACCATCAGAGTCCTCCAACGAATCGAGTAGTACATCCACAGCTGCTGCTGATACAACAACATCACTTGCTGAGGAGGATAATACAAACAACAATCAGATGGAAGACGATGATGCCTTCCTCACTCATAAATCAGACTATGATAGTGATGAAGTTATTATTGAAACTCCAAAGAAGACCAGAGCCAACAAAAGAGGAAGAACACCACTTCCAAAATCCACTACAAAGGACACAGACGAGCCAAAGAGTACAGAAGAGGCAACAATCACAACATCAACAACATCGGAACCTTCAGCTGATGAAAAGGAACAAAAAGAGATGGACACTACAGAGGAAGATACAACAACAACATCAGTTGTAAAAAGAACACCAACGAGAACGAGAATTACCAAGAGTACGAAAAGAAAAGCAGCAGCTGCTGCCTCTTCATCGGAAAGTGACAGTGATAATGAGTCAACCAAAGGTAAATCCAAACAAAGGAAACTTGATTCTAGACCACAAAGAAAGAGAGGAATGGAGACACCAGTTTCACAAAGATGCAATCCAACGACACCACAACCATCTCCAGGTCTTGCAAGACCAAGAAAGTTGGATGTTTCAAAAAAGTTGCTCATCTTACGAGGATCTGATTTGAAAAACTTGGCAAGTTTGAAAAAGAAAGTAACTGCTGCAATCAATGAAGCAAAAAAGGCTGCCAATAAGGCAAGCCCAAAACGACCTGATTCAGATGTGAGCAGATTGTCAGGAAATTTGACTGATTTGGATTTGAAACTTCTCACAGATGAGAGTATTTCTACTGGTACAGTCACTCTCATTGATAGTACAAGCCAATCTAATAAGAGGTATTTCAGAGACGCTGACGAATACGATGAATTTAAAGAGTTTAGAGATGGGACAATGATACACATTGATATTCCAAACGTTAGAATCATTGAGGAAGAGCCAGCAGGACCACCTTTTAAGAGAACTTCGGAATTTATCAAATATGAAGATCCTGATAGATATGATCGTTCTACATTAACTCTTAATCCTATCCCAGCTCAAGCTGATTTTGACATGTACAGTCATAGAAAGATTGACATTTCTGTAGAGTATAATATTGAGAGCGAAGATGAAGAGTGGCTCAATAACTATAATAAGGATAGTAGGTATCCTCTCTCAGAGAAGGATTTTGAATCAATAATAGCATTAATGAATCGAGCCAGTAAGAATGGAAAGTCGTGTTGGTTTTCTGTTGCTTCAGTGATAGAGTTGAGCCGATTTTTTGATGTCAGGCTGGAGGAGCGTCACATTGTACAAGTTAAAAAATTATGGGAATCCAAATACAACCCACAACACAAGTTGTTCAAGAGTGAAGAGCTTCAGAAACGAATTGAAAATGAAAATTTACTCTATGAATACATGTGTGTAAAACAACAATTGAATACATACAAGGAAAGAGTAGAGCAAATCATGGGAATTTCTGAACAAAAGAAGGAGCTTTTGGACAAACACTCAAAACTAATGAAGAGAAAGAACTATAGTGTCACAAAGGACTTTCCAAAATTTGTAACCAAATATTCTAAATTAACTTATGATGAAGAAACGGAAACCAATTCAGATGACGATGAATCCGGTGACATTTCAAACAAATTAGAGGAAGAGCAAATCCTCAAAGACTCATTTCCTGCCGATCAAGTAGAAATTGAACTTTTCATTGCTGAAGAAAAAAAAGAGGAAGAAGAGAGAAAAAAATCCAACCAAAAAGTAACAAAATCGTGGAAGAACAAGGGGTGTGATAATCTGGAAGAGCAACACGATGAATCAACTCTCGAAAGTACAGAATTCAACAGTAGTTCTAATGAACCTTATTCTCCACTGAGTTCAGTTCCCTCCTCTCTAGCTTCCCTAATTATTCCACCACTTCCTCCCATTTTAACTAAGAATTTATCCAATATTCAAACACCTGAAAGTACCTCAACAAATATCGACACACCTACCTCTGCAATTTCCAACTCGGATGATCTTCATTCAACAAAGAGAAGGACCAGAAAAAAGAGAATGGATTCTGGGACTCCTACATCTAATGTTTCTCGCACTCCAACCTCTGCCTCGAATATGGATTTTCAACAATCATTTGACGAATCTTCCTCGCTGATCTCATCCCCAACTCCTTCTGATATTGTACCACCACTTCTAGAAGCTTCTTCTCCATTACCATCTCCCAATAATAATGGTAACATGATGAGGCGAAGAAAAAAACGTTCTAAAATTGTAATCAATTAATCAATTTATTAAGCACACATCTAGGTATGCAAATAATGTGTTTTTAATACAGTTTCACATAATAAAACACATTACTTGTTTTTTTAAATACCTGTTTTAGTGACGTGTGGCATTGGATGATTATCGACGTGATGTCTATGACCACCTTCAGCTTGATGCAATTCCAATTCTTCAAATGGAATGGACAAGTAATAATCAACTTTTTCCTTATCCTTCATAACGAAAGGTTCATTGAAAATTCGAGTTCTCTTATTATTATCTGAAATGTCAAGACGAGACAACCTCAACTTGGCACTACCTTTGGTTTTTGGTCCAAAAGTGTGAGATTTGTATCGAGGAATGATATGAGTAACTTCCTCCTCATAATGATCGTCTTCACTCTTGTAAATGGCAGTTACAATAGTATCAGTGTTAGTGTTATTGGTAATGTTTGAAGCAAATAATCTACCCATTTTTTCTCTTGAATTGAATTGTTACAATGCAACTCCATTGCGGCAACAATTTATTTCAATCCTTTATACAATTTTGGAAATTCTATCAATAAGGAAACTCTATTGAATTGAAACTATTCTCTGATTTGAAAATAATAATACTCTTCTTTCACCACCAATTTTTTCATCTCTCCAATCATCATCATCAGTTTACTTTTTACCTAACTGCACTTAACTCTCATCAACTACAGTTGAGGTTGCACAATCCTTGGAATTTTTCCACTCTTGCGACAAAAGTGCATCCAAAATTTTTACTCCCTCACAGCATGTCCTGTAAGACAAATGAAAAGTTGTTTATTGAACATCATCGCAGATTCTTACTGGCATTTCGCACATTAGAACATATTTAAGCCAATCATCATGCATGCAACATTCTTCAATTTAAACACAAAAAAACAACAAGATAGCGACAATTTTATATCCACATCATATTATCATCAAACAATGAGCGAAGATACAACATTTAATCCAATTAGTGTTACTGCTTATGCAGTTGGTGAGAAGAAGGACTCTCAAAAATTGGTTTCCTTTGATAAGGTTGAAAAGCAAGTTAAGAGCATTGGTCCAAATCATGTATTTGTTGAATTGATTTGTAGTAGTATTTGTCATACGGACTGGTTTACTTTTGGATCGAAAGGTGCTGTTCCTGGACACGAAATGGTATGTAACTTTTTAATCAATTGGTTGAAATTAACATGGTAAATTGTGTGAATGAAACAACATTTACTTAATTCAGGTTGGTATTGTTAAGCATATTGGAGAAAATGTCGCCCATGAAGGTAAAATCAAAGTTGGCATGCGTGTTGGTATGGGATATCAATTTACTTCATGTCGTCATTGTGAAACTTGCACTAATAATTTGGAAAATTTGTGTGATAGCTCCAAACCATTTTACACAGCTCCAATTGGTGGAGGATACCAAACAGGAGTTGTTTGGGATGCTCACTTTGTCTTCCCAATTCCAGATAACTTGAAATCCATCCATGCTGCTCCATTGCTCTGTGCTGGTGCCACTGTCTTTACTGCATTGCACAGATATACAAAGAATCCTCAATATAAGGTTCCAGGTAAACCACTCAGTTGTGCAGTGTTGGGATTGGGAGGTCTTGGACATTTGGCCATTCAATACGCTAAAAAGATGGGTTTGCATGTTACTGCATTGAGTACTACTGCTAGTAAGGAGGAAGAATGCAGATCGTTTGGAGCTGATGAATTTTATGTTCACACCACTGAAGAAGCAAAGACAACTTTAGCATCAAAGTTTGATATTATTTTGAATACTGTTAGTGGAGATATTGAACTTGATAAGTTTATTGTCATGTTGAGACCTTATGGTCAATTGTGCATGTTGGGTCTTCGTAAGTATTTAACAAGATTATCAAATTGTGAAATTAACGTAATTTAGCATCAAATCCAAGATATGACTTGTCAGCATTTTCTCTCATTCTGAAGGCTCGTTCCTTGGTCTCTTCTGTCATTGGTTCTCCAGAAGAATTGAATTTAATGTTGAAGTTCAGTGCTGATCACGATATTAAACCACAAGTTGAGTTGACCACTTTGGATAAAGTTGGTGAAGCAATTGAAAAGGTTAATTCCAATAAGGTTAGATATAGAATGGTTATGATTGTCAATCAAGAACAAGTTGATAAGGAAAATCAATAAATTATTTCAATTATTTTTTAGCAATTTATTCAATCATTATCACAAACGACAATAAAATTGGTATTAAATTAAATGTTCTAAAACACAGAATGCTTACATATTGTTTAAGGTCTTTGTTCGTGAATCAGCTGGTCGTTCCAGATGCTAGTATTTTGCTTGTGGTTTCTTTGATTATGATGTTGTGACATGAAGTCTAATTGATTTCAATCTTTCATATCTTTACAATAAAAATTCAATAAAATTGTAAAAACAAATTCAATGTTGAGGAAGTGGACAAACCTCAGGACCACCTCGCACATTTTTCACAAAACCCAATAATGATCGTAGTCAATCAGCTCAAAGTTCTCAATGTTGTGCGTACTCCTCTTATAAAATTGCACGCGCCATTATTTTGCACCTTAAAAATGCGCAAGATTTCATCACAAACTTTTAAAAACACAAAAAAATAGCAACAAGTCCTCACACCTATTGCCTCTCGCTGTTGTATTTTCCTGAATCAAATTGATCACACACAAAACTTGAAATCATTATAAGAAAAACAAATCATCATGGAATTGCTTCTCTCATCTGTACAAAATTGTTCAACTACACAATTATCTGCTGTAGCAGCTGCTGGTCTCGGAGTGTTGTATTTGGGAAAGAAACACTTTAATGGAGGAGTTGTTCCTTCTGAATTACTCAAGGCAACATCTTTGCAGGGAAAGACAATTATTGTAACTGGTGCTAGTCCGAATGGAATTGGATATGAAACTTGTAAGATTTTGCACTCATTGGGAGCTACTGTTATTTTGGGAGTTCGTAGTGAAAGAAATGGAGCCGAATCTAAAAAGTTGATCATTCAAGAGAATGGAGGTGGTGCTGAACGTTTGGTTGTCATGTTAATGGATCTGACTGATTTGGAATCCGTTAAGAAATTCACAGAAGAATTCAAGTCAAAATTTACCACTTTAGATATTTTGATTAATAATGCTGGCATCATGATGTGTCCATATGCTACAACAAAGCAAAATATAGAGATTCAATTTGGTACTAATCACTTAGGTCACTTCTTACTCACTCTTTTACTTTTAGATATGATTAAGAAATCTAATGGAAGAGTTGTTAACTTGTCATCATTGGCTGCTTCATATATCAAGAAGGAAAGTGATGTTAAGGGATTCTGTTCATTCAAAGAAGAAACTGTCACTGGAAATTCAAGCAAATTAGCTAGTGAATATCAATTGTACTATAGATCCAAAATGGCCAATATTTTATTCACAAAGAGACTTGCTCGTGAATTAGCTAAGGACAGTTCAGCAACTTCCTATGCATGCCATCCCGGCTTAGTCCGCACACAATTATCGAGACACCTTAGTATTGCTATAATCTTTGCTCCAATTAGCTGGTACTTTACAAAGTCACCTGAACAAGGAGCTCAAACAAGTATCTACACAGCCATTGAAGATAAGAAGAAACTTAAATCTGGTAATTATTATGCTGATTGTATTGAAAAGATTGGAAATAACTTTGAGGATGATATTAAATTGCAAGATCAATTGTGGCAAACAAGTTTGGACCTTTGTAAGAATTATTTGTAAGTGTTGGCAAGAAATGAAAATAATAAATTGTAAATTTATTAATGTAGAGTTGTGAGGAACGATGTAACATTGGTATTTCGAAAAAATTGTTAACAATACTCATATTTTCAAAAAAATTACAAATGTAGACAATGACCAAAATTCCACTTCATTTCCTGATTAATCTTATTTACAGAATCCAAAAAGTTCCAGCAAGCAAAACTCCCTTAAAATATTTCTCATCAAAAAAAAAAGAATCAACAACTCCTTGTTTTTAAATATCTTTGAAATCACACAACCAAAAGAGAATCATGTCTTCTGATCATCAACAGACTCGTCATCGGGTGGGTCAACACGTAGACGATGGTGATGATGATGAATTAATGAGTACAGATAATGGGCTATCCAATAATCATCAGCATCATCATCATCTTCAGGAAGGAGATCATCATAATATAATTATTAAACATAATCATCACGAACATGGCTCTGATGATGATTTGGAGTTGAAAAATCAACAGAGAAATCGCTCCGAAGAGGATTTGGGTTTGAATTACTCGCAATCAATGAATACCTTTGATGAAAATTCGAATATGATCAATGATGAAGAAGAATCAAACGAACAAGATTCGAGTGAAAAAAGGAAGGAATCATCAACGATACCAACCACACCAGCACCTACCAATAATCATCAAAGGCAACAGTGGGGATCTCGTCTTTCCTTCATCTTGGCTACAATTGGAGCTGCTATTGGCTTTGGAAGTTTTGTTAGATTTCCATATCTTGCTTACAAGCAAGGAGGAGGTGCTTTCCTAATTCCATATACTGTTTGTTTAATTGTTTTGGGTATTCCACTGTTAATTCTCGAGTTGAGTATGGGACAATTATTGAGGAAGAGTAGTATCAAAGCTCTCGGATTGTTGAACAATCGTATGAGAGGTTTGGGAGTTGCTGCTGTTCTATTTGGAGGATTTGGAATTTGTACTTATTATAGTGTTTTGATTTCTTGGATTTTTGTCTATTTCTATCACATGTTTGCATGGGAACTTCCTTGGAAAGGAAAAACTGAAGAATATTTCTATGATGTGATTTTGAGACGTAGTTCTGGTGATACAGTTGTGAGTGAATTGAATATTGCCATTACTGTTTCATTGTTTTTAGTGTGGGTTTCAGTTTACTGTGGTGTTTGGAAGGGAACTAGCTCAACAGGAATAATCACGTATATTACTGTTCCACTCCCAATATTATTGCTATTAATCTTGTTGATTACTAGTTTCTTTTTGGAGGGAAGTTGGACAGGAATGTACTATTTCATCAAGCCAGATTTTACAAAGATTTTGAATGTGGAAATTTGGTTAACTGCAGCTGGTCAGGTATTCTTTTCATTGAGTTTGGCCAGTGGTACCATGATTGCTCTGTCATCCTACAATGATCCAAAGCAAAATATTGTCAAAGATGCTTGGATTATTGGTTTGTCCACTTACATTTTCAGTATTTTTGCTGGATTTTGCATGTTTGCTATTTTGGGATATATGGCCCATTCTAAGGGTGTTGAAATTGATCATATTGTTCAAGGAGGTTTGGCATTGGCCTTTGTTGTCATTCCTGAAGCTATTACCTTAATGCCAGCTTCACATGTTTTTTGCATCTTGTTCCTTGTTGCCATGTATACTCTTGCTATTGACAGCTGTTTTGGTATGATTGAAGGTGTTAATGCAGTAATTCATGATGCTTTTCCAAATCTCAAATTGCATTGGATTTCTTTAGTGACTTGTTTTTTGGGATTCATTTTTGGTATTCCATATTGTTTAGACAAGTAAGTATATTGATTTTTTTAGTTGGGTTTACTGAACTACTTCAGTGGATACTATTTGATGGATATTGTGGACCATTACTTGAGTGATTTCTGTTTGGTATTGTCAGCTATTGGACAATGTATTGTTGTAGGATATTTGATTTCAGACGAATCAGTAATTGCCAGAGTTAGGAAACAATGGAGAGAATACTCTTCTTCATCTTATGCCAATGTTGAAGAAGGTAATGCTACACCAATTGATTCATCAGAGCAGCCAGCCACCAGACCTACTCCTCAATGGAAACTCAGAGTGAAAAAGTATCTTTCTCTCACTGATACCATTCTTTTCCATAGTATTGATGAATTCAGACTTCGTATCAAGAAGGTCTGTAATTTTGGACCTCACAAAGAGTGGAGCATTTTCATCAAGTATATTGGACCAATTATTTTATTAATCTTGTTGATTATTCAGTTGGTTAAGGAAATCACCTCACCTTACTCTACAAAAGGTTCAGATTCAAAGGAATTCGACTGGCTCTCTCTCACAATTGGATTATGTATCATATTTGGATATTTGGGTACTTTTACTATCTTTGCCATCTTCCCTCGATTGGCCACTCAAAAATCTGAAGATCCTGGAAATTCGTGGAGAGCTGTTTTGGACAAATATGAAAAGGAAGATTCTGAAAAAGAAGAAGAATCCAAAACTAATAATCTGGAGGAAGAATTACAAAATGTCGTTCCATCCACTCCTCAAGAATAATTGTAATATATTTGCATAACTTTTATTTTTGATTCATTAACATTGTGATTACATTAAATTCAATTATAATTATAATCTTAATATCCTTGCATGCATGAAAATGTTTCATTAATAGACGTTGATTAAATATTATTAAATATTATTAAATATTAAATTATTAAATTATTAAAAAAAATGCTCAAAACCTCCAATCGTCTCTCCTCTCTTGTTTCTTGTCAAGCTTTAAAGGAAGCCATCAACAAGACAAGCAATATTAAAATTATTGACGGATCATGGCATATGCCAGCCATGAAACGTAATGGCTATGAAGAATATTTAAAAGAACACATTCCGAATGCTAGATTTTTTGATATTGATGGATTGAGTGATCAAAACACTGATTTGCCACACATGTTCCCTTCTGTTGAATTGTTTGAGAAGAGCATTACAGAAATGGGTATTGAAAATACTGATCAAATTGTTGTATATGATACTGCCTTTACTTCAGCATTCAGAGTTTGGTATACGTTTAAAGTTTTTGGACATGAAGGGAAGGTTAGCTTGTTGGATGGTGGATTAACCAAGTGGAAGCTATTGGGCTATCCTATCGAAAGTGGAAAACCAAATATTACTCCATCATCTCATCCGTACAAGGCCAAATATCAATCGGATTTTGTTGCAAGAATGGACGAAATTTTGGATAATTTGAATAATCAAAAATCATACATTGTTGGTATGTAATATTATTAGTGGAATATTAGTGAGATATGATACTATTTATTATACACTGAATAGATGCTAGATCAGCTGAAAGATTTAATGGAACTCAACCAGAACCTCGTCCAAATTTAAAGAGTGGACACATTCCAAATTCTTTCAATATTCCATTCCCAACTCTTGTCAATCCAGAAGATAAAACTTTCAAGACAGATGAAGAGATTTTGAAATTATTCCAAAACTCTGGTTTGAACATTCAATACATTAATGATAAGATTGTAATTGACAAGCCAATTATTGGAAGTTGTGGAAGTGGTGTAACTGCTTGTGCCTTGCTCTATTCCCTTAATCTTCTTGGTGTTTCTCTTGATAAACTTCGTATTTATGATGGCTCCTTCTCGGAGTACGGAAAGGAATCATTCACCAATCCAGTTTCCCAAAGAAAATAAGTTTCAACAAGTTCCACACATCATTCACATTTCACTCAAAAAAAAAATGTCATCATATACAGAGATTATTAGTGGGTTAAGTGTTAGAGCCTCCGGTGTGCATACAAACTTGGATGAAAATGGAATGGTGACTAATAAAGATCCAAAAGAAAGACTTTTAGAAGTGTGTAAGGATATTATTTCCTACTACAATTCCTACCAAGACAAGACACAAGATTTCTGCCAGAAAATTACAGCCATATTCGAATCGTTTGTTGCAGACAAGAGGTTTAATTCAATCTTCCTTGAAAAGGATGTTGCAGCTGTTTATTCCGATTGTCTGATCAATCCGAAATATGGTATCAAATTAACAGGACACGGAGGTATTTGGAAGTTGGTCAATTTTCAACATATTGTTACGAAGGAGACGACAAAACAGTTTGTGGATATTGGTCTATTGGACATGTTCAATCAACTGAATGCCACAACTGTTGATTGTACCAATACTTCCTACACTACTTCTATCATGAATATTTATCATGTTATCGGAACTCAGAAGGAATATGCTCGATTGGTTGTTAGACCAGTGATTGCCCTGATACTCAAGCTTGAAAATAGTAGTTATGAAGCTAGAAATTATATGAATTACTTGTTTAATATTGTTGGATGTGATAGGGAAAGAATTTTTGAAGAATATGGAAAAGATCTTGAAGAGGTCAATAAGAAATTTGAAAAGAACAAGAATCAAACAATCAAGCAACTTCTCTTTGATTTATTTGGCACAAAGAATGCAGAATTTGTTTCCCTATTGATTGACTATGCAGGAACTAAGAAGAAATACTCCTTCCCTATTGATAATGAGATTGAAACTACTGTTGAAGATGTGACACAATTCATTTTGGAGAAGTGTGTTATGGAGGATGTAGATGTGATTGAGAGTCATGAATTACAAATTTACGATATGGATATTGAGGACTATGTGGATTTTGATTTTATTGATTCGGATATTTTTGGAAAGGATGGTAATGCTGCCAAGTTCAAGTTGAACGTTACAATTGATTATGATAAAAAGAGAAAAAAGGAAGAAAAAAGAGAATCCGAGTTGAGAGAATTATCCGAGAAGAGTATATCTAGTATCAACCTTTCAGAAAAGTCGCTGGCAGACTCTGTACCATCTTCTCACAAATTCGATAGCAGTATTGCTAGCTCAGGAATTGAAATGTCTAGTATGGAAATGTCCGCTATGAAAGATTCAGGAAATGAAATTTCTGGTATTCCAATGTCAGGAATCCAAATGTCTGGTATTGAAATGTCTGGAATTCAAATGTCAGGCGTTGAAATGTCAGGTATTGAAATGTCTGGATTTTCGTCATCTCACTCAATCTCAGGTCATAATGGTCCTCTTGAAATGCCATCATTTATTTCTGCTGCTGAAAATGCTCCAAAGGTAGAGCTAACCGAGAATAGTTTATTAGGTGGCAGCTTTGAGATTCCAGATTCATTCAAAGAACCAGTTGTCACATCTCAAAAGGACAAAAAGACCAAAAAGATTGTTAATGAAACATATCAAATATTGGATAAGATTGAATCTAATGAATCAATGATTGATAGAAAGGTTTATATTGCAAAGGATTTGGCCAACAAATCTGGTCCAAATATTGTAATCAAATATTTACCAATCAAATCAACCACCGAATTCAACAGATGTATGAAGGAAGGAGTAAATATGATTCGTATGGGAAGAACTATTCAACAAAAGAAGATTCCACTCGCAAACATATTCGATGTCTTTGAAGAAGAAGACAAGGAGAAGAATAAGGCATCCATCAGATTCCTTTGTTTTGCCATGCCTTACTATGGATCTGGAAATTTGCAAACCTATTTGGAATCAAAGAATCAACCATCCTTGGATTGGAATTTCATCTACTCTCTATTCAAGCAAATTGTTAATGGTTTGGTGTATTTGCATGAACAAAATATTGCTCACAAGAATCTCAAACTCTCCAATGTTTTCTTTGTGGATGAGGATAAAATCGTACTGACAGATTATGGACTAAATAGTGACATTTCATCACAAGTACCAGAACACAATTCTCTGAGCAATGTGGAAAATATTCCAATTGAGAAATTCCAAAAGGCAGATATCTATCAAGCCGGGTTAATATTTGCCTCCCTGTGTTTGCTCCTGAATGGTAACACGGTGAGTAATTTGACTACGATTTTGAAGGAAGGAGAAAGCTCATTAAGAAATTCTCTTGGTAAAATCCCAGAAAAAGCAAAGGACATGGCTGTCAAATTATTGACTCAAGATCCAAATGAAAGACCATCCATTCAGCAAGTTGTCAATTTGTTGGATATCTAGTCAAATCTCTTTCTTAAATCCATTATAAACATTGGTCAAATTTATTGAGGCAAATTCTAATTGTTTTTTATAGAAGAGTAACACTCGGTCGTGTAATATAGTTGATCTATAGCCTCACTAAATCCTCTTTCTTCAAAGCCTTCCCCTACAATCCAGTGAACATAAGCTCTCTTGCTATACATCTTATCAAATTGTAGAGCAAGGTTATTAAGATAACTTGTTATTGAACTGGTATTGTTGGCAATGTGCATTACATTTTTAAAATGGAAAGAGGTTGGATGAATATTTACAGGTGCCTTTCTTGATATTTGATATTGAGCTTGTTCATTGTTGTAAGTTTTGAGTACTTTCGAAAGAGAATCAGTATGATGATGTGAAAAATCTCCTCTCATTGATGTGTTCATTGCTATGGAAACTCCATCAGCCTTATTAACACTATTCAAAGAGGATTTTTTTGAAAAGAGATCCTTAATATTGAATTCAGTACTGGATGTATCTTGCAAGTTTACAAAACTATTAGATATTATATTAGTTTCGGCTGTTACACCCAAATAATCAATGACATTATTTAAACTTCCTTCATTTGAGAATCTAATCTGAGATGTTAATGTTGAAATACTTTGTGAAATTAAATGATTCATGTCCTTGAAATTAGGATTCTCAATTCCACACTCCACACAAGCATCCAATAGTGAACAATTATCAAATGCAAATATACATTTCATTCTATCATAAATATAATTCAAGCCAATAACTGAATTGTAAGTATCCAACATTGAAGTAGAATAAGTTGCACCTGGAAAAACAGTAAAGGTTGACTCGAAACATTATCTCAATATTCAACATGAAACTCTCACAAACCTACCATTGGTAATTTAAATTCATTTGCCAAACCCCAGACAATACGAGAGGTTGATCCAGATCCAGTTCCTCCACCAAGTGCTTGAGTAATCAATATACTCTCCACTGAATCACATCGTTCCAGCATTTTCCTAACTCTCTCCTCAATATAATTAATTTCACAAGATGACATTGAAAAATAGCCTTTACCAAAGTTTGAGGCAGCATCTTCATTACCACATATTATATTTTCCTCCTTAAATTGAACATGCAATTGATGATCATTATGCAATGAACTTTGTAGTTGTTGGGGATCGGAATCAAAGAATAAACATCGAGGATGATAGACATTCTCCACTCTAATGGATTCATCATATAAACATGATAGATTATTAATTTGTGGATCATTGTGGATATTGCTATTTTCTAAAAGTGAATTAGTGTTGTTGTTGTTGGATTGTAATCCGTGTTCATCGGCAAATAATTGCCAGAGATCAGTGCCGATCTGAGTTCCGCAATTACCAATATGCAAAAATATCAATTCTTTCATTTTTTTTTTAAATATTAAATATTTTAAATACAATAATTGTAATGTCCTTAATATTTAAAGATGTATTTTGTCAAGTGTTGAAGTTCTCTTGAACTTTGATCTTTAAATAGATTTTGAAAAAAACAATTTTCAAAAAAAAAAATGATTCAATTCTTGGATCCAAATGTTGTGCAATTTGAAATTTTACCTCATCTCGATGATCGATCCGTTATTTCACTCCTATCGACATGTAAAATTGTCAATCAGGTAATTTCTATTCCGGACTATATCGAAACAAAATTGAAAATAATGGATGAAGAAATTTTGAGTCAGAAATTCAATGAGTTGGAACAAAGTCCAATCCAAGTGAATAGAATTAATGAAATATTTAGATTAGCATATTTGAATTTTAGAGAAGGAATGTTTCAAACTGAAAAGCAATTGTTAGGAACAGTTAAAGTGGATGAGGCACAATGTTATGGAAAATTGAAATCTCAATATACTCTTTTGCAGAGATATGTTTTCAAGAATTCCGACAAATTATCACCACACTGTAATAGGAGTGTTTTTTCAGGTTCAACAGGATTTTGGAATTCTCATAGTGTTGATTTTAAAATCTCAAAAGAGAATACTGTATATTATTGGTCCATTGTCCTTACAGCATTTGATCGTAAGATATCAAATAGCTGGGCAATACTTGTAGGTTTTGCTGAAGAGGATGCTGCCTCATCATTATCTAAAAGCTGGATTCCATCTGGATATTGTGTCAAATCAAATGCAATACTTGAAAATAGTTATACATCATACACAGAGAGCCTTGTGAATACGGAAGGAGATGTCATTGGAATTGAGTGCTATGTCCAAAACAAAACAGTCTATTTCAATGTTTACTCTCCTTCGAGGAACCATCAGACCTTTCAATTCAAATCTGTGAATAGTAATATAGTACCAATGGTATCTATGGTACACTCTCAATCACTCCAATTACTTTCATTACTTCCGTGGGATGGGCATGTGGAAAGCTTGAAATCCTTTGGAGAATGTGCAACAAGGATTTGTACAGCAGAAGAATGATTTTATTGTTTGAAGAATTAAATTTCAAACAATAAATTACTATTCTATTATTGATGGATATCCAATGATGATGTTCACTGAATATCAATGTTTTCCAGTATTGAAACCTTGATCTCTTTTTTACAACAAAAAAAATGGGAAATAACAAGAGCAGAAATCCAACTCCCATTCCACCACCATCTTTCGAATTAGATTTCCGAACCATCAAGGAAATTAATCAGGAAAAATTTGTGTTGCATCCAGATTTAACATTCGAAATGGCAACAAATTATTTGGAAATTGGTGAAATTTTACAATTGGCATTGTCATGTAAATTATTGTACTCGTATTTGTGGTTTGATCAGGAAAAATTGTGGAACGCAGTGGCAAGGAGAGATGGCTTTACGATTCGACAGCACGAATGTAAACAACTTTATCGTACGTTGAGGAAGAAGGAGATTAGTTTATTGGAAAATCCAAAATTTAGTTTGGTTTCTCTCTTTTGGAAACCAGAATTTGTTGCTGAATTTGGGAATATTGAATTGAATCAATTAATTTACATATTAAGAAATCCACATTTTCACATAATGGTTAAAGCCAATTTGATTGAATTTTCATTGAAACAATTCATCACTAGTGAGAATTACAAAAAATTGAAGAATCTTTTATATTCAATGTGTAGGATTGAAAATGGAACAAACATTATATTACCAGATGGTTATTTAGAGAGACCTCCATCTAAAATAACTCTCCTTTCATTATTATGTAAACATTTATTCGAAATACCAGGTGCTGATGATATTATTATAAGATTTGCACCTTTTGGATTGGTATCTGAGGAAGTGAACAAGTATTCCTCTGTCTTTACATTTGAAAAGAGAATCATTTTAATATTATTAGAAAAGTGCAAAAGAAAGGAACCTAATTTGGATCAATACTTTACAATATTCACTCAAATATTCGAGAAGAAATTACATTTACTGGAAAATTTCTATCAATTCAAAGACTTATTGGACTCATTTCAAACACTGGACATTGAAAAAATTACTCCTACCTTAATCCATTTACTTTCCAGTAATGAGAAATTATTTCCAGGAGCTACCTTGCTTGATCTACATGTTTATCATCCAAAAATTGTTGCAGAAATATCAAAGCTGTCTCATTTACCTTGCAATCACTCAATGAACTACATTCTAAAGTATTTAGATAACAGTACATTTTCATCTCAAGAACAACTTGCTATACCTCTTGATTCTCTTTTTCAAATATGGGGAAAATATGGTAAAATGATTTCTCAATATTATCTAAGAAGGATTTGTGAATTGGATTTTGAAAGAACTGTGAATCAAATATTGGAATGTGAGCCCGTGTCTTTCTGTTCTTTTGACTGGGATAATCAGCGTTACCAATTTCAGTATTTGTTTTTCTTGAAACAACTGGAAAACCATGTCAAGACTCTTGATTCTTCTGAATATGGATTATTCTTTCAGAAACTGAAAAAGGTATCAGAAACCATCCATCAGAACAGCAAAGGAGAGGGATACACGAAAATACTGAATTCTATTCTCTTTGAGATTGAGCGGTTTGCATCCCAGTATCCATTCAGTAACTCTTTGAAAAAAGCAATTGAACGAGATTTTTAAAACAAATGAAAGTCAACTAGTTGCCTCATCACAACATGATGTTTAGAAGAGAATCAAAGATAGCCACCTTTTTGAATTGAGGGTTTTATTTCAAGTCGATGGATGGGAAGTGTACCAACATACCACATTTAATGAGCTACTATTTAACAGTGAACACATCTCCTTCAACGGCAGCCCCAGGCAATGTAAGAACAATTCCTTGAAAATGAATAGCAAGTATAAATTCATTGACACATTCATCAGAATTAATCATTTCTTCAGTTAATCCCATGAATTTCATAACTTGTTGAATTGATTTCCTTGCAGAAAAATTGTCGTTTCTACGAAAATCAATAAAAATACTATTATTAAGCAATGGTACACTATTTTGGTAAACTGATAATACCCTTGTTAATCCTCCATTTCCATTACGTCCTCCAAAAGAAGAAAATCTCAATATTAAATCCATTTGCTTAATTGTGTTTAAAATTTCTCCATTTACAGATGTAACAATAAGGTCATTATGTAGACTAATTTGCAAATCAGATGATGAAAATGATATAAAACTTTTAACGAATATAAAAGGAGTTATGAGAGAAATCATTTTTCCAACCAATTCATTATTCGATTCGTTTAGAATAGCTGGTTGTTTAGTCACTACATTGTTCACAATTGCTTGTAAAAAACCGAAAATCTCAAACAAGTCAACATTAGTGCTACATTCGTCCAAGAAGAATACGAAACATTTGTTTTCTCGCAGCTGAATATTCCTCTAACTTTCATCCCTTCCAATAACTCAGTTTCCAAACGATGACGCCAGAAATCAACAGCTCCAATCAAAGTTTCATTCCAATTCCTAATTCACACAAGTCGGAGAACAAGTACAGACATTGGTGATGGATGAAACAAGTGTGAAATTATTTCATTGATGAAAATATCTGCTGGCATGAGTGATGACATTTTTTTTAGACGAATGTTTATTGTAATGAAAACTAATCTGTACTGGAAAGTAAATCATAAACATTCTGTTGTCTGTCACAGCTTAGCGAGAGACTTTCTTATTTACCATTTTAATTAAATATCAAATAATTGTTCAAACTATTAAAAAGTTCTGTATCCGAAGGTTTTGAATTCATTTCTCTAATTAATTTCTTCCAATCTTTACATTTAATTTCTTCTGGTTGGTTATTTTTTGTAATTGTCTTGAATTGTTGAACCATTACTTGACCTGCCTTTTCTAGTAAGTTGATTTCTACATTTGGAAGAAATTGAACTATAAATGGATTTTTTTCAACTAATTTCTCAATCAATTGTGGATCTTTTGAAAATTTTTCATCAACTATTTTCAAACATTTTGCATCCTTCGCCACCAATTCCATTTCAAATTCATCCAAATTTGGAATTTCTGAAATAATTACTGATTTGTAAAATCTATAATTCATTCCATTCAAAGAAATTGCTTTCATTAAAAAATCTCTATTTCCTACAAATTTGGAAGGTATATCATTAATGATATAATCATCCACTTCGACTGCTTTTAATACAACTTGTTCATCATTTTCCCATGGTTCAATATCTCCAATCCAATATATTGGAAGTCCATATTCGAAACTCTTAATGAGTAAATCCTTATTTTGGAGTTTCCAATCTAGACCTTGATGGGTTGGGTCAATTTCGATTTGTTTGGAGATGAATTCTCTTGAATTAAGTAGTGATTCGTCAACTCCTGAGAGGACTATTCCAGATTTCATGGCTTGGAGAACAAAATCCACATTCGAAAGTAAACTATTGTTTTCTCTAGCCATTTCAGCATAATCCACAACTATATCCGTTTGAAAAACTGTATTCAGCAGTCTCTCCTCAGCAATTTCATAAACAAGCTTTCTTTCTTCTTCAGTTAATTGTACTAACTTTCCAATAGCTTCAAAAACTAAACTACCTAATCTATTTCTCATATCCAGAGTCATTTCCTTCCAAGCATGTTTCCAAAAATCTTGTCTTTTCAACACTGAGAAGGGAAGATCAAAAAGTAAATTCAATACTAATAAATGGCCATTATTAAATAGTCTGAAAATCCAATACGAATCTTGTGTGAAAAGTTTTATTAGAAATGGAGCGAACGGAAGAAGTTTTGATAATTGGTGCAAGTGATGATTGCTTTCGTATTGGTGCGATAGCAAGGCAAGGTCTTGAGATAAATCAAATAATTGGAACGAAACTTGTTCAGACATTTTTTTTCATTATAATGATAGTTTCCAATAAGTGAAGCTTCATTATCTACAAGTAACCTCCATTAATCAACTATTTGAAATCTCAATCGAGGTTGCATTCTGTCTATTCAAAAAATTTAGTTAATTGCCCAAAAGATGCCTCCCTTGGGAATCGAACCCAAGACCTCTGTCTTACTAGGACAGCGCTACTGCCAACTGAGCTAGGAAGGCTGACATTGAATTGAAATATTTGAGATATTAAGCCTATTAAAGTACAAATTTCTGTCAACACGCTTATTTTTTTGTTTATGAATAGATTTCTACTCATATGCTTATCTTTTGCACATATTAAGTTTTACAGCTGTCCTGACCAATGGTTTAAAAAATCTCTTATTAACAAATCTTTCAGATTCCTATTGGTCATTGTAAAAAAAATGTTTAAACAACTTGATCACGATTCCTTGGTCAATATTATTGGATTTCTTAACCTTTCTGATGTATTGGAAAATTTTGCCATCATCAATTCCGAAATAAATCAACTTTTTAATGATCGGTATGGATACTTGATCTCTTTGATCACAGATAGGATTTTATTCTCGGAAGAACATTTTCTAGCCTTGTTCAATTTTTTAGATAAGAATTTTCAAGTTGAATCAATACTAAATGAAGAGGAGAGGGAAGTTATTAATTGTACAGCTTTGAGTAGAATATGTGGGGAGGAAAATCATGATGAGAGGAAGGTGATTGAAAGAGTCTTGTCAGAGCAGATTAATTGTGTCCAGATTGATAATTATTCCAAGATGAAAACATGTTGGAGTTGTTGTAAGAGGCTGAGCTATTTGAATATTCTGTTTATACCTAGGGATAGCGATAGAAACATTGAAGTGTGTTATTGCCCTGGTCATGAAAAATACATTCATTACAGTTTGGATAATTACGGAAAGATTATGAAATTGGCTGACTCCTACGAATTTTCAAAGGATAGAATTTACAAATTTACTTTGCATTATAAGAATGGATTTAACGTAAAGAAAATATATTCGAAACCAAGAGAATCACATAGAAATCAAAAAGAAATAATTCTTAAAAACAAGGAATTGTATATTGAGCTTACAGGCCCGACTCTTTACGAGTATAATACTGTAACATTAATTCATCAAGAATCAATTAATAGTGACATTACCATTTCAATACCAAACATTCAAGATTCTGAACATTACAAGAACAGATGTTACTTGGTGAGGAGCGATTTATTTGTCAGACCACTATATGACATTAATTCTTTCTTCCATGATATTTCAGCTCCCAACAAATGTGGAGATTTGAAAGTATCAAGAAAAGGAGATTCTATTTTATGGACAATCTCAAAGAAAAATATCAAACAATTAGTATTTCGTTTCATGATTACAAATGCTATGATTCTACCACTTTCGTTGCTCCTATTTGTATATTTAACGGATTATTCTATTGATTCTATATCAACTGATAATATTCAACTCCTTATGCTTTTTCTTGATTCAGTTTCATTAAGTTGCATTTCCCTTTTTGCTTCGGATTATTTCACTAACAGATATCGTCGTGTATCAACGGAAAGCTTTAAATTTCTGGCCAAAATTGGTATTGGAAGTTTTTTCCTAAAACTAGTCATTTCATTCATTTTTCCATTCCTTTCTCCAGTAGATACAGCAAGTCCATTTAGATTATCATTGCAATTCACAATCCCTTACATATTTTCTTTATTTACAACCATAGTCTCTTGTTCCTGTTTAGCTCAAACATCATTTTGGTACGCACGTTCCTGTGATTGGTTTTACAATTTGAGGAAGAAGGAATCAGCACTTGGTAGAGTTTTCAATAAGTGTCTATCTTGGATAACAAACCTCTCCTCCTTGAAAGGTGTAGACAATGACACAGAAGAACGTTGTGTAGTTAACTGAACGAGTCAAGCTCAAATAATAACTTAAAAAAATGCAACAAGATCAAGAAGATGCCACAATAGTTTTCCTGCATGATTTCGCTTTCTATAACCAAAATTCTTCCTCGGAATACTTGGTCAATCTCTTGAAGAAAAACCTGTCAAGGCCAAGGACAAGATTTAACATGAAAAAAGTTGACAGTTTCCAAGATTTGGAATTGAGAGAAGATTTACTACGAGGAGTGTATGGATATGGATTAAAACAATTATCAGAAATTCAAACTAAATGTATCATGCCAATAATATCATCCGAACCACCACTAGATGTTGTTTGCATTTCAAGCTCGGGGACTGGAAAGAAAACTGCATTCTCAATTGCTCTTCTCCAAAGAATAGACTTGGATCATCAAGCGTACTCTAAAGGAGCACCTCAAGCTCTAGTTATTACACCTACGAGAGAAATGAGTCAAGTCATTTCTAATCACATCAAGAAATTGGCTCATTATTTGGATGTCAAAGTATTACCTTTCCATGGAGGAGTTTCAACCAAAGAAACAATCCAAGCTCTAAATGAAATTCAACATGTAGTTGTTGGAACAAACAAATTGATGGACTTAATCAGGTTTAAAGTTTTGAATTTGAAATATTTGAAACTGATAATAATTGACAGAACAGGTTGTGATTGGCTCGACATGTATGATCAACAGATTTTGAGAATTATCAATGCATCAAACAAATTCAACCTTCAAATATGTGTCTTTGGCGATTCGAGAAATATAGGATCGATTGAACAATATCTGAAAGATCCAATTTATTGTGAACTGGAGTAGAACTCGACAATCAGAGTATGTTGATTTGTATGCATCATGTCAACTCTGCTGCATATTCATTAAGCAATATTGGACCAAGTCAAGTGATATCTTCTCCAATTTTCAATTCCCTTGGTGAGTCTCAACTCTTCATTGATATTCAATGATTTTCCTTTTAATGGAAGATTATTTGAAGAGATTAATTACTAGAAATTAATTAGTCTGTTTGGAAAGTTAAGTTACAAAAATTACAGTAAATCTAGTTATTGGTTAAAGTTCTCAATAACGTATCATAATTAAATACTTTACAAAAAAAATGGGAAACAATCAACAACCCACATCCCAACCACCAGTTTTAAAAGATGGCGCTCTTCCGAGTGTTAGTACTCCATCATCAGCATGTTATGAACGCACATTAATGCAAGAATATTTTCCTAATAATTGTAAATTAATTCGAGTTTGTGATCATGATGAAGAAAATCGAAGGAAACAAGAGGAGAATTTGAAGAATTATCGGGAGAAATACTTGTCTCGATGTAATGGAATATTGGAGAAGATGTTACCTGAGGAAATTATTGTTGAAATTTTGTATTACTTGCCAATGAAGAGTTTGATCAAATTACAAATGGTTTCAAAGAATTTTCGCTTGTATTGGACTGAACTTCCTGGATTGTGGGATAAATTTTCAGATTATCCCAAAATGATGTATATTCCAATGGTATACGAAAGTATGAGAAGTAATTTTGGATATTATAATGAATTTAGACAAAAATTAATTAATTTACATGAAAAGCCAACACGAAATTTTGATTTTACTGGATATCAATACAAAGCCATCGTTTTGGGAGATAAAAAGTGTGGGAAAACCATTTTGCATAACAGAGTCTTCAAAGGCGAACCATTTTCTCAAGAATATGTCTATACGATCGGAGTAGATTTTTCTACCACAATTTCCAAACAAAACATATACATTCAATCTTGGGATACAGGTGGAGATGAAAGATTTAGAACAATTAATATCAATTTCTTTAGGGGTATGAAAGGCCACTTTTACTGCTTTGATTTGAATAATCACGAGTCATTTGAAGTAATGAAGGACATTTTTCAAGATTGGAAGAATGTATATCTCAAAGGTGAAGACCTTAGTTCATATTTTACTAAGATTTCATTCGCATTGGTGGGATTGAAATCAGATTTGGAACGCAAAGTATCAAGAGATGAAATTCATGAATTCTTGGAAAATATTGAACCACTGAAGGATAAGACTTTGCACACCAGTAGAGTCCAATACTTTGAGTTGAGTTCTAAAGAAGATTCAATTTCAGATTTACTTTTTCCATTTGTCTATAGTTATCATAATGTAATGGAAATACCAAGGCAATATTCAACAAGTATAAGTGAAATGTAAACAAGATGAGATGTCAATAGTTTCGGTATTGAAATTATTTACAAATAAGAGAACTAAACCACAATACACTGAATAAGGAATATTCAAACACTTAGGGTCAAAAATCCGAGTTTTAATTAATATCAGCTTGAAAGATCATAATTGTTTTATTAAATCATTAAGAACTGAACAAAGACCACTAAGCACAATACTTCAGTAACAAAATAGCTAGCATTAGCAACAGAAACTCTATCCGATTTTCCAGGTGAACCCCTTCTTGATGGTTCTGGAATTGGTTGGGAAGTACTACTTTTTGGTTGTGGAATAGATGGTTGTGGATTAACAGGACTCTCTCCATTACAATTCATCTCATAAGCTCCAATATCTGGTGCCTTTCCATAATAAGGCATTCCAACATTAGTTCCCTTATCAATCAATGTAATGTTGCTGTCACATCTCAATCTAAAATCATTAGCCAAATAATCTTTGAAATAATTGGTGGCATTATTGTAATTATTTTCAAAAATGGTGTTTGGTCCAATAACTGGTTTCCAAATACCTTGGAAATAGCTCCCAACAATTGCAATATAATTGTAATCAGTTTCCCAATATGGAAGAAGATCAAACTTTGCACTAGAAGTTCCAATATTCAAGTCAACCAACTGAATAGTATTGTCCAAGAAGGCATTATTCTTCATGGAAACACTTCTTGGATAGTAACTAATCATTGCCGAATCAAAAATTGCTTGGAATACCAATTCATCAAGAATGGATCTTGTCAACCCTCTTACTTCCTCAATAATTGAAAGACCAGCATTTGAATACGAGAAAGCACCTGTACTGGAGCTTAATAACCCTCTTTTTGTAACAGCAGTCCAATATGGATAAGCAAGACCATCTTGATCCAATTGAGGAAGAACATAATCTTTGTGAACTGACATGAAATTAGTGTCATTAATCACATTGTTAATGAAATTGATAATTTCAGCCTTATCACCACTTGTTAAATCTGAAGCTGTAGAATAAGATCTAATTCTTGATACAAGAGTTTCATTTTTGGACCAAACTAATTTGTTTCCATTTTCGGTTGGGTTTACAATACTGTTAAAAAGAGTATTCCAATTTGAAGTGGTAGTACTATCTATCAAAGCACATCTGCTATTATCTGTCTTGACAGCAAATCTCAAAAATGATTGATAGAATTGATTATTATGCAGCACAACTCTAGCAGCATGATTGACACCAACTGGACCTCCAATAAAGACATTTCGTCTGAAGATAACTAAACCATTTTGTTCCATCCACATGTTCTGATTACCAAGTTTGTTAATCAATACGTTATCTTCGAGAACAATGTTATTGATATTGGTAAATTGAATATTATCTGGATGTTGACGATATGAAGTTTGATGCTCAACTCGATTGTTTTTGATTAGAATATTCCAATTACTATATGCCAATTGAGTTCCAGAACCAACCCAAATACCATTATTATAATTCTTGTAAATGTACATGTTCTTAATTTGTGAATCGTTCACCATACTTGCAAAGTTTACACCATTGTTGTGATTATAACTAATCTTGCCGCCATCAACATTAATATTAGTTGCATCTCTGAAACTAAATCCATTTTCACCATTTCCATATGAAGAGCAGTTCAATAATTGAACACTATCAGTGAATTGACCAAAAAATCCCATTGAAGCATACTTTCTAAACATCATATCTTGAACAATTAAACCATCCCCGTAAACTATTGAAATGCCATTGGTCAAGGCAGATGCTTCAAGCATGACACCACTCACCTTAGGATCCTTATCAAGTGAAACTTGAATGATATTTCCTTCTGCGGTATATTGATTAGCACGAGAGAATGATCCAATATGATTGGCAATAGCATACGAATCTTTCAAGACTATTCCCATTGGAGTAGTAAGTCCTGGCGGAATGGCATTAATTCCAATAGTATTGGTAGTGGCATTGTAATAGATAATTGTTCGAGGTTGAATGGCATTTCCAAATTGATTGTAATGGTAGAAATCAGCACCAACCCAGAAATTATCTGAAACAGGATTTCCTGCAGCATCATATTTGAACATGTCATCAACTTCCAAATAGACTATTCCATTTAAAGTGTATGAAACATTCTTTGGAGTGAGATAATTAGTATGATCATATTCATCATCCAAATCATATGGAAGAGGTTTCATTGCCAAACTCAATTTCTCGCCATCTGCATAAATATACGAAGTTGAAACTTGAAGTTGACCCTTATAGATGGAAATTGGTGTGGACATGACCTTTTCCAAATTTTTAGGATCAATAATTAATGAACCATCCAAAACTGCTGAATAAGTTTTGGAATTTCCAGAGGAAGGAGTTGGTGGATTCAAAGGTTTGATAGTAATTGGATGTTTGGAATGGGTTGGGCGATCAAAATAGATTGATTCTCTATAGATACCATTTCCAACAATTAAGGTGTCATCTGGAAGTAACATGTATTGAGCTGCATTCAAAGTTGACCAAGCAGAAGATAGACCAAGACCATCATTAGAATCGGATCCACTCAATTGATTAACATAGTAGGTCAATCCATTTCTGTTGTGCATTTGTTTACCTTGATAAACAGTAACAGATTGAGATCTCAAAGTTGCTCCTTTGGAATTTCCTGGATTTCTGTCATAAAAACCAAATTTCAAGATTTTAAACTTTTGAATAGCACTAGAATCGGTATCTGTTACAATGACTTGATAATCATTAGCACTGGAACCCAATTTAGCCAACTGAATTGAAATTCCATTTGAAGACCATTCAGCATAAAGTTTGTAAGTGGAATAAAGCAATGGGACATGAATTAATGCTAATTTGGAGCTAGAATATAAGCGAACAGATTGACCATTCATAATTCTGGTAATGGACATGGTTGGATACAAACTAATCTTGTAATAATTGTTTTGGTCAACCAGGAGAACAAAACCAAGATCATAGCTGGTAGATAGAAAACCAGTTTGCAAATTGCTTGAAAATGTAACACCATCAGTAGTGTCATACGGAGTGTCATAGGTGACAATCGAATCATTTTGATAAATTTGCAACAATTGACTAGCAATACCAACATTTCCTTTTTGGGTATTCCAACCAGCCATGCCATTGCTAAAATTACTCTGCATCAACACCTTCAAACTATTTGGAGTAGGCAATGCAATAGATTGAATAGTAATCATGTGAGTAATGGTTATCTTTTTCCCATTCACATCATTATACGAAACGTTTCTCATCACCACAGTTTCGCCAATCGATTGTGTACTATAAACCAGAGCTGAATTATAATTATATAAACCAGTTTTCAATGGAGAACCATCTGCCATTGAATAAGCGATCTGAACTGAAGTTGAAGAATAGGAATCATTGAAATAGGTAATTCTTGGATTTAAAATTACTGAACCGAATTGATGCATGATAACTTTCTGGATGGGAGTAACGTAGAGTACATCCTGAACAGTTTGTGCATGTGTAACGGTATGAAAAACTGTCAGGAGGAGCAAAATGACAAGTGGCAGTTTTGCTTTCATTGTGTTTGTTTTTTTTTACTGTGGTGATTTCAATGATAGTTATCATAATTGACTATATTGATTGATTTGCGTAGTGAGTTTCGTAATTTGTGAACTAAAAGAGTCAACTCCTAGTCAACTGGCGTGTGAAAAGCTTAGAAATTTAAATCTCTCTAAAATTTTATTATTCTGCTGTCATTGCAATTGACTCTTTGATAAAGCAACAAAATTCAGATCTGGGCAATGGTTTTCCAGGAAAGGAACGGTGTGGCTGGGTTCGCAAAAATTATATCTCCATTCCATTGCGCCTCAATTACTTTTTTCCGAAAAAAGCGAAACACTGAACGCCACAATTTATACAAACAATTTCTTGAACATTCATTGGTCTCTTCATTGAATATTGTGAGAACAGTAATCTTAAAAACCTGTAAATGATTGAGGGAAGTAAGTGAATTGGCTTGAAAATGCAGAGATATGTCTATGTGAAAACTATTCTTTTAAGATAGATGTGAAGCAGGGGTTCCCGAGTGGTCAAAGGGGTAGACTCAAGTTCTACTGCGCAAGCTTCGTGGGTTCAAATCCCACCTTCTGCAACTTTTGTTTCTTTTTCTTTAGTGATTATGACTTGAGCATAATATTGATATTAAATATTTGACATTGTATGTAGAATATAATATGAAAAGATGGTCGCTTTATTTCAAGTATATAAAAAGTTAATCAGCAACGATTACAAGCACCTGAATCATCCTCCTTCCTAACAATCCTTGGAAACAGATAAGATGAGCTTAGAGATGAACTCAATTTCCAAGTTCTTTAAATGGATGAGATTGAATCACTTATAACACAAATTTTATTAATTGTTGTTTCTTCACAAGTGTAACCTTTTGTTTGTTGAAACCTTTCTATTACAAATAGTTACTTTTGTCATTTAAGCAATGTAACATTTCAATTATTTCGAATAAATTAGTTTATTGTTATCTTTGACTTTCAACTCTTTACTTTTGAATAGCCAATCACTCGTATCTAAACATTCTCTTCTCAAAACTATATAGTACAAAACTCGTTTAAATCAAAAAGTCAAACTTTTGAAATACTGGATCAAAATTCGTTGAAAATGAAATACAACCATTAAAGTTTTCCTGTTTCGTACTCTTCACAACAGAGCAACACAAAATTTGGAAAGGTTTAGGTGAGCTCATATTTGAATCGTACAAGTTAGGAATGGAAGAAGTATCAATTTCAACAATTAGATTACTCGATTCTGGAATACAATGAAAACTCATCTTTTCCCACTGTGGAGTAAAGCTTGGAAATATGCTGTGTGTTCTACGTGATGAATCAATCACCATAATAATCATGTGTGTCTGTTGTGAGCTATTATTCTCAAAGAAGAGTCTCAGTTTTTCACCCCTCTTTAACAGATTACTCCTCTCACTTGATTCTCTCGACATTTTACAAGTGTGCATACATTGATAAGCTAGTGATTGTTCCATCGCCTCAGGTGAATATTGTCGGCTCAATAATTGATGTACTGTAACTTTAGTTGCCATTCTTGTTGATGTTTTTATTGGTTGTGTGTTTTGTTCCTACTTCCCAATGAGATGTTGTTCTTTCTTTTTTTCCTAGATGTAAGTTGCGTCTTAAATGATTACGATGTGTGGTGGTTGCCAAACAACAATTAACATCAACAGTGATGAAACTTGTACCAAGTTCATTGCTAATGGAAGTTCCTTGACTGTGCGAGAAGGAGTTCAGCATCATTTCAATGATGGGATGAAAATAATTTGGAGTGCTACTTGCCGAAGTGATGTGACATGGATAGATGGTTCTGCCTTTGATGATGAACAACTCAATGTCGTTTAGTGTGTTTCAATCGTATTATGAAATGTTGTTTGGTTCATCATGCACACTGCAATCGATAAGGATTCACTGAATTGAAGAAAGGGTGAACCTTGATGAATTCAATGATAATCTAGATGAACATTTTCTGATGAATTTTAAAATGATTATGAGATATTGACCTGTGTAACTTTACAGTACTTTATGTAACTTGACAAAGTTCATTAAATTTTTCAAATAAAACCTATATAATAAGAATGACAAGATTGATTTGGAAATGAATTTCTTCATTATTCCAAGTCATCTTATTCTTCATTAGTTCTTAATTGTTGATTCAAAGAAGTGAACTTGGTGAAATAGAAAAATATTTTCAACAAATTTGTGAAATAAATTACAATTTCAATTTATCTTAGCTCTAATCTAGTTGGATTGTTGTTTGTATACTGTTAATAATAATTATTTGAATAAATCTAAATATTTGTACAGAGGTATGTGGTGTGTTATGAATGATCATCATTAATATGGTCCAATTTGTTGTTGTATCATCCTCGTAATCCTTTCGGAAGAAGTGATCATCCACAATTTGTCCAATTATTTCTTGTCATTCTTGAATCTGTGGTTACAACCCGTACAAATCAACCACAAATTCATACCACCTTGATTTTCTTTAGTAATACCAAAACCTGTTTGTAGATAGACAACTTCACTGTGGCCACATTTTGGACAAGCACCAATACCAACAGTACCTCTTGGAAGAGTTGGATCTTTTGTTAATTCGTTCCAATCAATATTACTCCATTGAATATCCTTGGAAGCTTTAATATCGTTTTTATAAACAGTGTATTCATCTGTTGGAACTCTTTCACTAAAATCGCAATGTCTACATTTATATTCGAGTGTTTTGAGTCTTCGGTTTTCTCTTGGATACAACATATTGTTGCATTCTGAGCAAAACTTCATACCCAATGATCTATCGTCTTCAAGATTGTCCTCCATTTTTTTTTAATTAAAATTATTTTATTGTTGTGATAAAAATACACCTTGTTAATTAAACTGTCTTGTGAAAATAGTGAAGTAAAGGTTCAAGTTGTTGTGAAGGTGATGATCTACGAAACACAGAAGGTATTAATCATTCCGCTTGTTTGTTATTGATGGAGTCATGTTCTTATTGTTATGTGTTTGGTCCAAACATGAGATTCTTTCAGGCTGGCATTTTTTAGCTTGGGATTTGCCTGTAAAATATTCTTATTGTAAAAGAACCCTAGACTGGGTTGGCCAAAATTTGCGAAAGTTTGTCGAAAAAAAAATACAAAAAGTAAGTTAATGCCACACCTTCGTACTTATCGTTCTCCTTTCTACTTGTTTTAAAATGATAAAATTTATTGTTACACAACTAGATGTCTCTTGTTTGGGAAATTACTAAGAACAACAGCTCTTTCTTGAAGAGAACCAAGCTCTATGATGGTGCTGCATTCAACACTGCTCCAACCAACCCATTGAACATTAACTCTGAAAAGTACACCAAGACTCAAGCTGTTTCCGTTGATGTTACTCCAAAGGGTAATTTGGTTATCAAGAAGTCCACTTTGGACTGTTCCGTCAGAAAGCCAAAGGAATTCGTCAAGAAGACCAAGGTCACCAAGGGACAAAAGTCAGTCACCAACTTTGCTAGAAACATTGTTGAAGCCACCGAATCTGAAGATTTCAGAGGTGACTTGAAGGCTGTTTTGGTTGCTCGTGCTGCCAAGTTGTTGAAGAACAGAAAGGCCAGAAAGTAAATTTGCTTTTTCCAATAAAAAAACATATAAATTATAACTGTCCAACATTCAACGATGATTCAGCAGAATATTTAAGCTTATCCATTCACTTTCTATTTCGGTAATCACACGTGTTAATCAAAATAAAAAATTGATTCTCCTTCCCAGGATTTTATTCAAATTGATTGTTAATAAATAATTAATTATTTTCAAATTGATTGATTGAAATTGTTTTTCTATTTAAATCTGCAATCCATCATAGATACATTGTTCTTTTAATAAACCATTCAAAAAAAAATAGTCCTTCTACTTTTGATCATCCTCTACATTCGTCATAATCCTAATAGTGCCATGTCTGAATACATTGCTTCACTTGTTCAAAAGGGTTATGATCAAGGAAAAGCCCTCCTTGAAAATTATGGTGTAATCCAAAAACCTGTTCAACCAAATACTCATGATGCCATTCGTGACTTTATCACCAATCATCCATACATCACAACAAGTATTGTTACCTCAACATTGTATAGCACTGCCAAGTTTGCGATCGGCCAATTAAAGAAGAGAGTTGCTGCTAATACCATCTTGGAAATTGATTTGGAAGATGTTGAATTTACTCCTCAACCTGTTGCACCATCATTGTCCCAAATTCTTTCTCCTGGTAAATTCAAGATGAATTATCTTACATTTATTCAAACTTTGAAAGCTGCCAATCAAAATCCAAAAATTTCTGGATTGATTTTATACTTACCAGGATCAAGTCATAATCCATTCGAAGGTTTAGCTTTGGCTCATATTTATGAAATGAGAAAGGCTTTATTCGAATTCAAAGGTCAAAAGATTGCTCATGCTGACATGTTCAATTCATCTATTTCTTATTATTTTGCTACTGCTTGTGATAAGATTTTCATGACTGATAATGGTCTTCTTATTTTGAATGGATTCCAATTACGTAATTTCTTCTTTAAACAATTGTTGGATAAGATTGAGGTCGAACCTTTTGTTGTAAAGAGAGCTGAATATAAATCAGCAATGAATCCATTCACCGAAGAAAAGTATACTGAACATCATCGTGAACAAGTGGAAACTCTTGCTAAGGAATTATTCGATACCTTTGTCTCTGATATTGCTCAAACAAGAGAAAAGAATGCGGAAAGTGTTAGAGAATGGTTTGATATTGGAATTTTTGGACCTAAGGATTCCGTTGAACACAAAGTTATTGATGGTGTAAAATATAGAGATGAGTTGCTTGGTGTTATGGCACAATCCTTGTCAGTTGATTCTAAAAAGCTCAATTTGTTATATCTTCAAAAGTATATTGAACAAAAGCTTGATGGTAGTCCTCTTGATAAAATCAATCCAAAGAAGAAGGATGACAATTTGGTTGCTGTCATTTATGCCAGTGGAGCTATTGTAAGAGGTAGACCATCCAACCCTAGAGATACCAACATGAATAGCAATGTCATTGTTGATGCAATCTATAAGGCCAGAAAGGATAAGGAAGTTAAGGTCATTCTCATCAGAGTTGACTCTCCTGGTGGTGAAGTCTCTGCTTCTGAAGTTATTAGAAGAGAAATTGAACTTGCTAGAACTGAAGATAAAAAGAAGGTAGTTATCTCTATGGGTGGTTTGGCTGCTAGTGGTGGTTATTGGATCAGTTTACCAGGTGATAAGATTGTTTGCAATCCTTTCACAATTACAGGTTCAATTGGTGTTATCATGGGTAAATTGTATTTGGGAGACTTTTTCTCAAAGAAACTTGGTGTTACCAATGATAGTGTATCAACAAGCAAGAATGCTGGTCTTTTATCACAATTTGAACGTGCTAATGATCAACAAATGGAAATATTTAATAATCTTGCTGATGATTTTTATGATTCATTCTTGGAAAAGGTTAGTGAAAGAAGAAATATTTCAAAGGATGATCTCAAGAATAATATTGCAAAGGGTAAAGTCTATCTTGGAAACTCTGCTAAGGCACTTAATTTGGTTGATAGTGTTGGCGATTTTTATGATGCCCTCCAAGTTGCTAAGGAACTTGCTGGTATGAAGAATGAACCTCACATTGTTGTCTTCCATCCAAAGAAGAAATCTGTAATAGAGTCCCTTCTCAACACTCAATCTCCATCTAATAGTAAGGAAAGAGCTCTCAAATCCAATGTTTCTATTTTCGAACCATTTACATCATTGTATCAATCAATTTGTGGATTCATGAAGCTCACTAATATTTTCATCAAGCACCAAAATATTATTGAAAAGTACGCAAAGGTTATTGAAAAGACCCAAGCAGTCAATGGACAAGTAAGATCAGAACTTGATATCAATGTGGAATTGTAAATAAATTTGCCAAAGAATACATAAGAAAAAAAGATGTTGTCAACACTCATTCTTAACTTAGCTGTTCATTGGTAAAGGAGGTCAACTAGAAATATAATAAGTATTGTTTCATAATGAATATGAAGCGTCGATGGTTTAGTGGTAGAATACGGCGTTGCCATCGCCGTGACCCGGGTTCAATTCCCGGTCGACGCATCAGAAGATATCAATTTTTACTTTTTTCCCTTTGGATTCAAAATTTAAATTTTTTGCCGCGTGGGCTACCCATGTCTAGATAGTATATTCTCAAATATCACAGTTTCATCTATTATATTGGTCTAGATAATGCCCACAGTTTTGACCTCATTTTTTCCCTGAGGGTCCAATTCTACTCAGACTAAATATAATCTAATATTCAAATAGACAATAGAGTTTAAGCAAAATTAACTTAGATCAACCCACACTTTACCATAAAAAATTGTAAACAAAATTGGTAAATTAAAATTAATATTCTCTGGTGTTTGTTTTTGACCAAGTTGAAGATAAAGTTGTTACAAATCTTCTAATAATATTGGATCTCTCAAATGTTTTTGAATGAACAATTTGGTATCTCGATTTCTTGCACATCCAAAAATACAAATCTGAAGATTTAACTTTTTGGCAATTTTCACAATTTCCTCAACATGAGCTTGAAAACCATAATTTTGTACATGACTCATCTCCTCAACAATTAACATTTTCAAATATTTCACATTCAGAATATTGCTCTCTATCAAATCTAACAATTTCACTGGCGTTCCCACAACTACATGTTGAATTTCTTGCAGAGCTAGCTCTGCAGACCGCATTTGACCTCCATATATCCCAAATACTTTGACACTCATAAATTTCGCAAAGGATGCTATAATATGAGAGAGACTTATCGCCATTTCCCTGGTCGGTACAATCACCAATGCTTGAGGGGCACCTTTCGAATATAAATCATGATTCAGATCAATTCTTTCAAGAAGGGCAAGTGAAAACCCAACTGTTTTACCAGTTCCAATTTTAGATGTGGACACAACATCAACTGGTGGATAGGATGAAATAATTGGCATGATCAACTTTTTTTGCAATTCTGTCATTTCTTTTTTACCATCACTATAAAAACCAGAAAGTAAATTCGCGCGTAAATTTAAATCTTCAAAAGTTTCAATCTTTTTCATGTTGAATTTTGGTCGTGGAATTGTGATTTGTTTTTTGAAAAGTTTGATCAAGTGTGAAAATTCCGAATTTATATTCGAATTGCTGTGTATGTCTGTTAGAAGGAGGCGTGTAACACTTTCGTATGTTTCTGCTTGGTTCATTTTTTTTTGAAAGATTTTGTTGAGGAAGAATCATTTATGGAAATTTCTGCAGAATTAGTGCCAGGTATTTCACACAGTATCAAACTAAAGCTTGAGTATGCTAGCAATGCAGAAGATTTGAAAGATCTTTGGAGTTTCGTTAACAAGTTGATGAAACGAATTGATCAACTCGAGAAGAAACAACCACAACTTAAGAGAGTAAGAATTCCATTATTGGACAGGATTCAATTGAATAATTCAACACCAACTTATCAAATTCCAATTCAAGTTCCCAAAAATTCTGTTTCTGTCATTTTGAGATGTAAAAGTTTTATTGGAAACTCTTCAGGACATTCGTATTTGACATTCGAAGCTCAACAACAAGCAAATTCCAATGGTATTCTCACCGTTGACAAATATCATTTCGATTGGTATTACAACAATACTGTGGAAGAATTTATAATGCCTTGGAATGGTCAATCTGAGAATCAAACATTGGAAATTAGAGTTAAATCATCTCTCTCTGATGGGAATTACAATGGAGAAAATCAAAATTATTTTACCATTTCCATTGAAGGTTTTATGGAATTTTAAATTAATAATGAAATTGAAAAAAGAAAAAGAGTGTTTCGAATGGAGAGAAATTGTATCTTTTTTCCAACATTTAAATGAAATAGTCTCTTTATAATAATTGTTTGTAGATGTTGAATTGATTATTGTTACTGAGATTCCATTTGTGATGAAGAAAGATGTGCAGTTACCTGTTAAAATACAATTGGAAACTAATTGAACTAAACGTGTTGAATAAGTCTTTCTTTTAATTATTCCATCAATCATCACAATGAAGAACATCCAATGACTCGTTCCACATCACATGGAAAGTGATCTATTAGATCTCGTTATTCGAAACGACAAAAAAAAATGAAATCAACATCTCTATTGATATCTTTGGTTCTTTTTATTTCCATCTGCATTTCCACACATGTCAATTGTGCATGGAACTTGCCACCACTCGGTTCTCCAAGAATACTCTTTGCAGATTCGTCCTACTTGACGAAACTAAAGTCTGACATGGCAAAGCCAACCAATTACGCCACTTCTTTCAAAAACTTTGTTAATAGTGGAATTTCTGGTGGCGGATCCGTCTATCTATTCGAAGCATGGCACTCAGCTCTATTATTCATGGTCACAGGACAAGTTTCCTATTGTAACTATGCAGTTCAAAATATAGATTCCATTGTAGCTCAAGAAGAATCCATCATTGCCAGTGGGAACATTCCATCCATTGCAGGAGATAGTTATCTTGATGTTGGATATGGTTTGCATAATATAATGACTGTCTATGATTGGTGTCGAGCACAAACAAGTCAATCTCAAAGAAATCGATGGACAAATTATGCCAATCAAGCAGTTTCTAATATTTGGAATTGCTCAACAGCGACATGGGGTGGTAAAGATGCTGCATGGTCATGTTGGTCGGTGGATAATCCAGGAAACAATTATTATTACTCCTTTTTGAGAGCAACCATGATGGTTGGGTTAGCCACATACGGAGAGAATGCAAGTGCTGATATGTGGTTGAGACAATTTAGAAATGTCAAGATTGGAAATCAATTAATTCCATATTTTAATGGAGAGCTCAAGACAGGTGGCAGTTTGGAAGGAACTGGGTATGGTATTTCACATAAGGAATTGTTTAATTTGTATATTTGGTGGCAATTGTCAACTGGTGAAAATATTGCTGACCTGACTTCACACACTTACAATTCGTTACAATGGATTTTGCATCAAATGGTTCCACAATTGGATGCATTGGCAAATATTGGCGATCAAGCACGTGATTCCTCTGCATCTTTCTATGATTATCATCGTCATTACATTATTGCTCTTTGCTATTTATATCCAAAATCCAAATTAGCAAAATCAGCTAAAATTCTATTATCCAAATCGAGTGTTCCTCAAATGACAAGCGGTTTCAATACTTATATAGATTACATTTATGATATCAGTTCTATTGAAACAGTTCCACTCAATTCAACCTATATTACAACTTCATTCAGGGGAGATTCAACTGGAACTCTTGCCTTACGTTCAAGTTGGGATTCTGATGCAGTTTATGCTAATTTAGTTTGTGGACCACTTGTAGAATCTCATGCACATCAAGATCAGGGAAGTTTTATTCTATATCACAAGGGTTGGTTGGCATATGATCAGAATTTCAATAGTCATTCTGGAATTCAACAAATGAATCACTATCATAATTTGGTTAGAATTGTTAGTGACAATGAGATTATTCTTCAATCTGGAGGATCTCCTTGTAATATGAGTGCACTTTCTGATAATTCTGTTTATTCCTATGCACTTTCACTTGTTACTCCTCTATATGATAGTAATAATTACAATTCGAAAGGTTTAGTTACCAAAGTCGAAAGAGAATTTGTATTTATCAAACCAAGTACATTTGTTGTTTTTGATAGAGTGGCAACAAAGACTAATTCCAAAGCTAAAAGAATACTTTCGCTTAATTTTATGGATAAACCAAGCTATTCCAATGGAAATTTGGTTTTTAATTCAAAGAGTTCCATTACTGTTAAAACTCTTTCTCCAACCTCAAATTTAAACGTTTCCATTATTGATTGGAAAACTGAAGATTCTGATAACAATGCTGGATATAGAGTTGACTATTTGGATACTTCATCATTAGATTCCACTAACTTTTTACAAGTAATTTCAATCAACTCTTCTGTTGCCTCATCCATTAGGGATGATGTTAGTGGAAAAATAGGAGCAACAATTAGTTTGAATGATGGACGAAAGGTAACTGTTCGATTCAATACTGCCAGTACTGGTGGATCAATCGTGGTTATTTCCAATAAGCAAACAACATTGGTGAATGAGGATCTCACAACCAGTAAGCAAGCTCTTGGTGTGGGAGAGGTAATAGTTCCACTTTCATCACCTAAACCTGTTCCAATTTCTTCTGTGCAACCAGGTCAAAAATCAAGCAAAGCATTTACATCAACAAGAGTTAATTCTAGTCGGCCATCTCAAATGAGTAGTTTGTTCTTCATTATTGTAATAATTGGTTTCATTTTAATAAATTAACTATCATGATTGAATAATTTAGCTCAGTAGAGCTCACAGTTTTCAATTATTGCTTCAACAAGTAATAAAAAAATGAAAAACAAGAAAATTAGTATGTTCAAGTAGCTTTTATTGGTTTAATTAACATTAACACTTGATTAATAGAGTCTGAGCTTAATTTGAACAGATGTGCCTCCACCATTGTAATTCTTGACAACATTATGCTTGATTGAAGCATGTTGGCTCTTTGCTTTTTGACTCTTCTTTGCTTCTTCTTGTTGAACAAATTGCTTCAAATCTTGTTGAGTGACAGGTTTAACACCTTCAGCAATGTCACGTTCTTCCTCACGAGCCAATCTCTTCTTTTCACGTGCCAATCTCAATGCTTCTCTTCTAACTTGCTTTTCAGTTGGAGCTTGAGAAGAATGGCTTTTAACTTCCTTCTGTCTTCTATTCTCTCTATCAATTCTCTTTTGAACTCTTACGATTCTTCTTTCCTCTCTCAATAAGCTAATGTTATCTGCAGGTGTATTGTCAAGTACTTTAGCATCATCATCAATCAATGCTCTAGCACGATGGATAGCAAGTGTTTTAGTACTGCTACCTCCACTTCCACCACTTGATCCACCACTAGATACAACACTGGATCCACCACCACTTGATCCACCACCGCTTGATCCACCACTGGATGATTGAGATTCAGAATTTCTTCTGTTGTGTCTTTGAGCTACAATGTGTTGCTCCAAATCTCTTCTTTGATTTCTTGCAGCTGTCACTTTTTGTTGTTCACCTTGTGCAGTCATTGGTCCGGCTACTGCATTTCCATCATAAGCAACAAGCATGCCATTAGAAGAACACATCTTGAGGTTATAATCAACTGCGTTTGGAGCTTGAGCACGGTTAATGGAACGACCAAGATTAAAGAGTGTTGGGAGAATGGTAGCGAATTGTTTCAATAACTCTGCATCACTAGAATCATAATAAAATTGTGCCAAAGTTCTCAATTCAAAGATTACAAGTCTTTGACCACCAACAGTCAATGGGAATCTACCAAATGAATTGTCAAAAGTATCAGCATTGACTTCAAATAAATCTCTTGGATTATTGTTGTCAAATAAATTAATCAAATAGTTAGTGGCAGAGAATGGGAATGGAGTTCCATTATCATATGTACGGGTAAAGTAAACATCTTGATCATTTTGTTTGGTACAAACTGTTGCTTGTGGTCCAATAGTTGCAGCAAGATATCTCTTATATGCGTTAATAACTAAATTGACTGGGTTTTCAATTTTACCCAACTCAACTTGAGAAGAACCTTGTCCACCATCCTTTAAGAGTTGAACAATTTGAGTTCTCAAGAGAACTGGTCCAGTAATTGTCTTGGCAAAAGCACCCATTTCACAATTTTCTCTCTTACCAGAAATGAAATAGTTCAATAGGAAAAACATGACGAATTTGGAACGACCTGAAAGACCACGTAATACATTATCCTGTTGATCAATAAATTTAACCAAATTATCCATTGATGCAGCAGAGTCTCTATTACCAAATTTATATCCTTGAGCTGCTTGTGATTTTGTGTTTAAGAAGGAAACAATTGCCTTAATTGAAGGCCATGCCTTATCAAGTGGGAATGAAAAGGTTGCCTGAAGATTTGGTCCAACACGAGTGAAAGCTGGTGGTGGTTGATTTGCATTTTGTGCTCCTTGTTTAACCTTTAGTTTAACTCCAAAAGCTTTGTAATATGGATGTACCATCTTATTTGGTTGATTTGTGGAAATCATATCAAGATATTCCTTGAATTTGCTTTGCATTTTACAAATTTCATTTCCATTATCGGCAAAACGAACTGGATCAGAAACAAATTCAACAATTGGAAATCTCACAAATTCATAGGTTGGATGGAGTTTTGGATTTTCCATGTCCATGCCTGGATATGGTGGTGGAACATCAAGCATGTTTCCCTATATAAAATATACAAGTTTAGAATAACATTAGTTTAACAATTATTAGAAAAATCATGCATGATCATCAAACATACCTTTGAAAATTCAACTCTTTGACCGTTTGCCTTTGTGTAACTAGCTTTATAATTGGCAATTGTGGCACCTTCGAATTCACAGGCACCAACTTCACTTTCAAAACCCACAGCTTGGGCGTTTACAATGGAAGTACTGGATAACATCAAACATGTCAGTGCCAGGATAGTCAATACAAGAGAGATGCTCTTGCATGTTGTAGGGAGAGCAAGTGTTGTCATTGTACTGAACGAAACAATCAACTCTAATTTTTTTTTGATGTGAGTTTTTGCTTGTTGACATGTTTGACATTTATTGGAGCTGACCATAAAAACGGATAATGAATGCGATGTCATTGCATGAACTACTAACATGTGCTGTCAGTGAAGAGAGTGTTTCCAATTCCCAGAACAAGGTTCATCCAATGTATTCTTTGCAATCATGTGCTTACAAACCCTCAACATCATTCATTAGATTACCTTCCTTTTACACAAAGATATATGTGTTATCAGATTGTTTATCAACAAGCTAAACTAATAGAAAAGCAAAAACCAACAACACACGATTGGAGATAATGCCTTAGGCTGAAATTTTCCGCGCAGATTCTTGATGAACAGACGCTAAATGAGCAAAGGATGCTGGTTCAGAAGAGAGGCAAATTGTTCACCGTAATCCCCCTTAGCTCAGTCGGTAGAGCGTCAGACTGTTAATCTGCAGGTCGGTGGTTCGAGCCCACCAGGGGGAGATCCTTTTTTGAATTATGGTACAGTTGATTAGGATTTGGAAAAGCAAATCTTAATAACCATGAAACTAGATAAGGATATTTTTAGATAAGGATCGAATACGGGGTTTAATTACTATCATTCTTCTGCTGTACAAATCTTTGTTGCACATTCTCCAAAGGATTTCAGGCTTTCCACATGTCCATCCCACGGAAGTAATGAAAGTAATTGGAGTGATTGAGAGTCTACCAGAGATACCATTGGTACTATATTACTATTAACATATTCGAATTGAAAAGTCTGATGGTTCCTCGAAGGGGAGTAAACATTGAAATAGACTGTTTTGTTTTGGATATAACATTCAATTCCAATGACATCTCCTTCAGTATTCACACTGTGCTCTGAGTATAATTTATAACTACTTGTAACTGTTGCATTCGATTTGATACAATAGCCATATAGAATCCATTTATCATATAGTGATGAGACAGCATCCTCTTCAGCAAAACCTACAATTATTGCCCAGCCATTTGATATCTTCCAATCATAAGCTGTAAGTACTATGGACCAATAATATATAGTATTCTCTTTTGAGATTTTAAAATCAACACTATGAGAATTCCAAAATCCTGTTGAACCTGAAAAAACACTCCTATTACAGTGTGGTGATAATTTGTTAGAATTCTTGAAAACATATCTCTTTAAAAGAGTATATTGAGATTTCAATTTTCCATAACATTGTGCCTCATCCACTTTAACTGTTCCTATCAATTGCTTTTCTGTTTGGAACATTCCTTCTCTAAAATTCAAATATGCTAATCTAAATATTTCATTAATTCTATTCACTTGGATTGGACTTTGTTCCAACTCATTGAATTTCTGACTCAAAATTTCTTCATCCATTATTTTCAATTTTGTTTCGATATAGTCCGGAATAGAAATTACCTGATGGACAATTTTACATGTCGATAGGAGTGAAATAACGGATCGATCATCGAGATGAGGTAAAATTTCAAATTGCACAACATTCGGATCCAAGAATTGAATCATTTTTTTTTTGAAAATTGTTTTTTCATAGATCAAAGTTCGTTTTTTGTTTTTTACAATGAACAGTTTTTTGTTATAATTTTTAAATAGTGAATGGAAAAATTACAACAATTTAAGGAGCTAGCCCAAATGTTTACAACATAACACAATAATTTGAAAGTTTTTAAAAAAATGAAAAAAGTTAAAAAAGTTAAAAAAGTTAAAAAATCGAAAACTGTCAAGTCATTGGCAGTTGAAGATCAAGTGGTCATACAGGCTGGCCTGTTAGCACCGTTATCATCATCGGATGTTTTGTTTTATCAAATATTACCATGCTTTCCATTAAAATTGTTATTCGAAACAGCAAGATTAGTTTGTAAAGAATGGAATTTATTTATTGTGGGAAATCATAATGATGCTGGTCATGTAAAAGAATATTTTACAGGTCGGTACTCTCTGATCATTCCCCGTGAAAAAGAAGAATCTCTGATGACTTGTATTCGTGCTGGATATTTCCGAAATATAATTCAAAAATTACATTTCAAAGCTTTTGATTCATTTTGTAATCCTTCTATTGTTAGAAACTCAGGAGTGATTGAAATGGTTCCACAAATTAGTTCAACTTTATTGGATGATTCTTTTCCAAATGTTGAGGAAATTATTATTGGAACTGTCAATTCAGATTCTTGTATTATAAGAGAGGGATTTTGTAAAAACAAACTGGAAAAGTTGAAATTGTTGAAGATGACCATGCAAAGGGACGTGTCAATTTCTGATATATTTTCATGTGATTTTATGCAAAATTTGACATGCTTGAATTTGGATAACTGCTTTATTGATTATACAACAGTTTTACAAATTAGTGAATGTCCACTGAAGAACTTGGAGAAATTGTGCTTAGGATATAATTCAATAACTCAATTGGGAGCTCTTACATTGTCCAAAAGCAAACATCTTTCAAAATTAACATATTTAGATTTGACTTATAATGACATTGGTGATGAAGGGCTTAGACATCTTTGTGAAAGTGAAACACTGTGTAATATTTCAAATCTATTATTGGAATTTAATGTAATTTCAGAATTGGAGCCTCTTTTACAAAGCTCCAATATGAAAAATCTAGCACATTTGAATTTGTATAGATGTAGTTTGAATTTAAAAAGCTTTATGTCATTGATATCTTGCCCTAATTTACCAAAACTTTCAGAAATTAGTCTATACCATGCAGGTTTAACAGGAATGCAAGAATTAGAAACTTCTCACATCATAGTATCCAACTCAATCAATCGACTTGATCTATCCTCTTGCAGTTTAGATGATTTGGGATTTAGGTGTTTGTTAAATTCCCTCAAATACGACTCCATTACTGAACTAAATCTTAGGTACAATGAAATTGGAAATGAAGGATTGTTGTGCCTAGCTGAATGTCCCTTCCTGACCAATTTGAGGATACTCGACCTATCTGGAAATCCAATAGATGATGAAGGTGCCCTCTACCTGGCACAAAACGTTCAATTTCCAAATATTAAGGAATTAATTTTAGAGTTTACCAAAATGACCAAAAATGGCAGTGAAAAATTTTCAGAAATTATTTTACAACGATTCCCAAATGTTAATTTAACTATTTAAAAATTTAGTGAGCTCATCTAAATGGAATTTATTTGTGCAAGCAATTCCATTCATTGGAAATCAAGTCAATTTTTCAAAGTTTCATTTTATTCTTGGTAATATTGTTAAAATTATATTTAAAAAGCCTTCAGTTTCAATATTGTTTGCATTGATATTGAGATCTGTTAACTGAGATAAGTGACTCAATGATTTGGCACCTTCAGCACCAATATTATTTGTACTGATATTCAAAGTGGTCAATTTGCCTAGTTGACTGATATACATTGCTCCAGTGTTTCCAATTTTAGAATAACTAATATTCAAGTCTGTTAATTGTGACATTTCGGATATAATTTTTGCCCCTTCATCTCCAATATAATTACAACTAATATTCAAATTATTTAAATTTTCCATTTGACTAATGAACTTGACTCCAACTACAGACAAATTTGGACAATTCGAAACATCAAGCTTTGTTAACTGTTTAATTTCACTAATTTTCTCTACAGATCTATCATTAAGATCAGAATATCTTACACGAAGTGATTTCAAAGTTTTTGATTGTGAAATAACATTCATCTGAAATGTTTCATCATTTTCTAATGAAAATGCTGAATAACTCAAATCGAGTGAAATCAAATTTTTCATTCCAAATACAGAAAAAGATCCTGAATATCCAATACGATTGCTACATATATTCAAACTAGTCAAGTTTGCCATTGTACTGATATGTTTAGCTCCTTCATCTCCAATTGAATTATAACTCAGATCAAGATTGGTCAATTGAGTCAAATTTTGAGAAATTAATTGAGCTCCTTTCGTCCTAATTCTACAAACACTATTCCCAACAAGTTTCAATTCAACAATATTCCCAATAATTCCAGATTTAACAATATTTTCCACAATTTTATCCTCAACCTCCAAATCAACAGAAAGTTTTGCCCTATTTTTGATTACTTCATGCCAATTACGAGAAATTAATAAACAACTTTGTATAATCATTGAAGAATCCAAAAAGGTAAGAATTTCATAACAAATATCATCAGGAAATACTTGATTTCGAAATTATTATATAAAAAATTACATAATTTTAGCAATTACACTCACAATCAGGATTGGATTTCATTCCGATAGGTGCATCAATGGATTGTTTCATCTTTTTCCTATTAGAAAAATTATCATCATTTTCCCTTCTTTTTGTTTTTGACATTTTTTTAAATTTCAAATTAATTTGAAAATTGGAAAATCAAAACATTGTAAACGATTTAATTGGCGGACCATCTCACTTAATAATCAACTCAAAACATCCACCTCCCCGACTGCTAATAAGCAGGGATGTTTAAGCGGACTATTGGTCCACCATTCGAATAGACATCAACAAGAATCGAATTTATGTAAACTCATCAAAAAAAAAATGCACGACTGTTGTAAGCAAGGACACATTCACACAGGTACTCCAACAGGTACACTCACTCAAATTTCCGGAAGAGAAACCTATGTGAAAAAACATTCGAATAGTAATGGAAAGGCCATTTTATTTATTCATGATGCTTTCGGATTGCCATTCATTAATAATCAACTCTTGGTTGATACCTTCTCTGAAGAAGCACAAGCTGATGTTTATTTACCTGATTTTTTCAATGGTGATGGTGTTCCAATTCAAGTCCTGTCAAACATGTCAAGTTTTGATTTTAATCCTTGGAGAGCTAGAAATGGACGTGATAAATTCCCAATTATTGAAAGTTATACAAGAGCACTGAAAGAACAGGAAGGAATTAAAAAACTTGTAGTAATTGGATTTTGTTGGGGTGGTTGGGGTTCCATTCAATTAGGTCAATTGGATGATTTGGTGGATGGAGTTGTTTTGGCTCATCCATCAATGCTTGAAATTCCATCTGATATTGAGGCATTGAAAAAGCCAAGTTTATTCATTTGTGCTGAGGTTGACCATGCATTCTCAGAGGAAGCACGTTTATTATCTCAATCAATTTTGGAAAATAAGGAAATGGATGCAACATTTAAATTGTGGAATGGAGTGAGACATGGATTTGCAGTTCGTTTTGATACGGAGGATAAGATTGCTGCTCAAGCTGCTGAACAAGCAAAGGATGAGGCAGTTAAATTCTTTAAGAGAATACTTCAATAATTATTTAATACTTATTAGAAATTTATTATATGTAAAGTAACCATTGATATTTAAGTATTTACGGAAATGCTTAATATTTGGACCCTTAACTACGGCATTGACAATAAATCAAAAACAAGATGAAATCATCATTGGTTGTGAAACACTTTATTAAGGGTAATTAAGCAAACGTTAACGTAGCCCGTCTAGCTCAGTCGGTAGAGCGCAAGGCTCTTAACCTTGTGGTCGTGGGTTCGACCCCCACGGTGGGCGTTTCCTTTTAATTTTATTATCTTTGATTTTAGCCAATCAACTGAGGAAAAATCAACTCTTCATAAGGCCATCCTAATTCGAATCAGGTACATAGTTTGCACAAGAGAAAAAAGTATTATTTTAGAACATGACGGAACATCAAGAATTGTTGTAACACAACATATTAATTGTTTCCTGTTGGTATGGCTTGTCTGGTATCGTTTCTTGTGTCATATTAATCAGAAAAAACTACCAATATTTTCAGCATCAAATAATCAATTATCATCATCATGATGGAGGTAAAACAAGAAGAAGGTTGGTATGTTCTCGAGAACAAGGGTTATTTTCAAAATAATAATAATAATAATAATTAATGAATTGCTAATAGAGAATATTATATTTTCGGATGATGTTTGTTTTGAAATTATTTCCATGATTGATGATTCGTGGTTTATTTTGAATAATTGTTCTTTAATTTCAAAACAATGGTTTAATGTGATCAAGGATCGTTCAAAACTTGTTATTCAATTTAAAAAAAAATTAACAGAAAAAAGAGTTGAATTATTAATGAAAAGTCAATTCATGAACAGTATTGTAAATGTTAAGTTTTCTTTTGGGTTGCTTAACTCTTCAGATAAACTTAAATTCATAAGTGAAATGAAACATTTAACATCACTTGATATTGCTGACAATCAAATTGGTGATGAGGGATCTAAATTCATAAGTGGAATGAAACATTTAACATCACTTAATATAGATCGCAATCAAATTGGTGTAGAAGGAGCCAAACTCATAAGTGGAATGAAATCATTAATATCACTTAGTATTGGTGATAATCAAATTGGTGTAGAAGGAGCCAAACTCATAAGTGGAATGAAACATTTAACATCACTTGATATAAATCGCAATCAAATTGGTGTAGAAGGAGCCAAATCAATAAGTAGAATGAAACAATTAACATCACTTAATATATATTACAATCAAATTGGTGCTGAGGGAGCCAAATCAATAAGTGGAATGAAACAATTAACATCACTTGATATTGGTGGAAATCAAATTGGTGTAGAAGAATCCAAATACATAAGTGAAATGAAACAATTAACATCACTTGATATATATAACAATCAAATTGGTGTAGAAGGAGCCAAATCAATAAGTGGAATGAAACAATTAACATCACTTAATATTGGTTTCAATCGAATTGGTGTAGAAGGATCCAAACTCATAAGTGAAATGAAACAATTAACATCACTTAATATTGGTTCCAATGAAATTGGTGTAGAAGGGTCCAAATTCATACCTGAAATGAAACATTTAACATCACTTAATATATATTACAATGAAATTGGTGATGAAGGATCCAAATACATAAGTGAAATGAAACAATTAACATCACTTGATATATATTACAATGAAATTGGTGTGGAAGGAGCCAAATACATAAGTGAAATGAAACAATTAACATCACTTGGTATTAGTGATAATCAAATTGGTGTAGAAGGAGCCAAATTCATAAGTGAAATGAAATTATTAACATCACTTGATATTGCTGACAATCAAATTGGTGATGAGGGATCTAAATTCATAAGTGAAATGAAATCATTAACATCGCTTAATGTTAATTCCAATCAAATTGGTGATGAGGGAGCCAAACTTATAAGTGGAATGAAACAATTAACATCACTTAAAATATATTACAATCAAATTGGTGAAACTTTATTAATGTCTGTTATATCAATAACAGCTGAGACCAAATCTTTAGACTAACTAAGATTCTTTGTAGGGATTTGGGTTTGTTGATATTAGGCACCGTACATTGTGTAAAGCTTCATTTATTTAACTACCTCAATATCTTAAAGTGTGGAGTATTGTGATTGAAACGTTGAAAGATGAGTTTACATAATTCAAACAATTCACTTACAGATATCTTCAAGATGGGATCTTGGAGAGAAGATCAGTGGATGCTTTTGCATGTCAATGTAGAGTAAGGAACGATTGGTGCTCATTTCTGGGAATTCCTTTTCCTCTAAGGAAAGTTTGAAATGTCTGACAGTGTTGACAATTGACATGCAAAGTTCTAAGGTTGCAATTCTACTACCTGGGCATTTTCTTGCCTTAATTCGCAAGTTATTTGAAGTAATTGATAGAAAACTTACACCAACACCAAATGGACTGTTTACAAATGAACTCTTCATTGCCAATGGTGAATTTCTTTCATGTCTTTCTGGAATGAATTCTTGAGCTCGTGGCACAAACTCTTCACTCAAACAAGCACGTCTTTGGAGTGCAATAACTGTTGTACCCTTTGGAATATTTTATCCTCCCAGTTCTGTATCGTTATTGAGTATTCTTGCCAAAATCCAAAGGGATTGAGGCGTAAAACTTCTTCCACAAAGTTTTTAGTGAGCTTTAGTTTCTTGAATTGCTCTGCATTTACTAATAGACCGTTCTCTGAAGTAACCTCGTCTAAATTTGGCTCTCCAAATACCTCTAATAGTAGTAAAGTTTTTTTTGGTAATCTGGATGATGAGCTAATCTGTACATGACATGACTCATCATTGTCATTGTAATGTCCATTGCAGCTTGAAGGAATGAATTCATAACTGTTCATTCTTTGAACGTTCCATTAGCAGTTCATACAATCTTGGCTTTTCGCTTGGGTTGACCTTAAACCTGTTCATTACATAATTTGTACATATTCGAATGATTTTTCACAGGTAAATTCCATTCTCTTGTATTCTTTTGTTTTAAAATATTGATACATGGATGGTTTTGTCAATAATCTGGATCTTGTGTTGGTTCTAAGTATTTAATTAATCTTCTTACATTCAATTGACTCAGGAGTTACGACTTGATCTTGGAATTCTGGTTTCATGGCAATGTTAAACAATTGCCTCGTCTCTTGCCATGGTTCCTCATATAGCATTTTGCAAAGCAAATGGATGTTTATAGCATGGTTTTTAGAGTGGCAACAGCATAGAGGAATGGAAAGAGAAGGTCATCATCAGAGCACTCTTCTTTGGAGCTTAATTCAAAATATTGAACTTTGGTTGTGTGAATTGTTTTTTGTTGAGGCTCTGGCTCGACCATTTTTAGAAAATTGTAAATTTCAAGTCTTGTTACTTGATGATCGAGATCTGATTTCAATCCGAGTAAGAGGAAACATCTATCATTGATATTGTAATCTGAAATATCTTTGACTGTCATTTCGTGATAAATTTCAATCATTTCCTCAAATGATTTATGACTATTCAAATCAAAACAATACACAAAAACATTAGCTCTCGAATAAACAGATTTGAATAGCGATAGATATGTTTGATTTCCACATGTATCCCAAATCTTGAATGCAAATTCCGTCCCACTTCCATAAAGGTAATGCTTGTCAATTACTGGGAAAGTTATTGAGGGTGTATAATTTTCCGAAAATGGTAATTGATTAAAAGCTCTATCAATCAAAGTGGATTTACCACACCCTGATGACCCAACAAATATGTATTGGGCACATTGAGGCAATTCAACATCCTCATCTATTACAAATCTCTTCAGCAAGACATTTTTAACATTTTCATAACTTTCCATATCAGAAAACATGTACAACATTGGACTTTTTCTCCTCAAATCCTTCCACAGAACTTCAAATCTGGTCCAATACATTAAAAATCTCTTTGAAACTCGTTGCATTCTCCCTATACTTTCCATATCCAAAAATTGTAAAATGTGTAAAATTATTTCATGAGGAAAATTCGTCAACCAACCATCCTTCTCCTCACCCTGATTGAAATACTCATCATTGCCTCCATATCCTCTCCTAATTCCATTAAAAATTCCTATCGGAAGCAATTCTACATCCGAAACAATAGTAGAAAGAATAGATTTCCTCTTGAATCCTCTTGGTAATTCCAACACGGGAAAATGTAGGGATTTTCCTGTAGAATAAAGTAAATTTTCAGATTGTTCACGGGAGGGGATTTTATTTTCATCTCTTGCTTGGTGATTCAGAGATGATGATGAGGGCGTCTCTGTTGATGTTTGTTGTCCCATTTTTTTATGTTGATTGGTTTACAAAATATGAAATAGTTATGATTGTAATAGTCCAGAAAAGATTTTCAATCACAATATCGATTATTGAATTTATTGGTACAATTTATCGTTGATCTACAGTTGCTCTTTGAATCAACATGATATCATCCTCATCATCTTCCATTCCTTCATCATCCAAATCCTGATTACTAATCAATACATATTTTGATTCAACAATAGGTGTTGCACCAATATGAGCTTCATGAGATTTACCCTCAATTGATGTGGAACTTTCTTCCTTATTTCTGAAAATGTGAATCAAATAACTACCAATAATATACATTGGAATGCAACCTAAAATACATAATCCACACGAAACACCCAAGAATGCAGCTCCCATTTGCAATAATCCACTCTTTGTTGCATCATTTTGGTCATTAACACTTGATTTAATGGTTGGATTTGAAATTTGAACAATTAATGCAAGACTCACTGAACCCAATCCAATCAATAACAAACTACTCAATCCAATCCAAAAACACAAATGCAATGAACAATACAAATTATAAGTTCTCTGTTTTTGAAACCAGTGACGAAGTAAAATGTGTTGATCTTCATTCATTTGTGGATTGCTCTTCAACATTTCACGTCTCTGTTTCAAAGTTCTTTCCTGTGAGAAGAGCATGAGAGAAAATACGAAACAAGCAATTCCACAAAAAGTTAGAGAACCAGCTGTAGATGTTACATCATTTTGATTCGGAGAAGAAACGGGACGAAATAGTTTGTGATTCTAATAAAAATAATTGATCATCTACGAACCTGTTAAATGTTGAGTAACGACAAACGCAAGCGGTCCACTTCTTGTTATTGAATAATTCTCCAAAGTCATTTCCAATGCAAAGTTCGTCACTCCGATACCAAACATTAATAAACCAGCCAACAACAAGAAGATTTTGGTTGCTAAAAACAAGTATCGTCTTCTCATTTTTTCTTATGTAATTATTGAAATTGGTTTGACAAGTGATGCCTCCACTGAAATCCCAACTCAACTGTAGTGTGTCATTATTCTTAATATTTTGAACATATTTCAAGCGCCAAAATCGAACCATTAAGCAATTAAAAAGTTCATCAACGCGCTAAGGAATCTTCGCAAACCGCAGATAAAAAATTATCCAAACACATTTTCTCTCAAATAAGGAATTTTTTCGAGTTTTTGCCAAACAAGTAGAGTTTGATTCAAGTTGGAAGTTGTGATAACCTGTAGTCTAACATTCATTTCCCGCATTTTTTCAACTCGACAGAAGAACAGTGTTGTTCCTTTCATGACTTTGTTACTCACACAATTTTCCTTCTGAAAAAGTTCAAATTATTAATGCTAGGAGTAACGACACTCAACCTAGATAACAAATAACCTTCTCCTTTATATATTATCCAATATGCTCAATGACCTTTTTCCAAGCCAATATTGTTGTCGTTGGAAGATGAGACAAATACCAGTGCGCTTTGCGAAAAAGTCATCACACAGTGGTTTTGAAAATCGAATCTTTTTCCACTCACAAAAAAAACAACACAAACCCGAAAATACCACTTGGTTGCTTCATACAATATTCATTGCTGCTGCTTCAGTTTTGTTGATATTTGAATCAATCACTCTTTGTTGTTTATTTTAATAACTATACTATTGTACTATAAACTATGGCCCCTACAAAGGAAAATAATTGGGCAGGCGTTGATCCAAGCCTTCTCAACCAAAAAGATTACTTGTGGACCAAGACTGATGAACCTCATTGGAATAGAAAGAAGGAATTGTTGAAGAAGTATCCACAAATCAAGGAACTCTACAGTATTGATCCAATGACCAAGTGGAAGATTCTCCTCCTTGTTCTTATCCAATTTGCCACTTGTTATTATGTAGTAACTGCTAAACCTGCTTGGTACATTGTCCTTGCTTGTATGTGGGTTATTGGTGGTACTTGTAACACTAGTTTGACTGTTGGTATCCACGAATTGACTCATGGTATGTTTGATCATTATTCTTTATTGTTAAATTTTAAAAATCATATGCATAATTATTCAATTTAATTATCTAATCTTTCAGGTGTTGGATTTGAAACTTTGGAATACAATTACATGATGGCAATTTTTGGTAACCTTCCACTTGCTGTTCCTTTTGCCATGTCCTTCAAACGTTACCATCATGAACACCACGTTTATCAAGGAGTTTTGGGTCTTGATACCGACATCGGAACCCCTATAGAAGCAAAATTCTTCAACACTCGTTACACTAAATTCCTCCACGTTCTCTTCATGGTCTTTTTCTATGCTTTGAGACCATTGTTCCTCCTCCCAAAAATTCCAAACAAGTGGGAATTAATTAACCAAGCTGTTATTTTCTCATTCGTCGGTGTTGTAACCTATTTCTTCGGTTGGATGTCTATCATCTATTTCTTGGGCTCTGACTTTTTCGGATTGGGTTTGCACCCATTGGCTGGTCACTTTATTTCTGAAGTAAGTTTTTCATCATGATGATAGTAATATTTACAACAATTATTAGCACTTTGTGACAAGACCAGGACAAGAAACATACAGTTATTATGGTATTGGTAACTTGTTCATGTTCAATGTTGGTTATCACAATGAACATCACGATTTCCCAAAGATTCCAGGTTGCAATCTTCCAAAGTTGAAGGAAATTGCTCCTGAATATTATAACAATTTGAAGGTTACTGAATCTTGGACTTATGCTCTCTGGGAATATATTACAACTGATGGTTATACTCCATTCAACAGAGTTGCCAGAACCCACGAAGATCACAAGAATGCTAGAAAGAATGACTCCAAGAAGGATCAATAATTTAATTCATCACACAGTTTTATTGTCACATTTTGAGAGGGTTGAATAAAACTTGCAGCCAATTTACTTTTTAACCATATAGTACTTCTCGTTATCTTTAAATAAAGAAATAATGTACCTATTTTGATAACTCAAAAAAATGCACAATAGAAAACAAGGAGAATCACATGATATCTTTCATGACAATCTCTCATCCTCTTCACCACCAACAAATATTAGTAAATCTGCTCATCCCTCCGAAATATTAGAGAATCAAGTAGACAATTCATCAGCTAAATTTAATTTACATGGCGAAACTGATTTGAATACAACAAGCAAAACAACTAGTTGCTGCTTTTGTTGTTCGTGTTCTCCCTTCGGGATGAGAATGATTCGAGCGGCTTCATTGATGGGATTACTTTTACTAATAATTGCCTTCTTTGTGTGGGCTTTACCCTTGTTGCGATTGGTTTATTGGAATTCGAAACACTTCTCTCAGACTGGATTGAGAATATTAGAGGCAAATTCAAAAATTAGTCCTCTGGAGGAACGAAATCTTGTAGAAAAAGTGGAAAAGGAGAGTGGAATTCATTTAATTAATAGGAAAGGATTGGAATTATTTGGATTGGAATCATCTGAAATTCTGAAAGATTTCTCAGTATTGTATCAATTGAAAATTGTCATGCAAGAGAGAAGGATTGGGGATAAGCTATTTCCAATTATTGATGACATTATTGAGAATTTCTATAAAAAATTATTGATTAGACCAAGTACCATCACCAGATCCATTCATCAAACTTACAAGACAAAGGATTTAAATTTAATGCCAGAGCACTGGAAGGATTCTCCAGAAAGGTGGGTCCAATACAAAGACTTGTATGTCAATGATTATTTGGATGATAAGATTGATCCAGATTTGAGAAGGGAGGTTTCTGTTACATATAATTACAATTTATGGATTGATGAGGAGATGGATCAATTTGTTCAATCAAGTGATTGGAAGTCAGTCTCAGAATTTAATGAGAATTATTATGACTCATTCTTTAAGAGCATTCCAATGAAAATTCAAAAGATTGATGCTATTAGATATTGTTGGCTTTCTAGAATTGGAGGTATATACAGTGATTTAGATGTTAGACCGATAAGGGATATTGAAGAGCTATTAAGATATTTGGAACTCTACCATATCATTGAAGCATTCAAACAAAAGAATTCTAATCAAGTTTTAACATTGAAGGAAAAGTTCCACAAAATGGTTCAATACCTCAAAGATTCATTAGAAACAGGATCCAATGAATCAAAATTTGAGCCAGAATGGCAGAGTATTCAGATAGAGTTTCAGAGAATTGCAAAAATGAAACCAAAATTTTCAGCAGTAGTTCCAAAAACATATCCATTCGGAATTTCTAATGATTTTTTGATTGGGGCACGCAATTCTGAATTCTTCCAATTTGTGGTTCAGAGATCAGTGGCTGAGTTTTCTAGATGGAAGTTATTAAGCTACATTCCAATAGCTAGATATGCCTATGTTATGTTAACAGGAGGTCCACTTTTCCTCTCAGAATGTTACAGACAGTTCACGTTAGAAAAGGCAAAGAAATGTAAGTATTGAAATGATTGCTGCAACCTCATATTTGAATAATTAAATAATAGATCAAAGAGACGGAATTGAGATAACTGGAAATGTTGCACTTATGGATTTATCAATTTATGGATCGCAACAATCATCATTTCTTGCCCATACTAAAGGCAATTCATGGCATACTTTTGAGGCACAATTTATTCTTGATTTTTGGCAGCAATTAAAGGGAACAAGCTATTCAAAATTGGGATTATATACATTAACATTAATTTTCTCAGTTATTGGACTCATTTTATTAATTAAATATATTTTCATGAGGGCAAGACAAATGAAGAGGAATGAGGAAAACGTTTGATTTATTTAATGGATGATAGTTATAGGTTTTCGTATGAGGTCATAAGCTGTTGATGGTTTTAAGAACAACGTTCTCTTAATGAACAAGATCAAGGTTACAAATGATACACCCAAGCACAGCTCAATAATGAAAAATTACAGAAAATACAATCCTTTAGATTCACCACTACCACTCAATTGATAAAATCCGATTTTAAGATCCTTAATTGAAATTAAACCAATAATAACGATCAGTAGAGTATGTTGAGGCATTACGCCCTATAACCATGATATTTCTCAAATTCAGATGGCTACGGCCATATCACGATGAGTGCACCTCATCCCGTCCGATTTGAGAAGTTAAGCATCGTCGAGCCACATCAGTACTGAGGTTGGAGACAACTTGGGAACCTGTGGTGCTGTAGTCTTTTTGTTTTAATTAGTTGTTCACGTAATTTTCTATTACTAACATCGAGAAGTCATACCAGATGAGCAAGGCAATTTCCAGATTCAAATTGATTTCTTGATCACTGAATTGTCCTTCAAGGTAAGTTTGAAGAAAGCAAAGTGTGCAATTTCAAACAAATCTTAAAATATTTCTAGATGTATGGCTTTTGAAACCTGAATTATAATCGTTGTTTGTTTTTTTATGATACAGTTGTACAGGAACCAAAACACAAATCGAAAAAAATGTTATATTTCAACTTTTAAATAATTCAGAATTGAAATAGATGAAGTTTCAATTTCGATTTGATTAAGAAAATATCAAACCAAAATTTAGATCAAGCAATTCAACATGGCAAATGTTCAATAAATACGAGGTTGATCAACCGAATCAGTTTCTTCAAACAAAACCTGAACCAACAAGATTCTGTCTTCGTTGCCTTCACTGTTCATACAGTCAAAGACTGTAGCGGGATTGTCGCCATATTCCTGGCAGGCTTCCCGTCTAATCTACCAATTGAAATATTACTTTGATTTGAACATCATTTCGTATGAAAAAATTATACAGACATTGATTAAGAAATAAAGTTAAAGTAAACTCACAATCAAAACCCAATCTTTGCAATGAATCCTCGATCCATGGGAAGTCAGATTTTGTTCATTGGTGGGAGATTTGAAGAGGCAATTCAATATTGAACAATATTTTTAAGGAAAATGGGAGTGTCAAATCTTTGATTATTTTCTCGGTGGTTTTAAGATATGAAACTTTGAAAATTGCTATTTAGCTAGATTACATATCATTGCTCCAAGTGATGAAAAAAAGTAAAACTCAAATGTTGGAGATAGAGGCAAAATTAATCTCGAGTGCCGGGAATTGAACCCGGGTCGCCAGAGTGACAGTCTGGAATGCTACCACTATACCACACCCGATTACATTAGAAATCTTATGATCCCTTAACTCGCCTTAGTATAACGTCCTCACGGGCATTGGTTGATAAAGCATAACAATTAGATGTCAGGCAGAAAATTGTGGTTTATTCTAATGAGTTATTTCCAAGTCAATTTTTGATATTTAAGGGATAATTGTTCAATTCTCTGTTCTAACTGAGTGATTTGTGACCAGTAGATGTATGGATTTGACTCTGGATTGTCAGTAATCCAATCTAACAAGCTTTGATACTCTAGCATACAAATGTCAAAAGCTGCTTTCTTATTTTCAGATTGTTCGATTAGAGATTCATGAGCTAACAACCATGCATATCTCAAATCTATATCAGAATTAGGTTCCTTAACATATGGTTCCATTCTTCTTATGGCCTCTTGTGCTTTTCCTGAGAGTCTTAGAGAATTGGCCATTACAATGATGCATTCCCTTAATTGGTATTCTGTCAAAACAAAGTTGACAGCCAATAATTTTTCAATATTGAATAATGCAGTGCCATAATCTTCCAACAAGATGTGAACTTTTGCCTTATTGATCAAATTAACAATATTGTGTTGGGGAATTTTGCTGCCCTTTTCAGATAATTCTAAATATTTCTTCGATTCCTCAATGAATTCAACAAATTCGGAGCTCGAATTTCTAGTACTTTGAACAAGAGAAGCAGCATGCAACAACACACTACCTTTCAAAATAAAATAATCAGAAAAACAAAGTGGAAAGTTATCACTGTTCCTATTTCTCAGATTATCAAAAATTTCAGTAATTCTTTCGATATTCCTCTTGGTTTCCTCCATATTGTCGGGATACAAGTTATGGGTGCACTCTTTCAATATGAAACCTTTCGCATACACGTTGTTTTGGTCTAGCTCAATTGCCTTTTTGAGCAGAGTTTCGGCTTGTGTGTAATTACCTTCAACAATATCAATGACAGCCCTTACTAGTTCAATACATGAATTAATCTTGATATCCATTCCAGTCTCCAAATCAAACAGAGTATCATCCTTATTCAATAAACTCCATTCATTATGCTTTTGACAAATATTCTTCATGAGAATGGTCTCTTCCCTGCTTAATAGCTTCATTGCAAGTCCATAATTTGCAAAATAGAAAACTGATTCGAACAATTCTTTTTCCAAAGTCTCATCAACTGCATTATCAATTTCTTTCTTAAATTCAATAATTTCTAAATTCAATGAAACATATTCAGTCAAATATTTCTTTAACAAGTGACAAGAATAGAGATTGGAAGCATATTCTTTCAGAAGTGGATTAGTTTTAAACGCATTAAATACATAATCAAACAACCATTCTTCATTATCTTTCAAAATATCACTTTTCAATTGTTTTTTAATCGTATCAATCAGGAAACTTGGAATTCCATAAAAAATTCCCTCTTTTGTTTCCTTATTTTTAATTAATAATGATAAAAATTCATCTGTTGCATTGTTAGTTTGTTTTCCTTTCACAATATTTTCAATTTCCAATTTGATTTGTTTTTTGTAATCTAATAAAGACTTGGTTGACTTGAACGGATTTTCATTTTGATTGAATTCTTGTCCAATTAAACCTCCATTAATTTGCTTGTCTTTGATATTTTCTAAACCACCCGAACAAATACGAAACCTATTTTCCAACTCCAACTTATTCGAATCTTCATTTCTATGAAAAAGTGCAATGTGAAATTGCTCATTGTAACATCCCAGTTTTGCCAATGCTACAAAATAGTTAACTCGTGTTGATTGCACTTTAAATAAGTTTCGTCTCTGAAGGAGCGTTCTTCTAATGAACATTTTTTTTTCTGTTTATTTTTCAATTCTCTAGTTCCACACAACTTCCAAACTTTCTTTACAAAAAATCAATCCACTATTAACCAACTAAATTTTTGTTAAAAATGGAAATTAGACCTATGCAGGCGTCTGAAGATTAACTTCACACATGATTTTAAGCAATTTGGAAACAACTTTTGTTTTAAAGTGAAACAATACAAGAATAAATCTTAAAACAAATCTTTTGATAATTTGGAAGCTGAAGATTAAGCCAACTTTGAAATCTTTTCAAATAACATCAAGTCTTTATTCAATAATTACCTGAGCCTTAAAATTTTCATCTCACCATCTATCAAACCAAACCCTAATTTCCATAATAGTCCAATCAACATGCCAAATTTCATTTAAAAAAAAATACCCTGACAACCATTTTAATGTCTTTGCTATCATCATATGAAACATCACCAAACATCACTACAGGTCAATCAATTTGTGATAAAAGATTGCTAGAATTAGGTCAACTGAGCAGAGAAGGATACAATGCCACAATTACTAACAATATTTGTCCAGATAGTATTTTCACTCCGATATTTGCAAGTGGAATTTTGATATTTTATATTGTTCTGGTTTGTTTTGGGGTGTTTGGAGTTTATTGGAAGAGAAATAGTGGACATGTCAAGGCACGTCATGCGACATTTATGATTTTGACAATTGTTGCTAGTTTTATGTGTGTTTTGTTGACGTGTTTGAGATATATTGTGGGGAGGAAGGTGATGCCTTGTTTTTTGTATAGTATCTCTATATTTATTACGCCACCTGCCATTTGTCTGCCAACTGTTTTGAGATATGTCAGAACTTTCTTCTTGTATCGATTGAATTTGAAGAAAGCAGCAAATGTGAGAGCTAGCAAAGAGTTTTATATTCAAAAGAATACTGAACTAGAGAAGGAAGAAGTCAAAAGTCCAACTCGAGATGTCCAAGTTGATTTGACATTTAACAATGAAGAAAATAATAAGGAAAATAATGAATTGAATAAGGCTCAATCAGAACAAGAATTGAATATTACATCGAATAGTTCTGTGGAAAAGAGTGATATTGATTCGAATTCGGAAGGTTTAGACCAAGCTTACTTGGACTATTCTGAATCGGCCATGTTTTCCAAAAGTTTCAAAATTCTTAACTTTATTTTGAGTAACAAGTTTATTGTACTGGTTTATATTCTCGCATTTGGATTTCATTTGGCTGTTTGGGCTATCTTTGGAGGTGTGGATGAGATTTTATGGAACACTTCAGGGAAACGAATCTTCCTGTGGAGTGTGAGCATGTTTCAGTTTGATACTGGATGTGTAACAACTACGAATGGAGTAATTTTGATGGTTAGTGAGGCAGCTTTCTACATCATTCTAGAGTTTGTCTTTTTTATTTTATTGTTTTTTGTGGATAGAGATACGTGGTCAATTAAGATTGAAGCAATTGTGATGATTATCATTCAGATTATATTGGCAGCTTCATTTCTTATAAGTGGACAAATTGAAGTGATTAGATTTTTCACAGATTACATAGTTCCATATGGATTTGCTGCATTATTGTATCCAATTTTGGAAATTTTAATTTCAGTCATTCTTCCAGTAATTTATGCCATCAGACAAGATAGAAAATCAATCACTCATGAAGGAAATCAAATGGAAATCCTCCTCAGAAATAGAGAGACATTCTGGCTCATATTGGACTATGCAAGACGAAGTTATTGCCCCGAGAATATTCTTGCATATAAGGATATTGAGAATTTCAAAAAAATTTCAAAAAAGAATAGAAAGCAAGTTGCCCTCAAGATTATCAACACCTACTTGGTGCATGACTCTCCTCTGGAGCTTAACATTCCAAATGCCTCGACGAGATATCATGAAATTAATACGTTTCTTACAGGACTAGTTGATGACAATGTGCCTTTAGATCTCTTTGATGATATCAAACTAGCTTGTCTGACAAATATGACAGACATCTTTGAACGATTGAAATCTAGTAATTTGGAATTCAAACAAAAAGTTGAATCATTGAACAAAGGACAATAATCCTTTTGTTTTAAAATTAGTTGAATAATCTTTCGATATGTCATTGAAACTTACATGGATATTAATTGATAATGCGATGAATTTCCCGATCTCAATAGATTATTCAAACAATAATTTTAAAAAGAAAAGTTGGTTATTATTTACATTACACAATCTTGAGATATCTATAAACAACTGTCACGGTTGAGAAAATACCCATTCCAATAACGGCAATTTCAAATGGAGTTAAAATTTTCTTAATATTTCTCAAATTATTGCAAGCAATCAAAAAGAGAGCTCTAAAGCTTCCATCATCAACTAGTTTAGGCTTTCTCCTTTCCTTTCCCCATTGGGAGTTTGTTGTTTCCACTGGCAAATTGTCTGCCTTCTTTTTAAAGAAAAATGTTCGTTTCTGTGGTTGTTGAATTGTGTTGTGTCTTGTGGTTGCAGCCAACTTGGAACTGTTTCTACTCTTCAGAGGACTATGTAATACTCCATGTATGAATGATGGGTGGGTAAATTTATGGGTGATTAAGGAAGAAGTAACAGCAGTGCACATTGTGTTTGGTCGTTTGATCATTTTTTTGTGTTTGACTTGTGTGGTTTTTTACTAAGTTTCGGCGAATCATGCACAAACATCCTTATTTGGGCTGGAAACAAGTTGAAAAGTGGCATAATAATATTTATTGAATCCAGACAGAAGCAAGATATTGGAGAATGTCTAAAAATTCCTTATCACAACTGATAATGATTGAAAGTGCCTTATCACTGTGGATGTGAAGTCTGGAAGCCATTTTCATTGCTCGGACTTCAAGTTTTTCTCTTTGTTGCTCATCAAGTTTGATTCCGACAATTTGAGTATTCTTCTTTAAAGCTTCAGTGTATTGGTTACTGATTTCTATTAATTGTGAATAAAGGAAAAGTAAATAGTCACGAAGTAAAGTGGCCACATGTTTAGCATCCTTAGAGTTTGAATCAGTATCTTTCCATTGAATTGGAAGAATTCCAGAATTATTAGAATCCATCAAGTGTTTAGAAAGGATCAAGATCTAGTGTTGTGTTACTACATTTCACAAAGATGAAATAATACATACATGATTAGAAGCCAGTGAGGCCAATTTAGCAAGAGATCTATAACATTCTGCCTTGCTCTTTTCCAATAAAATTGTTGAGGTTTGAAGCATTTCACTCACCTCTGTTGTAGAAGCAAGAACATCTTCCAAATTATTGTAGGCATTCTTAGAAAGCTCCACAGAACTATTTGTCATTTCTATAACTTCCTTTCCAACTGGAAGATTAGCAATATATTGATAACTTGATTTCTTTTCTTCAACTTCCTTTGTACTAAATTGGGTTGATTCTATCATAATTTCTCTCAATTCTCTTAAAATTTCTAATAAAATTATTTTGATACTGTTCTAAACATAATAAAAACATACTTTCAATCTTTTCACGTTCTTGGTCAGTTCTTTCTTCCATATATTTCTCTAATTCTTGATTACAATTCTTGGCAAGAGCAGCAATTTCTTGAAGATGTTTCAAACCTTCATATTCAATAAATAATTCTTTAAAATTGACAAAAATGTGAATTCCATCATCAGACTACCAAATACATTAGAATATTAAAATCGCACAAAAACCCACCTCCTCAGCATCATATAAAATCTTGCTAGCCTCTTCCAAAGTGTTTAGCACAGTTTTTCCGAATTGAGTTGCCAAGCCTTTCACAAATTTTAATTCAACAGTCTCATCAACCAATTGTGATGTTTCTGCATAGACTGTACTTGTCACCCCTGAAATTGTACTAAAGAATGATTTGATTGTGCTTTCGGCATTCTTGAAAGAAGTTTCAATGGTTTTTTCTGTTTGTTCAATGAGAGAGGAAGTATTAGCCTCACCTCCATTATCATTAATTTCACCATTTTCTTCTTCAACTTGTTTTTCTTCGGTTGTTGTAGGAGTTGTTGATTCATCACCTTCTTCTTCTTCTACGAGCTTTTGTAATTGTTGTCCAAATTGATTGGTCTGTTGATTCATCACTCTCACAACATTTCCTATTGTTGAACTCCACGATCCCCACCATGAGCCTTGATCCGATGATGATGATGCTTCTTCTTGTTGATCAGCTTCGACGGTGTTATCAGCTACTTGTTGATCAGTTGATTCATTGTTTGGTTGTTGACTCATTTTTTCTTTATGGATTTTGTGAGCAGGTTTAAATTGAGTTTATTTGAGGTTGGTTTGGTAACTTTAATGGAAAAAAAGCCTTCCGATTAATTATATTATTGAAATATGATGATACGTTAATATTTACATTTATTTTCTGTTTCGCAAAATTCTTGAGGCTTTTGGCATTTCTCTAAGATCTAATTGATTATTGATTGTATCTTGGAAAGAGGAATACTTTTCAAGAATTAAAGAAATGAATTTGGTAATGTTTGATTCATCAGATTCAGAACACTTTTGTGCAATATCAATAATTGTAACAGCTGTATGCTTCTTACATTTCTCTGACATGTCTATGAAATCCAAGAATATTTGGAGAATATCTGACTTGACAGTAGCACTCAAATGAGAGTCATTATAGAGAGCATATAATGCCTTCAAGTTTTGTTGTTCCTTAGAAAGGAGTTCAATCATGCATGATTCATTAATAAATGTTAAAATACAACTGACTGCTCTAGTAATCACTGGTAAAGTTCTATTGGATTCTGAGGCTTGCAATCCTTCATAAACAATTGATTCAATTATTGCAGACAAAAAGTAAATATCAGCACCTTCGTTTGAATTAAGTGAATAATCTGGATTACCAGTCAAATAACGATAACATCTCATATATGGATGTTTGTAAAGATTATTGGCAGTAATTCTAAGATCTGGATCTGGTTCTACCATCTTTCTAATAAGATCCTTCAATGAAGAAAGTTTGATACGTTCAAACATTCCAGGAATTTTGTCTCTTTCTCTCAAAACAGCTCTATAGAAAGCTTCATGTTGTTGTTGGCAAGTTAATTCAAAAACACACAAGCCCATACTATAAATATCACAACTGTAGGCATATGGTCTTTGAAGAGCAATTTCTGGAGCAACATAGAGTGGTGTTCCGCAAATTGTGTATGTTACAGCTCCCTTACTATTGAGCATTTTGGCAAGACCAAAATCACATAATCTCAATGTATCATCCTCTCCGAGAAGCATATTAGATGGCTATATTGTTATTATTATTATTGGGTGTGTAAATTATCATATTTACATAATAGCAAACATACCTTAATATCTCTGTGAATAATACCTTCTTCATGACAATACATCAAAGCACTACAAAGTTGAGTGTACCACGAAAGAACTCTCCAAACATTAATATTAACATGTTGATCCTTTTCAATAATATCTCCAATAGTACCTTTTTGGCAGTATTCTGTTACTACACCAACACAACTCTTATCCATTTGATCTTTGAGAGGAAATTCCTCGATGAAAAGCATAATATTTGGATGTTTCAAGTTTTTAAGTATCTTAATTTCTCTATCGATAGCTTCTGCGGCTTCTCTATCTGTAGTTTTTGGAAGCTCTAACACTTTCAATGCAAGATTATTGCTTCCCTTTTTAACAAGATAGACTTCACCATAACTACCCTTTCCGATTAAGTTCAAAATTTGATAGCCATGATATACACTATCTATCGATAACATTACACCCAAGTCCACAAATGGATCTCCAACCTTGGGACTTCTTTGTGGCTTTGTTATTGGTTGTTTTTGATTTGCTGTTGTTGTTGTTGTTGGAGCGCTATTATTTTGTGGACGTTCATAGGCATCATCATCTTCGTCTTCACGCAAGAGAAATTTAGTGATTGAATTTTCTGAACGGGAGGCATTACCCATTTTCTTTGATGAATATGAATATTATTATTAATATAAAATTATTATAATTATCAATATTTGGAATTGATGATGAATGTGTATTGATGATGAGAAAATATTTAATTATTCTCAGAATATTAATTCTCAGAGTACAAAATTGTTAAAATGTAATTTAACTCGTGTATTATATGTACAGCAGACTCTCTTTTTTACAATGTTATTTCCTTGTGTTTTCAAAAGACGATAACACGAAGAAGTGTTAGAAGGTTACAATAAAAGCGAAAATGCTAAAAATACAATGTTGAAAATTTTTTTGAGATTGATGATCATGATTTGTTGTGCTTTTTCAAATGTTCTCCATTCCGTGTGAATTTGATTTGTTTTGGAAGGCTGGAATGTGGGGTGGTCTTTGTCATCGTATTAAAATAAATTTCTTATTGGAAGGTAATGTGATGAGCTAGAGTTAGAATGGTTGTGTGGAATCTTGAAATATCTACCGTAGTTTTTTTTAATTCTCCAAAATATTTTATTGATCTATTTCTTGACCTTAACGGAAGAACTTTGAGTGATGCTATCAAATGTTGGAATGTTTCCTTGAAGACCAAACATTTGCAAAGGCAAACAACCCATATTTGCATCACTTGGAAGGTAAACAACTTGAGAAACACTCTTCATGGCTTGAATAACCATGTCATGGTGTTTTGTCAAGAGAGCTTCTTGTTTACCAAATTCAGTGGAGCTCAAATATTCAGCTCTCTTCTTTTCAGCAAGGGCTTTAATTTCAATAGCTTTGGCTTCAGCTTCTGCTTCAATGGTGAGAGCTTCAGCTTTGGCTTTGGCAAGAGTCTTGATTTCAATAGCCTTGGTTTCAGCTAGAATGATAGTGGCACTATTCTTGGCTTCAGTTTCAGTCTTTAATTTGAAAGCTTCGGCTGTAGCTTTGATAGAGTTGATGGAATTCAATCTTTCTTGACCAGCCAATTCAATTTCTCTTTGAGCCTCCAAGTTTGCAAGTTTAGTAGATGTTTCTGCGGTAATAATAGCTTGCTTGGAAATATTGTTGGCCAGCTCTTGATTCATAATTTGGAAGTCTTCAATACGAATATTATCAATCAAAATACCGTATTGCTTTTTGAATGAATCATGAATCTTGGAAAGAAATTCATCATGCAAGTTCTCAAAGAATTGAGGAGCAGAGGGAGGTCCATTTTCATTATGTGTTTGTTGTGTATCACCTTTGAGATCGCTTGCTGAAATAGTCTTGCTTTGAGCTAATTGATTCAATGCAGTGGATCTAACAATGGATTGGAGGGCAGCAATTGAGTTATCCTTGATAAGCTTAATTGTAGCACTTTCATTTCCGATAGTGAGCAAAGTTAACTTTGGATCAGCAATTCTAAATGAAACAGCAGCTCTAATACCAACTTCAACAAAGTCACGGGTATCACATCTTAAGAATGGTTCCTTTGACTTGACATCTTCGATCAATGGAATAGACATCAATTTAGTTGACATGTAGGACTCAAAAACTCTATCCAACTCATCAAAAACAAAGGTTCCAGGTCCAAGAATGTCCAGCTTACCTGCTTTGTAGGTTACACCAACTTCACCTTCATAGACAACAATACGCATTGTACTACCCAATACAATCAATTTGGTTTTGACAGGGACACATTTCTCAAAGTTAAAATCTATGCTATCAATTTCATAAACTCCTGGCTCTTGAATCAAGATTGGAGATTGTTTCCACCAACCTAATCCAATCTCACCAAGGTTAACTCTAAATCTTGTGATTGGTGGATGTGAAATCAAATTGTCAGTGGCAGATTTCAATCCAGAGAAGGTAACATTTTGATCATTGAATGTGTATAAACCTTCAGGCAAAAGACATTGCTTGGTTCCAATAGAAGTAAGACCAATTTGACCCTTTCCTACTCTAATAATCTTAATGGTTTCATGTTGAATGAATGGTTCGTTCATTGCACACAATCCAGAGTATGTGAACAAGGCAGAGTCAATGACATAATTACCAGGTGTCAAAAGCTTTGGAACGTTTGCTTCAATGACCTTAGCATAGTGACCTTGTGGAATTCTCAGAATGTTAATAGTTCCATGCTTGATATTTTCCTTATTCATTTCAATAGAACCACCATAATGGAATAATCTAGTATTTCTAACATGCAAGCCTTCAGCAAGAAGTAATGGTTTACCATTCAATGTAGCAAGTCCAAAATAACCTTTTTTAACTCTAATAATTTTAAGAGTTTCGTGTTCAATTTCATCACTATTATAAATTTATAGTAAGAGAATGATAATTCAAATACTTACCTTGCAATATTATATGTAGTAGACCAGTGAGCACGAGGATTAATATTAAGATAACGACCTGGTCCAACAATTTCAACACAACCATTGTGCATAACCACTCTAATGTTACCTTGATCAATAACCTTATTACCAAGAGTTGATTTGATCACAGAAACACCCTTTTCATTAACCAAATTACAAATTTGATTAATAATCTCATCATTACTTGTTCCATTAACATTGGGTTTGACAAGTAAATTTTCCAATGATTCACAACCCAACTCTAAACGGTTGGTAATTATGTTTCCATTTGCATGATCAAATTTGTATGGAGAAAGATCAATCTTTTCTCTGTACAAGCTTTTAGCAAGTTCATTCAATGTTTCGTTTTTCGGATTTAGATTTACAATTGTTGCTTCTACGTTATTAACCAAATTATTATCACTGTTAGGAGAGTTTGGAATCATCAAACAGGAGTGTAGGTGCTAACAAAGATGAGGCTTTTACGAGAGAGAAGGAAGGTGCTTTAGAGGCTTTTTGTTTTGATGAGCAAGATTGTTGGCTTGTCTCTTTATGGTATCGGATGGTACTGGCTTGGTAGAATGTTTAATAATAAAACTTTTGGTTCTATGAATGATCTTCTAATTGGGATTTACAATGTTGTGATGAATCAGTAAAGAGTGATTAAATGAACAATTTTGGTGATGGTAGTGGGAACTCGTAATTACATTTTTTTTAAAAAAATGTAATTTTAAAAGTAAAATTAGAATTTGCTATTATTAAGGAGACAAGCTCATTTAGAGTTTGTAGTAGATTCCTGATCAAATTGATTGATCAAAAATTAGTGGGGAAAGATTTTCTGACGATTGCTTGGTGCCATTTCTTGAAATATTGGAAAAACAAGAAAATGAATCTTTATGTTTGTACTCATCAACTCTCACGTTGGAGGAGGAGGATCTGAAATGGACTCTACAGCTGACGTCTTAATACTTATTATTAAACTTCAACTATTGGACAAGGAGTGACACAAAGGAACAATCACAAAAAATTGTTTTTATTTAAGGGAACAGGAGGTTCAATCCGAGGATCCTTAGCGGAATAATTAAGGAGTAGCAACAATTTCCACAACTTTCCGCTGCGCCTACTATAATTACAAGAATTAAAAAAACAACCTTAATAAACCATTTATCAACTCAAAGAGAAACCGTTTGCATCAGAGGATGGAGGAAGGTCGTTTATTTTGTGCCAACTCTAAATGAGTGAGTATTCTTCAGAATGTTTCTCGCTGTGATGATACTTCTCTCCATATCGATAGCCATTGAAGGAGACACTAGTGTTCACGATAATAAGGAAATTGTGTTCTATCCATTGAGAACCCATCAACAATTTGATATCCAGAATATTCCGACCTATTTTCTGGAATCTGCCTATTTTAAGGCCTATTTTGAACTCTATTATAGTGAGGATGATTTTGATTTAATAGGAACTCATCAATTCCTTTCTGAACAAACACAAGTGAGTGAATATCCTTCCATTATTAAGAAAAACAAGCTGTTATTTCAATATGGTCTAACATGGGATTTGACTAAGGCTCACATGAAACCAAACACTCAAAAGAATCAAACAGTTACTCTCAAATTCTATCCTCAATTCAAGTACAACATTGATCCTTACTCTGTTAGAGCCTTTTTGATAAAGCAAAGTGAAAATTTGGGAATTCAGACTCAATTCACTCCACTCTTTCCCGCTTCAGATGTTGAATCACCAACATTAGGTCCTTGGGAATGTACTTTATCTCTTCGAAATTATAACTTTGATTTGCCATTGCAATTGACAATATTTGCTTACTCAGCAGCGAGTATTGGTTATGTACCTGGAGAGGTTGTGCCAATTTACTATCCAAGGGGTGTTTCATTCTTCATGAAAGGTACATCAAATCTCAGATTAGATGTCATGTATGCTAATGCAACTGTGATAGATCCGTATGAAAGAGAGAGAGCTCCCACACTTAGTGTTAGTAGCTACAGAAAAACAGTTAACGCCCCAAGTGGTTATTTAGTGTTTACACAATTCTTTGTAAAGGAAGATTCGAATAATATCCTTGATATGGAAGAAACAAGATTATTTACCTTCAATTCAGCTCTATATGTTGGTAGTTTTACTATTGACCCCTTTTCTTTGAAGTGTGCATACGCAACCAAAGATTCAAACTTCCAAACTCTAGTTATTGATCCAACATCCTCTGTTACAATTGGCTGCCTATTCACTCACTTGTAATCAAGTAATACCAGATTCAGAATACGTTTTTGCACTTGTTGGTAGTGATGTGCCAAGAGATGAATGTCAGCTCTCTAGCTCATGTCCAATTCGTTCCTCCAGAATTCAATCATATTCTGCATGGAAGATGCAATTACTTGTTTCCTTTGATAAAAACACCCAACTTCAAGGATCTATTTCAGTAAGCACTGGATCTTTAATAGATTTCCCAGGCGCAACATTCTCTCCTACCAATCAGGGACCACTTACTCTTCTTGGTATTGTTTATTTCAATTTACAAAAAACAACCATCAAGAAACAACTAAATAATACAGACGAATTAAGGAATTCAATTATTGTAAGGGCTTTTACAAATCTAAGGGCACAACAAATGGAAGATGCCATGGTTCCTTATTCTCTTAGATTATTCAAGTACAATTCGACCCAAAATTTGTTTGAATTAATTTCACAAGATGTTCCATTGGACTCTATTTCGAGTTTTTCTTTCGATTTGGAACAATTATTGGCCTCAAAAAGTCAGAAATTCACAATAGGATTGTGTACTTATAAGGGTACAAAAGGTGTAGTTGGAGATTTGGTTTATGCTCACTACCCGAGAATTGTTAATTTTTACCTTAACAACTTTGTAATCTTGTCAATTTACTTTAAAGCAGTTTTCACAACAGCAATCATGTACGAAAAGAGACCTTACTTTACAATTAATAATTATGTTCCAAAAAATGTCAAGGGATTGAATGATTTTGTAATTTTACACAGTTTCATGCAACAAAATGGAAATGGATTGGAAACGATTGGATACGATGATGGAAGAAAGTTTACCTTTCCAATAGATTCAATCTCAGGAGCATTTGTAGATACATCTGGTAGATCAGTAACTTTTAAATTTGAACATGTCAGATGTGTCTATTGAGCCTTGTCCGAAAACGCTTTTTTTTCGAATTTTTGAAAAAGTAAACACTCACGCTTCTTTTTCGCTTTCTCTCATCACATTTTGTTTTTTGTGTGAGCGCTGAAACAAGAGGGATTCTTTTTTGTGCGAAAGCGATTTGGATATTCTTGCCAAAACAATGGCGAGTGTTTCTTCCTTTCAACTGCAAGAAGTAAAATATTTTTATGAGAAGAGAATTTCTTTCTGGTTGGTTTCGAAAGCACTTTCGAAATTAAAAAGTCTCCATCTTAAACAAACTAGTTTTCAACAACCACAATAACACTGATCCTAAAACTTTAGGATTAAGTAGAAGGATGTATAGAGGTTACATCCATGGAATATTTCTTCTCTGGTCTCATTATCCATCAAGTATTAATATGTTTTCGATTTAAAATTACAATAACAATTTTCGAATTCACCTTTCTTTAACTCATAAACAACAAACAGGCCATAAATAAATGTGAGAGCTTGTTTAACCACTTTAACTTGTTTGCGTTTCATCGTGAACATGTCCACTCACACTTGTCATTTCGATTTAAAAATTACACAACAAAAGGAGAAAAGAATCCCGGCACAAGTTTTCGAGGAGCGAAAGAAGAAAAGGCTTTTGTGAACGTGTGCGTTTGTTTTCGATTTTCGGGCTTTCTCACATTTTCGAAAAAAAACAGGGTTTCGACAAGGCTCATTTATTCAAAGAAACAAACTTTGAAAAATTGGAAATTAGTCAAGGTATCACTACGCTTGACAAAAACCAATTTGTAATTGATTGCTTTGAGGATGTAAGAGATGAAACTTTTGTTTTCATGTTAATTGCCAAACCATTTATTGGAATAGTTCAAAATAATACCGCATTTGGTAATGAATATCCTGTGACAAGCACGAACACTGATTCATTCACAAGCAATATTCTCCCTTCAGATTCAATCAAGATATCTTTCAATCCGAATGGTAAATCAACAGGTAGTTATGTTTTCAAATCAGATAAGAGAAAATATTCAGATTATCAACTTCCAACACTTCAACAGCAGCCACTCTCATTACTTGGTATGTTTATTCTAAATGGGACGAACGTAAAGCTTGGTGCCAATTATTTGGATCGCCAAGTTGACATTGTTTATGAGAAGAAGACAATGGAAAGAAACTTTGATCCATATTCGTATAGATTCTTCTCTGTTGATGATGAAAATCAAGAATTTAAGTTATTGAATTGTGAAGATGTTCCCTCTCAAGATGAATGGAAATATTCGATTGATTTGAGCAAACAACAAAATAGACAAGTTAAATTTGCAGTATTTGGATTTAATAATATAATTGGTGAAATGAATCGTGAATATTCTATTCATTACAATAGAATGCTAAAGTTTGCTCTCTCTGATTTGAATAGTGGACTGGAAATTTCATTTTCATCTGAATTATTTCCACAAATCAATAATGGAGTGAAATTCATTTTGAAAGAGAAACAAGATGCAACTCAATTTAATAATTTCATGAATGTGATGAGATTTACAATTGTTCAAACAGTTAGATCAGATATATTGAGTGAAAGAAAATTCCAATACAATAACAAATTGAGTGATATGGAAGGAAATAAGATTTCAAATTTAACAAGATTACAATGTGTTTACATTACCAACTCAGGAATAATTTATGGAACAAGTTTAGTTACCATTGAATCAAATAATCAATATACTTTACATGTAATGAAATAATATTACATGAAGAATATGATTTACAAATTGTTGAACCATCTCCAATCATTCCTCCTTCACCTCCTCAACCAGAACACTCAATCAAACCAGATCACTCAATTAGTCCACAACCGAAACCACAACCATCACTTATTGATCCAAAACCACAAGAATCAATTAAATTGCAACCTGTATCTTCTATAAAACCATCTCAAAGTTCAGGTATAACAAAGGATGATATTGGAAATGGATCAAAAAAAGATGAAGCAATACTCATTCTTGGTATTTGTCTTGCAATAATTACCTTATTAGCAATAGGTTCCTTACTTGTGGCCATTGTACAGTCAATGAGGTTGAAAGGCAAGTTTGCAGTCATCCTATAAATCATCTAAAAATCAAGAAATGAAAGATCCAATGTTATGGAATATAAGTTGAATAAATTATATTAGTTGATAATGTCAATTCATCAACAGATTTTGTTTATCAAGATTTTAAATGTTGAATTGAAAATTACAATGAAATATATTCACTATTAATAGTTGATAAATGGAGGTTCAAATAGTATTTGAAGATAATTCACAACCCAATTTGTCCAAGTAATGGGATATGTTAGCAACACCGAAACTAGACGAAAAAAATGTTAAAAAGTGGATTGTTACTTTTCACTTGTTTGTTTGTGGTTATCACTAGAGTTGAGCAAGTGTTAGCATCGACCAATGTTCAAATTGCCCACTCCCTGAACATTCCTTCAGTTTGGCAACAATTACCACTTTCCGATAATTTATCTGAAAGGGTTGTTTTAACATTTGCATTAAAAAATAGAAATGTTGAATGGTTGCAAAGAATATTCGAAAATGTGAATAATCCAATGCATAGAGATTATGAAAAATACCTCACCATGAAACAAGTTTCCGATATAACTTCTCCTCAACAAACTAATCTCGTCATTGAATACTTGAACTCAATTCCTGACTGTTCTATATTGAACATTTCCAAACACGGCAATTTAATAACAGTGAAAATAAGTTTACAATCTGTAAATTTACATTTAAATGCCAAAATGAAACCATTCGTCCACAAGGAAACCAAAGAAATAATTTTCCGCTCCCTGAATGGTTTCTCTCTTCCATTGGAAATTAGTAAGATTGTGAAAACTGTTTTTGGAATTCATCATTTTCCACATGGAAATGCAAAAAAGAAATTCACTGCTGCTCAATCTTCACATCCAATAACTCCGAAGGAAATTTGGAATAGATACAATGTCAGTTTACCAACAAGTATCAATGGACAAAGTTCTCAGGCGATTGCTTCTCTTTTGGGACAGTTCTATAATTCAAATGATTTGAGTCAATTCCAACACATGTACAACTTGACACAAATGCAACCAATTGTAAATGGAGATAATAATAATGGAAAACCAGGAATGGAAGCTTCTTTAGATATTCAATATATTATGGGAATTGCACAGGGAATTAATACTACAATTAATAGTATTGCATCCAATAATATTGAAGATCCATTTGTGCAGTGGATTTCAGTAATTCAATCACAAGGAGATTCAAGTGCATGGATTCATTCAATTTCGTATGGAGCTGTCGAGAAGGATATTCCAGCAGATGTAAAGGAAACTGTCGATCAGGAATTCCAAAAAATTGGATCAACAGGAAGAACTATATTTGTTAGTTCTGGAGATAATGGAGTCAGATGCAGTGATTATGGTGATAGATTTGAACCAGAATGGCCAACTAGTAGTCCTTTTGTTGTCTCTGTTGGAGCTACAGAATTTAAAATTAAGGGAGGAAAAATCTCAGAAATTGGAGCTGATTTCACGGGAGGTGGATTTTCAGATGCCTACAAAAGACCAAGTTATCAAGATGAAGCAGTTACTAATTATTTGAATCAAGAATCATTCCCAGATAGATCGTATTTCAATCAGAATGGTAGAATGTTTCCAGATATGACCTTAATTGGAAAAGGTTTTCAAGTAATTCTTTCAGGAAAGGTTCAATCAGTTGATGGAACAAGTGCCAGTACACCAAGTGTAGCTGCTCTATTTTCTCTTCTCAATAATATTCGTTTCCTACAAAATAAGAAACCAATCGGATTCCTTAATCCATGGCTCTATCAAATAGCTCCAAAAACACCAAATGCTTTCTATGATATCACAGAGGGTTATAATTCATTCGATCCATGTCCTGGATTCTTTGCAACCAAATCATTTGATCCAGTGAGTGGTATTGGCGTACCAAACTTTGCAATTCTAAAGGATTTAATCTTGACAAAATAGAGAATTCCACTACTGTAGGGTCCTGAAGAAATAAAAAGAATTACACCAGCTCATCAACTGACATGGGAATTCCACATCAACACATTACCTGCAACATGCCCTAATATCTTTGGAAACATCCTCAGAAAATTGGAAGGGCTATGCATTAGGTCTGAATAATTTTGGTAGAAACCAACGTAATTCCAATAGATAGGTTGTATTTCCAAAGCAATAGCAACAATCTCTAAAAGAATGAATATTGAATTGTGGTTAAGAAAGTTTTAAATTTAATAACCAGCCAAGACCAAGTTTCAATCCTAGAAATGCTCTGTTCAAAAAAACCTCCATCATTTTAAGAACTAGGAATATGGCAAGATACTGAGAAAATATTTAGGTTTTGTATCAGTTTTTGGTTAGTCAATAAACTGCATCCATCTACAGCCAAGTTCTTTCACCCTTAGAAGTCAACAAATTCATTCTATTTCTGTAACCAGTCTCTGGTTTTGGAGGTTTATAAATTGGTTGAGGAATGCCATTATTGTAGTTGGCACAATTATTGAAAATATTTTTCTTCGTTTTAAATTCGTGGAGGGATTTCATTTGAGCTCTGTATAATTGTTTTTGAATGGAATTTGGAGAAGTATTCACAGAAGGAGCTTCAACAATCGAATAATTATTTTCCACTCTAATTTTAGGATAATTCATAGAGAAGTCCATTCTATCGATCGGTAAATTATTTTCCACATTGTGCACATCCTTTTTCTTATTGAATTGACTTTTTCTTCTTAATCTCCCACATTTCTTCTTTTCTCTATTTTCTTGATTCGGATAGATTCTCCAATCTAACCGAGAAAAATACATGGGTGGTTCATCTGGATCAGAATTTAATTTAATTTTAATTTTAATATCGGCGTAAGAAATATTTGATGACGGAACAAAGGTGGTTTGTTGTCTAACCTTGCCAGCTCTACTAATGTTGGTTGCCATTTTTTTTTAAATTTGTTGTAAACTTATGTTTTGGTAAAAAGCATGGATATTGAACTAGTGCATGCTAGAGGTGAATATAAAATGTCCATTGGCATGGTAGATGAAATTTGAGTGATTTTTCATTTCTTGGAACGAAACTTGTTGAGTTTGAATGAAATCTGAAGGGAGGAGTATTTTGGAGCATAGTTGAGGAAGAATTGGAGTGAAGAGAGTTTGAATTTGGTTTGGAGTGCGGAATTTGAAAGCAATCAAATCACAACAGCTAATTAAAATCAAGTCATCGTTCAAGATCTTGAAGGAATAGGTGTAATCCTTCACGTTGAGATATTCGTGGACCAGTTGTCCATCATTGAGAGTCTGATGCATAAAGTTTTGAATCTTTAGATAAAGGTGCTGAGATGAGGTTGAATCTTGTTCATTCATCTTCAAGACACCAATATCTGAAGAGTTCCAATATGACGATCCAATCAAGTCTTTCGAATAATCAAAGAATAATTTTCTGTGCTCTTCAGATGAAAATTCCAATTTTTCAATTGTTGAGTGTTGAAGGGATTCTAAAGAAAGTGAGGAATCCAGATGAGTTTTGAGGAATATTGGTGGACAACAAGCTACTCTTTCTCTCTTCATATCTATGAGCATTGAGTTGCATTGTTGGTGAAATGAGCTCATCTCCTTTGAGATGTCAATTGTCTTGAAAATATTGTAAGTATTCTCAATAATTTCTACATTTAGATTGGTCAAGAGTTTGTTCGAAATCATGTCTCTGTATTCATTGAGAACTTTGAAACAGGTTTCCAGGTTAGAAAGCATATTTTCCATCTCTCTATACATTAAAGGTTGTGTTCGATTGTCCCTATCAACTACCATTCGTTTAGAATATAATTCTATATTCTCCAGTTGTGCATCTGTTTGCACCATTTGGAATGCAATAGATTTTACAATGTGGAGAAAATCTCCTTCCTCGCCTGCTGTTTTAAAATCTTGTTCAGAGTTGCTTGATTTCTTGTTTGTGGACCCTGCCTTGAAATGTGATTCGAACATGTTTTGAATTAATTGAGGTAAATCCACATTTCTTTGCTTTTTTCTAAGCATTTTGTAATTTTGCATTAAATTATCCCATTTAAGGTTTTTCACTTCAAACCATTTCCTGAATAGCTCCTCATTAAAGTCCTTCTCCAATAATTTCTTTTCTCTAAATTCTCTTTCCCATAAAATACATTGTTTACAAATTTTTGAATAATCAATTAGTTTCACACTTTCAACTCGTTTTCTAAAATCCAAAGATTTCAAATTTGATTTCATATCGTCATGATACAAATCAGTTAAATCCTCATCCATACACCCATGAACAATTCCAAAATTATCCAACAGCTCACTAACCAATTCATGATCCTCAACTCCCAAAAACTCAATCAACACAGCTCTTTGTCTAATCTTTGCCTTGTGAATTCTCATCACTCGTCCAACCATTGACAATATCTGTCTGACACCTCTCACCATCTTTAACACAATATTTCTCTGAACAAAATCCTTCACAGGACACTCATATTTTTGTTCATGATATCCATACGTTAATTTAATTTGATTATTGATGGCATCAGCAGTTCCTTTAAAACAATCAATGACAATTCCCTTCTCACTATCAATGACTATTAAATTCCGATTCTCTTCCAATTTATTCTCCACACAGAAATCGAAACAAACTTTCTGTGAGGGAAGTTTTCTCTTGTAGGCTGGTGTTGTTTTATTGGTGGTGGTGATTGGAATCCAGTAGATTACATCTCTATCGATAGAATCAGTGGAGCCATGAACAACCCATGGAAGCTTTCTCAACTCTTCCAGTGTCCAATCATTGGTTGTGAGTGAATCTTCAACTACTGGTCCGATATCATTCAATTGATTTTCCATCATTTTGTTTACCAAAGTGTAATGTGATGGTAATTTTTTGTGTTTGGTGAATTTATAAAATTGCACCCAAAGTTCATGCTGAATTTGTTTCAAATTTGCATTTACTTAACAATTTTACAATCAGCATTTTGTTATTAAATTAATAATTATAAGAATATTACTCCGAATCATAAATTAATAATAATAGTAAATTTAATTATTAAAAAAAATCATCAAAAATCCCAAAGAACACATTTTCATCATCTGTTATAATCAAAATAATCAAATTGCAAATATATTAAATTAATAACTTAACGGAATACAAAGTAGTAGCAATATTAGATAAGAAAATGGGAGCAAAAGTTAAAATTCAAGTAAAAAGCTGTAGAAATTTACCAATCATGGATAGGAGTAGTGGATTAACAGATGCCTATGTTGTTGTTAAATGTGGTAGTGAATATCAATTTAAAACACCTGTCTGTAGGAAAACTTTAAATCCATCATGGAATATTGACGCTTTTAGATTTGAAGTGCCGAATAATGATTATTTACAGGAAAATGTAATTGAATTTAAAATTATTGATTATGATGTAGTTACACAGGATGATGTAATCGGAACAGTTATTGTTGATACTAATTTATTAGCCTTGAATCAGGTAAATCAATTTAGTGGTTGGTTGCCAATTTTTGACTCATTTAGAGGAGTTTGTGGAGAATTGAATATTCATATCAAGATTGATTTCATTCAAAATATTAATCCATACCGAGACAGTTGTCCAGAAGTTCAATTCTTTTCATGTCCAAGTATTTATCCACTCATGGAATATACTCAATATTCTATAAGAATTAGTGATTTTGTTGAGGAATTATTAATCGATGACGATCCAGAATATGATTCGTTCAAGGATTTATTGAGAAGCAGTCGAAGTTCAAACGATCAGAGACAATTACTTCTCTATCAATTATCTGGTAGATTAAAAAGAAGAATGGGAAAGAAAGTCCAAGAAGCTAATGACAACATTATATTTGGATATGAGGAATGTTTTGATTTGGAAAATGATATTATTATTGTGAGAGGTTTGGGAACTAGATGCAAATTATCAACAAAAAGACTAGTTGAAGAAATTCCACAAATAGCTCTACCAGGCACACCTCCAATGAATATCATTCCACTCACTGATTTTGCATCTTCGCCACTGGCTGCTGCTTCTGTTGATTCTCCAACCAATACATTCAATGGACAAAGTGATGTGAAATTAATTACCATCAAGACACTTGACTCACAACATATCAAATACATGGCAGGTATTGTTCAAGCAAGATCTGTCAAATTACTCTCACCAGATATGAAACTAAGTGATATGCAAAAAGAAAGAGACGGATGGTGGAATGAATTAAGAGCAGAAATCAAGGAAAATGCCAGATCACTCGGTTGTACTCATGTGATTGGCTATTCTGAACAATATGAATTATTTTCCAAGGGATCAGTTTGTATCCTTTGTGCAGAAGGAACAGCAGCTGTGCTCAATCCTCAATTTGAGAATTACAATATTAGAAACTTGTCTGATGATCAAGAAGAAAAGGAAGTTGACAAGCATATTGAAGATAGATACTGTAGAATGTTCCACCTTCCTAAGAATAGTCCATTCTTTAGAGCTGGTGCTTCTGTGTGTCCATTACGTGGTGATGGTTATGTTCCAAATATGTTTATTTCAACTTGTGAAATTCCAAACATTATAGAACAAAGATTTTCATTACAACAAAAGCACTTTATTGAAGCCAGAATTTGTAGAACCAAGAAGAAGAAATTTGGAGAAAGCAATGCTTATAGTATTAGTAATGTTCTACCTTTCGTGGTTCACGATCTTCACAAGCAATTTGTGCACAAAATGAATTTGTGTCACTGTAATGCTGCTTTCAGTGTTTCCTATAATCTTGCTATTAATGACAATTTCATTATTTTAACATGTAGAGGAACTGGTCTGTGCATTGATGCCCTCCCAAGAAATGAAAAGATGAGCTTTATTCTCCCAGATGAGAAAGACAATACTGACCAAATAAGACTCTTGACAGATTATAGTGATTACTATGTAAGTTGAATATTATACCAGTGTATCTAATTTTCAAAGTCTATATTATTGGACAATTCTATTGAAGAAAGACATGAAGAAGCCGAAACTGAAGAAAATGTAGATTCTCCAAGAGGAAAGGATTTGAATGATAGTATATCTTCTGGTTCTGAAAATGAGGAACTTATTGAAAGTGGAAGTGCTGGATTTGCTCTTGAAATGGCAGATGAACAGGATGAAGATTTCATCAACTCACTTGTGGAACCTCTTTTACCTTGTGGAATTCATTTTACAACATTGAAACATATTTCAGAACTTGCATCCAAATCAATGTCTCATCTTCAGTACATCTTCTTAGAAAAGTCATTCCCTCTCAAGACTGATAATGTTAAAAAGCAACAACAGTACATTGCTTCACTTTTCAGAGAGTTGTACATTACCCTGTCTTTCAAATTATTACTGCTTTCCAATGAAGAATTGAATCAAAGTGTTTATGTGATGGGTATTTCTGAAAAACTCAGATTGGAAGATTCAAACGATTTGATTATTACCTTGCAAGCTATGCCAGCTTTGGTCACTTCACACCAACTCAAAGCCAATCCACAACTTGAACAAATGAAGGCCAATCTACCACAACTCCTTCCACCACTACCACACCCACAGTCCATTACCACTAATATTGATATTGGAAGTCCAAGAAAGAGAGACACTTCACCACTCAATAGAGGCACTTCACAAAATCTCACTTCAAGCTTTGAAACTCCTGAAATGCTTTTCAATATGGATATTGACCAAAAATCAGAAACACCTTCGGTAATACCTGAAGAACGTGATATCGATAAGGAATGGATGGAAGAGCAGTATGTTGTCATTACACCAATGTACTTTATTCCTGGAGCCAAAATTGAAAAGGTAGTCGGTGCTATTACACAACACCTTGTTAGAGAGTCCACCAATGTAGTCCAATTCAGTTCCTTCCAACAGGAATGCATCATGGAAGCAACTTCCATCATTAGAGCACACACTAAGGCCATCGACTGCAATGCCCTCATTAATTATTCTGTCAAATTCCATGCTGTGTTAGATAATCCATCTAAGAAGCAAGCTTACATCATGCTGACAATTTCTGGTGATGCTTGTAAGGTTTCCTACTCTTCCTCCTCAGGCCTTCAAAGATTAACAGAATTATCCAAATAATAATATTATCATAATACTGTATAGACCATTCCCACAAATTATCCAAAGTGTGCGCCTCAGAGAACTCTCCAAGAATATATAGAGATAGGTGCTGCACTGTGCAAAACACGGAACAATTTATTTGCCTCCACAACGTTCATGAAAAACAAATAAAAACGCACAAACACAATCAATGAACAGTCATCATCATCATAATCACCAACACAAACCATTTAATGGTGCAATATTAATCTTCTTCATCACCACATTGTTCAGCTTAATAGCATTCGGATACTGTTCAACCTTAATAGAAAACTCAGCAAGGGATGTAAACATTGCCTCGGCAATATCCATTGATGTAAAGAAGGAAACACGGGACAAGTTATATGGAAAGAATCACATCCTCTACATTGCCTCATTCAATGTGAGTTCCAACAACAATGATCAGGTAACAGTGACTACATCCTTGATATCCACCAATGGAGACACTTCACTTCCGATCCAAATTGAAGTTTGGCAAATTGATGATACCTATGGCTACATTTCCAACATTACACTGGTGTCAACAATGAAGGAACAAATTCTGCTCGAATATAACGGAAAATCAGTTCAGCAATATTATGTGAGAGTGAGATCGTTCTATGTGAAATCGACTTCCTTTGGAGAATTTTCAATCTCTTTCACAATGGAAAAGAAATTAGATTATGGATTGATTTTTGGATTGGCAATTGGTATTCCATGTGGAATTTTATTACTTTTTATTGTGTTGGGAGCTGTTGGACATGTTAAAATTCAGAAAATGAGATTGGAAAATTATGATAGGGAACGTCAAGCTAGTGCACCAAAAAACGTAAAACTCAAACCAAATGTCAAAAGTAATTTTGAACAACCTGAATATGAAGTTGAACCTTTACCAATTTTATCAAATTTACCTCAATTTCCAAAAGTTAAAGAAGAACCACCAAAACATCAAACAATTTCCTCAGAGGATCTCATTAAATTTGAAGGACAATCCATGGTCGGAGATGAAGCAATTTCTGAAATTTCAGTGGTTGATGAAGAAGATGTCAGAGTTTCCATGCCTAGAGTTCCCCTTCCTAAATATATTGAACCACGAGATGCTGTTTCAGATAAGATTCCTCAAGTAGAACCAACTCCATCTTCCACTCCTCCACCTTGTGTCGAAAGTGAAATTCAACCAGTTCCTTCTGAAGACGAAGTGAATTTTGATATTTCAGTTCCACTTCCAGATAAAATTTAGTGAGATTTGTAAATTTAAATTGAGCTAATTGAGTTTCTTTAATTTCAAATAAATATCCCTGCTTGGTTTCATTGTCACATCGGCTACTTCTCCAATTTCTCCCTCAGTTGCACATTCCAATTCAAAACTAGTGATTACTTGATGTAAGATGCTTAATATTTCAATTTCTGCAAATCTCTTTCCAATGCATTGTCTCTTACCAGCAGAGAATGGACAAAAGATAAATTTGTTTTCCTTTAACATGTCAATAACCTCTGGTCTGTCAAAACGTTCAGGAACAAATTCCATTGAATCATTTCCCCAATAATCTGGATCAGTTTGTGAAATGCAAAACTTCATTTCTATAGTGACTCCTTTTGGAACCATTTTACCAGCAATTTCAACTTTTTGCATGGAAAATCTGCTATTGGTTGGAGCAGGTCCTTTCAATCTCAAAGTTTCAGAGACAACATTTCTGGCATATGTCAACTTGTCCATATCCATATAAAGTGAAAAATCAATTCCTGATTCTCCAACTTGTTCTCTAAATTCATTTCTGAGTTTTTCTTGTCTTTCTTTATCCTTTGATAAAAGATAAAACATCCAAATTTGTACATTTTGTGACGTATCCCAACCTGCTAGCAAAAAGGCATGAGAATTGGCTAAATAATTCCATTAGAAAATTGACAATTTCCTCAATAACTTACCAACAATTTCATCCTTTGTGAATCCATATTTCGTATAAGTGTCATCAGTTTGTCTATCATCCTCTCTCTTTGAAAGTAACATTTGTGAAATCAAATTGCTCTTGAAAATTTCACCGCTTTCACTTTCCAATTTAATTTCATTTTCTCTTTTCTCAACAATGTTAAACAAGATATTTGGCCATTCCTTGAAAACCATCTTGTACTTTTCTGGGAAGAAGATTTTAGTGAATGCCTCAATGTGTTTCCTCTTGAATAATAATCCAGCAGATAGTACTTGAAAGATTGTTTTTGTAATGAGTGGCATTCTTTCATTTTCATTTCCAATTGCATCCAAATCTGCCATTCCAAATCCAGCTCTTCCAATAACATCCTATTATCATTTCGAATATTTTTAAATAATGGTCAACTCTGTTTTTCATTGTAAACTTGAAAACTTACAATGGCGACTCTATTAATCCAATTATTAATAATGATAGTATCACTTTTATCCCTATTCTCCCACATCTTCTCAACCAATCTCTTGGCAATATATGAAATATGATCTCTCAATACAAGTGACAGAACTTCATCAGAGAAACTTGGCTTGGTCAATTGACGATGTCTCTTCCATCCATCTCCATAATCAGTAAATAAATTCTTTACATGATGAGGAATATTCATATTATTAAACAATGGATGTTTACGGAAATATTTATCTTTTGTAACCAAAATCTCTTTATAATTATCAGGATGACTATTCTCAAACGAAAATTATCAAATTTTGTGCAAAATTGTAAAATATATGAAATTATTTTCCTCCTTGACTCATTCCACAATCAAAAACACTTACACTGCAAAACAAACAGTATTAGTTCCAATAGTAATTCTCCAAATATTTTCCTTTCCAAACTTTTTAGCATTCCTAGCTTGTAAACGAGGTGAAAATAAAAAGTCCTGCTCTGGATTGAATAATCGGAGGGTAAAGTAAGAGTAGAATGAATAGCCAGGGATGTGTTTTACTCGTTGAATTTCTTTAAAGTGTTGGTAATAGGCATAGAGATGATAGATCACAAATAATATTAAAAGTACATAAATAAAATTCCATAACCACGCATGAGATGAAGCAGTAGTGTGGTTGATGTTAGACAGTAAACCATCAATTGTGTTGTGCTGGCTTATGGACATTTTTTATGACTGTTTGAATTTAAAGGTCGGTGGCATTGGAAACATGCAAGTTTAATAAAGAAAATAATTGATTGTCCTATAGAAAAACATGTCCCCTCTCCTCTGATTGCCCTCTTTCAAGCCACTTTCCAACAAAATTCTTCACCAATAAATAATTCTTCACAAGTGCAAAATCAATTTTTCTTCAAAAATTCGTTTTCAAAATTAAAAATAAAATTGAAAAAAAATGTTGAACAATAATAATGGAGAGGGTGATAGTTCCATGCCTAATGTAACATCATCATCATCGGATTCGAGAGCTGATATGATGATGACACAGGAGGATGAAGGTGTTGATATTGGAGAAATTGCAAAGAAATTTAATCCAGCACAGGATGGTGATGTAGAAATGGGAGAAGCCTCTTCGTCATCTTCCGATGGTGATGAAGTTGTAAAGAGATTTGAAGTTTATTTATCACATAAATTGTCTGATAAACTTTACTTGCTACAATATCCACTTCGTCCAAAGAATAATAATTATAATTTTCAACAATTGAAGGAAGTTAGATTTAAACCGAATCACAACAAGATGGAAATGGATTTTGAAGTGAATACAAGAAGCGAACATTATAATACAGATTCTGGTCAAGAATATTCTACATTTTCCCTTTCATCAACTAGTGTTCCTGTCAAGGCAAATTATGCTGTTGGTATTCTTAGAGGAAATCAATTGCATCTTACTCCTTTGTGGAACATGTTACAATTACGTCCTGGTTTCCAACATATTAATGATGGTTATTCAACTGGAAAGAGTAAAGTTGTAAGAAAAAAGAAGGGAGAAGAAGGAGAGGAAAATGGTGATAAAAAGAATGAAGCTGTACCAAATGCTTCTCAAGGAGGTGGTATGAACTTTAGATTACAATCGGATAGAAAGGCATTGGAAAGATCATATCAATTTATGAAGGATCAAGAAAATAATGAAAAATCCATTAACTTGGCTCTCTATTCACCTCAAGACTCTAGACAACATATTGAATCACTCTTTGAACAAAGAGATGATCCTGTTAGATTTAATGTACCACCAACTGCCTATCTTAAACAATTGGTTCAATATAGAGAAGAAGATCAATCAGCTATGGCTCAAGGTTCTTTGGGAGCAATCAAGAAAATCAAATTGGGAGAAAGACAAGTTTACTATGCCTTGTATCTTGCTAAAATTCTTCCATTCTCAAAGATTAGAGAGCTTTCAACACGTATAAAGAGTGATGAAGAAATGCTCAATGCTCTCCAGCGATATGGTGTATTTGTGGATGGTAGATGGGTTCTCAAATCAGAATTCAATGAAAAGATTATCAAATTGAAAGACTTGGATAAGAATCCTTGGACTTGTCTTAAATATCCAAAAACAGCAGCCTTTAGAGAATATTTACTTTACCTCTTCCAAACAGAAAAGAAAGTTATCAGAAAAAAGTTTGTTGAAAAGACTGGCATTGAAGCTGATAGGGCCAAACAATTACTCGAAGAAGTTGCTGTATTAAAGAAGGTATCTCAAGACGCAGATGAAGATGATGAATTGGCTGCCTACTGGGTTCTTAAATATGACGTGGATCAAGAATTCATTGACGAGTTTAGATCATTTGCTGGTTTGACAGTCAAGCAAATGTGGACAAAGAGAGAATTGGAAATTAATAACTTGACTAATTCTAACTTTAGAGATTTATCAATTCTCTTACATGATGTTCCAAAATCAAATGCAAGAGGTGTGGGAGGTGCTACACCAAACAGATTTGTTGCTTCTGTGGAAAGTGAATTGAAATTGTTCATTACCAATACCCTTCTTGAAAATGGTGTCTGTAGTGATGTCTTACTCAAGAAGAAGAAGAATGAAAACCCATCTAAGTACATTAATAATGCTAAGGAAGAAGATTTCTTAAAAATTTTGGATGAAGTTTCTATTGAATTTAATAATGCTAGAATTATGAAGTACAGATCTGATTACTCAGAGAAGGAAAACAAATATAGAGAGGCCATTGTAAAGGCATTTAAAGAGAACAAATATTGTCTTTCAAAGCCAAACGTTAAGGAGGTCATTAAGAATGCTTTCAATGAAGATATTCCACAAAACAGTTTTGTAAGAATCATGGTTGAATTGGCCATAAACGATGCAACTAACAAATGGCACGCAAAAACAGGTACTGAAGCTCTCAAACCTTCCAATACTACTGTATAAATCAAAATATTACACTCAACTAATTGTAGAACCAACTCATATAAACTTTAATTTATTTTCCTACCAAGAAGACAGAAAATCTTTGCTCAACCATCAAGAAGAAAATTATCACATCAACATCATACAAAAATCAAATAATTAATTAAAATAAATAAAAAATGACTACTGCCCAAGCACCAATCAAGACTTTGTCAGAAGACGAAGAAATGTATGTCGAAGCTGAAGGAAAACTCTTCGAATTATACAAACACAGATCAACAAATATTGCTCAATCCCAAGCTTTGGAAAGAGAAAAGAGAATGGCTACTCTTACCTTTGTAGAACTTGATAAACTTCCTTCCGATACAATCACATACAAGGCTGTAGGAAGATCCTTCATCACCAGAAAACAAGATGTTTTAAAGGGAGATATTCGTAATAATATTGAATATTGTGATGTGGAACTTAAAAAGCTTCAAGAAACGAGAATTTCTATTCAAAAGAGAATTGAAGCTGAAGAGGAATCATTTAAGACTATTATTCAAAAGATTCAACTTTCAAAACAACAACCTAAATCAAATTAATCATAAATTATTATTTTATTAGATATATAGTACACATTTAGCAACAACAACAATAACAAACATATTATTGGAGAACTTTGTGGAATTGATTGTAAGCTTGTTCCACATCATAGTATAATTGTCTAGCTTGGTCATCATCAAGATTTTCGTGGGCTTTCATCTGGTTAAATGTTACAATCCAATCCTTTATCCTTAACTTTCCTTCAAATTCTTTAATTTGTAATTTGTTCAAAGAGTCCATTAAATCTAAAAGCATTGGAGCTAATTGATCTTTAGCAACCAATCCCAATTTGATAGAATCCATGAGTGTGATAAAGTATTGAGTAGTTTGAGCAATTTGTTTAGCTGTTGATTCTCCACTGGTGTCTTTTCCACCATGTTCAACTGTTGCAGGAACACCAACTTTCAAAAGTCTATTAGTTGCTGCTGGACAGTCCAATTTATATTCTCTCATGAATTTTTCAATATCAGGTACATCTGCGGAAACAATTGGTGTGATCGTTTTGAATTTTGCAATTAATTTTGAACAAGCCTTTGTATATTCATCGGCTTTTATAGAATCTTTAACGTAGGCCTTTTCCAATCTCTCTACAGAATAAATTAATGAATATAATTCAGACATATTTTCAAACTTTTCTCTGTCCTTTCTAGTTTCAAATAATTTTACCTTTTCTTGTGATACTTTTTGTGTTGGAGATGAAGAAGAAATTGGTGATGTTCGTGTTGGTGTTGTTGTTGATGATGATTGAACAGGAGATGGACTCGATGACATTGTCGATGATGATGTTGCCATGTTGATATTGCTTGGGGGAGCAGAGTAAACATTTCCCGAGTAGCTGTAAGTTCTTTGCATTTTTTTAAAAATAGAAAAGGAAATGGAAACAAAGCGGACACAAGTTTAAAAACCTTAGATCTGATTATTATTAAAGAATTTTGATTAATAATTATTATTTCATGAGCTTGATCCTAATAATGATTGAGATTGAATTTAATATCGATATTACATTTGATGAAGCTTTCGCGCCTTTTTCAAATGTTTTAAATTTTAAAAAAAATATGAAAATTAAAATTAAGAGATCGCTATTGGTTGCTAGTTGGACATGGAAGAGTCCGGATGAGGTTTGTGGTATTTGCCATTGGCCACTTGATGGTTTATCACCAGACGGAGCTTCTAAATTTCAGCAACCGGGAGATGATTGTCCTGTTGTATGGGGAAAATGTAAACATGCTTTCCATTTGACTTGTATTGCTAAATGGTTGGAAACTAAAACAACAGATGCACAAACTTGTCCAATGTGTAGAGTACACTGGGAATTCCTCTAAATTATTATTAGGAATTTATTTGATGGTTTTTAAACCATTAATTGCTTGGAAAAAGAAAATTGCTTCCGATATCATGATTGAAGAATGAAGCATCAAAGATTAAGATTGAATAATATGTAATACTCGAATTCATAAGAATCTAGAAAAATTAGTTTGTTGAAATAAATAATTTGATAAAATCAAAAGTTATTATAATCTTTTAAAATCACATATGAAAAAAATGGATATTTCTAGATTTATTGATGGACAAAAGACTTCGTCTGTTACGTCATTTAGTCACATCAATGATTCATCAAATACTTTTCTAAAAACCCCATCCCTTGATGTTGTTGACTCAATACTTGCCAACCAAAATCCACAACTTTCCAATGCCAGCGAATATTTTAAAGTTTCTAATACTAAACTGGTTTCATACGGAGATGATAATCAAAAAACTGGACCATTGATGATTCTCAATCAAAATATTTCTAATTATCATGAAAAGAAAACGGAAACATTGTTTAAATTTAAATTGTGGCAAGAATAATACATAATATATTTATTTAATTGATTTGACAACTCTCCTTGATAGTAATGCCAAATCTGTTAATTGAGAAAAGTCAGCTGATCTTCCAATAATTATCCTCTTAACTTCTCCAAAGTATTTCTTACAGGATTGGCATTTAGAAATTCTTGCCTCCAAATTAATATCAATTTGAGCATTACTGTTTGCAAGTTGAAGATTATCTTCAATTAATTGAGCAAAACAATTGTGGAGTAAATGAGTTATTTTCAGTGCTGTCGAAATATGTTCTTCATAATTTTCCTGAACGAGCTCGATAATTATTGGAAGTAAATATACACACATATCAAGAGATATATTCTTCTTGGCTTCTGGACGAAGTAACTCGTTTAACATATCTGAAGCTAATGGAAGATCTTTCATCTTGGCCATAGCTTTAATGGCTTCCTTTGGATCACCTTGATCAATCCACGTTCTTCTCACAATCTTGAGATTATTTAATCTATTTGTCATTGCAACAGCCATCTTTTGATGCGACTTCATAATGCCATTAATGATATCCTCGTCACTAATCTCTGTAATTACTTCTCCTTTCTAATGAAATGTTATTGAAACTCAAATACAAAGATACTTACTGGAAGGAAGTTATCAATATCTAAATTTGCTGGCTCCTTTCTCTTTGCAGAGACAATTGCAACCTCAGGTGTTTGTCCTCCTAATTGAGGAGTTCTCCTTCCTTCGCCTGATACTTTTGTTACCGTAAATACTTCTCCATTATTTGTTGTAGTTGTAGATATACTAACAGGCTTTCTATTTCTAATTTCATTCAGTACATCCTCAGTTGAACTATTGAGGTTTTCATTGAAACTCTCCTGAGTAATCTGAGGTGAAAGAATTACCTTCTTATTATCATCTCCACTACCAGTATACCAAGGCTTTACAGAATCGACTGGAATAACCCAAACACCAACATATCCATTGATATTAGGATTATTTGCAACAGTAAATACTTGATTCAATCCTTGATGTAAATATACATCTCCAACATCACTCCATCTAGCATCTACATTGTCAATACAACGCATATTCTCACTCTTCCAACTGTGAACTTTCAGTCCTTCATTGCAAATTGATAAGATAACAGATCCCTCATTTGGACTAAATTGCACAGACTTGATTGCAGAAGGGAAAATATCAGAACGAGAAACCATATCAACTCCTCCATCAATATTGAAAACTGAAACAGTTCTATCTAAACTGCCTGTAGCAACCAAGAAATCAGATGGGTGAAAGTCCATACAAGTCAAAGCATTTCTGTGAGCTTGTGTTTGGTAGAATAATTTTCCAGCAATAACATCATAAACTCTGAGAAAACCATCCTCACAACCTGTTACAATCCATTTTCCATCAGGAGTGAATTTTACTACGGTAACAGCCTCCTTTTCTACTTGACCTTTGTATGTTTGAACAGCTTTCCTCTCCTTAACATCCCAAACTTTTAAATTTGTATCAAGAGAACCTGTTGCGAAATAATTAGCAAAAGGATGGTAGTCAATACAAGTAACACTTGCACGATGTCCATTTACATAAATTGCACTGGAGTGATTTAATTGTTGTCCAGAATTTAAATCCCATGATCTGATTGAACCGGATTCAGCAGCAGCAATAAGTAAATCTTCTGTATTATTAAAAGCGAGACAAGTAATTGGACTTTTATGACCAATCAGAGACATTAAGGGCTCATCATTGGCAGCATGCCATACTTTTACTATAGCATCTTCACTTCCGGTTGCAAATATTTGACCAGATTTTCTACCAATCCTCGAACACAACACTTGTTTTTTGTGTGCTGCAAAGTTTCTCAAATTAATTGCTCGTCCTCTCAAATCATCGATTAGCATTTTTTATTTTAAGAATTTCTGTACGTAAAAAAGGCGCCATTTTGGTTTTAAAAACAATAAACGTCAAACTCCCTTGATTGTTATTGCGAGTTGTATAATTTGTCATACAATTTACAAGTACTCAAATGAGGAATTGTAATAAATAAATCTTTTTGAGTCTTATTAAAAATTTAGAATTGAGAAGTAAGTGATTTTGGTTTGATATCCAAATCTTCAAAAGTCATAACTGTCTTCTTATAGGATGGTTCACCAAGTCTATCCAAAACTCCTTGAAGTGTCAAATCACCACCATGTTGTCTCAAAATATTGAATTGGTCACGAGTGACAGTTGGATTTGGTAACATTTGCGTACATCCAAGAATAAAATCAAAGACTGGATATGGAGTTGGTATAGCTGGTCTACTGAAAGTCTTTGAAATAATTTGACCAAAGGTCATTACTTCTGGACCTGCCAAATACAAATTCTTTCCTTTAGTTTCTTCAACCTTGGAGAAAATTGTCTTTTCGAGAGCTTCAACAACATCTTCAACAAAAACTGGTTGAAGTTTAGCACCTGAGAATGGTGTTGGTATAACTGGGAAGAATTTCAATGGAGTTCTTCTGATTCTGTTAATATAAGCACCTGATGAGTAGTTACCCTTTCTATCGAACATAATACTTGGCTTTACATTGGTTGAATTTGGGAAATTACCATAGACAATATCCTCAGATCTGAAATTGGTATCAGACCACCATGAAGGTGAATCAAGTTCCGAGTTAAGGAAAGTAACATTAATCATTTGGTCAGCACCATTTGTGTGTGCACTATGAGAAATATTGCTTGGTCCATCAATATAAATTTCAACAAAAGTGTTATCACTTTCATAAAGGATTCCTGTAAGATTGATAACAACATCACTTCCGTAAATAGCTCTATCAACAGAGTCCTTATCAGTGACGTCAGAATAAACAACAGTAATGTTATCTAAATAGTTCCAATTAACATTAAATTATCATTATCAAAATTATCAAGGTTGTTTGTGTTAAACATTTTCAAGCCATAAGAGATTTGTTACATACCACCAATTCTCTTAGCTACTGGTTCAAATTCATTATTTCCTCTACAAGCAACAATAACTCTATCGCATTGTGGAGCGATACGCTTCACGACTTCTTGTCCAAGGAAACCATTACCACCAAAGATAGTCACTGTTGGTTTAACATGTCTAACAGAGGTTGTAGCAGTGGAATAAAACTAGTTAATATCCAAAATTAAATAATTTAATATAACAAGAGATTTAAATAATAATATTTACTTTTTGTTGGGAGGTAAGTAAATTTTTGGAGAGGAGAGATTTGTTTCCGCTGACGAGTCTCTTAAAGCTTTGCATTTTTTATTTTTTACCGAATGATGGCTTGCTTTTGCGATAATTTTCTTGCCAAACAATAATTTTTTAAATTATTAACAATCCGTGATGATGAAGGATGAGAAGAAAATATTAATTACATATTTAAATACTTTCAAGGGTAAATAATGCAGAGCATTGATCAAAACACTTGTCAGTTGCGAGGAGAATTGAAAACTTGTCATTGCAGGAATAAATGTTTGTAAATTAAAAAAAAAATGTTCTCAAGAGCCTCATCTTCCGCTCGCTCGCTCTTCCAAAGATCAAGCTTGTTTTTCAAAGAAAACAATGCTGGTAAGAATTTCGAAAAAGTGACAAAGAGATTCAAGTCAAGTGGTGAAAGAGAGAAATATTTCAACGAATATGGTACCAGACCAGAATATTTACAAAACAAGAGAAAGACTTCATTCATGCCTCTCTTCTTCCTTGCCGGATTCGTGCCATTGGTTTTAACGCCTATGGTTATCGATTGGTGGATTAGAAGTGATCGTCAAAATGGTGATGAAAACTTGAAGGAATATTTGCAACAAAAGGCTGTGAAGGAAGAAATTAAAAAGGACAAAACCAATCATCATGAGGACGTTACTGTTGCTTCAGCAAAGAAGCCAGAAGTTAGTAAATACAGTATGTAGAGAAACAACATAAACAAGGTTAGGGATAACCAAGGAACTTATAAATTTTGAAATTTAATTGAATTTTCTATAATAATAATAATAATAGAATATGTATTAATTGGTGGTGGAACAGCATCATATGCTGGTAAGTTTAGTTTTAAATTACAATAGATTTATTAACAATTAAAAGCTTTGAAGGCTATCAGAAAGAACGACCCATCAGCCAACGTTCTTATTGTTACAGTTGAGGAATATGCTCCTTATGAACGTCCACCTCTCTCAAAGGAACTCTGGGATTCACCAAAGAGTGAGGAATTAAAGTTTGTTAATTGGCTCGGTCAAGAAACCTCAGTTGAATATGAACCTGTTTCTGCTTATGAGAAGGACGAAAATATTACCCTCCTTACCAAGACTAAAGTAGTTCAATTGGATACTCATAACCAAACTATTTTGGCCTCTAACGGAAAGCATTATACTTATGAAAAGTGTCTCATTGCTACAGGAGGTACTCCAAGGTATGTAATTATTTCCTAAATTTCAATAATTAATTTTCATTAGAGAATTGCCAGGTAGTGACCAATTCCCAGACAAGGTAACCACTTTCAGAACCATTTCTGACTATAAGAAGTTGGCTGAAGTAGCCAATAAGGATAATGCTCATGTAAGTTGTTGTTTCATTTTTTTTGTTGAAATTTTTGGAAACCATGTAGATTCTCATCGGTAAGTTAATTAGTAAGGATTTATTTAAATGATAACAATCATCTAGTCGGTGGTAGTTTCTTGGGTACTGAATTGAGTTATGCTGTTGCTAACAAGGTTAACAAGAAGAAGGGTTCAAAGGTCACCCAAGTTTATCTTGAACCTGATGTTTTGGCTCGTTGGCTTCCAAGATACCTCAGTGAACGTGTTAGACAAACACTCATCTCTGCTGGTGTCAATTTGAAGCCAAATACCAATGTTGTCAGTGTTGAACCAAGTAAGGGATCTGATAGAGTCATTGTTTCTTTGGATAATGGTGAAAAATTGGAAGCTGACTTTGTTGTAACTACTACTGGTATCTATCCAAATACCTATGTTGCCGAAGAAGCTGGTTTGGAAATTGATCCACAAAACAGTGGTATTGTTACCAACTCTCAATTGGAAGCTGTTCAAAACGTCTTTGTTGCTGGTGATGTATTGAGCTACTATGATGTTGTTTTGGGTAGAAGAAGATCTGAACACCACGAACATGCTGAAGCAACTGGTAGACATGCTGGTACTAACATGTCTACTAGTGCCAAGAAGCCATTCCACTACATTAGTATGTTCTGGAGTGATGTTGGTAATGTCCACTTCCAAGCTGTTGGTGAAGTTAACTCATCTCTCGACACTTATGCTGTTTGGAATGATGTTGTTATCAAGCAAAATGGTAGCTCATGGACTACTTCTGCTTCTCCAGTTGTTGCCTCAAACTTTGGTAGTGGTGCTGTTTACTATGTCAGAGACAAGAAGGTTGTTGGTATCTTGTTGTGGAATCTTCCAGATAAATTGGGTCACGCTCGTAAGGTTATTTTGGAAAAGAAGCAATATACCTCATTGGAAGAATTGAAGGATAAGATTAAGCTTAATTAATTATTTGGGTTGATTAATTTCCCTTATTGTATATACAAAACTATTTTTATAACCGTTATGAAAAGCGCTGCATATTCTTTTTCTCACCTTAAAAAATGACTTCACCGTTTAGGGGTTCTCCTTTCCTCTCTTATAACAATAAGCAGAGGGGTGGTTTATCTCCAAACTCTGTGAATATCAACAAGAAAAACCCATCATCCTCTCCGATCTCATTAAAATCCTTCTACAATATAAAGCTTAAAAAACAACAAGAACCTTTTTCGCCAACAACAACAGCATCAAGTGATGAGGAGGAATATGATAGTCCAGAAAAGAAGAGAGAAATGGCCCAGGATTTATTACGAAGATCTCACCTTCGTCAAAAGAAAAAGATTAAGGAAAAATTGGAAATCTACGTTGACAAGGATATTAGGCTATTGAGGGAAGAATCTGAGAAGCTTTCGGAAGAACGGTTCAAAGCTGTTTCCAACCAAGAACAGGATCATGTTGACTTTGTGAAGAAAATGTTTGGTGATTTGGAAAAGGTTTATTATGAGAGGAGTCAGCGAAAAATGAGATTACTGAACCGATTAGTCTATTTGAAAGGTAAGAAATCTTTGCAATACTTGAAAATTTAATTCTTTAAGCCAAACAAATGATTAATAAGATTGCATTTGAAAGTAATATTGAGGAGAATATCATTTCAACTGATGAAATTACAGATATTGCCCATCAAAAAACAAGAGCATGGATGACAAATATTGTAGAGGATAATATTCAATCTCTGAAGGGGGATTTTATCTATAAGTTCGAGGAATTTACAAGAATCACTCCTGAGGAGGAAATCAAGGAATTGAAGGAATCAATCTTTAAATACGTATCTCCAGTGGTAGAGAAGAAAAAGAGAGATAGTAGCATTGCAAGAAAAACACACTACCAATCTATTAAGGCATGCAAAGAAAGAGTTCTTAATGCTTTTACTAGAAATATTAAGAATAAGTTTGAGAAGAATTTTGAAGACAAGTACAATGAAAAAGTTCAGCAAATTAGTCTAGGAAAGGAAGCAGTGCAGTTAACACCTGATGAAATTATCGAATTTTTGGAAGCTGATGTTGAAGATTATGAAACTGATATTGGTGTAATTGATGCTGAAATAGATAGAATCAACAATGAAATTACTGAATGGAGGGAAAAGATTGAAATGAAGAGGGAGTATCACGAAAAACAAAAAGCTGCAATTCAAAGTCAAATTGATTATGTTTCCCAATCAAATCAAGATCTACTCAATAGTATCACAAAGCTGAAGAAACAACAACAAGCTGTTAAACTGGCAGATACAAAGTTTGTCGAATCAGTTGGTGGAACATTGTTATCAGAATTAATTGAAAAGACACATAGAATTCTCAAAAGCGATGTACCTAGACTTAAGAACATGTCATCAACCATTGAAGATGAAATTTTATCTTTGGAAAGAGTAATCATAGAAAAAGAAAACGAGGCCAATTCACTTTCTGAAAAGATGAAGTCTGAAGAAGAGTCAATGAATAATCTCTCCAAGAGACTCAGCATTCTGGGAGTTAGATTGTACCAACATGAGAAAAATATCAAGGTACTGGAAGAGAATAAGATTAGTGCCCAAAACGAATGTGAAAAGATTAGATCCCAATTAGAAACTCTAAGAAAAACGGCTCCCAATAGACAACTTCGTTCGATGGCAAGTAATCATGCATATGAAGAAATGGCTAAATCAATAGAAACCAATTGTACAATATTTTCTCAGGACTTGACAAAACACAAGGAAAATAATGAAATGATTATTGAATTTTTGAAAGAGAGAAGAACCAGACTCCAAGAATTGTGTGAATATAACCAACAAAAGATAAGGAAATTGATCAAATATTCTGGTTCCTTACATAGTATTTGCTCTCCTCATGTAACTCTTGAGCATTCAATTGTAACCATTTACCAAGAGGAACTCGAAAAAGCGTTCAATAACTACAAGAGTACAATACAGTCTATCGCAAAGGAATCTGTGAGAAATGCAAACGTGGCAAAATATTTTAATGAAAGAGCCAAGGGAGGATGTGTTGTTTACAAATTCTCGAATTACATGTTTGAAAACGACTTGTTAAGGTATGAAATGGGTGTTGATAACCCTAAAATTGAAAAATCAGAAATTGAGGCCTCAATTCAAAAGCAGTTTGTAAAAGATTCAAGATTGGTTTTATTACTAAACTTTTTACTTGAAATAACAGGTCTCAGCCAAGAATACATTATTCCAGACGGTCTAACTCCAAGTTATTCTTCACTGTTAGATATGATCCGTAACAAGAATTTCCATGATCATAATGGTATTTCAGTATGTGATTCAGCCAAATCAAAGAATGAGACCTCATTCCTGGATAACAAAATATATGGAGAAATTAACACTATCTTCATTAACGCAATTGAAAATCAAACAGTTGTTGATAAGCATGATATAATGAACAGAATTGACCAATTACAAGAATTAGTATGTAAAAAAGAAGGTGTAAATATGGATGAATTGGAGCAGAAACTTCAAAAGAAACTTGTATTGGTTCAGAGGGAAAAAGAGAGGGCAGCTGGATTGCAGAAAGAGCTTGAAAGGATTGAAAAGAAAAACCTGGAAACATCCAATACTACTGAAAGGGAAGTAAGAATCAGAGTGAACAGTTTACCTTTGCCATCTACAGATACCGTGATATATTTTGATGAGGAAACCAATAAGATAGTGGCTGAAGAAAGACAAACTAGAAAGAGAAATTCCTCCTTTTCCCCACGTAGTTTGATTTCTAAAATTGAAAGTGCCAAGTCAAACTCTCAAAATCAAAATTAGTCTTCAGCTTCTCTGTCCTTTTCAGGTACAAATCTTGTCACCTTCATGGTGGAAAGTGTAATATTACATTTCAAAATATCTGTAACATTCTTTGAAATATCTAGATCCCCAATTATTTTGTATTGACAAATAATTAAATCCTTTTTAACATTAACCGAAATTCTACAATGATGTTGTAGTTCTTTCCATGACATTGATTGTAAATTATTTGCTGAAATAATGCTGACACCATACTGAGCGTGCTCATATTCTGGATTTTCTTTGTATAAAACAAAATCACAACCATATTTTGATCCAGATCTTGTTATCCATCCTCTACTTCTAAAATAATGATAAATTGCATATCTAGAAACAAAGAATTCACCTCCCTCAATTTCACAAAATATTTTGAAACAATCCTGAATTGTTTTAATTTCTCCTTTAACACTTATCCTAATACATCCAATGGCATAATATAAATAAAAAGCTTCTTGAAGTGATAAAACAGTATGTTCCTTTGGTTCTGCTTGACATGAAAAATCTTCATTTCCCGTAAATATTTCTGATGAAGTTGATGCAATAATGGAATCATACCAAGTTTTAAATAAAGGTTTGGATCTTGATAATTCTCCCTTTCCGAAAATTCCAAGGTCATACAATGATGCATTTTCTACAATGACATGATTTCCGATTAGTTTCCCAATAAATGGTTCAATACTAGTTGTTTGCATTTTTTTCAATTATTTAAATATTAAATTATTTATTAAATTTACACCTAGTAATCCTTTTCTCCAATAATTGTTTCAGGATTGAATAAATTAGTTTCTTTTTTGTCAGATTTGTTCGATGTAACCTGCAAAACACGTTCAAGAATAGTGTTAGTTGGGTTGACTGATTTCTTGTGTTCTCGGATTTGATTGAAAACTTTTTCTTGAAGGTTGTTCGAATCTCTGTTTAGCTGTTTTAGTTGTTCACCTAGCATTCCAAATTGGAGTACACCTACTGTGGCTCTCTGTATCGATTCATCTAGTGATTTAGTCAAATCTGATGCAACTTCTACTACAGGCTTAATATCTATTTCAGTATTGAGTTCATCAGTTTGAAGTTTAGAAAGATTATTAAGCATATGTTGATCATTTTCAAGATTTACAGAAATGTTCTTCCAAAACATGGATTCCTTTTCAAGTTGTGAAATTAATGTTGTATATGTTTTTTCTTTCATTCTATTCATTTCATTTTGAAAATTTGGTAGAATAACTTCTTGAGAATATTTCTCTATCAGTGTTGAAAGAAACTTCATATATTCTTCTCTAATTTCCGAAACTATAATTTGCATTAACATAAACTGCCAAAATGAAACTTACCAGTTTCCTCAACAATTGGGGCTTTACAGTAATTATTTTGTACATGATCAAATATTATTTCATTGAGAGAAATTAGTCTTTTAGCATCCTCCAAATCTTCTGGTATGCCTACACAGAATTTTTCTCCAGCTTTCCTTTTATCCTTCACTTTCCTTCTCTTCTTTTTTCTCTCTGTTCTATCCCTTGATGGTTCCACCGTCGATTGTGTTGTTTCTTGATCTTTTTTCCTCTTCTTTTCTATTCCAATCGGTGATTTATATGAATCCTCTCGTGATGAAGAAGCAACAGCTTGTTTACTTGTCGACATTTTTTTTAACGTTAAAATTAATATTTTTTGGTTTAAAACAAATTTATATTGGCGGGAAATTTAATCTAAACCGAAAATGAAACTCTTAATCAGTAAAGAAAAAAGATTGATTTAATTAATAATATTCTTTTAAAAGTTTAATATCTTTAATATTTAATGATTCATTCGGGCAATATTGTTGTATTACAATTTAATTATTAAATAAAAAATGCCATCATCAGATCAATCACTATCTTTATTTCCATCTTCATCTGTTTTACTTTCCAAAGCCTTCTCGATTACAAATTCTATTCGGAATGGAATGACGATCCAAGCAGAGGAACCAAAGAGTTTGAATTTGTATGGATTTTTCTCTGCTGCTGTTGGTTTATCAAAAAGTGCCAAGGCTGCTGCCATGCAAGAAATATTTACAAAACAATCTGTTTATCCTAATATTGCTCATAGTGATCAAGTTTTTGAAAAAAGTGCAGGAGAAGATTCATATTTCCAAACATCACTTGCTTTTGGTGTAGGTTTTTATTTTGATTTAAACTTGAATTGATTTTTAGGTTGGTGACGGAGTTGGTATGTAATTTTGGATGTCATTTAAATTATATCTATTGTATTTAGGTGGTTGGGTTAAATATAATGTTGATCCTTCCTTAATTAGTAGATCTATAACTACAGATTTATTGAAATATTTCCAAGAAAAGGAAAAATCAATTATTGATGTTTTGAAAAATAGTAATAATGAAACTACTAATGAATCATCAGGTTGGTCTTCTTGGTGGGGAAAATCAGCTAGTACTTTTGTAATTAAGGAATCACCAGTTGAAATTCTTAGTAGAGCATATTATGGAATTAAAGCTAGTGGACAAATTAGAGCAGGTAGTACAACATTCTCAATGGTTATGCTTTCAGATATGGACAAAGGTATTGCTAAATCACTGAATATTGGTGATAGTGGCTTTGTAATTATTAGAAATGGAGGTATCATCTACAGATCTAAGCCTCAGCAACATAGATTTAACGCTCCATATCAACTTACCATATGTCCTCCAGAAAGAAATGGAACCTGTATTCAAAATGAACCAAAAGATGGTGACTTGGTTGAACATCAATTAGCAGATGGTGATATTATTGTAATGGGAACTGATGGATTGTTTGACAATTTATTTGATTGGCAAATTCTTCAAATAATTAATCAAGGACAAGCAGGTATTGAACCATTTTCTGAAATTTTGAAAAAGGCAGCAACAGGTGATAAGGAAAGTATATTACGTGTAAATCAACAACTTCATAACAGAGCTCGAGAGATTGCCAAACTTGCCAGAATTGTTTCTATATCAGATAGTAACTTTACCTTTACTCCATTCTCCAAAGCTTACACTGAGGAAACTGGACGACACATTTCTGGAGGTAAGAAAGATGACATTACAGTCATTGTAGCAGCCTTGTTGAAGAGAAAGATTTTCGTTGATTCATTCAGTAAAAATCAATAAGTCTTGTAAACACAATAATCTAAATGGTTTTATATCTAAATTTACAATAATAATATCATACATATTTACAATTATTTTTCTGCAATATTTAAAGTGATTTGCTTTTCAGCCAAGTTTGCTAGAGTCAGTGTCATACTAGCATGTTCCTCAATTGAAAATCTTCTGGCAGGGAAAGTTGTCACAATTACATAATTTTCCATATCCATATCCTTAGTGACTTCTAAATAATCAAAAATATCACCAATGGTATCAGAATATCTAAATCTTCTCGTTAATCTTGTTGAATCAGGTAATCTTATTAAAACTTTAGCAATAGATGATTCAGTTTCACCTGGTTCTTGTTTCAAATTGGATGCTTTTTGTCTTCTTAATCTTAATTTTTCTTCCTCTCTTCGTTGTCTTTCCTCCTCCTCTCTTTGTCTTTGTCTTTCCTCTTCACGTTGTCGTTGTCTTTCCAATTCCTCTTGTCGTTGTCTTTCTTGGTCCAATCTGAGAGATCGATTATAAGCTTCATCCTGCTCATCTCTCAATGAAGTAACAACTGGAGAATTTCCTCCCAAGTCAACCATTGTTCCTCCAGTACGTGTTGATGTGTTTCTACTAGCAGCAGTCGAGGATGACAAATTTCTGAGTGATGCCTCATATTCTTGTCGTTGTAGCAACTGAGCAAACTCCTCATCAGTCATTCCATCATGTGCCAATTCGTGATTCTCCTGCATAGATGTCATATCCTCATCACCAGGACTTTGTCTAGCATTAAAATCATTAGCTGCTAATCCGTGATGTTCCATCTCTTCATCAGATTCTACCATCATTGTATGATTATTGCCATCACTACTTGTGTTATGATTTTTCCAAATCGCTTTCCTCACTAAACTTCCGAAGATGATATCAATTTTGTATAATATTTAATCGATTATATCCAATTTAATTCAATTAGCACAAATTGTTATTATAATGATAGATTAATTGTATTGTTGGTTATTTAAATATCAATCATTCATCACGTTCAACTGTTATTAATCACTAACCTTCATCAAAACATCCAAAAGCGTTGAATAGACAGGAAAACATTTTTTATAATTAGAAAATAGAAAATAATTGGATGATGTCTTGACAAGAAGAGATTGTTTACTTTTTCGTTTGCTTTTGTTTTGCAATCATTTGTTTGAATTTAGATTGACTGTTACTGCTAGCAGCAGCATTGCCACCACTTGTTGGTTTGGTTGTGTTTGAAGTAGATGTGGTTGTTGAATTACCTAATATGGATGACATTTCTTTTTCAATATCTTTTAATTCGTCTGCTGATTCAATGTCCTTATTGGTAGTTAATTTTTCTTAATGTGTGGTTAGAATTTTCATTATTAAATTGTTTACAAACCTTCAACCATGTTCTTGATGACATTATTCATATCTTGTCCATATTTCTTTTCCAAATCTCTTTTCATTTTCTCAACATTCATATCCTTCTTAATATCTCTAACATTCTCATTCATTTTAGTATATATTTCAGCAAATTGTTTGTCAACATCTTTTTTCATTTGTTTTTGATCTCGAATAGTCTTGATGAAATTTCAATTTAAAATTCAAATAATCAATCTTACCTCCAATAATGTATTTGCAACAAGTCTTGTATAATTTTCCTTCATTTCTTCTTCCACTTGTTTCATTTTCCTTCCAGCCTTTAAAGTGTTTACAAATTCCATAATATTTCCCCACATTGTTCTCTTCTTTTCCTCCATCGAAAATCTATTTACTGAAAAATCTCTTTTTGAAGATTGTGAGAGGCAATTCAATGTATTCCGACTAGTGATTCTACCACAAGAACGATGAAGAAGAGCACACTGGTGATTCATTGTCAGAGATGATGAAAATTGTTTGATGATTTGTCTATTCATTTTTTAAAATTTATTTTATTTTAATTATCAACAGAGAGCCGGTACGGAGCATCAACTTCTTGTTTAACATCAACTTCCTTTCCTTTACCAAATGCTCATCCAATTAATTAATCAACAAACGCTAATACCACCAATAACAATTTGCAAGTCCTAATGTGAGAATTTTCATTGAGTGTTGTAAACAGCCTAAAAAAATTGCACTTATAAAAAATGCTTCGAAACGTAAACTTTGCGCCTGTATTGCGCTCTGCCATCGCATCATCAAGAAGCAATCGTTTAGTAGTCCCTGCAACAAAACTTCAAACAAAATCATACAGCAAGGATTCTAATGATTCATTCGACCCTAGTCAACATTACGAAGTGGAGGAAGCAATGCCTTTCGTTGCTAAGAATGTAAATTTGAAAAAGACTAGAAGTTTAGTGGATTTGTTTGTTACTAAACTTGAGAAGGAAGGCGAAAAGGAAAACAAGGAGGAACAATTTTCTGAATTTGAGGCTCTTCAAAAGTCTGACAAAGCAAAGACTGTTAAAGCCCAATTTTCAAAGAAGAAAGTTAGAGAAGCTAACGATAACATCTATCAAAGAGATAGTGAGGAAGCTAAAAAATTACAACAACTCGAGAAAATTTACAATCAATCAAAGAGTGAAACCAGCAAGATACATAGACAAGATGTTATTGATATGGAAAGTAAGGAAAGAGACTCACAAACAAAAGCTGGTGATACTCTTTTGTCTTTCATGTATGAATCAAAGTCTCCACACAGAGTTGTTGAATCATGGGAACTTGAACAACAAGAAAAGGAACAAATTGCTGAGGATTTCAAACAACACAAGAGAGATTATAAGAAACTCATCAAGAAGGACGGTTTAACTACCGAACAAGCCAACAGAAGTGAATATAACAAGCAATATGATACTGTTAGTCTCCAAAATGAAATGTTGGAAGGAATGAAGGCTATCAGCGACTACTCTTTATCTATTGATATGGACAGAATGAGTGCTTCACCAACTTCTCTCACCGGTGATAAACTTATTCAAGTTAACAATTCTAGAAACGATCTTAAATCACCATTCTGGAATGTTCTTTCAAACCATGAAAAACGTTACTTCTTAAAGGATGAATATCTTGAAGATATTTCAAAGAATGTTGAAAAATACGTTAACATGACTCCTGAAGAAATTGAACAACAAGCTCCATGGCTGTTGAATGATCCAAGATGGGAAACAATAGAAGAATTGAGAAAACAAAACATTCAAGATATGTCCGAAACGACTTCTGAAGATAGAAGTAAATATGTCAGAGGTAGAATCTTTGATGATGAAGCTCTCCGAAATCTCTATGAATCCCTCGGTTCAAAGCAATTTGATAATGTTCAAGAATTCTATGAAAATATTAAGGAAGCTACTGATGAAGAAGGTTTGCTGAGGAAATTAGAAACTGTTTTCCCAAATATTTCTAAAGATAAGCTCAAGTCAATCTTGGACAAGGTTGTTAAAACTATTCAACCAAAGTATGAAAAGTATGCTACACCAGTTCAAAGAACTATTCAACTCATCACAGACGAAATTACTGAAACTGCTAAGCCAACCATTTACACAATGGCTGATTTGGCCTCTAAACCAAAGCCAAAGATGCAAACTGTTTTGTGGTCAATAAGACAAATTGCTACTAAGAAAGCTAAGGAAAGAGAAGTTGAATTGGTACATGAAAGAGCAAAGACATTGAAACGTGAAGATTATACTTCTCCAATTGATCATATTTATGAAGTTTTGCGACCAATCCACGACGAATCCATGAAGGCTGGTGATGAAAAGAGTGGTGTTTCTGAATTCCATCCTGCTATCTATGGTGGTTATGTTGTTGCAACTGGTAAGAGAAAGTCTTCTATTGCCAATGTCAAGTTGTCACCAGGTACTGGTATTTTCTTGATTAACAACAAGTCATATCTTGACTATTTCAATCTTTCTCGTCATCATTACAAGTTGATGCTTCCATTGAAGTTTACTGATACATTAAATCAATTTGATGTTGAATGCAGAGTTCACGGAGGTGGTCAAACTGGTCAATGTGACGCCATTTTCTTGGGATTAGCTAAGGCTCTTGCTAAGTTTGTTCCAGAATACGGTCCAACTTTGGAAGCCACTGGATTCCTTTTCAGAGATCCACGTTCTGTCGAAAGAAAGAAATTCGGTCAACCAAAGGCCAGAAAACAATTTACTTTTGTCAAGCGTTAAACTACTTATTTTTGTCATACTTTTTTATTTGGTAATAAAAGAAATTTTAATATATAATCTTAATAAGGAGGTGGTGGTATTGTAAAATGAAAGAGAGTGCTCGGTTAGATGAAAATCTTTGAATATTAGGAAAATAAAACTTATTTTGCCTCTTTTAAAACACTGAATAAATTGTATTTCTTCAATAACAATTATTAATTAATTATTTAAACATAATCGCTCTAAGAATTGTTCCATGACAATGACACAAATCCCCATCATCGTTACCCAAACAACAAAACAACAATCAACAAGAGAGATGAAAAGAGTTGAAGTGGCTCTAAAAAAACTCGGATGGCAATAAGTTTATTGAATTAAAAATTCGAAGTGAAAAAAAAATATTGCGTTTTTATCGCTACAACAGACAACCTAATATTTTGCTTCAACAAAAAAATTTATAAAACATAAAAATGGCTTTCGAAGGTGGAAGAGGTGGTGGTAGAGGCGGTGGCCGTGGTGGATTTGGTGGTGGCAGAGGAGGTTCTCGTGGAGGATTCGGTGGTGGTGATAGAGGTGGCCGTGGTGGTGGTTTCGGTGGTGGCCGTGGAGGCGGTAGAGGTGGATTTGGTGGCGATAGAGGAGGATTTGGTGGTGATAGAGGTGGAAGAGGTGGTGGCCGTGGTGGTGGTCGTGGTGGTGCCAGAGGTGGTGGTAGAGGTGGAGCAAGAGGTGGCGGTAGAGGTGGTGGCCGTGGAGGATTCGGTGGTGCTGCAGGTGCTGCTGGTAAGAAGGTCATTGTCGAACCACATCGTTTTGAAGGAGTTTATGTCGTCAAGGGTAGAGATGAATCAATTGCCACATTGAATATGGTCCCAGGTGAATCTGTTTATGATGAAAAGAGAGTTACTGTCGAAAAGGGATTCGGTGATAGCGTCCAAAAAGTTGAATACAGAATTTGGAATCCATTCCGTTCCAAGTTGGGAGCTGGTATCATTGGTGGTGTTGAAAACATTTATATCAAGCCAGGTACTAAATTATTGTATTTGGGTGCTGCTTCTGGTACAACAGTTTCTCACTGTTCTGACTTGGTTGGTCCAGAAGGTATGGTTTATGGTGTTGAATTATCCGAAAGATGTGGACGTGATTTAATTGAAATGTCAAAGAAGAGACCTAACATTGTTCCAATCATAGAAGATGCTCGTCATCCTTTGAGATACAGAATGTTGGTTGGTTCTGTTGATACTGTCTTTGCTGACGTTGCCCAACCTGATCAAGCTCGTATTGTTGCTTTGAATGCTAAGTATTTCTTAAAGCCAGGTGGCAAATTCGTCATTTCCATCAAGGCTAATTGTATAGATTCAACAGTTGAAGCTGAAGTTGTCTTTGCTAGAGAAGTTGAACAATTGCAACAATTCGGTTTTACTTGTGAAGAACAATTGGACTTGGAACCTTTCGAACGTGATCACTGTTTGGTAGTTGGTACCTTGAATAATGGTGATTGCATACAATTTTAATTCCACTCATTACTAAATTTTATAAAAACACAATATTCTAAATATCTAATTATCAATTTACTAAGGTGTAGAAATGTTGCATTCCGAATAGAAATGTTTATGAGTGGCAAGTTCAGCTGCTGGTTATTCTATCATGTTTGTGAATCTCTTGTTGTGTCACGTTTCACAAATCAGAATTCAAAAAAATGAAACAACGCATTGTCAAGCCAACATTTCAAACCAATTCCTTTCTCATAGAGGATGATCAAGAAGAAGATAACCTCACTACCAGTCCATCATCACCAAATCCACCAATAGAGAATACATCTCAAGGATCAGACCCAGCAGAAAATCCAGAAAATAGTGACTTTAGTGATTGGAAGAAAAAAGAAAAGAAGAAAATGAGTAGAGCTGCACAATTCGCAAATGCCAAAGCTTCAGGTGTTTTACTATTCAGAACATTCAACAATTGTCCAGACTCTTTAGAATTTCTCTTGGGGAAACACTCCAAAACAAACTCGTGGGAAAATTTTGCAGGTAAAGTTAATATGGGAGAAACAGTGGAAGAAGCAGCTCTACGAGAATTGCAAGAAGAAACTCTAAACCAATTCAGTGAAGAGCATGTGAAAATGGTGGCATCTCAATTGAACATTGAAAGAGCTTTTTTCATTAAAGTTAATCAATCAAATCAAGCAATGTTTCTTGTTCATTTGAATGATTTTGAACCAGATTTAGAAGAATGGAAGAGAAAAGCTGAAAGATTGAAAAGTGAAAATAGAAAGGTTGAACTTTCTGAATTTAATTTTTTCAAGGAATTTCCACTCCAAGAATTGAGAGTTCCACACCTTCAAGAATTCATCCCAAAAAAGAGAAACGACATTATGAAAATGGCTCTAGAAATAATTAAGTGCCCAACAAGGGAAACATCATCAACTAAGCACAATGTTACAAAGAGAAATAGATAACTTTCTAATCAAGTAAAATAAAAAATAAATAAAAAATTAAAATTATTAATAGTTATTAAATTTATTTATTTTCATTAGTCTACTGATTCGAATGAGTAAATAATGAACGATACAAGTTATCTTTCTCTTCCATATTTGGTAATACTAAATTGTTATTGGATTTATCAAAATATTGCTTCAGTGTATTTTCATATGATAACTCTCTTGTTTTCTTTAGTTTTAATTTATATAACATTATTTTGGAAAATGTTGTAAAAGTTAGTAATGGTTGATATCGATCCAAAAAAATTGCCATATGATTAAATGGTTCTAATAAATTAAATAATTGATCAGTGACTAGTAATTCTCTCAATACTTGATAGATTGGACAGGTTTTCAGCTTTTTAGCTGATAATTCAATAAAATTCTCATATTTAAATTCTTTAGCAGTAAATTTCTTAAAATATTCAAAAGTTGATTTCCATATTTGTGCATGAACCGTTCCAACAAGTATCATTACATTATTCTTTTCTTTACAATCTTGTGTTAACTGTAAATGCATTACACTACAATATTCTTCAATAAACTTGTTAATATTTAAATAACTTTCGAATATATCCGCTAATTCGTTTAAATCAAACTGAAATGATTTCGGATACAAGGTAAAAAACACTCGTTTTGGATCTTTACTCAATTGTCTCATCAAACTATCAAAACAATCATTCCAATAATGATTACTTTCATTAATTATTTGATTCCATTCATGACAAACAAGCATACAATTAATTAAATTACTTCCGATTGGAACGTAACAAAAACAATTTAATAAACAATCTGTATCTAGAAAGGTCATTTTTCTGATATTTTTTTTAAAAGGTTTCGAATAAAAGTTCACAACACAATGAAATGTGAAATAGAGGTTATAAAGTAATTATCTGATTTGTTTCGTTTCGTGCATATTATAATATTTTGCAAGGACATATAAATCCAACATTGAATAAACCTTTCCTTTAAATGAAATCTCATAACTCAAATGTTTTGACACTAAATTCAAAAGATCATCGTGAATTAATGAAGAATATGCTTTCGAAAGTTCTATCTTGTCTAATTCTAGACTATTTTCATTAATTAAATAGTGTGCAGTGAGATTCGAATACATTTTTTCAAAATCAAATTTCAGGAATACTTCTCGATTATACTGCATGACAATTATAATGCTCTTTTCCAAATGAGAAAGGAATTTTGAAATATTGCATCTGTAAAGAGTCCTATCTATTCTGATAAAGAGTGGAAAATCTTTTGAACTTGCTTCAGTTGACCTAACAACTATTGCTATTATTGAATCTTTACCTTCTCCACCTCCAATGATCGAAGCATCAGGAATTATATTCTTATTACAATCCCATATTTTACTCGAATTGGAATACTGGAATTGAAATGATCTTCCAATTCCAGTTTGTTTCCACTTTCTGATTCTTATTGGTGCAATAGTTGTATCCTTTTCAATCTCTGAATCAAACTTTTCCATATCACTAATCCTAAACCAAATTGGTTTCTTCCAAAAAATTGAATTGAAATAACAAAGAGAAGGAGGAATAGGGGTTGAATTGTGTTGTGTGTAAATGTTGGGAAGTTGACCTTCCAGTTTCTCCACCAGATTGCAAACTTCCTCACTTAGAGGCATCTCAACGGTATTCAGTTCTAGTTTCAATTCTAGCTGATAAACATGTTTCTGATCGAATGAGAATAGTTTTTTACAATGCTTATCAAAGTAATACGAATTGAATGGTTGAGGCGGATTCAGATATCCAAGAATTGATTTTGAAATACTTGGAGATGACCCATCAATGATATGTAACATTCCCTTCTTACCAATCAGGAAATTAAAATATGGAGTTTGCATATCGAAAATCATTCCACTTAAATCATCCACCGAATCAATCATCATCATTTCTTGACATATACTGTACTCATCCCCATAGAGTTTCACAAGGGTATTGAGCCCATCATCTGCATGATTGTGTATGTAATCATAAATTCTAACATTATTTCCTGTCAGAATTATTAATTCATTCGTATATTCATTAAGGGAAAGACAAACTGCTCTTTTTGTAAACTCATTTTCAATTTCGTATTTCAATTGCATAGATAAGCCATCTAATACAGATATTTTACCATCAGAAACATCCAAAACATATAATTCCTTTTTATCTTTACGATAGGTCAATTCACATTTTGCATTTAACAATCCCAAATCCGATTCTACAATTTCAATTTCTTCCTGCGAAAGAATAAACTTTAACACATTATATCCAAATTCATGATGCATTGTTGCAAAAATCACATCTGTTTCTTCCTCCTGATTCCCTTCCACTAAACACATTCTAATAACTGCATTCTCCGATTCCAAATGAAAAGATTGCTCTCCACTCTCCAAATCATAACCATCAATTCCCATCGAATGACCAACAAGTAATAACTTTCTCCTCTGATAGAATTTAATATCAGTGATGAGAAAATTGCTAGGAACTGGAGTTAAATGGAAAGTTTTTAATAAATTCATTGAATAATCTCCGAGACATAAAACTGTCTTTTCAGTGGTGAATTTATTTCTTAACAGGGATTGAGTGTAGTGTTTTTCTAATGGATCAAGGAAAACCAAACGAGTGAGTGATTCCTCTTGATGATGTGGTTGCATTTTTTTTTCAAATGATCTGCAGAAAAGCTAAAATTAGTGCAATTTTGAAATGTTTGTAAAGTAACTGAGAATGTGGATTTTATAAATACAAGGAAACCAATTAAGGAGAAAGAAAATATTTGAGTAAGGCTCAGTATAGTACAATATTCTTTGGGTCTTCTAATTGAGTGTTGGTAATATCTAAATGAATTTCACCATAATTTTCGAAAGCAAACTGATCTGCTTGTTCATTTGATATTCATTTCGTTTCATTCACATCTTTCTTTGTTGTAATGCGATTGTAAATTATTTTTTTGTATAATAAACTAAAATTGAATCCTCCCGTGCCGGGAATTGAACCCGGATCTCCTGGGTGAGAGCCAGGTATCTTAGCCATTGGACCACACGGGATTCTTGTATAAATATTGAAAATATAACTCACTATAATAAATAATCATTAAGCTGTTAAGGTGAAATCGTACGATTTCCATAAAAAGGAAAGGGGACCAGTGGGAATCGAACCCACGCCCTCTCGCACCCAAAGCGAGAATCATACCACTAGACCATGGTCCCTTACATTACAAATCAAGAAAGAACATTCAAATTGACGCTAAGTAATTAAACTGTAGAATTACTAGCATTAATAACATTTTGGACATGTTCTTCATTTCAAGAAGAATGTAAAATCATTGAATACATTTCTAAAATTTATTTCTTGGTGGCATTCTTGGTAGCAACTGGTTGCTTCTTAACACTTCTGCCAACTTTTCTGGTTCCCTTGGTGGCTCTTCTAGTAATAGTCTTTGGGGCTCTTCTGGTGGATCTAATCTTTGGGTAGTGCTTCTAGTGGCAGATGGTACTTCTGGTGGAAGATCTAGTCTTCTTTCCAGACTAATGTTTATGATTTTATTGCATTTGATGAAAATAAAAGCAATAATATTGAATTAAAAATAATTCTCAATGCTAACTGAATAACTTACAGCAGCCATACCGAAGGAAGCAAAGCACAAAACAGCGATCAAAAGGACAGCAATAATAATTTTGGCGTTCATATTGAATGTTAACTTGTTTTTTTGTTTAATGTTCTTTGTGGGAGGTTGTGTCTTAACTCTCTGCATTCTTAATGAACATTTAAGGGTATGTGATGCTCAATTTTGTAGAAAAGAGTTGTATTGTATTAAGGGCACTGTAGTTAAATCGAAGAAACTCAAGGAAGACACAAAACAAAGCCATTCATGTGTCCACTTAGACAATGCACTTTCTCTGCAACATCTGGGAAGAAAATTATCTGCATCACACTAACAAAGTGAACATTCATAATAGGTCTTTCCACTTGCCTTCCATTGAAATTCAGTTTCCAAAGTGAGTTTATCATTCCCCATTCAGAAAACAAGCTTTTCGCACAGATTTCCTCAGTGTAGCATCTACAATGGAAAACATCAGACACGCACCTTTAACAATCCTCTTATTTTTCATACAGTTTAATAAACATTCAAAGTGTTACTCCTCAAGTTGCATGACATGAGATTATTGTCCCTTGATACGATTGTAACATAGATGAGAATATCCACAACATTCCAACACAAAATCAACATCATCCCAATATGTATCTCTAATTAATCCAAGAACTTGATGATTTCTCTCAATACACTTTTTCATAATATCTTTCTTTGATTTCATTGATTTTGGAAGATGTTGATATACCATTGCGTTCGCAGCCATACATTCACTAATGAATTTTACATCGCCTTTGATGCTTGGATCAATGTGAGGAAATACAGTTGGATTAACCTTAATGGCATTCAAGAGGAGTGATCGATCTTTGATTGTGGAAATGTACTTTGGAAATTCACTCAAATAGCTCAATGACTTGCTTAGTAGAGCTTGAATAATTTCTGTATCATCTTGGAATTCTTTGTATTTGTAAAACAAATGGTGTGATTTTGAAATTATTGTTAGAATTATTTCTCTATCCTTCTGGAATTGAGTTGGAAAAGAGAAATATGCATTTGGACACATTTCTGCAAGTTTCAAGTGGAATTGTCTACTATGCTTTAGTTTTGCACTAATTAATGGATATACACTCAAAGGATCTGACATTATGGCTTCAAGATAAAGCTCTTCATCCTGGTCAAACAAGCAATATTGAAGAGCTCTGGGATTGGCTTTAACCATTTCTCTCATTAGATATCCATCATTTTTTCTTTCAAAATCTAAATAGTTCAATATATTAGGTTGTACCTTTACAACACTCAATAGAAAATCTCTGTCATAGTATAATTGACTATCAATATCAAGTAATTTTTCTGGAAATGCCTTTAAGTAATTCATAACAATCTCTTTGTCAGATTGTAATCTCTGATCTACATATACTAAATAAGTAAATATTTGAGAATGCAATTGAACTGCTTCTAAAATAATTTCTCTCCATTTCACAACATCTTTACATTGAGATATAAGCACAGGATTATTGCTCAACACTTTTAAAATTGCTTTTTTATCCATTTCCAAATCATAACAATCCAAACTATTGATTGAAGAAACTAAATATTTTACAATTTCAATATCATTTGTAATGAGTGCCTTATCAGTCACATAATCCACAACTTTACAATTATTCCTCACAGCTTCCAACACTAATTCTCGATCAGCTCTCAATTTCACATCAGCATATTTCAACAACCATCCATCAATCTTGACTAATTTCATGAATAATTGCTTATTACTCTGTAGTGATTTGTCCATGAAGGAAATTGCTGTTTTTTCATTACAAATTGCTTCATAGACAAGAGAAGCATCTCTCCGAATATTTTCATCAGCATATTTCAAAGCAATTCCCTTCTTTTTCACAACTTTGAACATCCAATCCCGATCGGAGGAGATGGCCTTCACAAGTGTTTGCAATCCACCACGACAGTTTATCAAATTTTCAAAGAGGATGGTTTTGTAAATTTCCAATCTTCTATAATCTATGGAGAGGTACTTTTTTCGTAGCCAAAAGGACCCGAGAGGTGCATCAGAGAGAAGAATTTTCACTGGAATTTCTTCATCAAATTGTTGCATTTTTTCTAAAATTGGAAAGAAAAAATTGTACAAAATATTTACAAATTTATTTAATAATTTAAATTACACTCGCTTCTAACTATATACTATTAATAATTATTTTCTCAAATTTCTGGAATAGGCCTTGCTAACTTGTTCCATTGAAGGTGCACAATAATTGAGTGAACCAAACGCAAATGCATCACCTGCACCAGCTCCTGTAGTATTAACACAATTACTAGCAGTAGTAAACATGAAGGGGTTACACTCGGACAAGTTTTGGCAGTTCAATAATTGCTTAGTATTTGAAGAGGTAAATGCAAAAGCTTGAACTTGAGCAATATTGAGATTGGATGTCATTTTGTGAACTTCAGAAAGTAATTCTTCTGTTTTCATATTCTTGACAGCTTCTTCACCTAATTCCTTAATCTTAGCAGCAACAACTGTATCCATGGCATCATCTTCAATACATCCATTGATAATTAAATTTGGAATCTTATTAGCATCTGTCAATAATAAACATTTACCATCAGTTTTTGTTGCCAAATAATCCATAAATAATGTTAATTGTTGATCTTCTTTTGCTCTTTCACAAATAATATTGTAAAAGACTACATTCTTTTCTTGAAGTTCAGTACCAATTTTAACCCAATCAATCTTTTGGCCTTGTTCATCCAAGCAACCATTTGGGTAGCTATCACCACTTGCATTCATTCCATGTGGAGGAGCATCAGCAACCCAAACAACAATCTTCTTACCCTTCTTATTGAATGGCATTTCATTGACAACTTTGAGTGCAGATGCCAAAGCTTCCGGATAGTCACCTCCACCTTGAGCTGACATGGTATTAATATATTCTTTGGCATTGTTAATATCCTTAGTGAAAGGGAATTCCTTAACGGCATAATCATCAGTGTGATCTCTATAACTGACAGCTGTAAATCTCAAATCAGTTTTAAAATGTTCATGAAGTGTTGTGATAATTGTAGCGACTGTGTTCTTTGCTACATTAATTTCACCAGACATTGAACCAGTACAATCCATAACAATAACTAAATCAACAATCTTGTCACTGTGATCTATTAATTCTTGATCATAACCATCTTGTTGTTTATGATCGGCACGAATCAATTTTCCCATTTGGGGTATTATTTGGGGTATTGTGGAATGAGGATAAGAGAAAGAGAATGACATCTTGGTTTTATGTATTGCTATTTTTTTTTGGTTTTGTTTTATATATACGTGTTATTACTGCAAAGAAGTTCCATGTTCAGCAATTCTATGTTTGTGAATTCCTTTGCACTGTGAGTCAATGACTCACCTAATCACTGATTGACCAATAAATTATGCTGAACCAATTACTTTTCATTCAATAATTATGTCTCTAGTGAGACTTGCAATTCTCAATTCCATTAAATGAATTACTTGAATATTCGTCAGCCTTTAACTTGTTCTTTGTTTGAGAGAATGATGGCTTATTGCTCCTTTGCCGTTTTTAAAAAAGCTTATTATCAATTGCAATCTCAATTCTCTCTCATTTGAAACTTTTCCCGCCAAAGTACTTTAATGATGGCGGGAAATGTTTACTTAACTAAAAAAATAATGCAAAAAACTCTCATCTAAATTACATCAATTTTCATATCATCATTAAACCTTAGTGGATATAATGTCATCATCTAGAGCAAATACTCCCTCTAAAAAGGTGCAAATGACTAACGAAGTTTATCATTCCCCTGGAGGGACTATGCAACAATTAGTATCTATCAGTGATTTATCTGAGAAGGATCTTGCAAAAGTGTATTCTTGTTGTTTCCCTAAAGGATCAAAATTTTCGGTGGCCAGATGTGGATGCGGATACTTGCATCCATTCATTTCCATTCCTTCTTGTTCTCTACAACAAATCTTATCCAATTCTTTGGACCACAGCTTTGAAAAAACAACAATTAATGAACATCCTCAAAAGATAATCATTAGACGTACGCCACAAAAAGAAGTCTCTGTGTTTTTTGATGCAGAAGCTGCAGATAAAAACAAAACTCTAATGCACAATATTGATGAAGGAATAATTTATCAAAGAAATGAAAGGAAATTTAATACCAATAATCTAACAGCTAATTTGGCTTCATTGCTCGGATCAGATGATTTTCCTTTAAATCAAAACAATAATACAACACTCCCTAACCAAGTTCAGCTTCATGATCGTTCGAAAATTACCTCAGGAATGGAAAACTTAATTCAAGAATTTGAAAATCAAATTAAATCTCTGAGGGAACAATTGGATCATATTACTTCGGAAAAGAAACTAATTGAGGTTACTACACACACAATAAGCGAAAAGGCTTCCAAACAATCGGAAGAAATAGAAAAGTTACTTGATGAGAAAAACCAACAGAGAGAAAGAATTCACCAACTCAGAAAACTGTTAGCAAAATATGAAGAATTGAGCCAAAAGAGAGATACTGAGAAGAATGAAATGCAGAACGAACTAAAGAAACTAAAGAGTAAATTCGAAAGTGAGTCTGCACTATCTAATGACAAATTGAAAAACACCATTCAAGAAAGAGAATTAGAGATTGAAAAATTAAGAGGTCAGATCTCAATTATCAATACTGTAGCAAACCAAGCTGCTGATACGAAACAGGAACTTGAAAAAAGAGAGAACGAGTTACAAATTCTCCAACAAGATCTCCACAATGCGCAAATGGATCTGATAGGGAAAGAAAAGGCGTTTTCTTTAATATCTATAAAGCTTGAAAATGAACAAGACTTGCACACTAGGTCAAAACGAGATGTACAAACACTTTCCAATACTATTCAAAAGAAAGAAAAAGAAAATGATCTTCTAAATCAAAATCTTGAAAAAGAGAGAGGAAATTATTCATTACTTATAGAGAAATACCAAAATTTGGAGGCAAAATTTATGCAAGACCAGAAACATCTAGCAAGATTAGAGCAAGATTTTACTCACAATGAATCTGCAATGGAGGCGCTTAAAAAGAAGTATGATAAGGTTATAGAGTTAAAGGAAGATTTAGAAAAGCAGATAAAAGCAAAGTCTCTAGAATTAACTTGTCGGGAGGAGGAATTTGTGCGGGAACTTGAGAAAAGGAAAACAGACTATGAAACTAAATTGAAGAATATTACTTCTCAGATCGAAAAGTTGAAATCTGAAAACACAGTATTAATCTCAAAAGAAGAGCAACTTTCTAGTCTTCAAAAAGAAGCTGAATCCAAGCTACAAGAGTACAGGGATAAAATAGATGATTTAGACCTGCAAATTCAAATGTTAAAGGCGAAAAATCAACAAAAAGAAAACGAATTACTGGAGACAAAACTAATTTTGGAAAAGACGGAGATGGAAACTAGAGAACACGAACAAAAAATGATTGAGCAACAAGAAGTGCTTTTAAAGAATATTTGTGATTTAGAAAATGAAAATTCAAAACTAGTGCCAGAACTAGATCAATGGAAATCAAGTTGTCTTGGTTTTGAGGAAAGAATCAAACATCTTGAGGAGGAATTGAAGACAGCAAAGAGGAATTATACCGAAGCCTTAGAAGAAGTAAATTCAGTACAAAAGAAATTTAATGACATGAGAGAATATTCTGATGATCTGGAAAAAAAGCTTTCCGACCAAAAAGAAAACATGGAAACCCAGCTAGTGGAACTGCATAAGGAAAATAAGGCCTTGGGTGAGATGAACTCTAATTCAAAAGTCATAGCTGACCAATTAAAACAGGAGATCAAAAATAAGATAGATACTTTAGACTCCATCACTGAATTGGTTAAACAAAAGGAAAATTCAGTCGAAAATCTATTTACTGAAATAACCAATCTAAAGAAATTAATTGAAGAAAAAGAAAACCAATTCAGTTCAAAAGAAGAAAAGTTACAAAGTAAGGTTAAAGAGCTCAATGATGTAATTGATTCTAAAACGAAGGAAATTAATGTTAGTGAATCCGATATGAGAGAGATGAAATCAGAACGAAATGTTTTAATTGTTAAATACCAAGAAATATCTAGATCATTAGATCAAGCGTTGGAAAAAAATAAGGTCCAGAATGAAACAATTCGGGATTTGACTGAAAAGATAAGCACGATCGAAAAAGATATGTCTAAGAAGCAATCCTCTATCGACAATCAAGAAATAGAGATTAAGCTTTTGAGGCAAGAAATATTTGAGAAAGATGCCCAATATCATTCTCTCAGAACCATTGCTCTGGGTGATTTGGAGCACAAACTAAAGAAAAAGAGTGAAGAGCTAGAAAATCAAAAAAAGAACTATGAACAAGATATCTATCTTTTAAAGTCTCATTTGGAAGAAAGCAAAACACTTTTCGAGAGCAAGGTTGAATTGATAAATGAGCTTGAGGATGAAATAACCTCTTTGAAAAATGATGCCAAAGAAAAAGAAAAGGAAATTACTAGCTGGCTGAAAACTTTTGACAACGCAAAGGACAATTATCAGAAAGAAGTTGAAGAGCTTAGTTGTAGGATTAATACACTTCAGGAAGAGTTGATGATTAAAGAAAAGACATTAACTGATCTGGAGAAAGATAAACTAATTCTTGGAACAGAACTCAGCAACATGGAGGCTTCACTTAAGGTAAAGAACCAAGAATTGGAAGAATTAGGAAGCTCTATGGATATTATTGACTCGTTACAACAAGAAAACGAAAGGTTAAAACTCAGCCAACTAGAACAAGCAGAAGAAGTGGAGAGATTATCATCAGATTTGTTATCAAAAGAAAATGATATCATAAAATTGCAAGAAGAAAAAACTAAACTGGATAACGAGTTGGGTGTGCTTTCCAAACGACTAGAAGAGCTTGAAGAAGTAAATGAAGAAAAGAACAATTCTATATCTTTCTTTGTAGAACAGCACGAGTTAATATCCAACGAAATTAAGGATAAAACAAAGAATATTGAGGTTTTATTGGCAAGAGTGGATGAATTAAAAGATTCCAAAGCTTCTTTAGAAGAAACCATTAAAGAAGTTAAACAAGATCTTGCACGTAGAATTGATTTAGTTAGCACACTAGAGAAGAACCTCTCAGAAAAGGAATCCGAAATCCAACAATTAAAGGAAGAAAGCTTAAAGGAAATGAACTCCTTGGAAAAGAAGATAATTGATAAACAAGAAGAAATAGAAAGAATATCAATACAAGCTGAAAAACAAAAGAAGAACTTGTCTTCAACAATCCAAGATTTAGAAGAATCTTTAGCAGAAAAGGAGAAAAAGGAGAAGAAGTTGATTGGATCTTATTCAGAGACGAATATTAAAATGTCAGAACTATCAACCAAGTTAGAGGCCCTTGAGATAGAAAAGAGCAAGAATGAAAATGAAATTGAAAGATTGATGTCTGAGTTAAGCTTAAGGGATTCAGAAATTAATCAAATGAACGAGAAGAATAAGGCCCTTGTTCAAGAGTTAGAAACCTTCTCTGAAAAATTAGATACACTGGAAAAAGCGAAAAAAAAAAGCGAAACAACTTGCTCACATCTTGAGGAACAAAAAGTGCACGACGATCAAAAACTCAAAATTCTTGGAAACGAAAGGCTGGAGTTGAAACAACAGTTAGCAAGCTTTGAAAATGAGATTACTCTCTTGAAACACAAATTAAGTCTTTTTGAAAAGAATAATTCTGATATGAAACAAGATTTAATGAACAGTTTGGAGAATGCAGATCTGATTGAACAAGAATTAAAGCTACTCAGAATGAATTTTAAGAAAGAGAAAGAGTTATTAGAGAATCAACTTATTAATGAAGTGAATGAAAGAGATGATATGATCAAGGAACTTAAGTTGCAATTAGCAACTGACTCTTCCCTCAGAATGGAGTTGGATCAAGTTAAAGAATTATCTCACAAATCATTAACATTGTTGGATGAACAAAATGAAGAAGTTAAAAAACTTCAAATTGAAATTATTCAGTACACAAACATAATTGATCAGTTGAAACAAGATAACGATACCAAACTTTCAGAAATGAGTGTAAATAATCAATCGCAGATAGAGGAGCTGGAAAATAGAAATAGAGAATTAGCTGAAATGAAGCTGAACTATCAAAAGCTTGAATCCATGTTCTTCCAAATGGAGAGAGACTACAGAACTTTGCAGAGTCAAGATAGCGTAATTAACAGACAATTGGAAGAAAAATGTATCCAATTACAAACCAAACTTGAGGAGACAATTGAACCTATTACAAATAAGGAAGAAGAGCTTAAGAGATTAACTAAAGAAAATTCAGACATGAAAGATCAACTTGTTGAAAATAAGCAAATTACCGAAAAGATGGAACAAGAAATAGAAAGACTGTTAGAGCAGTTAACAACATCGAGTACAGGAGGGGGCAGCTATATGGGAGGAGACTCCAGCTTACTTTCTTCCACATCTAACACACAAAATGTTAAATCCAATAGAACAACCCAATCACCTCTCAAAACTAGCCATCTTATGCAATCAGCTACAATCGACCTCAAATATTTATGGAAGCAGCTGAGATCTGAAATTGTTAGATTGAAGCAAAAGAATGTTGAACTTGCACAACAAATAATGCAAGTAACTAGAGCTAGAGAAGATATAATTGTTAAGTATGAAAAACAACTCAAATCTACAATGGTTGATTTGATGCACTATAAGAAAGTTGCAGAAGAAGTTGAGCAATTGAGATTAGATAATACCAGGCTAACATTAACAAAGAAAGACTCTGAGGAACAAATGAATAACCTGTCCATAAAGCTTTCGACACTTGAGGCTGAAAAGCAAAATTTGTGGAGACTACAAGACCAAACAAGAAAGGAACTCATTAACCTTAAGGAAAATGTCATTAAACTGTCAGAAGAAAATGAAAGACTTTCCAGAATTGAATCAAAAGCTTCAAATATTGCAAATTTGGAATTGGAAAAACTAAAAAAAGAAAAGAGGATTCTAGAAGAAAAACTCTTGTTAGCCAATGATACAAACAAAACTCAAAAAGAAACATCTCAATTAATGAACAAAATTAAGGAAGCTAGAATTACAAGAGAAAAGCTTGAAAAACTGATCCGTGACCAAAGACATCAAATTGATGAAATGGATTCTACCAATAGAGAGCTTAAACTGAAATTGCAAAATTATGAAAAGGCTGTTTCTGCACAAAATTAGTGCACTTGTTGAATAATAATAAACAAATAATTTGAAATTTAATTTAGATTGAAACATTAATTGAATGAAGTAAAAAAATGTTGAAACTAAGACAACAACTCATCAACACTGTCTTAAATTCACATTCTCCGACAGTGGGATTCAATACCTTGTTGTTTAATCATCAAACAACATCATTGGTAGGATCCACTACAACCTCATATCGTGCTATTCATAATAATCGTGGTGGTAATAATAACTTTAGAAACAATGATAATGACAATAACAATAGAGGAGAATTTAAACCAAGATTCAACAAGCAATATCGATCATCCGATGATGCTACTTCATCTTCAACAACTAACTTTAACAAGAATAGTGAAAATAGACGAGCACCATCTTCATCAAATAATTATTCATCTAACAACAGGGCTTCGGATGGTACCAATGGATTCAAACAAAACCGTTTTGAAAAATCCAACAATAACTACCAAAGATCATCATACGACAATAATACTAGATACGAAAACAAGTTTAAAAAGTACGATACTAATAATAACAATAGATTTAAACAACAAGGTGAAAGTCGCTTTGAAAAGTCTGATAATAAGTTTAAAAAGTATGATGATAATAATGGTGATAACAACAGATTTAAACAACAAGGTGAAAATAGGGTTGAAAAGTCTGGCACTAACTACCAAAGACCTTCATACAATGGTGATAACAACACAAGATATGAAAATAAGTTTAAAAAGTATGATGATAATGGTGATAACAACAGATTTAAACAACAAGGTGAAAATACAAGGTTTGAAAAGTATCAAAGATCATCCAATGAAGATAGAAATAACAACAATAGCTTTAGAAAGTATGACAGAGAAGAAAGGAGAGAAAGAGAGGAATTTAAGCCAAAATTCAAATCCACAGTAGTTCCTTTTGATCAATACAAGAAACAAAACAAGACACAATCAAGTGACAAATTTTCAAGTGAATCATCACGTACTAGATCCAAGTCTCCTTATGGAACACAATCAAGGAATCAACCAAAATATGAAAGAAAGGAAAGATCCAATCCAATCTATGAATATGATGAAGAGATTGATACCCTTTTTGAAGATAATTTAACACAAAAATCTAGTAAGGGAAGAGAAAACACTCGATTCAAATCATCTATTGAGAATCATGTTGATTCATATATTAGTGGAAAAGAACAAAAACAACCAAGAAAACAAACCAAGATGGCCTATATTCCTGCAAATGAAAATGTTAGAAATATGATGAAAAAGGAAATGGACAATGATGATTTTGAAGATGATTTCCAAGACCTTACAAGTGTTAAAAAGATTGATATGAAGAACGTCGATAAGGATACCAAGAAGAAACCAAGACAAAGAGAAATTAAAGATCCAATGAGTGATGATTTGAAATGGATTGATGAAGATGAATACATGGCCATTCGTCAAAAGGGAATGAAAAAGATCATGAACAGTAGAAATGATTCACTTTCTAAAGCCTCTTCTCACATCTTATCCCAATCTAGAAATAATGTCACAAAACCACTAAATGTTCCAAGCAATGTCACCTTTGTTATGGATGATTCCAGAAGTTTAACAAGAAACCAACCAACAGAAGAAGAAATTGAGGATGATGATGAAGATGTAGTTTTCTATGGAGATGAAGACTTTGAAGAAGATGAAGATTTTGATTTTGAAGAGGATATGGAAGAAGAGGAAGAAGAAAAACCAAAAAAGAAGGGTTCAAAAAAAGTGAAAAAGGAGCAGGAAGAAGCTCCAAAAATTGATATTCTTCCAGATGCCATGGTTGGCAAGTATTTGAAACAAATACAAAAAGAAAAGATGTCAAAGAATAGAGAATTTAAGTCTTTGCCTGTTGTGAATGGAGTTGTAAAGGAAATTTTCTCTTGTGGGTTAGCATCGAAAAGAAGTTTGAAACAAGCTGAGTATCTTCAATACTTTACCAGTGATGAAGTTTCTAAAACTGATGAGGAAGCTCAATCTAGAAATGCAATGGCTAACATGTTGGGCGGAAATAGGGTGATTGAAGCACAATTGAAGCGTCAACAAGTTGCCAGAAAGACAAACAAAACTAGTCTTGTCTACAATCAACCAGAACTCAGAGCTGACTTGCAAGTGAAAGATGATGTTGTCAATTGGGTATTTAAAAATTACAAGATGAAATATATTGGTTCGATTGGACTTTCTAAGAAGGATGAAGAATTGCTTGCTAAGGAACTAGAACAAGAAATGCAAGAAGAAAATGAAGAAGAAAATGAAAAAGAAATTCAAGAAAAACAAGAAGAAAACCAAGAAGAAAATGAGAATCAACGTCTAGATATTGACAAATTATCAAAGGAAGAGCTGGATGAAATTTTGGAGAAGGAAGAAAATCTCTATGACTTCTACCGAAGAAATTTTGAGGATCAAGAAGAAGAGGAAGAAACCCAAGTAGAAAAGAAAGAAAAGAATGAAAAAGAAGAGCCTGAAACCTTGGTTAGAAAGCTCTATGATATTTCTAGAATGCTTGAGAAATGCAAAGGAATTCCACAAGTGGCATTTGCAGGAAGATCAAATGTTGGTAAATCATCAATTATCAATGCAATTACTGGTAGAAATAACCTCAAAGCATCTGAAAAACCTGGTCAAACAAAGGATTTGAATTTCCACAGATTTGGAAAACACTTTTGTCTGGTAGACATGCCTGGTTATGGTTTTGCCTTCACCAAGGACAGTTCTGTTACTCAAAAATGGTTGGATCTCATCAGAAATTATTTTGTACAAAGTAGTACTGATCTTAAGGTTGTCTTTTTATTGATTGATTCGCGTCTAGGACTTAAGAGAAAAGATATGGACATGATTTCATTCTTGGAAGAGAATAATGTTCCATACCAAATTGTTTTCACAAAATGTGATTTGATGTATGTTGACGATTTGGCAAGAATGGCATTCAAAACATTCAAGATTGATCCACTCACAAAAGGCATGACATTCAAAAATCATATCAAGGATGAGGAAACAGGCGACTTTAGAATGGTTTTCGTGAGTTCCAGATCCAAGACAGGAGTTGCAAGATTAAAGGAGGATATCGTGCTAAGACATGCTAAATTCGATGTTGAATCATGGAAAAAGAATGTTAAGAAGAATGTTGTACTATTTGTGTAGATAAACAACGTATATTCTATATATTTGATTCCAATAAAATTGAAAAAAATGGAAACAAGTGTAATTTATTGTGAAAGTCATGATGAAAATGTTATAGTTTCTCTCATTGATTTCCGAATAATATTGGAAGATCAAACAGTTGAAGAGAATTTGATCAACATGTGTAAGAAGCAAATGCAATCTCCACGACCAAAATATAATATGAAACAAATAGAAAAGTATGAAGATTTAGAGTTGGCAAGTTTGGAATTATTGAGAGGAATTTATGAGTATGGATTTACAAAATTACCAGACCTTCACAAAAAATGTATCATGCCAATTATTTCATCAGAACCTCCAATTGATGTTGTAGTTAATGCTTACTGTGGTACTTCTAAAACTGCTGCCTATGCTATTTCTATTTTAAATAGAATCTATCCAATAGATGATTCTACTTATTCGAAAGGATGTCCACAAGCACTCATTTTAGTTTCAACCAGAGAGTTGGCAAAAAGTGTGTCTTATTTAATTAAGAGTATAGGTCGAGGTTTGAATGTAAGTGCCTTTCCATTAATTGGAGGCACAAAGACTACAGAAATGATTGAAAATTTAAATGAAATTCATCATGTCATTGTTGGAACACCTGGTACAACATGGAATGCAATTGTGAGGGGCTATCTGAATGTTAAATATTTAAAAATACTAATTATCGATGAATTTGAATATATTTTGGATGGAGGATTCAAGGATTGTGTTGAGGAAATATTGAACTCGGTTAGAAAAATTAATCTTCAAATATGTTTATTTTCTCAAGATTTTAAGGAAGAACGGGTAATGAATTTCATTGAAAAAGAATTGAGAAATCCTGTAAAAATAGTCTAATGTGTGGACTAATACGAAATAATTGCATGAAAATTCCGTAATTTTAATCATTGTAATAAAGTTAAAACTCAATACTGTTTTTGTTGATTTAATATTTAATTTAGTATTGTTGTAAACAATATTCGAATCTCTCTATTCAACAATGAGTGTTACTTTGTGATAGTTCAAATAGCACTTCAAAGGCAATACGAAACAATAGTTTACAAGATTTCCATAACTAATAATTGGCTTCCAGTGTGGAATATATAATATTTGGTCTCTTCATCTTGTGTCAAGTCGAAACTTGTGAAAAAAAAACGAAACATATCACACAATGGTTCTCTTAACCATTTCACTTCTTCTCATCATTCTTGCACCACTCTCTTGGTTCATCTATGATAAGCTCTACAAACCATACTTGGACTGTCAAGTGCCAATCGAACAAATTGACAGCGTACTAAATGGAAACCAGAAGAAAATTGGAGAAACTGCCATCATTATTGGTGGATCATTCTCTGGTCTCACAACAGCCATGGTACTAAGTAAATACTATGAAAAAGTCCTCATCATTGATCGTTCCAAAATTATTCCAGACGAATCTATTGCCAAAAATAGACAAGGTGAACAAGCTCACGTAATTGCCTATCGTTCAATGCTTGTCTGGGAGAAATTATTACCTGGATTCCTAGATGAATTGAAAGAGTATCTGAAAAGAAACAAATTAAATCAAATAGTTTATCCTGCAAGTCAAATTAAATATAATTATAAGAATGGTTTGGGAGTTTCGGATCATTTGGATATGAGAAAGAATCCAATGATTATGGCATCTAGAGGTCAGATTGAAACTATTTTGAGAGATAAAGTTAAGAGAGAATTGAAAAATGTAGAGTTTATTGATGGTTATGCAGTTTCGTCTAGTGGAATTAAAGTTGAAACTGTTTCGGATAATTTAAATGGAAAGGTGACTCGTGTTAAATCTGTTACCATTACAAAGGTAGATTCTAATGAACAAGATCAAGCCGGCAATTCCAAAACAATTGAATGTAATTTATTGGTCAATTGTGCAGGAGCTAATTCAAGTAATTTGATGAAAAATTTAGAAAATGAAATTTCACCAAAAAAGAAAATTCTCACCAAATCATTTATTGATTGCAAGATTGGATATCAAACTATTTTCATGGAACCAAAAGATTCATCCTATGATAGTGAAGGTAAAGTTGCCATTTATAGAGAAGAAAAAGAAAGTGAACAGGAAAATAGAAAATTGAATGATCCTTACTATATTGTCTATTATTTATTGTGTTATCCAAGTAGAAAGGGTATTCTATTCATGCCATACAGTGATAATACCTTCCTCATCTTGTTAACAACTTACAATGAAAAGATTAACTCAGTTGAGTATGAAAATGCTAAAGAACAAATTATGGAATTCTGTTCAAGTAATCCAAAGATGGAAAGAGATGCTAAGAATATGCTTGAAAAATTCAAAGATATTCCAACAAAAATTGTTCCATTCTTTGAAAAGAGTGGAAGTGAATATATTCACTATGAAGATTTGAAGGGAGTGAGAGATTTCATTGCAGTTGGAGATTCGTGTGGAAGTTTAAATCCTATTTATGGACAGGGAGTTACAATGGCTGTTGATTCTGCTGTGCTTTTAGATGAAATGATTAAGAATGAATTGAGTAAGAATGATTCATCCCCACAACAAGTTTTCAAAGCATCATTCTGCCAGGAATTCCAATCAAGAATTTGTAAATCCTATCTCGTTCCATGGTTGTTGTGTTCAAGTACTGATATGAGGTTTGATTTTGCCAAGTACACTGATAATCTTTCAATGCAAAAGTTGATTGCTCCAATTTTGGGATGGGCCACAGATAAGATGTTCATGTCTGCCAATGTGTCATCAGTTTCTAGTTTCCACTTGATGAAACTCTTATTGATGGAAGATGGATTTAGAAAAGAACTTCTCAATTTGCGTTGGCTCTTTGGTTATGTTTTGAGAAAGGAAGCTATGATTGCAACTTTCTTATCACTTTCTGTCTATATTGCAACATTGTTTTAGATAAAATCAAATTCATTTAATTTCTGAAGTTCAAATCTGGATTTGTTTTAGAATCTTATTAATTTATTTCAAAAATTGTAACTCTGATTCATAAGCCTTTGGTTTGAATCGTTTTGGTAGTTCATTGGTTTTGGTATCCAATAACTTGGCATTTCCATCAAGTAACATGTTATCAAAGTGGAAAACGTTATCTTCCTTTGTCTTCTTGTTTACAATATCTGTGAATCGGTTAAATTCAATCAATGGTTTGGCAATAACAGTTTCCAATCTTGGGGCTTCACCTAGAGCATCAATAATTTCAGAGGCAGAAATACCATTTGAGAAATCTTCAGATAAATGGCTCAAAACAAATCCAACTTGGTGTTTGGTCATTTCAGGACATACCAAAGTTCTCATTTCTTCTTGCAACAAGCCTTTTTGAACAATACATACGTCAGCAACTTGTCTGCACATGACGAAAGCTTCTTCAGAGCTAGAGGTAGATTGTCTCAAACTGTGAATAATACCTTTAGAGTTGAACCAGTTCTCAATGAATGGCAATCTCATCTTGATTTGAATAGCAGCATTTGTGTTCATCTTGTTTTGCAAGAAGTGGTTAAAGCATACAGCGTCAAGACCAGCAGCCAAATATTCAAAGAAATGGTTGGAAATTCTCAAATCCACGTTATTGTTATCAAATTTGGATTTAAGTTCTGATAAACTTGCAAGAACAAATTTGATATCAGCTCCAGATTCTATTTCATATTGCTTTTCAGCAAAGAGAGCTCTAATCAACTTTTCTCTAACTCTACGAATGTGTTTCATAAGTAAATATGTGTAAGCCTTTCCTAATGTATTAGCCATTGATGTGAACAAGCTCTCCCAATTGGTAATAATTTCTTCGTTTTCTTCTCCTTCTTCAAGAGGTCTACTGAAAAGTTGTGGCATGTGTGGAGGATCGAATAGTGTTTCTTCTCCAGAAGCAGTGGTCTCTCTTGGACTTCTTAATGGACTTCTATTTCTTTGCTTCTCAAAAATAACAGCAGCATCACCAGTAGAAGTAGGTTTAAGTTGTTTGAGTGCCTTTTCAACAAGAGAGGCATTCTCCTTATCGAGTCCATGGAACATGGCAAGTAATCTACAAATTGCATTAATCCAATAAATTAATTGATCATCATTGTGGGCATTCTTGTCTACAACATAATCAAGTGCATGAGAAACATTGGTAGCGAAAAGCTTATTTACACTCTTATTCTTTTCATCGTTAATCTTCCACTTGTTAAGACATAGGAACAAAATTTTAACAGGAGTTGGAATTCTGCTATTCAAAACTTCAAAGGTTTGCACGTGTAAAATAGCTGACTCGACAACAAATCTTTGAACATCTAAAAGTTTGGATTGTTGAATGTAGGTGTCCATCTTTTCTTTAAGAACCTTTGCTTCTTCTTCCATCTTGGCCATAGCTTCCTTGAGTACTGTTTCATTTTCACTCTTTTCATTAACTCCATTTTGCAAGTTATTAATTTCTTGGTTGCGCTTTTCAATAATCGAATCCAATTCATTCATTGTAGTAACTTTTTGTTCCAGTTCTTGAGATTTTTCTGATAACTCTTGCTCCTTGGATTGAATGTTGTTAACAAGATTTTGTAAATCTTTTTCTCTAGTTTCAAGTTCTGTCTTTAGAGTTTGAATTTGCTCCTCTTGTTCAGTGACAGCTTGTGATTTTTGTACAAGTTCTTCATCAAGTTTGCTGAGTTTTTGTTCAAGTAATTCTGCTTCGGCTTGCTTTTCTTGAATCTTGTTATGAGCGTCTTGGAGTTGATTATTGAGATCAGATATTTCCTTTCCTTGTTGTTCAGTACTTTCCAAAAGAGTACCTCTTTCTTGTTCGAGATCTCTCTTTTCTTTTTCAAGCTTTTCTAACTTTTCATCCATTTCATATTTCAATCTATTGAGAGCATCTTCACTATTGACTTGAAGTCCCAAAAGTTCTCTGAGTTCATCTTGCTTGTTCTTCAACTCTTCGTCCTTTGATGAAATGATTCTGTCTTTTTCAGAAATAGTTTTTTCGAAATCAGCAAGTTTTTCATGCAAACTCTCAAATTGCTTATTGAGGAATGATTGTTTGGCTTCTTCAGCGCTAGATGATTCTTCATTATTATTGACTAAAGTACCGATCTTTGAGATGATATCTGCAATATTCTTGTTGTACTGTTCTTCTTTTTCTTCAATAACTTTGTTAAGACCTTGGGCCTTTTCGTCTTGCTCCTTTACTTGTTGTTGCAATTTTTCAACCACTAAATTGCTAGCATCCAACTCAGTGGTTACTCTTTCTTGCTTTTCTTTCAGGGTTTCAATTCTATTTTCCAGAGAAAGAACAATCTCCTTTGATTTAAATAGATCATTGATAGCTTCATCACGTTCTTGGATGGTTGTGGCCAATTGATTAGATTGTTCTGCGGAGGCATTCTTGAGTTTAGAAATTTCCTCTTCCAGTTGTTCAATACTTGCTTCTCTTTCGCTCAAAGATGCTTCAGCTCTATACTTGTCTTGGGTTACTTCGTTGAGTTGAGCTTTAGTAGTGTTGAGGTCATTATTGAGAGAATCAATTTGTTCATTCAAAGACTTAATATCCTTTTCTAAGGAGTCCGATTCTTCTTTTGCGGATACAAGTTTAGTCTCCAGAGATTCTTTTTCTTGAGTAAGACTTGAAATAATCTCTTCCTTGTGAGAGACTGACTTTGACAACAACATATTTTGGTGTTGATTGTCAGTAACATCATCTTCAAGTTTGGAGATTGATTCTCTGAGTTGAGCAATAATGATACCGAGATCCTTCTTCTCAACTTCAGCATTTTGAAGAATTTCAATCTTTTCTGATTCTAATTTTTCAAGTTTTTCAAGAGTTGAATCTTTTTCTTTGGTGATATCTTCAGCCAATTTTTTACTGGTGGCCAGTTGTTCACCAATTTCCTCCTTTGCTCTTCTTGTTTGTTTCAACTGTTCAGCAATTTCATCTTTCTCTTGATTGGCAATTTTGAGTGATTCTTGTGCCTTGTTCAATTCTTGGAGGAGCTTGTTGCCCATTTCTTCCTTTTCATTGATACTGGCCTCAAGAAGAGATTGTTTTTCTTTTTCTAAACTTTCAATCTTTGATTCAAGATCGATGATTTGACCCTTGTATTGTTCTCCATCTTCATTGGCATTCTTTAACTCTTGTTGAAGACTCTTGATGGTTTCTTCAAGTTGAGATTTTTGACTTTCCAATTGGGTAACCTTGTTGCCCATAACTTCCTTTTCATTAAAGCTAGTTTCAAGAAGAGATTGTTTTTCCTTTTCCAAATTTTCAATCTTTGATTGAAGTTCAGTGATTTGACCCTTGTATTGTTCTCCATCTTCTTTGGCATTCTTGAGTTCTTGTTGGAGACTCTTGATAGTTTCTTCAAGTTGAGATTTTTGGGTATGAAGATCTGAATTGTCTTTCTCTATTCTAGAGATATTTTCATCCTTTAGGGAAATAATGTGCAACATTTCATCCTTTTGAGAGAGGGTAGAGTCAAGAAGTGATTGTTTTTCTTTTTCTAAGACTGCAATCTTCTTGTTAAGATCTGAAATTTGGCCTTTGTATTCCTCTCCATCTTCCTTGACTTTGTTAAGCTCGTCTTGAAGATTTTCAATCAATGTTTCAAGTTGAGCCTTTTGCTCATCTACTTGTTCTTTGTCTTTTTGGACCCTTTCGACCACTTGTTGTATGGTTTCAACTTTTTGGTTTAATTCTTGAACCTTATTTTCAGCCAATAAGTGTTTCTTTTGGAGTTCTTCCAATTCTGAGGAGCTTGTTCTTAATTTCTTGGTAAATTCAAGAATTTCTAAGTCAGCTTTTTCTTTCTCTTGTTCCAATGATTCAAGCTCTTGTTCGAGCTCGTTACGTTCAGTCTTAATACCCTCTAGTTCCTTACCAAGTGATTCATACTTTTCGGAGAGTTCTGAATGTCTTGTTTGCAAAGATTCGAACCTGGACACTTGTGATGCAATTTCTTCAACTTTTTCCTTAATTTGATTCAACAGGTCTTCCTTTTCTTCTGAATGAGCAGTTTCAAGATTCTTCTTTTCGGTCTCCAAGCTTTCTAATTGAATAATGACACCAGATAGTTTTTCGACAGTGACATCCTTTTCTTCTCTCTCGGTAGCCAATGCAGACTTTGTAACTGATATTTCAGCCTTTAAACGCTCAATCTCTTTTTCTAATTCATCCTTAGCTGAAGCTTGTATTTCTATTTCTCTCTTCAAGCTTTTGATTTCCTCCTCATTTTGTTGGAGAAGTTTCAAAAGCTCTTCTTGTTTGCTCTTGAGTTCAATTTCCTTGTCATGTATGGCTGAGTCCTTTTCAGTAAGGAATGATTGGATAGCGATCAGTTGTTCTTTGAGATTGATGATTTCATTAGTGAGGCCATCCTTTTGATTAATTAAAAGTTCAATAACACTATCAGCAGAGTCACTATCTGTGCCAACAATCTTTGAAAGCTTACTGACCAAAGAGGTAATTTCATTCTTGTACTTAGCTTCTTGTTCAGAAAGGTTGGTGTTGAGTGTATCGATATTCTCCTCCTTGTTTTGAAGTTCAGACTTGAGGGCTTCAATTTGCTTCTTGCTTGCCTCAACATCTCCATTCAATTCTGCAACTGATGACTCGAGCTTGGCAATAGAAGATTCCATTTCCACTATCTTGTCTTGCTTTTCTCTAATGCTTTGGACTTGCTCTTCAACTTGAGATTCTAATCCTTGTATGAGTTCTTGTTTGGCATTGATGTCAGATAAATGTTTTTCAATGGCGTCTTGCTTTTCTCTGAGAGTATTCAGGTAAGAATCATTGCTTTGATCAGTTTCGGATCTGAGCAAAGTAATTTGCTCCAACAATCCTTCCTTTTCCCTTTGGAGGGAACCAATATCTTCCTTTGATTTTTCTAAATTGGAAATAACTTCGGTAAGCTCCACCTTGATGGAAGCCAATGATTCATCTAGTGTTTTCTTTTCCTCAACCAACT